CTGCAATGTTAAATCTGAGCGCATAATATTATGGTTGAGTACTCTCAGTCTAATGTACCATGGTTTAATATCTAACAAAGTTGTACTGCTTTATGCTCATTCTCTACTTCAAACTAAGATTGAATGGTGCTGTTTACAGTCGTAAAAAANTTATTCTTGTCTGCATTGAAATATGCTTTGAAACTTGCAGAGATTATCTGCCACGTTAAGTGGCCTTATACAATTTAGAAATAGATTTTTATTTGCAGATAATTCACGAAGGTATTCTATGCGGTTAAGTTCACAAGTAAGTACATAAGTAAGGGTGCTCTGTTTGCATTTGAGGCTAAACCTTTTTTCTGTTTTGCTCTGTAGGAAAGGCAAAACAAGAGAAAAGAGGGGGAAAGAGTTACCTCATTTTTATTACAGCAGCTTACACTTTATAGGCTGAATGTGCTTGAAAGATTTCACAAACACAATAGGGATTCCTGAGTGAGAATTAATTTAATACTGTTGTCCAAAGGCATGGTCAGGAAGATACAATGTTAAGCATTGTCTATAAAGGCAATGTGAGAAGGAGCAAATAAGGGATTTTAGAATAAGTAGTAATTAAGAGGTGTAAATAATAATACTCATAAAAAATAATAATCCTTCCATTTGGTACAGCATCTTTCATGTCGGGAGGATGGCCCAAAGTGCTTTACAGGCTATATTGAAAGTGTACTGACTGTTTTGTGGGTGAATGCAGCAGCCAATTTGCATACGGAAACGTTAACTGCATACACTTTAGTGGATTCATTTAATTCTTCAATTTTGTGCATTAAACGTCCCTGAATGACCTGAAGATATATATTTTGTGGGTCATCTTTATAATAATAACCCTTGCATTTGATATAGAGTCTTATCACGTTATTGCGATGCTTGAAAGCACTTCACAGAATATATTGTAAAGTGGATTAACTGTATATTTTGTGGGCAAAATCTTTCAATCCCCTTCTTAGCTTCCTCCCCTCCCCCCCCATCTTAACTGTGCTCCCTCGCCAGTTGTGTGAAGCACTTTGAGACACCCTTCCAACGTGAAAAGCACTGTACAAATGTAAATTGTTGTACGTGTCCCGTTGCTTGCCGAGAACCTGGAACATTTGCATCTATCTTATCTATTTATCTATAAACCGATGCAGAATGCAGTGAAGGAAGTGCTGATACAGGGGGCGGCTCAACTATCGCCTAATGTGTGTCCCGATAATGATCAATGGCTAATCTTGGTGCGCGCTGCTGCTTCCGTTCACTTTGATCAAAGGCTTTTTTTTTTTTCGGTGCTGGTGCTGATGAGTGGAGAGAAACCTCTTGTGGTGCTGACATTGTGGAGAATCAGCCACGCAGCTTCCCAGGATTCAGAGCTGCCTCGTGAGCTCATCTATCTGGGAGCTCATTTGAATAGGATTACTGCAGGGGGCTGTGTCTTTAAAGGGCTGAGCGTACGTTTCATTTGAAGCTAAGGTACAATTCTAATGGACGGCTGTATATATGACTAAGCTTTTACATTGTGTTGCGTACTGCAGCATGTGTGAGTGAGCACACGACACGCAGTAATCCCATTAACCCCCTCACACCAGCATATTTTCTTCAAACCTAAATACTGGTGGCATTTAGGTTTGAGGATACTCTCGTGGACAGCATTAGCCTTTATTTCAATTCAAAGGTTTATTGGAGAATAAAACTTTGATACCCGGGTAGAATTCTGGGGTTACGCAGTTTAGCAAATTGAGGAATTAATGGTCGTCAGTGGAAAATAGTAATAATAGACCACTCGCTAACTCACTCCTGCACACAGAGCTTTATTATGAGATTACAGTTGGGTAAGTGAAAATGATTGACCTGAATTTATTTTATTCTGTTTAGTAAAATGATGGTCAATACAGGCCTGTGCGTCAAATGTGATTACAACAATTTTTGTCAACTGGGTCTGTTTCTGCAAAGTGTTTGCATGGGGACTTTCAAAAAAGCTTGTGTCTAAACCATAGCTTTCGCTCCGTAAATGAAACTGGTCACATCTCTGATTGAGAATTCACCTTGTGTCAGGACCACTGGATAGCTATCTCGAAGGTGATCATTTTCATTGTAATTACTCTGTAATTGCTAATAGTGTTAATGAGCCAGCTATCGATCATTCGTTTCATTTGCTTGGGAAAAATAAATTAAACGCAAATCAGCGCAATAAAATAAAATGGCTGAATCTTTAAAATCAGGCTACTGATTCAAAATTGGCAATTTTTGGATCAATCAAGGCTCGGGGTGAATGTTAGTTATCATCTGACCATGACACAGTGTCAAAAGACCATCCCCAAATTGGCAGGTTTCACCACAAAGGACAAACCACTACAGTAGATGTCCGATGGAGCACAGCACATTACTGACGGGTAATTGGAGTCTTTTGACTCAGTGGTTTTATCCATCCCTTTTGTTGATAGCTGCTTTTCTATGCTGACAGAGTATATGACGGATGAATAGAAGGCAAATTATAAAAGAAGGCTCTGATAGATTAAGATAGAAATGAACGGTGACCGTTGTCAATATCGTTTTTCACATGTTCAGCATTTCCCCAAAGCTGAAATAGGACCTTTTTCAGACCGCAGTATAGTACATTATAATATTGCATTTTGATGATAATGTTGTAAAGCTTATATCTTCTGGGATATCGCAAGCAGACAAATTGAACTAGGTGGATAGCTTGAACGATTACAGATCTTACCTTTCGTGTGTGGAATTGGGCACTTTAAGTGAAATCGGTATTTGTTTTTCTGTCCTATTTACAGATTGCTCCAGGCTGTGCCATCGTACACAATGTCATGTCAGCCTCCTCAGCTGTTTGTTCTGAGCACATCAGTTCTGCTCAGTATTGTTTACTAATACGATTACATCAGTACCATCTCTCCAATTGTGCCTGGCCACCTGCCTCATCCTTGTACGTCAAAGACGACAAGGTGCCCTTCTGTGACATTTCTGCAATCCCGTGCAAAAGATGGCCCATAAAATGCAAGTAGTCTTTCCTCCCCGCTCCGGTAGCTGAATGTTGAGCTAGAATTATTCTGACATATTTTTGATGGCCTCTCCCCTGCCATTGCAGCAGCTCAGGAAGATCCAAATGAATTTGCTGACGGACCCATTTAACTCCGAGTCTCTGAACTAAGGCTTGTGTTTGTCTCGCTGCTATGCATTAGAGTTAAATATTATAGAAATACTATTACTGTGGATTGGTGAGTCAGTAACAAAGGGCATCAATTGAAACTTATCACGAGAGGGGGAAAAAAGATATGAGGAGCTTACAAGAAATATTTTTATACAGAGGGTTGCTGGAATGTGCATTACCTTACTGCACATGGCTCTCGCAACTGAATCCATAACAGACGTTGATCTGTGAAAACAAATAATATTAAAGGATGTAGGACAGAGAGGGTTTAGAACAGATACCTCCAGTTGGGGAGCTACAGCCAGCATAGATATGATGGGTTGAATGGTCTCCTTCTGCAACTGTGAATCTTTTATGACTTATTAAAAGTGGTCAAGTACACTCCAGCAACCTTGGTGAATCCTTTTTGCCCGATAATAAAACTGCAGTGGAATTAGAGAGTTGGACGGATAACTAGGAATGTGCTTGGCTGCATCAGCATTTGGTTCGGCCTCTTAATGATGAACTACAGATGACTCAGCTTGTCCAGAGTTGCTGGAGGAGAGAGAGAGAGAGAGGTAACTGTATGGCAGCGCAGTTGTCTTTGGTGGTACAGTATTACATGCTACATTGGTGACCTCATGGAAAAGAAGGATCAGTAAGCAGTATATTCATTGCTCAGATGGTTCTGTGTCTGAGACGGAGCTGCTGAATGTCATCGCTGTAATTCTAGCTGCAGCAAATGGGTGTTAAAGAAGCCTACTGCTATGGCCCAAGTGCTGTATATTTTATGAAGGCCAAGGCACGTGGAACTACTCGGCCAAATGTGTTGCTCTCTTGATGATGAGAGTTTTTATTTCATCATGTAATTAATTTGAAAAGTGGTATCATGGTGTTGATAAACCCTCTTGAACGATGAAGGCCATGTTCTGTCCTGGAAGATTCTAAAACCTTAGTATGGTGTCAGCACAATGTTAGATTTCTGATCTTTCCAACACAACACTAACCGCTTCACTAATTCAGAAAGTGTGTGAGCAGTAATGAGCTTCAGTATTTAGAAATGTGAACCGCAGCGATAACTGGTCTCAAAGACCAGGAAAAGAACATGGAACTCAAGTCCATGCAGGTCTATGCTTTGGAAAAATAGCCACATTGTGGCTTTGGGTTTTAGCATTTAACAGCATTCGGATTTAGACGGATCAAATTTGACAAGTGAAGGAACTTGCAATGAATTTGTGACATGCTTAATTGAATCCTTTACTGTGACAGAGTGCCATGTTTTGATGGTTCAGGTGGAGATTAGAGATCTCATGTATGCAGAACTCTGAAATAGGATCGTAAGGTTGTGTATTGCTCATCACTCAATGAATGGGATTGGATAAAGAGTGGAAAATCTAAATCAGGCTTCTTGATCCAGATCCCTCAGCTACTGGAAGGAATATCACTTTGCTACTAGCGTTGTAAGCAGGGAATGTTTTTCTGTAATTACAATTTTGTCTGACAGAAAGTGAATGCAAATGCAGTTTAATAAGCTGTACATTCCAGCCAAAATTGATCTGGTCACTTATAACATACTGCACCATTGTTTGCACACCCATCACATATCTTGTAATAACTTACTGAAATAGTTGCAAAACAGTAGCAATGCATTCGTAATTGAATTTGACAGTATATTCAGATTTACTTCACTTGTCGATAAATCTCCCAAATTCTGATGTAAAATTGTGGCCTTGCGTATAATATGAAGACTAACTTCTGGGAAAGGACAAAATCTTAAATGAAAGTTACATATACGGTTGTATTGCATTTGTTTAATATATTTTGTTTTTTCAATCTTTGTTTCTACCTTCAGGTTTAGCTGGTCAACAAAGAGAGTACCTGCCTGGAGCAATGGAATAATGTCAATTAACTCAAAGAAGTCAAGTGGTACTTTCAGCAATTGAGTGTGGACCATTAGTGCAGTCGTTACCACATAGATGCAACCAGCAGCAGCAGCAGCCATGAGCGCTGAGGAGAAAACCATGTCACCTGCTCACAAAATGTCAACTCCCACTCATAGGAGTATATCTTCCTCCTCGTCATCTCAAAGAGAAACTAGACCGGTAAGGCAGCACACAAACTGCACTGATGACTGTATTCCTATTGATGCTTTGCATCTTTTAGATGATGTTTTCACCAATCATTCGTTAAAGGTGAAGGTCATTTAAGAGGAAGTTCACATTTTCTATTTACCTTTTCAGGTGAAATTCCACCCGGGTCTAGGTTTACTCTGTTAACTTTGGCAATTTGTTGAAATCAGTCTTAACTCTGAAGACAGTTTTCTGGAGAGCGTACAGAAACAGGGTTTACATTCAAAGCTGCATTTAAGAAGTCGCCAAAACTGGATATTCTGAAATGCTATATTAATGGAGTAAATCTAGAATTTCTTCCCCTTTTTAAAAAGAAACAACACCTGGTTTAAAAAACAGCTTACAAGGCACAGAGAGGATTATCAGTGGATGGATTTAGGTCTACATAAGATCTCTTGGATTGAAGAGGGTAATGTGAACTAGAGATGATTTTTGTTGAAATAGTGCCAAGAAAAAATATTTTCTGAAGATTGTACTGCATATTTAAAATAAAGTAATAATGGATGGTGTAATATAGTTTCACGCTGAGAGATCTCAGTTTGGTGCCTTTTTATTTAAAAAAAATGCTGTGCAGCTTGCAAAATGCAGTCTTGTTTTGCATTATGTTTTGTTAAATAAAATCTACTTGGTAAAGTTAGTTACATATAGCCATTCACGCCCTATAGATTTCCATGCAGCAGTAAACACTGCTGTAGAGCCAAAGCAAAATAAACTGAATTTCCAGGAATTGTCAGTGACTTTTTAGCAGGTCTTTCGTGAGCTGTGGGCTTTGTTTTCTCTTTGAGGGAATACTGTGCTTGAAATTTCCTTTGCATCTCAAATGAAAAGGATTTTTATCGATATGAATTGTGGTTGCAGAAAGGTTTCTCGAAATTGCAAAAGCTTACATCCGAGGATCCCCTTATCTAAGATTTGTTTCATATCTCCGTCTGACCATAAGTGCTTGATTCTAATTCGAGTGAGCCCAAAGTGGTGCAACGATATCGCAGGCTGGAGAAGTAACTCACAATGTAACAGAGCGCACAGAGCGGGTAGATTTCAAGCTCTCTCCACCCTGCTTGTAGCCAGGGTGTGCCAGCTTGTAATGGGTGGCAGAGGCAATATCAGATGGGGCAGTGACGGGCAAGACCCTATTGTGCGGCTGGCGGCTTGGTGATACAGAGGGATCTGAAAACGAGTCGAATGCTTTCTCTGTTAGTGGTAGAAGCTAGGTTTCCGCAGTTCATAGAAAGAACCGGTTCATAAAAACTTAAGACCGAATGAATGAAGAATTTTCCACAATTCTACACAATCTTAAAATGACCGAATGTTTTTTTTTTGGCTAAGACGACGTGCGAGTTTAGGCCTGTGCAGTCCTCACTGAAGGAACACCAGCGGAGACCAATGCTGAACATTGATGGAGATATGCAGTCTCTAGCTGTGGCAGGTTAGAGCAGGGATTGTCACGTATACATCTTCTTGACTGATCAAACAGTGTATTATTTCTATAAGGCAAAACATGTTGCTTGTGTCTACAGGAACCAGCCTTTTAAAAAGGAGAGGATGATGGATTTGGCAGATCTTTTAACGCCAGACAGACAGTTGATGGTCAGATCAGTTTGATTTCTTTAAGCCGGGACCACATTGAGGAGAGATAGGAGGATAAAGAAACCTTCAGCATCTTTACTGATAATCGTTACTGATAAAGTCAGGCGCCCTGCAGTGATGTGGATGGATGGTATTTTCACATTGTGATATAGAGAGTGGAAAGAATCCGAAGCTGACGTGATGAAAACAGAAAGAAACCGTTGAAACAAAACACGGGCAAATAAATAGGAAAGATTTAACAAAAATAAAGCGGAAAAATAAATAGTCGCTGATCGATCGTGGCTGTAATTTGAGATGGGTGAATGGGCAATTACAAGTGAGAGGTTAGCATTGCACAAATGTTGTCGTTTTATCTCTCTCAGATGCTACCTTGCATGGAGGGCGCCGTAATAAGCGCAAGTTGTTGTTGTTATTTTATCTTTCGGTTGTTGTAGCAGCTCAATGTAGATTAGCTTTGTAAGTAGATTAATTCCCTTATTTCCTCAACTGTTTGGAAACCTCGATCGTATGCTTTTTAATCTTTACCAGCCATAAAAACTCTTGTGTTCTAACTCCTAATGAAGTGATATAATGATTCTGAAAGAATGGAAACTGTGCCCTTGGTAAGAAGACTAGAAATGGAAGCAAAGAATACTTTTTTATTTATTAGCAGCAGAAAGCGGAAAAAAAAATGACGACTGCATTTCATAAGAAATACTAAATTGCATTCCTTAAATCAGTGAGAATTAAAGTTTTCACAGTTATCTCATTTTCTCATGGGGTGTAGTATCTGACGTAACTGATTTTGTTTGAAGGAGGATGTTTCTATCTTGGGAAGAGGAGGAAATGCTTATGTTATTTAACATTTATATTGCAGTGGCACATGTAGGTAGAGCAGAGATGATGTTTTCATTACCATGCAAAGGCAACATGTTGCACTTTGATAGACATTTGGAAAACCACCTTTACAATCAGTTGTAACAATCTCCTTTCATAAGTACTTTGTGTGTGTGTGTCTGTGAAATCATTGGCGCATTGACACGTGTGCAATGTGTGGGTGCCTTTGTTCAGAAAGCCCACTTATTGTGTCATGCAAAGTGGCACAAAAAGGGGTTGGATTACAAGTGATGACCTTAAATGTAATAACACTTATATATTGACTCAACGTTTAATTCACCCATCCAGAAAGGTTGTTGTTTTCCTTTGCATTATATATTTTCCTGATATCAACAGAGTATTGGGACCAATGGAATCGGAGCTTAGTCGATGTGTCCAGGGAGAGGAGAGGAGGGGAGAAAAGTGCAAGAAATTGACGCTAATGAAACGGCGAATATAATGTAATTAATTACTTGAAAGTTCCAATCTACTTAGGCTGTCACAAAGAGGCAGAAATTACTGACTCCTCTGTCCTCCTTCACTGTTCTTCCCCCCCGGTGTGGTTTCGCATTTTCTGAGTAATAACGTTGAAGATTGTGACAGTGTTCTGAACATAATGGAATGTCAATTACTTTGGAAATTCCCAGTGTTTTAAGACATTCCATGTTGATGCATTTTTCAATACTCGCAGGATGGTGACAGCTGGGAAATCATTGAAGGGTTGAAAATTGGCCAGACCAGCATCCAGAAACCAGAGAAACACGAAGGGTTCATGTTGAAAAAAAGGAAGTGGCCTCTAAAAGGTTGGCATAAGGTAAGCATCAGTGTTGCATGTTCTCTAGTCAGATCAGCATGTTGGTCATTAAGAACTGAGGTAACAAATTGTTCTTTTTGTACAAGCAGATTCTTGCCAGTAGGCTGAATGTTCCTACTTCCAACTCCCAATTAGAGCAACTTCACATGCGATATAATTGGCCTGTCATCTCACCAGATTCTTTTGTTTACAGCGAAAGATGTCTTAAAACATACTCGGCAAGTTAATTTGCGATTAAAAATGAACGTGGAAAGAAATTAGGTGCTCCATAAGCAACATTCTATATGATGTGCAGCTTTGTTGCAATAGTTTCCTGGAAATTGTGCTGTTTCACCCATAAAATTCACAGTCAATCCCCTTTACAAGATATTCTGTGAAGCGCTTTGAGACGTCTCAACGACGTGGTAGGGCGCTACATTAAATGCAAGGATGATTATTATTATTACTCGTGCCAAAGGTTATCTAAGCAGAATATGCACCTGTTCTCCAATGGCATTTACTTTAGACATGCTGCTCCTATGGTGATGTGTCTACATTATTGTGCCCCCACTGTAGTTATCAGTTTTTTGCTTTTTCTAAAAAAAAATCATGGGGGGAGTGGGGAAAGAAAAGATAACAAAGAAAGAAAGTGAGAATGACTGTGAACGAGACCAGAACAATGTTCATTTTTACTTAGGTCAGATGAATAGTTGGGTGAAATTAGTTCCAGAATTCAATTTGTAGAAACAATTTTTTTTTATTTCTTCTTTAAAGAAAAGAAGTATTGAGTTTTTGAACCACTTATACTACATTACAGATTGATTCGCCTCTGAATCGTCTGGAGATGATTTAGCGAGCGTACCTGGAAAGTGATTCAATAACCAACCATAAAGCTAAAACTCAATTGACCCTGAAATGGCAATATTAAAGGGACATAGATTATCAGTAATTCTTCCAGCACACATTTGTTCCTTTTCTTTCTTTGACTTTATAGACTTTCTTTGAGTTGGTTATTATACCTGTATCTACTTTACAAAATGTAGTTTAATCAAAATCTGTCTGTCTGCAGCGTTTCTTTGTGCTCGATAATGGAATCCTAAAGTACTCCAAGACCCCAAATGATGTGAGTAATAATGTAATGTGGTGAATTGCTCGCATTGATAATGTTTAATGATGTGGAAGTAGTACTGGGTTTTGCTTAGCAACTTTTTGAATTTATTTTATATATAGATATATAAAACTTAAAATGAAGACCAATTAATTTTAAAATACTACTTGGTAGGCTTAGAATATAGAACAAAATAAAATCGCATTATTTTTATGTGTGAGTATTGGGAAGGTTGTTCAAAAATTCTGCCTTGTTTTGGGAGTACCTTGACACACGGATTGGATTTTTAAAGAGGCTGTGGCTGGCAATGATGTGATGCACATTTTCGCTGACTATTCTTGGTTATTGATCTCAATGAAACGGCTTTGGAAAGCAGCAAGTGGTTTGTGTAAGCAAACGCTGTCCTGGCCAACAATCCACCTGATATAATTGGTCATTCATTTCGTGACTCTTTGTGGTATATTGCTGTCTGTAACTTGACTACCACGTTTGCTGACAGATACACAGTCACTTTGCAATAAAAACTATGAAGCACTTTGAGACTTTTTGACAGAGTGATATGCATTATACCAAATGGAAGTATTAGTATTATAAACAGAACCTAGTCACCTCTCCACAAAGGGGGAATGTATCCTCTGCTGTTCTCTCACCTCTGAGAAGATAGTAACAGTGCTTTTGGTAAAACAAATTAGAATAGGTCTTTGTTTCGCCCAAAAAATATGCAGTCAATTCACTTTACAATATATTCTGTGACAAGCTTTAAGACGTCTCGAAGATGTGATAAGGCGCTGTAGCAAATGCAAGGATTATTATTATTATAAAGTAATCACATGAAAGGGGAAAAAAATTACAAACTAAAAACTGTACAAAATTACAGATGTGCTGTAATAGTTATCTCCCCCCTTTTATTTTTGTGGATTAATCAAGAAATATGTTTGAGAATTTACAAGCAATAATTTGTTCGCAACAGATGAACAAAATCTATGATTTTCAGGATGTAGTTTAAAATTATGGTCCGTTTAAAAGTAATGAACCCTGAAATTGACAGTGAATGCCACTGTAAAACCCTTGCCAAAACCAAGATGACATCAGTACATTATACAAAAGAAGTATTAATAGCACTGAAGATGTTACATATACAAAAAAAGCATGAGTGGGAGAGTTATTTGCAACGCACAAAGTGATTCTGATGCAGTCTGACATTGTGAAAGCCTGACTGGTGTAATTTATAGAGGAACTTAATGTCAGCAATGTATTACTGTCATAATACTGCCCTGACTGGTGTTTAGTTTTATCTTCAGTGCTTTTTGGTCTTGTGCCATCTTTGGATCAAATCTTCTGACCTGTATTTCAATATACTGCGACTTTACTGTGCATCATGCATTTTTTCTTATGTTGGGACTCAAATACACATCTTACAGAGAGTTGTATTACGTGAAAGCACATAGACAATGTGGGGAAAAAAAGCTACTCAATCCAGCTAATCCACGGTCCATCTTGACAGGGTTTATGCGATGGTATACATTGTTATATTGTGTATTGCTTTGAAGATTTGGAGGTGTGGAGCAATATTAATGACAATTTGTTGGTTGTGTTCTTGCTGATGTTTCAAAGCCTCAGTTGATCTATTTTGCTATAGTTCATCATCTTCTGTACTCAGATTCAAAAAGGCAAACTTCATGGAAGCATCGATGTTGGTTTATCAGTCATGTCGATAAAAAAGAAAGCTCGGCGAATAGACCTCGACACAGAGGAACATATCTATCATCTTAAGGTAAGTTGACGTGACAAACAGAGAACTAGAATTTATCAAAGAAGATGTCTTCGAAGGCGTGGTTTTTTTTGCTGATACCATTTTGTGCGCAGGTCAAATCTCAGGATGTTTTTGACCCTTGGGTAACAAAGCTACGTCATCACAGATTGTACCGTCAGAACGAAATTGTGAGATCGCCGAGGGACGCCAGCTTTCACGTTTTCCCCACATCACCCAATGCAGATTCTCCAGCAGCTTCGAGTGCAAACGTATTAGATGTCAAGGTACGTGAACGGAACTGTTGATCTTGCTTTGCGAAACAATACCTGCAGCGGTTTGGTGTGAATTCTCCAGTGAAGCGGGAATACAGCCAACAACCATTTAAGTTAGTTTTACTATTATTATCTTGTTTTTACGTGTGCAGTGTGAGCAGAACATTGGCAGGTGAAACTAACCGGTTACTTACAAAATTGTTATTGGTTGGGTTGGAGTGGGGGGACGGGAGTGTTTAACATTGACCTGCTTTATGGAACTGCAGCAAATCCAGTGTTACCCTAAAAAAAATCTGCCTTAAACAAGAGTGTCCTGAGCAACTATAGTACGTGCTGTGCAGCAGTTATGTGTTTAGTTTACTTGGACTATTTTAGTGCTTAATTCACAGTTATGTAACTGATTTAAACCACAATAAGTTGTTGTTGAGCATTTAAATTCAATGATTGAGTACTTTATACCATTTGCTCCTGGCAGCTGTTGTGGTGTTGGCAGCTTGCACACACGTAGCAAAATAGCTGCCACAATTAAATTGAAGCTCAGCTCTTGCAATTGAATTTACATCAGTGCTACTGGATTATACCCAAGATAGTAGAAAGATAGTGAGATATCAATACACAAGTACATCATTACATCAGTTGCACATTAGTCATTCACACGTGGTTACAAACGTACGTCAAATAGAATTATTAGACGCATCGAACAATAATAATAATAATAATAATAATAATCCTTGCATTTGATATAGCGCTTTTCACGTCGGGAGGACGTCCCAAAGCGCTTCACAGAATATACTGTAAAGTGAATTGACTGTATATTTGTGGGCAATCTAACAACGTGGAAAATAATACACATTTTGCAATACTTGTGGAAACTGTTTATCATAGCTGTTTTAAATTAAGTATGTTGCGACATTTTGAGATTTGTTAAACCTTATGGAGGTACACAGTGGTGCAATAACCTTGTTTTTCGCTGGTAGCTTTGAATAAGTGGGGGCAAGTATTTCTCTTGAGAGGCAAAGTCTACAATCGGTCCTCAAATAATCAGTGATTATTTCCGCTTTGTTGTAATATCTCTGTTTTATCTCTAGCCCCAGCAGAACAATTTCACATTACAGGCCTCCATTCCGTGCAGCACTAGTCTACCTGTTTCCTACAGCAACAGCCAAACCAAAGTGGCAGCATGGTTACTGGACTCTGAGGAAATGGATAAGTGCGCCAAAGGTAGTCTTTAGTCTACTAATGTACTTCAGTAGCTTGGAATCAATGTTCATTGGAGTCATGGAGCTAACGTAGCACTGTACAAGTATTGCTTATACTTTTGCTCCTTACGATGTATAAGTCATATATCCTGACAAATAAAGTTTTAGGTGTACAGATTTTTGTTCGTTGTCTGTTAACAAAATTGTAACTTGTGCCCTTCAAGGTGCAGAACAATGTATGCGAGCACAGCTTTTCTTTAAAATATTTATTAAGTATTAATTATTATTATTCGCATTATTAAACATGTACAATATACAATGGAATTTGAATCAAGCTAAATTGAATATTGTACAATTTCAAATCTTTCGGTTTAAGATACTGTCCCAGCAACAGGGAAATGCACATAATGCTCATTGTGACTGAAGAAACCTTCGATGATTTTGATCTTGTAAAGGAAATGTGGAGTAATGTTATTACTCTGGATTTCTGACAGATCTCGCTCATTGCCAGTCAAGCCTAATTGAACTCAGCAAACTTCTACAAAATCTAGAAATCCTACAGAGGACACAGTCGGCTCCGAACTTCACCGATATGCAGGTAAAATATTAAGCCGTTTCATTACTGACTTGCGATATAAGAATATATGACTGCACCAAGAAAATATATAATAAACTTTGCATTTGATACAGCGTCTAACCATGTCTTTTAGACGTCTCAAAGCGCTTCACAGAATATACTGTAAAGAGAATTTACTGTATATTTTCTAGGAGAAAATGTAAAGAAACTCAATGCAATGTTCTATAAAATGTACGCAAACACGATTGTAACATCTGCAAGAAGCCTAATGCCCTGGGAAGTCTTTCCTACGTGAAGGGCGCTATACAATGGTTTCTTTGTTGTTAATGTGCCTTTTGAAATGATTTCTCAAAAAGGTTGTTTGCATCTATTTCCTATGCATAAATGTAATGGTATTTAATTTAACCAATGTTAAATTATCAACATCCTGGCATGTATTTTCAGTGTATCTAAGGTCCCGCCCTCCAGTGATTTACATTAGGTTATAATTTAAGTACTTGAGAGCACTTTTTTGCCCAGTAGTCCTATTGATGTGTCTTTAATTGTTTTTTTTCAGTAACATTACCCGAGTATTGGCTGCTCTGCACACTGGTGAAATAACCTTAAAATGGCACTATTGTCAGCCATTCTGCGCCCTGTGAAGTCCTAATAGATATTAGATTGCTAAATTTGAAACCACTAGATTCAAGTTCGCACCAGATCCATATGAAATTAAGCACATGAGTCAAAGCTTTACTGTTGTTTTGTTATACAGTGGTTCATAGCCCAAGTTTAGTCAAAGTTACTTTAGAATAGCCAGTGACCATAAACCCATTAACCTTGGTCCGTACCTTTGTCACCTCTCGGCTGGACTACTCTAACGCCCTCCTCGCCGGTCTCCCATCCACTACCATCCATAAAATCTAAATGATTCAAAACTCTGCCGCCCGCATTCTCACCCGCAGCAAACTCCGCTCCCCGATCACCCCAGTCCTTGCCAGACTGCACTGGCTGCCTGTCCCAGAGAGGATCGACTTCAAGATCCTCACCCTCGTATTCAAGTGCACTCCTCTGCACCCCCCGACCGCTCTGACCTCTCTCCTCACAACAGTACCCGTTGCCTTCGTTCCTCCGGGTCTGGCCTCCTCCTCGTCCCCTGAGTCTTCCGCTTCACCCTCGGAGGCCGTGCCTTCAGCCACTATTCCCCGAGGCACTGGTACTCCCTCCCTCACTCCCTTCGTCTTGCTCCCTCCCTTCCTATTTTCAGGTCTCTGCTGAAGGCCTTTCTTTTCAACCGCGCCTTTGGTCACCTTCCCCACCCCCCCCCCCAATCCCCCTCCCCCCGGCTCGGTCCCGGGATCCATTACCGTGAAGCGCTCTGAGAAGCCGTCCAGCGTGGAGGGCGCTATATAAATCCAAGTTGTTGTTGTTAACTCGTACCTTCTGGTCAGGAAGAGACCATGCTTACAATGGAAAACACATTAAACACTGGGGAATGGTAATCAAATTGAGGTGACCTCATAAAGCGCGAGAGCAAAGCTTGAATAATTTATAGCAATTATATGAAGGCTGAAATTAGATGATGGTTTTTAAATTATCCTCTCTTATCTGTTATTTAGAATAATGTTTGTGTGTGTGTGTATAAGAGATTGAGAGTGTGTGTGTAGGTGCATGCGTGCGTGTCGAATGGTCAGTTTCCGTGCTCGTATCACTCGCTACGTTAATACGCTCTATTTTGTGATACTTTAACACCGAAAATTTGAGCTTGAGATCATTGCGAGCGGTGTATTAAGAAATAATGGCTGCTCATTAACAGGAACTCTGCATTTCAGTATGTGTGGACCATTAATGTGTTTACTCATGCTTTTGCCACAATGTGCCCAAATTGCACACTTTCTCTTAAAAAAAAATTTAGCTTGTAGATTTCTTCGTGCATGTCTGCTTGTTAGCAAATGTAACGGCTTGTCTGTCTTCGGCTCTAACTGTCTGTGTAATATAGGCTAATTGTGTAGATATTGCAAAGAAAGACAAGCGTGCCAGCAGAAGATGGAGAACAAAAAGTGTCAGCAAAGATGGAAAAATGCAGCTTCAGGTACATGGTTCATCTTCATTGTGCTGTCAGCTTGTTAGACAAGACGTGGCAATGATTTATTTTGTTCCACAGGCTTCACTGTCTCTCATTTTTTGCTGTATTTTCATGAAATCGGTTTAGAAAATACTACTTGATGTGAAGATTTCTAGGTTTGTGAATTTGCACATTTACCCGGAAAAGTATAACTAAGGGGGAGGTTTAGACAGTATATGAACCTGTTATATAAAAATTATGAACCATGTTATATAAAAATTATTATCCCATCGCAATACAACATGAGGATCGGCTGATATACAGTCACTTGTATCGATTGTGCTGTGATGATAATATATGACGGTAAGACTGCATGACAGTGTTCATGCTCCATATCAAAGTCAACTTGTTCAAGTGAGTTCATCGAGCCACTATGAATTAATTCACCAATATTCCCCTCTTTGGATTCCCATCTATTTAGGTATAGGTCGATCTAATGGTCTCTCTTCATTTGTCAATGTTCTCCCTCTCCTGAACATACGCACTGACTCATCCTGGGAGTTGGTTTTGTGTCACGAGAACTGGTTGCCACCTATTACCTTGCGCCAAATGGCTTTCCTTTAGCCGAGACAGTAAACGGTGGCTGACAATATGACTGTGGAGGGCATCATAGCTGAGCTGTCCAGATTCCAGGCCATAATCCCCAGAGTCGAGGCATCCACCTGGCAAAGCTGGTGTATCTGCTGGTGTTTGAGACAAATTGTGGCTGCATGTGTGCCCAGAAGAATAAACTAATAAGTCTGGAATTGTTGGGCCAAGTCCCCAAGTTGTGGCATCTGGAGGAGGTGAGGAATTGTACTTGGCTTTATTGTGCTCGTCGTCTCCAAGAATGGTATGAGCTTTCTGTCCAGTGGAGTGAGTTTGGCTAAGTTTCTTTTGTATAGGTTCATATGTTTAGGATCCAAGTATTTGAATCCAGTCTGGAGTTAAGTACTTGGTGAATTTTAAGATGCCTTAATTTTAAGGTAGAATGCTGAGCTAACTGAATTCCTGAATTTTTACAAGATGTTTAGGAGGGCAGAGGTTTGGATTAGTAATTTAACTTTCAATGATTTATGCCTTGGAGGAGTGCTATGCATGTGTGTAAAATCGCTTTAAATCTCCTTGTTGACACTTGCAGGTTCCTTCTTGCGCTACTTTGTCCCCAGTTCGTTTGCACGCTTCAAATCCCAACCTATCTGCTGAAAATGAGGAAAACCCACCACAACCGAGTCCACCTGCTGATTCTCCTGACTCCAGTGCGGATTATACAAAACTTCAAGAGGAGTTTTGTCACATTGCACAAAAAGGTATTTGAACTCTTAGAACAGTCGTGTAAGTGCACCGGCTATTCAAAGGGCCATAAACAACATTCAGAGGAGTTCAGTTGAGAGAGTTCATTAACTTTCCATCAAAAGGAGCGAATCACTGTGGTTTAATCGTTGATGCTCCTTTGTATTGTCTCTGCATTGCAGTAAATTGAACTGCAATGAGAAATGCTGAATCTCCTGCTGCTGCTCCCAACATGGCTTTGTTTTTACTAATGCTACCTAGTCAGCTTATTGCAAATGAGTCTGTGGGTTGAAACAATTAAAGATCATCAACATGCGTGCGACGCAGAAGTATTTCGCTCGCCTTTGCTCGTTGAAAATCTTATGCATTTATTTGTTTTACAGTATAGCAAAGTATATAAAGACTTACATGTGTGCTAAAGCGATGATTAGATATACGTATTAGGTATGTACGTCTAACAAGATTAGTCAAAAGACATTGGCCTACATTTACTGAAAAGTTGCAGATTGCTCTTGTAGACGAATGTGGCAGCTTTTTGCACCATCAAGGTCATAAACACCAATGAGGTGAATGATCAATTAATCTTGAACGTTGTTGGCCAGGTCATTGAGAGATTTCTGCTATTGCATCGAATTGAATTTGGTTACTAATGGGATTACACCATTCACAAAGTCACTTGGCATAATGTCAACAGAATTTCACGCCAGAAATAATAATAATGATAATCCTTGCATTTGATACAGCGCTTTTCACGTCTTCTAGACGTCTCAAAGTGCTTCACAGAATATACTGTAAAGTGAATTGACTATATATTTGTGGGCGAAACATGGCAGCAAATTGCACACAGCAGTGTCCCACAAACGGTCGTGGATTGAAGTGACCAATTTTATCATTGTGTTTTTTTTCTTGGGGGATTATTATCAGGGGTGTGGAGTAAGGAAACTTGCCCAAGGTTTTGATCTGCTGAGAATCGAACCCAAGTCTTTCATTTGCGAGGCGAGTGCTCTAACCACTGAGCTACAGGATTCCTGAAATGGGGTGTTTGTGCACTAATATGTCACATGTTTATTCACAACCCACATAAAATGGCTAATACAAGGATAATTTGGGGATTTGTTTGCATTACACATGTTTATATTGTCTGTTTGGTCAGAATTTGACTGGATAGTAATTTTGTAAAATGGCTCTTAATTTTACGAATATAATTATGTAGCACAAGACATGAAAGTCTAAATAGGCTAGGGAGGCATAGTACCTTGATCACCCTACAGGCTGAGGAAGTAGAAAAACCATGATTGAAACCTTAGCGTAACTTGCACAAATGCAGTTGTCTGAGGAAAAAATTGTGGTACCCTATACTAGTTCGTGAGATTAGATGCATAAATTCTGTCATGAAAAATTATAATTAAAAGAGCATTGTAGAATGTTGGGCTTAGTTTTGTGTCGGAACAGGATTTGATCAAAGCATGAGATTCTCCAACTCATTGAATATGTACATTCATTTTAGACTTTCAGTAGAGGTTCACGTCAAAACTGTTTCCAAGCTGAGCAGTTTTTGATCTGCTAAATCAGAGATGGCCAACATGGATAAAATAGTCATGTGAAAATAGCTGCAAGTTGCGCTCAATTATGTTTGAAAAATATGAGCTTTTATCGTAGCTCTCTGACTTTCTGAAGGAATATAATTTATCAGTCCTGACACATAGCCTTACCAATGAGGATTGGGTATCACAAACTGATCTTTGTTATATTTCCAATGGTAGCAATAAAAATGTATTTATACTTTAAGTGACGCTGATTTAAAGAGAAATTTAGACTTGTTATAATTTTTTCATCAAAAGTTGCTTGACGAGGGTAAATTTTGATGAAAACAGTAGGATACAAATGGTTGTTTTAATGCGTAAAGAGATGTGCAGTGTTACATGCTTCACTGTTGGTGTTAATTTTCTGCTGCTTTCTTTTCACAGTTCACTGTCTCTTAAAGGCTGCTTCAACACCGTAGCGATAGAGAGGGAAAAACTGAAGCAATTGTTGTCAGAGCAAGAACATCCAGGCCACAATGCTCAACTCCTCAGCCTCAGGAGAACCCTTTCCCAGGTACTGTATATACACTCCAGGTGTTATATGGAGAGCTGGGAGTGACATGGATGTTGGTGTTGGAGATACGGTGATACTTGCATCTTTATTGGAAAACAAAATATCAAAACATAATCCATTTCTTAAATTTATTGAAATTATACTATACAGTTCAACGGTAACTCAGTGGGACAGCAGTTCCCAGTCTACACAAATGACTCTGTTATTTTTTTAAAATGAAGTAAGTCTTGATCTTCTCTTTTTGTGAGTGTTCTACCCTAGATAAGCCTCTGATCACTCTTCCACATGTGTGTACCTCTCATTCAGAGTCTTTGAGCCTAGTTTGTGGCAAGTTCACCATGTAACATTGATTCAGTCAGGAAACTAAAAGAGCATTGAGGTCCTTAGGTGGGAAGGTCTTTGGAAAAGGCTAAATGAGAATTAAGATTTTTTTTAACAAGAATCAAATTAATTTCGAGCGCACAGAGTTGAGTGTACATTATTGTATTTGCAATATATGAGGCTCTGGAAACAGAACTCTTTAGTTCTGTATATTAGCGGAAGAAAACTGCTGAAACCACCAGAGTGGTTGATGATTTGATATAGAAAGGAATATTGATTGAAATGTTCAATTTAATAGGCTTAATTTGCAAGCCAAGGATACCAGTGATGAGTTTGTCAGTGTTGTTTGATGGAAGCAATGTTATTTAAAACAAAAATGACTGAACTGCTTAAATATAATTGGCTATAGTTGGAGTAGTGAACATAGAAGGTCCAATTGTATTATGTATTAGCTGTACTGTTGCAGCGACGCTTGCAATCAAAGGATCCAATATGGAATGTAGACTTCAGTGATAGCACTCACAAGCCATTTGACATGCCATAAACACTGTGTGTACACCTTAATCAAAACCATATATTTGTGATGAGCATGTTTAGGTCATAGCTCAACCTAAGAAATACCCCCCAAAAAATATGCCCATGACACTCCTTCATGCAAGACCTTTCCAATGACGTATAAATCATGTCTCTACGTCAATCGGTTATTGAGTTCTTAGTGGACACATAGACATTACGTCTTTATTAGTATAGATATGAGTGTGGTTAAAACTGGGAAAGTCTGAATGATTAAACTGTGTATGACTTGCTATAATTTTTATAGACTAATAATACATTTGTGTAGTGCCTATCTCGAAGGACGAGAAATGGTCCACTTGCCAAGATCTTTTGATCAGACTCACAAATGTTTACAGGATCTAATGTGTGAAGATTTGTAAATATAGAATCCTGCAGGTATCTGTCTGTGCACATAAAAGAACCGACCCGCCAGAAAGTGCTCAATTGCTGACCTTATCTCTGACTTTTCGTGAAGTTGGGAAATTTCGCAAAGAAACACAGTAAGAATAAGGCAGGTCCAAGCAGATTTCTGGCAAGTCATTCTGAAACACATACAGGTATTTACAAATACTTCATCCGTAAATGATAGAAGCCCTTTACAATTGGATCAAAAAACAATGGACACGATTAGGTTACCAAAAGTGGAACAATTTTAAGCATATCTCCTTGGAGATAGATAATACACTTATTACTGTCTTTTGGGCTTACCATTGTAGTACCTATTGTATATCTGAGCCACCCGGAAAGATAGTTGAGAATTGGAGAAAACGTGATTCATTTATTCCTAAATAATTTGGCTTCTATGCTGCAATTTTTAAAAAATGCTCTATCGGATTTAAAATTGACTAACTAAAATAAATATTCTATCGTAATCATGCTATTGTGCAGAGATTCAGACGCTAGTTAATCAGTTTTGAATCTCTGACGTAACGATTCAAAAAAAAAATGGAATACAGGAGCCAGAATATTTAGAATTAAGTAAATCAAGTTTTCTCCAATTGCGAGTCCCGTATTGCCATCATTGTGCCAAGAATTAATTTACTCAGCAGTGTGTTGTGTGGTGGTATTAAACAATTAATGAGCCGATCCATAGACTGTAATAATGAATTAATGATTAATTTGTAGTTGCATATTAGATCTTTGGTGGTATATGAGCACCAGATCTGTTATCTTGTGTTGTACTACTAATGTGGGAGAGAAGCTCTTAGATGGTTTCCATTTGGAAGCAAACAGAAATTGAGCCACACCAATGTGCAAATTGTTTAGTTAGCCATAGTAAGATACTCAAAGTCACTCCAAAAAGCTCTTGTGTCATAACACAGAAAAAGATTTTCAATTTTGTAATGTTAACAAAGTGGAACTTGTACATGTGTTTTTTTCAGAATATTATTGAAATATGTATTCACAATTTCAGGCAGGAGTAAATCATCAGTCTATTCCTCGTTTGGCTTTGATTTATCAGTTTTTGAATCCTTTTAGTTGAGAGGATCTTATCTAGTTTCATTATTGAAAACTATTTGTTGTGCGCAATTGGCTGCCGCGTTTCACCCACAAAATATACAGTCAATTTACCTTACAGTGTATTTTGTGAAGCACTTTGGGACGTCTCGAAGATGTGATAAAGTACTATATCAAATGCAAGGATTACGATTATTACCACCTGTCCTAGTAGTTTGTTCCACACGTCTATCACCCAAATACAAGGATTATATATCACGTTTAGGTTGGACACGTTTTCACCTTTGTACTTCGATTCTCACAGACCTTAGAGTTTGAGATATTTAATATTCAATCTGATCATTAGTTCGAAACAACAAAGAAATCTAAATAATTGGCTTCTTCCAATTCCTAGTACACTATATTCATAACCACTGCTGTTCTGAACTACTGTATCAGTACCTTGATTATGGAACTTGTACAATCATATTTGTGTGTTTAGTACTTTTACATAGTAACAGTTTGAGGCAGGAATAAACCATATAGCCTAACTGATTTACTTTACAAACTATATAACCATGACATGGAATTCAATGATTTTTAAATCAGTTGTCATTCAAACAATAGATTTATTTGAGCGAAAGAGAAATTTTCCTGTGAGATACAGCACCACTTAACAGTTAACAAATCTGCCCACTTTGGTGGAAAATGATTCTTGTTGCTGTGTCCCGTTGTAAAAGTATGCTAATATCACTCCACTTGGTGTCAAGGGGAATGTTACTACCTTTAGTTACGTGAGATCAGAAACGGAGATACAATAACTTATTCCTGGATTTCCAATTCAGATAATTCAATATGATCGAGTTTTAATGAGACTTGAAGGTTTAATATGTATTGCCCAGAATTGATCAAATCATTATTGTAGCTTTTCAGTGAAATTGCTGCTTCACACACCAATGACCAATAATTCGGGTTGAAGGCTAAACATACGGTGCAGAAGAAATCATTTTCTATTGCAACTAATTTATTATTTGCTCCGCTCTGCAAGAACACTGTGATTTTACGCCCGGAACTGAATCCCAATCTGCTCTGCCGCCAGAACAATTGCTCTGGCTTAAAAGCGAGGGCATCCATTTATAGTTATTTTATTTCAGGTAGTAAAGGCATCTCTATAATTCCATTCATTTTGACTGGCAGCGTTGAGTAAATTCTCTCCATTGCGGAATCTTACAGCTCGCACCGATTTAAATCTGCTCCTGTTTTTTTTCTCTGCTGTTGAGTTTTGAACGCTGAAATCCACATCTGACGAGACCCACACATTTCCATTCTCCATCGAAAACATGCTGAAGGCATTACAGTACACACTGTTCCCTACACCTACTAAAATCTTCCACTTAAAATGCCCATGAGGCTATGAATGCCAGTTGTGTTCGTTTGCCATTGATGGTGGGAGCCATTGCAGCAAAGTTCAAACTTTCTTTCATTTTTTTAACTTGGCAATCCTGAATTCAATTGTATTACTCCCAGTGACCAGAGCCTGCGACTGTAGAACTTTACCAGCACAGAAGAATATTACATTCAATCTCACTTCCCTAGTTTCTCTCACAAGCGTTTTCTGGGAAGTACTGTTAAGAATTCCCGTAAACTACAACTTCAGAAAGTTGATTGCTGACTTATTTTTTTCTATATTTTTTTAGTCTACATTTTATTTTATTCCAGAGAATTTTTTCAGTCGAGAATAATGTGATTTATTTTAGGCCTTGAACCAGAATGCTGAGCTAAGGAGCCGTCTGAATAGAATTCATTCCGAATCTATCCTCTCTGATCAGGTTGTCAGTGTAAACATTATCACGAGCCCAGATGAGGTAAGATTGTGACTCGTCGTACAGCAGTATGTCCTTAATCATTTTTAACAGAAATATGTTATTCCCTCTGTAAATACAAATCTACCAGATGAAGAGAAGCCAAGTGATTGTTCTGCTTTAACTGTTGATGTGAAAGGTTTGTGAAATCTGAATTGTGAGGCCCTGGTTACTTTTATCAACAATGATCCCTGTTATTTGAGAGTAGTTCTGCTGTTAGCATTGCGTGTTATGAAATCTATACTGACTTTGAAAGTTAAAGCTTATATCTGCTCCTTCTAGCATAGTTGTTGGCATCTTGTTAGCACGTTGCGTTTGGCTTCTGTAACTGTTCATTTTCTAAATCTCAAGGTTCGATTTCATAATTATTTCCGTTGCCTTCAAGGTTTCTTTGTGTGCTAATGGGGGGAAAAAAAGCTATGTTGTATAACTTTAATCCACTGTCACTTTGAACTGAGACACAATAGAAGAGATATTTTGGAGCCAAAAAATAATGGTTACATTTTCAATGAGAGGTTTCATGAGCATTTTCTGAAACTATGAAAAAAACATACAGCCTCCAATTTTTCTAATCAGTCACTTACTGCCAATTATAATGTTGTCATTCAGGTGTTGAATGCATCTGGCAGTGTTAACACGACTGCAGTCATTTTGGGGGTAGGTTTAATGCAGCAATAAATGATTAACATGAGGGAAATTAAACATCATTTGATGCCAATTATTAGGGTCAGGTCCAATTAACTTAAGTAGCTCTGCATAATCTGATCATTTTAAAAGACATGAGAACAACTCTGAGTCACATTTGGTCCATGTTCCTACATCTTTGACGCAAGTTACAGCAGCAATTGTGCAGTCTTGAAGAGTAGACCGTTCAGGAGAAGAGCATAGGAAGAGGCCAGCAAAGAGAAGGATTTACCACTTTGAAAAGTACTAAAGTACCATAATAGACAATTTTGCTATCTTGGAGAAGTATATTCCTGGTTTTAATTTCACTGAGGAGGTAATTTTTGTAGGAAATACACAGTCACCAGGTTTTACAGCATAGGTGTGAAGTGTCCTCTCAATGTGAAAGGTGCTACATCAAATCTAAGGTATTATTATTGTTTCAGCTGTTCAAATGCCGGCTAAAGATATCAGGGGATCCTTTATTATAATAATAATAATAATAATCCTTGCATTTGATATAGCGCTTTTCACGTCGGGAGGACGTCCCAAAGCGCTTCACAGAACACACTGTAAAGTGAATTGACTGTATATTTGTGGGCAAACGCGGCAGCCAATTGCGCACAGTAATGTCCCACAAACAGTCGTAGATTGAAAATGACCAATTTATTATTGTTATTGGTTTTGGAGGGATTATTATTAGGCTCTGTGTGGAGTAAGGAAACTTGCCCAAGGTTTCGCCCTCTGCCTGGAATTGAACTCAGGTCTCTCACTTGCAAAGCGAGTGCTCTAACCACTGAGCTACAGGACTGACTGTGCCTATCAACCAGAAAGCCATTCAGTTTCTGGTGGTGGGTGATGTTCAGTAAAAATGACTGTCCAATAATTCATTTCTTGAACCGGGCTTTATTTAAATGGAATAACAAACAGCAAGCCTGCTTTCTGAAGGACGTGGCTATTCTGGAGCTGCTTAAGACAGACATCAATCTGTCTGAGACCAGCCTGAAGGTCATCTGTTTGTAATATGAATTTTTTAGTCACTACAGACTCTAAAGTTGGCAGCAAGTCTATACTCATTTATTCTAGTGTGTAGAGCTGGCAGTGTAGTGAAGGGGAAAAGGTGGCAGCACCACTGAATTTGATGCTTTCACACACCAACAGGCGTGACCGGAGGGCAGTGTGTATGGCCACACCCGACATTAGCTAACGGTATATCTACTGCAACAACAACTTGCATTTATATAGCGCCCTTCACGCCGGGTAAGGTTCGGGAGTGCTTAACAGTGGCGGAGTTTGACAACAAGCCAGGAGGAGAGGGAATGGGAAGGTGACCGTAATCATGAACAAAAAAGATCTGAGTTACACATCTGAGTTGAACCTGGGAGTAAACTAAGCAGAGGCTTTACCAACAGAGCAATCAATTCACCAGTAATTCAGCTCCGAACCACACTTCAATCCAAAAAAGGTTTAATGCCTCAAGTGTTAATGGAACCTGGTGCATGCATACACGATTCTAAGCGCTCCGAGAGACTATCCCGCGTGAAGGGCAAGTTGTTGTTGTTGCTTGCTATTCTAAAACAAATTCCCAATTTATTTTTGATTTTAAATCCTGCAAAATATTTTGTCAGTTATGCCCCATCATTGAATAAAATCTGAATGAATGAAGGTTACTGTTAGCTTCTGTGAACTAATGCATAGCGCTGAAGCCAATCACTCGAAACTTACAGTTTAATCAAAATATTGCAATGTTTTATTAAGCTATTTCTGTCTAAAAGTGGAAATGGTTGTTTCGGAAGTGCCAACATAAAATACTGGGGCCAGCTTTTCTATTAAAGCTAAAAATACATTTCTCAGGTTAAAATGCCAGAAGCATATTGATGTTAAATTGGTTCAGGGACTGAACACAAAGCAACCTGTGGGCTACAGGTTTGATATAACCGCTCTACGGTTTTCTGTCAAGGTACAGTTTATGTAATGAAAAATTATGCAATTACACAGGATTGGTAAGCAACACTACATTTAGCTATAAAGAATCATCAATTGTCAAACATGTACAGAGTGTTGTGCTGTCATACTAAAGAGCCCATGGAGACCTATTCTAGGACAGCAAATGAAATAAACCGATTGCCAGAATGCAGATGACCCATTTGTACCTATCCTGGCTGAACGCATCAGTCATATTCACTGTAGATAGTAAAAATAGTCATTAAAATTCATTGTCGTAAACGGGTTAATGACAAAAGTAAAGATTAGCATTGACCAAAAGGCAGGTCATTTCATTCTGATTCAAACAGTAAATCTGTTCAGAGTGTGAGATCTCAGTTGTATTCTAATATGCAGAATTGTTATCTAATTGAGGACCCTGTGAGCACCTTAGGCTTATGTTATCCCGTGGTGCTAACTTGCCGGATCAATTTCAATCAATGGAACTGAAAGTGGATGCAGTGATTTCACGGATTTCTGAATCCACCCACTGTGACACATTGCAGTACAGTTTATGCATAGTGATGAAATCCTGTGTGTTTTTTCACATTAAAAGGATCCCTGCCCACTTGTATAAAGACATGCTGGTTTGCTGAATGTTTGTTGAGTCTCAATAGCTTCTCAGGAGTGAATCTTTTGCCCTGTGGGATCATTGCTACAGAAGCTGCTGTGCTTCTCTGGTGGTCTTTGTATAAGGAAGGATTTGCAGAACAACACAGCGAGCCTAACATAGCGACAGCTGCATCTGACTCGTTCCGATTCATTTTATAATATACTTTACAGTCCATTTAAATCTCACACGGGGTTGGTAAACACAAAGTAGAAGTGCCCAGAGAAGAGACTATCGAAGCTATGTCCTGGAGCAAAAATGTGGGTTGTACATTACACGTGTTATGTTACAAGAAATGTTACGGAGTTTAGAACTTTTTTAGACATAACTTCAATTATTTTGGTTCCTAAAATGAATGGCTTTCAAATTTCATGAATTTAATATCACACTTTTACATTCTTTCCCCTTCCACCCAATTCTCTTCAGCCTAATGACAAGATTCATGTCAATATCCCACTGTCCCAGCAAGTCTCTAATGAGAGCAGGCTCTCCATGTCGGAATCGGTGTCGGAATTTTTTGATGCTCAAGAAGTGCTTTTGTCAGCAAGCTCTTCAGAAAACGAGGTAAGAGACATTGAGGACAACTCCATCGCAACAGTTTGGAGCAGACAGGAACTAATGGTGAAACAGGTTGTTAGAATTGTTGGTTTTATCAAGGATCTAAACTATGCACATTTCTAAGAAGAGGTTTAAAAGAAATTGTTAAATATTATTGAAGAAAAATATATTCACATCACACATGCACACATTTAAGTGCTCCAGGATGCTACCCTTCGTAAAGGGCGCTATATAAGTGCTATATAAGTAGCTGTTATTGAAGACATAGGCAGGATTTCCTTGGAAGGAGACATATGTTTGAGAATCTAGAGCTAAGATATAATAACACTCTTCTGTATTCCTTTTCTCTGCCAGGGATCGGATGATGAATCATATGTTAGTGATGTCAGTGACAATATTTCAGAGGACAATGCCAGTGTGGCAGACACTATTTCTCGACAAGGTATGAGCCCCAGATTTACACTTTTTTGCAAGAAATTATTTACGACGTGCTTTCTCGATAGTTTCGAGTTTGCCAAGAAGCAAGCCTGGAAGTGTTATTTTAATAACTGCAAAGTGCCAAAGTGTGTTACCAGCATACGGTATAGATTGGCTCAATTGTGTTTCAAGGTGGCAAACTCTCAAAGGGTTCAGATGTGTCATAAGCAAATTTATCATTATTATGTTAGGCCTGGAGATCTGCAATGTCCTTGAAACACACTCTTAACAATGTACAATTCTTTCTATTATGCAGTAAGCATTCATTGGCCTTATTATTTCCCTCCTTCCCCATTTTGGTGATTTTTTTTCAGGGAAGTTGATGTCAGTTGCGTAGTCAGCTACCCCTTTATTCACTCCCCTCCTCACCCCATCCTCCTGCAGTACCACTTCTGACTGAGATCAGCTAACACAAGCATTGGAAACCAAACCTGGGGCCTTCGTGTTCTATGCAGCTCAGTTCTGCTCTCACACATCTGATCTCACACAAGATCAGATATAAATAGTAATATCTGTCTTTCAAATGCATCGGCTGAAGATGGTTTAAGTGTCTTGTAATGTTATTTATGCTGCTGTTTTTGCTAATTGAGTCTATAGGCTAGGAATTAAATATATGTGCAACATAAAAAGTAAGTACCGAATGATGTTTGATTCTCGAATTTATAAACGTAATATTGTTGACATGCATAATTCTAGGACGTGGAGGAAAATCCGTGCTTAATCTCTTACTGTTACAGTACCTAACGGCGAACTCATCGGAGGCGCATTTAGAAATGGCAGACGCACGTCTCTGCCTGCACCTTCACCTGACACCAGCAGTATCAATCTGTGGAACATCTTGAGGAATAACATCGGCAAAGACTTGTCCAAAGTCTCCATGCCTGTGGAGCTGAATGAACCCCTCAATACTCTGCAACATCTTTGCGAAGAATTGGAATACTCTGAATTGTTGGACAAGGCTGCTGAAACAGATGACCCATACGACCGGATGGTAAGTTACAATTGGATTTGTCCCGTCTCTTATTTTACTATTGCGGGAGAGAATAAATTGCATTGATACATTCCCAGTGAATGACCTAAGAGGTCTTTAGCTTATCGTGGCCCGTATGACGTTTCTGGAAAGTTCGCCTGAAATCCTGCAATCTGATTTGTGCTAAATACTTGAGATGACAAATGTTTGTAATGTTGATTTATTTTGTTAGTTATTGCATTTTTATTAGTTATATATTGCCACCTTCATTATTTCCTTCATCTCCAGGTTCTGCTTGCTGCGTTTGCAGTGTCAGGATACGCTTCTACATATTACAGAGCTACGTTTAAGCCTTTTAACCCAGTGCTTGGGGAGACGTATGAATGTATTAGGGAAGACAAGGGATTCAGGTTTTTTTCAGAGCAGGTATGTATGATTGCTATACAAGTCCAAGGTGAATATTTTATCTTTCAAAGAGAACTCCATCCAACCTTTGTTGTTGAGCTGCTTTTCGCTACAGACATGCAAACAGCCAGGTTCTCAATTTCACCTTGAAATATGAGTGAGGAAAAATATTCTGCAACTGTTGTTTTCCTCCCAATTTTTTTTCTTCTCGATTTTATTCTTTCATCCTGACTTATTATTTTAGCAGCTGTTGCATTTTCATGTCTTTTTGCCCCTTCATTGTTTACCTGTTAAAAATGTTGGTGAAGCTGACAGGCGGGTGTTGTTTACAGTTTGTCTGTCCAAATGAGTGAAGTTGTTGGTATGAGAAACTCCATGAAGCATGGTTTTGGAAGCTCAGACAGCATAGCATTGCCATCTGTTAAATCTGTTGTGCCATCAAATTATTTCCAGTTTCTAGATGTTACTATTTATATTTCCTGTACAGTTTTAGGACAGTAAATGTTCCAGGTTCAAAGACAAACAACTCCTTATTGTACTTACTAATTGATGGAGCCCATGTATTGTACTTACCACACTGCAAATCTGCTAAAACTTACACCCAATCAACATGAAAATCGATCCCAGTGCAAATCGACCTTGAGACCTTTTGGGTCCCAATGGCTGAGATTACATCGATGTTTCTCCAGCTCATCGATTCACGTCATTACAGTACAAATATAGGCAGCGTAAATCAATCTGGCCTGCACTCAATGAAGCTTCCTTAAAGCCAATAAAACCATCAGGAGTTGTTTTTAATGTGTTAAAAATGAGTCGACCCTTTGATAATGTCACAAAGCAACTCTGGTTGGCAGAGCATGTGCAGAGCTCTCTCGCACAGCGAAAGAGGTTTTGGAGCTGGAAGTATAAATTTCACTTTCTAATCCAAAATGCTCTAGACTTGGAAGCAATGTAACATTGCTGTACAAAACAGGCCAGAGATAATTCAATACTTGTTTCATTTTATACAGCAAGTTTTAAGGAATTTATATTTTGCACCACTCCATCGTTTGTCACTGAAGTGCTTAGCAAACTGGTACTTTGATGCCTTTTTCTCTATTTCCAATTTCCAGGTCAGCCACCATCCACCGATTTCTGCCTGTCACTGCGAATCCAAGAAATTTATTTTTTGGCAAGGTAATGCATCTAGTTTTACTCATTTTACAGTAAGTCAGGCTTGATATTCAGCAGATTTGATTCAGATGTGAAGTGGCGGAACTCAACCAGAATAACTCAAAACTACTATTGAAAACCTGTTAGAAAAAATGAGTTTTTAAACGTAGTAAAGCTTCAGTGTACAGTTGGATAAACTGAGAGTCCTTTATCTAATATTCGATTCTTCTACACAGTTTATGCAGATTTAATGTGATTTCAAGTTGAGGCAACACAAATTTATGCTGTATGTGCAGGTTAACAAGTGTCATGCAGAGAAGCAAATGGGAGGTAGTCTCACGGATGGGGAGTGAACAATGCAAAGTGAACATTTGAATTTTAAATTTATGAAGCTCCTTGATGCTGCACTGGATTGCTCTGCAGATTTTATTTTAACATTATGCAAAAGCTTGAGTTAAACCCCTGGCTCCTCAATGAAGCTAAGCAATAAGTGGCATTTGGTGCTGGTGAACAGGGTGTTGCCCTCATACAGAGCTCTACTTCAATTACATTCAACCCAAGCCAGCAACATTAAAGCAGCTTACAAGCTCGTATTACTGCAGCCAGCCGCAGCAATGGGATAGAACAAGGTATTTTAGCCTGTTTAGTTTGCATTAGTACATACAAGAATTTGCTCAGCGAACGAAGACCAAGTTCGCCTTCCACCATCCTGGCAGTCGCTTGACATGTCGTGTCCCAAACTATATACTGTATCCCGAGATATTATTTTCTAGCAGAAATCTATCTAATTTGTTCTTGAAACAAATGACATTGTCTGCCATAACTATTCACACATCATTGTGTCTGTTAATAATGAATCCCATTTGGCTTTCTCCTCATGTACTTGTTAGGCTTGGAGATGAAGTATTCTTGTGTGCTGCAAAATTGATCTGCAGTGATAGCCATTGATCAGAAGACGTCTGCTTTCCATTCTAACTGTTATCACATTTCCTGTTGCTTTTAGATATCAGATGGAAGAACAAATTTTGGGGAAAATCCATGGAAATACTTCCAGTAGGAAGAGTGAATGTCACACTTCCTAAGTGAGATTAAATGTTGATTTGCTTTTGTTTGCTTTTGAATCCTCAATCGTGTAACACCTGCAGCAAACTGGATTAAAATGTTTAGCACCCTCTCAGTCAAAATGGCACAGCACTGAACCAAATGTTGATCTCTGCCAGTTGATAATGTAGACTTCTTGGAAATTTTCTTGCAGAATCCATTTATAAAACCAGATTTCAGTACACACGTACTCTGTCCATCTGTTCTCACTGCACACAACTCCCAGACACCACGTGTTTGTCTCACTAACAAGCAGCAAGGTAGCAAGAGAAGGAAATTTGTGCTTCTCTTGGCTCCAAATGGAATCTTCCTGTATAATATATCAGCTTTTATACCAGGGCATTTCACACCCACTTGGCTATTAGCAATTTACATCTCAAATAATCTGTGTTACCAAATTACCATAGATTGTTGTATGGTGACAAAATATTGCAGGAGCAGAAATAATTAATTTGCATTAATGTTCTAGATACGGCGACCAATTTGAATGGAATAAAGTCACCACCTGTATACACAATATCCTTAGTGGGAGGCGCTGGATAGAACACTATGGAGAAATCGCCATCAGAAACACGAAGAACAATGCATGCATTTGTAAACTGAGCTTCATTAAGGTAAGTGAAAATGCACTCGCGCGTGTTTTAGGAACACGTTCTTAGATTCATAATGTTGATTATTTATAAAAGTAATTGTGCCGTTCTCTGGAACTTCTCTTAACGAGTATTTAACAACATATTTAACAGCCTATAGAAAATCTAAATCAATAATGTGATTAGAAACAGATTCCTCATTCCAAACTAGAATATAAAGAACGTGTAAATAGTTAAATACACAGTCATTCCTCCTGTGATATATTTGCCCAGGGAACATACTGGAGTTCAAATGTAAATGAGGTTCAAGGGTTTGTGATGGATCAGGAAGGAAAGGTGGTCCGACGGCTGTTTGGCAAGTGGCATGAGGGACTTTACTGTGGAGTTGCACCTTCAGCCAAGTGCATATGGAGACCAGGTAAGATTACTGCTAATAAATTGTTCCATTTCAGAGTGTGCACTCCGGGACTAACCCGTGTGAAGGGCGCTATATACCTGCAAGTTATTGTTGTTGCACTTTAATCACACTCATCAACTGAATAACTTTAGCTGATTATATATTTTTTGATGTTTTGCTGCAATATATTTTATTATGCAAATTGTAGTTACCTTGCTTTAGATTCTGTCTTTAAAATGCGTATGATGTAGACAGTACATGACCCAGAATGTGAGGGGAAAGCTGGAGGGTGTAAGCTTCAAATGAACAAGCCTCAAGTAAGACGGCAGATCAGAAGATGTTTTTTCTCCCCATGCGCAAAAGAACAGTTCACGTTGTTTGAATTAATACCTTAAAAAAAATTCTGTTTTAGTTAGGAACAGAATTGGAGGATATACAAATAGAGCAAAAGTTAATGCTTTCATTGTGAAGCACTAGTGACTAAATAATAAGCAAATAAAACGTCTGCTGTTACTGGGCCTTCGCTTGTGATCTTTTCATGTTCTGTTCAGTGTTTCTGTGCGCTCATTGCACCAATCAATATAATTAACTCCTTTGGGGACTAGTTATAATCCAGATGATGTGTTGACTTTGCATTGTTTTATAGATCCATCCATTTCATTGTATGTTTTATTTTGTCTACATCTAACTATCTACCGTTTAAAACTCCACAGGTTCCATGCCAACAGATTACGAGATGTATTATGGTTTCACAAGGTTTGCAATTGAGCTGAATGAATTGGATCCAGTCTTGAAGGAACTCCTCCCACCAACAGATGCCAGATTTAGACCTGATCAGAGGTAAAGGATTAAGTAACAACCTAAACTAAATACTGCCATATCCGTTTGCTCAGGAAAGATAGAGTTGTATTTTTAGTTCATGCCCTAATGAGAGTCAAAGGGTTAAACTTCTACTTTGTTCATTTCTGATTACCAACCACTTCTGGCTTAGAGGGAGGATAGGCAACTGATTTAGACGTTTGACAGTGCTAAAATTAGTCCTATAACCTGTTCGAGTTAATATTTGCATTTGATATTCACAGAAGCAAAGACTGAATGATCTAAGCTTTTCTTCTCTTCATGCAAAATTTAAAGCATTGACCAAGTGCATCACTGTGACTGGAGAAATCTTTTTTTGGAGCAAATCTTTACTGAATGGAAGTTGCGCCTTAGGGTGTCCAGCCAACGCAAAAGGCACTTTATAAATCCGCATTTGTATTGTAATTATTTTGGGGGCAACAAGTGGAACAATATTGCTCGAAAGATTCTCACGCAGTGGATCAGTTCCAAGTACAGCTGATCTCAAGGATCATAGAGGACAGTCAGGGGAAATATTCCTGCTGGAATGGAAGGGAAAGATCACAAGTCTTGAGGGTGAAAAATCTTGTGGAATGACCCTGATTTAGTTGGTGAGATGAGACCCTAAGCTGTTTTGTGAGGTGCAACGGGTGAAAGTAACGTATTGATGTGTTCCCTAAAAATCCAAATATGTTTGGCTACAGATATTTTTCATCGTGCATAAAGTTTGCTAATTTGTTTTCATTAATTTTTTTTCAATAATTGTTTTTCTATTCCTGCAAATGACGACATGAAAAACGTAATAGTCATAGCTTCCGCTTGTGATGAAGTCATGTTCCTAGCTCTGCCCCCTCATTCAGGCTTGTGTAACCTCAGCCACACAGCAGACTGATCTCTTTGTTATATTAAAAAAAAGTTTATTTACAAAGGTTTGTTTCTCTGAACGCAAATCACAGAAACAGCTAAACCAACCAACGTAGCCAAATACGTTCCATTAAACAGCAACAAAATTCCATTAAATGCTACGAGTACCAATTTATAAATTGTCCTTGTACTAAATCCATTTGAACACAAGGCAGGAAATTCAGCAGTCATGTTATCGATCCACGAGGTCTGGCTTTCTCCTTTCCCACAGCTCGGGTTGGTCATGGGGAGAGGGGAAGTGGAGGGCTCAGGGAGAGACAGACACCAACGAAAACACAACCCTACTCCCTCAACAAATGATATCAGCGAGAAAGACTAAAAAAAAAGTTCTTATGTGCCACGTGAACATCAATGTGCCTTCAAAGGACACACAATCAGACAACCTGAGGGGGAGAGTGGAGAAGATGTAGAGTCCTGGTAATAATGTATAAAACGGGAAAGATGATGGTTGAGGGGTGGATATCAACAGGCAGTAGAAGGCCAAAGTGAGTGCGGTTCCCGATGGTGAGATCTCATCTGTCTATTAATCCCGGCTGAATGCAAGTGTCAGTTCTGAAGCAAAGCTTGAGTCATGATTTCTGGTTATCAGATACTTGGAAGAAGGAACCACTGAAAGTGCAGCATCTGAGAAGCGTAGAATAGAGGAATTACAGCGAGAGCGGAAGAGATGTATGGAAGAAAATAATATTATTCACCAGCCACGATTTTTCAAGTGAGTAGCATTCGGCATACGAATGGTTTGGCCTCTTCCGTTTTAGGAAGAATTTGCAGTAACTAGAGCAATAGTGTCTTGTCTAGCAATTTATGAAAAGCTTCAATTGACAAATCTTTTCTCTCTACTAAAGCGACTTAAAACGCTGTGCAGACAAACGGTGGCAGTGACTATTTGTAAGTGAACAAACATTCACCTCCAAATGTCACTGTATTGTAGATCGTGTGAAGTGCTTTGAGACGTTTGACAATGCGATGAGATGCTCTATCAAACGTCAGGATTATTATTTTCATTTAATATGCAGGAAAGTATCTGAGGGGAACCAAAGAGAATCATGGGTGAGCAACGGAAACTACTGGGAACTACGAAAGGATCCTGGATTCAGTAAATTAGAAAGTTCAACACTCTGGTAATTGATTATGAAGGAAAACTAACATTCTTCAGAAAGAAAATATTAACTATGCATAAAGTTTGCTATTTGATATAGCTTATTGCGGTCATGAGGTTCAGCAGGTCATCTCGAATGCTAAGTATGTCTGTAATAATGGACATCTATTGTATGTTTGATCATGACCCAAAACACTGTTGGTTATAACTTTTGTTTTACACTAAAGCTGTGAATTTTTGGTAAACCAAAAGTGTCATTTAAAGGGAATGCACAATGACTAGGAAAGGCTGTGTAACAGCCATGTATTTATAAAGCATATTCGTCTTAAAGAAGCATTTATTACGGTTTGTCAAGCTATTTCTTTGCTAAAGCTTTTCATCTTCGTTCTTCACGCATTAAAATAGTAAATTCTTTCCTTTGGAATCTACATAGGTCAAACCACTTTACAAATAGTGTAATGTACCATATCAAAGATTAATGTGCCTCGAGTACAAAAGAATAATTAGGTCACTGGTCATCATTTATTCATGGTCTAAAACATATCATGAAGCATTTGTAATTGCTTTCTTCTACCATTACTTTGGTGGTCCTATATTTGTGTTCAGTGTCATCATTTGAGTTTGTGTCTAGTATTTATCAGCAATATATGCACTATTTGATGCTAAAAATGTGTTTTTTTTATATCCAACATGTATGCACAAACAGGGAAAAAAAGGCACATCAATTAGCAGAACAGTTAAGTACATCAGTTATTTAGGAATTGATTTCAGTCAATTGTTTGTAGTTTTATGTCAGCCCGTTCAGTCTTGGAGCCCAGATTGAAGTTAGTTCAGTAGAAATTGGTTATTGAACATTCATTTAAAGGGAACATCTGCACAGAGACAAATTCATTTCCCATTGACGGTTGATGTAACACTACAGTTGGATAAATGGATTGTGTTGCTCCGCACAGGAGATGCTCCCATTAAGAAGCGTTTGTATGTTCTTGTGAAGGTAATCAAACTGAAACATTATTAGCTGTTTAAACTTCATGAAAGTTTTTTAAAAAAATTTAAAAATTTGTTTCCATTCATTTTTTTTTAAAGTAGAAGATCTTTTCTGGATCTCTGATTGCTAATGTTTCTTTCACCGGTGTAAATCATTACTGTTTTACTATTTCACGAGCGCAGCAGCATCTATTTTATCCTTAGCATTAGATTCCAAATAACCGTCCAGTGAAATATTAGGCTCTTTTACATATCAGGATATATATTCACACGCCGAGCTGCCCAAAAATCAATTGGAATCTTTTCCTCATGTGAAGTTCATGAACTTGTTAATCTTAAAATGCAACAAAATTATGCGAGAACAGTAGTTAATCTTTTTATATTTAATAATAGCCTATACAGACAACTAGCTGATTTATTTTGTTTAAAAAAAACTTATTTAGCTTACTCTTTATAATGGAATAATGCAGAATTTATGCTGGCAGAATGCATTTAGATTCTCCAAATGTTGCTGTTTCCCCCCCCATGCCGGAAAGTTACAAGAAAGACAAACCAGTCCAGAATTATATTAAGTCTTTTAGTTATAATGCATTGGATTGTGCATTAGACAAAAATGTTTTTTGCTCTTTAACTAATGGGTTTATGTGTTTCCATTGTAGCTACGTTAGGTAGCTGACAATATTTACCAGTATGTCAAAAGAAAGTCATTCAGTTTTATGGCTCCACTTTTGGTGTAAGACCTGTCGAAAACCTGAAGCAGAATGTTTACCTGATCGTTTTACTTTTTATTGGTTTTCATTTTGCAGCCCACCAATTTTCCATTACTGATGAATTACTGATGATGATTCGTAAGATTTCTTAAGTTTTCGGAGATTTGGAACCAAGAATTTGGACTAAATGCTGTGTTTGTATCCATTATTTGGGACACCCCGAAAAAATAGGCAGTGAAGAGTGGTTCTTTGTAGGGTTTCAGATTGTGTGGTGCAGTGCAATTCTTGAATCGGGATTCATTGGGAGCGTCAGGGAATAGATTTGTTTCAGAAATGAAATTGATAGAGCTTACACTTACCTTTAAGTGTACCGAGGTTCATGGATGGGAACATCCCAGTTAAGGGTATATATTAAGTGTATATAAACTACAGTTATTGACCAACGTTTATAAAATTTATTCAACCTTCGTTGCAAAGATTCTTCATGTTGCACTGTGTAGAAGTCGTTACTTTTCATCGCTGTGGTTATAATTATACTTTCAAAAGGATAGTGTGATGAAATGTAAATACCATCAGGTTTTACCAATCTACTTCCACAGTATTCTTTTTTAATTCTTTAGAATCTATCTGTCTTAATTGTGCATATAAGTTAATTTTTGAGAAAAAAACAGAATGTATTTCAAGAGATGAGAATATTATCGTTAATCCTGCTGTTGCACTGAAATTACTCATTCTGTGAATAAAGTTGATCTGCACTTATAATATAGTATTAATCATCAGTCTTTTTTTTCCAGTATCCAGGTTCCTCATCCACCTTTGCAATGATTTATCTTTAATTTACCTTCATTACTCATTTTAGTTTTCGCGTTTATGAAAATAACATTTTTGTTTATAATTTTAGCGCATTTTTCATGTCAATGTGTTCCTCCAACATATTTAAATTTCTTAAAAGATATTCTTCATTTTATTCTAGGGAATTACATTGGGATATTTAATCAGTGCAGTAGTTATTTTTACTATATTAATTTGGGTTTGACTTTTGTGAAAAGTAATCTTATTCGAGTGCCTTAAGGTCCAATTGCTGCAAAATTAAATATAATTAGTCTTTAGTAGAGAAGTAGGCACATATATGTAAAGCAGAGGGTTCAACATAACTGCTTTCTAGCTAATTCAGACTGTTTTTCATGAATTAGGTTGTCTCAAAATCTAAATATGTAATTCAGCTAAAAGGAAAACAAAACTTTCCCTCCCCTTTAATTTCAACAAAAATGTTTTAATTGCCTGACAGTAACTGGGTCCTAACACTGTTAGGTTTTGTGGAAAAGGAAAATGCAATTCGGCACATTTTTGTAAGATTATATGAACTGAAGAGATGATTAAAGTTCAAGGAAATCAGTGCTTGTCCACACATTACACTGTATCTCAATATGAGTTGTGAAGAATTTTCTGCATTACTGGAATCTATTATTATTCAACATTACTTAGTGTTTATTTGTTTTCATTTGGCCCTCCCTTCCTGAAGACTGGCTGGAACTCTTTGTAAATTAAAGGATCATTAATAAGGGACAGTATATTTGGTATGTAAGTAGTGGGCTTTGCAGTGAACAGATAGTACTGTAATATTTTGACAACTGTTTACTGTTTATGTTTTCAGGCTGCGCCTGATTTAAGTGGGAACCCATGGATTTTTACTATCTATTGTTTAGAGATAATGCTTCATCTGTTACAACGTAAATTAAATTGCATGTGCAAGTAAAAATTAGCCTGCCGTGAATGTTACAAATGCCTTACCATGATTTGTTCTCTTAGAAGCCCGAAACGAAGTGACTGGTGCTAAACCTGATGGTGATGCTTACATAGGTTACTGAAGTGCATTTTCATAAGGACCCCTGAAGAAGTGCAATTGTTAACTAATGCATATACATATTTCCTTATTATATTCTGTAAACTGCTGCTATTTGTGCTTGTTCTAATAAAACAGTATGGCACCATCAAAAACAGTGATTTTTTTTAAAAAATGCGAACGTCTTTTGAATTCAGTTTGTGTAGAGTGAGTATTCTCATTCAAGACGTCAATTTGTTTTTTAGGATATAAAATATAGAGTCTGGTTATCTTTTAACTCAAATATTTTATTGTTTTTAATTGGATGAAAAAAACTTTTTTCCATCATGGCTCCATCCTTCCCTGATGTACCAAACAGCACGTTGAAAGATCTGGAGTCCTGTAGCTCAGTGGTCAGAGCACTCGCTTTGCAAGTGAGAGACCGGAGTTCAATTCCAGGCAGAGGGCGAAACCTTGGGCAAGTTTCCTTACTCCACACAGAGCCTAATAATAATCCCTCCAAAACCAAAAACAATAATAAATTGGTCATTTTCAATCTACGACTGTTTGTGGGACATTGCTGTGTGCAATTGGCTGCCGCGTTCGCCCACAAATATAGTTAATTCACTTTACAGTGTGTTCTGTGAAGCGCTTTGGGACATCCTCCTGACATGAAAAGCGCTGTATCAAATGCAAGGATTATTATTATCTTCCCCCCACCATATGGTATTGCAGCTTTCATACAGAAACTGAATAACCCCAATATACATCTCTGCTTATAACAATGTTGCACATAGCACTTAATATTCCATATACGATGACATAATAATGTAATTATCTCTATTTCATGAGTCTTGAACATTAACATTTGCTTTCTATGGCACAAAAACAACACTGCAAACATATTTGATGCTAACAACCATTTATTACTGATGTTCGAAACATCAATTGTAGAATGCTAGAATCTTTTTCTACAAAAAATGTCGGCTATGTTTTCACAATTTGATATATTTATTGGAGTACACATGATCGTCTTCCACTTTTATTCAGTTTCCACCTGTGAAGGTTAGATCAGTTGCCTAAAGTAGACATTATTAGCATTAATTTGTGGATTGTTTAAATTTGTTGGTCTACATCCATTTCTTTGGAAATTACTGTTAAATGTCTTGACAAATGTCAAAATCATAATCTGACAATGCACAAGTGTGTAATTCACACCACACATTTATTTCACTTTTAATTTTACTATAAAATAGAAAGCTGACAACACACACAAACATTTACAGTTCTCATTCAGCCGGTAAAATACAAAGGATTTTAGTTACAGAAAAAAGTAAATGCCATTTTGATGTCAAAAAAACACGTGTGAGGTCCATGCTATTAATTTTTTGAGGCTTTATAATACTGTTTGTGTTATAAAGCACATTAAGTACATAAACATTGTTTCGCCATAAACAGTTTACATACAATAAATGTCAGTTCGCAGATAAGTGTTCTTACTCTCCTGAATTGTATTTCATAGTCCTTTATTTCCATAATTAGCAATGAACTGAAACCAAATGATCTCAAAATAGCAAGTATGTGCAGTGTATGTGTAGATTGCTGAAATTGGATGCTTTCATGATACAAATATGATTTAAATAACTATCCTTGATAAACCATAATTCTGACACTATGGCACACCATTATGCTTGAAATTCAAACCAATGTTGGTTGAGGGAAATAGCTAAAGGTAACCTTAACTAAGGCTCTTAAATGGTCTACAGGGAAGATTAAACTGCAGTTGAAACCCGGTTTGTGGTCACCTCAGTAATCCAGCCCCCTCACAATTGCGGGGACATTTTCAGTCTCTTTCATTGTCTTAAGAAATAGTCTGTCTACTTCAGTAATCTGGGCACCTCACTATTCAGGACAACCAGTCATTGATTGCAGCCTCTACAGTGCCCTCTTCCACTTCAAACGTGAAACAAACACCCCCCTCCGCTACTAACCTGTACACAGTGCGCTAGGTCTTGGGCTTCTCGCTCCATTTCCTTGATGCTGCTAATGTGAGCGGAATGGGCTCTGGTCGTGCGCGGGGCGGTGGTGTTGGGATCGCAAAAGCGACGCAAGTGGAAAATCATCTTTGCCTGACGCCTGCAGCCTAACCTGAGCTCCTGCGACCAATTCCTGGTAAGTGCTGTATTCAGAGCACATGGTTTGTGTGTACATTGTTTTGATTTAGTGACTGTTGACTGTAAACATGCCACCACGGAAGGATTTGTCCTTACGTGAGATAGTGGACTTAAATCAAAAACAGCGAGGGCAAAAGTCATAGCTGTGATCTATGGCATTGGCAGAACACAAGTTGGATGCATTCTCAAAAGGTAGGCGGATTACATGACAGCTTTTGTTTTAAATGTGACAATGCCTCTATTTTAATGAGATTGCAAAATATAGTTGTTGAATGTTCATCACCCTTACCCAATACCAATGGCCTTAACATTACATCAGTGACCTGAATCACCTGACCTATTTCAGTAATCAGGTCACCTCACTAAGTAGGTCACTTTTGGCCAGTCACTTGAGTGACCGGATTAGTGAGGTTCTACTGTAATCTACAGGATAATGATCATGATAGGTTATTTTGTTTGTAATTAGAAGTAGCAACTACAGACTTTGCTATTTGGCCAGGTCTGAGATACTTTTTAACCTGTAACATTGTGCTTCGTTGTCTATATTACGGATATTTCAAAGTGTATAAGTTATATGAATCACGTTGCTTGATACAATACAGTGACATACAATGATAAATTTATGTGATTAATAGCTGTTATTGTGTAGATCCAGATTTCAAAGACTTGATATCACACACCAAATCATTCAGAAAATAATCTTTCTGTTAAACAGAGCATCAATTAGTCTCAAGTCTTCAAACAGTAAGTGAAGTAAGCATTTCAAAAACTATTATGTGGAGGAAGTTTATGAGAAGGTATTTCGGATTGTAGATCAAATCATAGGTATATAAGGTTTCCTCTAATTCCGGAGAATGTAGGTGTAAACCTAAAGGAGTTGAGGACCTGCATAATCTACCATTGCAGAACACTGGTACAAGTGCCTGCTGCTCCAAGGTGCTATAATACTGTGGACTCCATTCCACCCCCTTCCTGGAGGATAGTCACGAACTAGCCACGAGACATCTGACAAGCACATATCTGAGCCCTTGCTAGGTGGAAAGCATTTACCAGGAACTCCTCGTGAGCACCACAAACAGGTGTAAAAAGTGAATTTATCGTCACCGTCCTCCTGACCACAGTCCGGAGACACTCTTACCCATCGAGCAGTGGTTTTACCGGCTGGCAACGTGGAGCTTCAGCAGTAGTTGCTAAACCTCTCTGTATACCAAGTTCAGCACCAAGCTCTGGGTATATTTATAGGGAAAAAACCTGAGGGTCCATGTTCTTCACTGGGGAGTAAATACCCTTCGTCTGAAGGAATAAAGAAAAATATCTGGAGCTTCTACTTACAGCATTTAACCAAAAGTATGATTTCTTTTTTTTTAAAAAAAGGAAAGTCCATCTTTTGAAACATGCAGATATTTCCAGTGGACAAAAAATTACTTCACACATTAGCAATTTTTTTAAAAAAATGCACATACACACACACAAACAGGCATCCATTTGAGGGATTTTTGTTTTCCCTCTAGGAAGAACCACACTCCCCTTCCCAGGGCGAAGCAGAAATCGGAGATATTAATCCAACATATTCTGCTTCCGTAAGGTTCTGTATAACTCATTTAACAGTCCAAGTCTGTTCAGCTTTTTAATACTAAGCAAATGCTCAGTATTCTCAAGAATACACAAAAACTAGTTTCCAACCAGACCTTCGAGCGTGTATTTAACATCCCCCGTTCAGCTTTGCTTCACATCCATTGCTCGTAAAAGTACATTTTCTTAAGGGTTCGATATTTCATTTTGATGGTGTCACATAGATGTGAACATATATCTTTTGAGTGTTTAGTTTCTTCCAGCCATAATCTTCAAATATTGCAGGGCGTTGTGGGCAGCGTCATTGTGTGCATTACCTCGAGAGATTCCCGTCCCGTGGCACACAGTAACTGGCTGAGTTGAGAGTTCAGCCAAACACTGATACTGGCCATTGACACTCAGCTCATCTGTAACACAAGACAATTTGTTCATTTTTCATGCTTCATTCAAAATAAACAGAAGACCTCACAGCCATCATCATTAGTATAATTCACTTTACAGCATATTCTGTGAAGAACTTTGAGACGTCTAGAAGACGTGAAAAGCGCTATATCAAATGCAAGGATTATTATTATCATAAGCCAGCAATTGTCTTTTAAAAATCAACAATCAGTCAATGTAAGACATCTCTGAGCAGAATTCAGTTAAAGTCAATAGACAAAACTAAATCAAAAATCAATTAGAAAACTACAAATATGATTCAACTATCATACATATACATTTAAAACACAGATCAATGTAATTTAAATCTGTATCCCTTTTGGCTGTGGACCATCCCAGTGGCAAAAACAGAATTCTAGTAAATAAAAGTTATTTAGCCCCTTATGTTAAGATTAGGATGAAAAGGAGAGGTATTGTTAAATCTGTAAATTTATTTTTTCCAACTGACTTGAACTGAAATCTGCTCAGAGCTTTCATACAGCACCTCGGAATGTCATCCTGATTTGGAATGTGCTATATAAATGCAATTTGTTGTTGCAAGAATTTAGGATTAACAGGATTTTGCAAAACACCACGATTTGTATCCTTATTTTGAACTTATCAAAATGCGAATGTAATTGTATTTTGAATGGTAGTTATACAGTATTCAAATACTTAGTTCTCAATGTGATTTTCGCTAACATTATAAATAAATCTGTTCATTTTTGAGAAAATGGCAGCATTGGAACATGATGAGATCAGTCTGGCACAACAGACTTACCTATGTCCAGGTAGGTGACGTCAAATCTTTGTTCATCCACCACTTCCCCAAGCATCTGGGTGTAGTCAGAATTAGGAATGCTGAGGGGGCTTCTCTTGAGCTGGTTAATTTTCTCTCCAGGTGAATTTCTTAGTACGTCCCAGGTGCAAGCAATCCCTTTTGGCTGTGGACTATCCCATTTATTTCCAGGTATCTGAAGCACAATGTTTCTTTAGAATATGAACCAAACTGATTTAGTTTGTTTAATACTCTGAACTCATAATGCTTAAATCTTGACAATATATTTTGCTAACATTTTGTCCTCTCAAAACTAGAAGCTAAAAAAAAATTATTTCATAAATAAGATTGTTTGAGTCTTGTCTTGAGGCATAGGAACATTTTAAATTTCAAGCATCCAATAAAAGACTAAAACAATTTATACAGAGAGTGAACTCCAATTTCAGTAAGTGTGTATAATTTGTGGCTTTCATTTCAGTGGAGTGTATGGACGATGGTAAAACACCCAGACATGTGCATCTCAATCTTTAAATGTGTGTAAAGATCAGGGTTATGAATCCAACTTTGCTACATGCCTGGCGGCAAGTTTTAAAAAAATGCTGTTGTTTTGTTTTTCAAAGGACTATTCACTCTATATCGACCTGTTCCCTCCCTCTGCTCAGCAGGCTGCGGCCTGTTCCATATACCCCACCCCGACCGCCCCACCATCGGTGGTTGCACTTTCAGCCTCTCTTCTCCCACTTTATGGAACTCAATCTCAGTCCCTTTGCCTCGCACCCACCTGTGTCTCAAGAACCTCCTCTTCGATGGCACCTTCGGTCACCTAACTCTGCCCTCCCTGCCCTCCTGATCCCAACCCCCAGCTTGGGTCCTCCCCATATGATAGGCAATATCCAAATGTAATTTGTTGTTGTTACCAACAAATCTCTTAACTCACAAGTATGTTCACTGTAGCTCACCATTGAGATGCCACCAGTGTCCAACTCCTCCCCTCCCATCCAGCCTGCAGGAATATTCTGTAGTTTTGCAAACATCTTTTCTGCGGCATCTCGTTTTGCTAATTTTTTTGATGTACCACAGCCTACGCATTGGAACCAGAATTTTCAATGTTAATGCTATGATTTGTTCTAAAATCTTCAAAAACAAAGGTCTAATTTCTGTACTGTTAAGTCTTTTTTAACCTACAAATATGAGTTCTAATCAGTAAAAAACTTGCCAATAACCAGCTAGTATTGATTGGTACAATGCATTTGTTTTGTCAATCTAGGCTGGTGTTAAAAATGATATTTTGCTCTGTGTATTAAATGGATAATATTGCTACATACATACATATGGTTCATTCAGGAAGATATTAGCTTTATATTCAAACCCTAAACTATATCCAATAATCAATAGGTTGTAGTTAATTTCCTGCAAAAGACGTCTTGAATGACAGAATCATATTTTAGTAATGGTATTTAGCAACATGCAAGCATTGATTCTGGACCATGTTTGTTTGTGATTGTTCTTACAGTTTTATTTACTCAAGGTATTCCGTGATCATTGTTCACAAATAGTGAATTATAAACGTCCTTTTCAAGCTACTCTATTCCACAAAGGTTTTTGCAATTCAGATGCTGATACACTGTACTGTGACGATTCTTACCTGTCTCTACAAATGATTCTACTCTGCAGATTATTGTGAACTCTTTCTTGTGAGCGGGGCCCGATTCCTGGGTAAAGGTGTACTCCGGAATTCTCCATCCTTTCTGCACAACCATTTCCTAGTAAACCGTAGGTTAGTAATTTCACTGGACAAATCTTACAACCATGATCCTATAATGGGAATAAGTTACTGAAGATAACTTAATAAGAGTCAGAAATTTCTTAAAATATTCTTGGAAACCGCTATCCCCCAAATTCTACATTCCAACTAAAATATCAAAACTGAAGGAGGGAATCTATTCCCCTCTTACCTGTAGTATGCCAATGTGGTTGGTTTGATTTTGTGGCGGCGTTGAGCAAATAAGAGGCTGAGAATTTGGCAAAGGGTAGCTGAAAAAGTTAACAAATTTCACAAAACCTGTTTTAACGTACCCACAGAGCTTCAACAACAACAACAAAATTTCATTTGTATAGCGCCTTTCACGTTGGGAGGACTTCCCAGGGCACTGGACAACCAGTGTTTTGGACCAGAGCTGGGGATCGGGATCGGGGAGGATGGAAGGCGGGGGGGGGTGGGGAGGGAGAAGGAGGGTGATCGAAGGCATGGTCAAAAAGGAGGGTCTTGAGAAGGGTCGTGAAGAAGGAAAGGGAGGGGGTGAGGCGGAGGGACTGCAGTATGGAGTTCTAGAGGGTGAGAGGCAGAGTGGCTGAAGGCCCACATGCCAATAGTGGGACGGGTGAGGTGGGAGCAGAGGGAGCGGGCAGGTTGATAGGTGGTTAAGAGGTCTCAGAGGTAGGGGGAGCAAGGCCATGGAGGGCTTTGAATGTAAGGACCAGAATCTTGAACTGTATCCTCTATGTGATAGGAGTTAGGAGAGGATGGTGGTAATAGGGGCACGGAGCCTGGTGCGGGATAGGACACAGGTTTCAGAATTCTGGATGATCTGCAGCCTATGGAGGGAGGAGTTGGGGAGGCCGACAAGCAGGGAGTTTGCACAAGCCTGGATGTTATGTGTGTATGAGGGTCTCGGGGGTCTGCGGTGTGAGACAGTGGCGGAGTCAGGCGATGTTGTGGAGGTGCGGGAAAGCAGAGTGGATCGTGGCACGGATGTGGGGTAGATAGTTGAGGGACAAACAAGACGCCAATGTTCCAGACTGGCTCAGTAAGGTGGAATATGCATCCTTGGATGGTGATGCAGTCAGCGCCTGAGAAGCCAATCAGGAGGGCCTCGGTCTTGTTGACATTCAACTGCATAAAGATAGCGGAGTTGAGGGCGGAGCGCTAAGTTTTGATAAGGTCCAGCCAGATCTGTCGATATTTATTATTAATTACATTGCTAGCGACTTTTCGAAACACCGATTACCTGACATTGCTGCAAATACTCTAGACAAAAATACTCAATGATCAGAAAAGTAAATCTAATGTTAAATCCAATGTTTGTAATTGGGTTAAAAATGGGATAGTCGCAACCTGGATTTCCAAGACCTTATAAATACTGAAGAGGATGCTCGCCACTCATCACAGGCATTACGCTCTGATGGCAGTCAAGAGCAGGGTTCACATGGCTTGGCATACTGCAAATCCCATTACCAGTAGGAATCAGTCCAGATTGCGGCTATTGTGTTTTTGATTCATTAATATTAATATTAAGGCAATAATCAGATACAAAATATTGACCCATGTATAAAATCCACCTTGCCTCTCACCTCATGCAATTATATACAAGGTCTTGCAGAGCTCCTTCATTCAGAACATGAAGTACAGCTTCAGCCGCTTTGTGTTTTGCTGCTTTCTTGCTTGGACCCTCACCTACAACCGTGAAAATACCAATTATTATCTATTCTTGGAAAGAAACATTTGAACTGGCTTAACTATAATTGAAAAATACATTTAGAAAGTTGGTACTGATTTAATAAAACCTGAAACATAGGAAGATTTATTAATTCTGTGTGGCATGGAGAAAGCTTACTATACAAGCAAAAGATTATGACTTTCATTAATACCGAATAGAAAATGCTATGACTGCAGACTCCATTATTGATCGTTGTTGCCAAATTGGCTGCTTCATTGCCCTACAAGTAGTCACTCCACTTAAAAGTAACTAGTTCTTTGAAGCACTTTGAGAGACATTTCAATGTGATAGGTATATCAAGTGCAAGATTATGATACAAAATAATAACATGAATCAAAAATAAAGATGAATCAAGTTTTATAGTTGCTTGTTAAGGTGAAAAGAAACGTGGCATGAGACGAAACTAAGCTTCTTTGTAGCAACTCTACCAAAGGAGGTCGGATATGAGCGTTTCATTTGATATCAGAGAAGCCAGATAGATAGAACATTTCAGAAAAAGGTCATCAAATGTAAAAGATGCTAGCTGTTAACTGGACTTGTAAGAGAGTGGACAGGTCAAGATATAGAGCTGTTCTTTGGTTCAATTCTCCAATTGGAAAAAAAACAGCAAATTCAACATGTCCTTGACCCGTGTCTTTTATCTAGTACCAATTTGTATCGCGTATATCTTACTGTCATCAACGCTGCTCAGTCACTGAGCCTTAGCAGAACAGTGAGGAACAGTCTAAATTTGTTTTCATAGTAATATGGAGCATTTGCCATGAGTGCACATTTATTCACCTATTGTAGTTTGTGTTGCATCAGCGGACATTACAGTATAGTCATCAAGGAATGAAATCTTCCTTTCTTATCAATATATACCGCTTGCATTTTATTAGTTGACCTTTTTCATGCCTATTTGAAAAACAAAGCAAGATTTTCTTTTATTCAGATTTCTGAAAACAATCCTTTTTTAAACTTATAGTATGATTTTGAAGGCAGCCCAGTATTTATGTACATTACTGTAAAAGCATAGTATGCAAGCGTTTTACTTCTGTACAAAAATATGCAATTAAAAATAAACCACCTGGGTCTAATTTGCAGTACTTGTCAAAAGGATGCCATCATAAGGAATCATGTCACAATTCCTGACAAACCTTGAAAACGCCTCTCTAGAAGTAGACTACATCAGAGTGGCGTTCCTCTCAATTGGAAACCTTTGTGTCTTGCATTCCTTATTAGGGGATTCATTTTTTTAAAAAAATACCGTAACTGCAAGCTAGTCCTCAGCATTTGCAGTACTTCTATTAGGTTCATCCGGTCTGCGTCAATTGGGAGCCGGCAGCCAGGGGCCGCCGCACAGATCACTGACATATATACGCTAACGTATAATTCTCCTTCCGATGCTGTTGACGATCTTTCCCGGCCCTCGCGTTTCGTCCTTCCTATTCGAGGGCGCGTCCCCGTCTTCGGTCTCCTCGGGAGGCTGGCGGGCAGCGCCGGGGCGCGCGTTATTAGTCGGCAAACGGCACAAAGGTGGGGGGGGGGGGGGGAAACACACCGACGTTTGACAAACCTGTGCAGCTCACTTCTCCCACCACAACTTTGTAGACGAAACAGGGCAGGTGAGCTTGGCCTTCAGACGTCACCAGCTCGTACTGGGGGCTGTTCCCATTCCTTGTGCAGTATTCCTGGAGTAGGCTGATCGGGGTCTTCCCGGGGATGGCGGCAATCATTTGATCTAAACTAAGGGAGGGTTCAAATATACAGAGAGAGAGAGAGAGAGAGAGAGATTTTTTTTTGGGGGGGGTTTTAGAAAAGAAATGAAACCCCCCCCAAGTTGAACTCCCGCCCCCCTCCCCTCCCTCGGGTCAGGCTGCGAACTGGGCTCGGGGTTGGCCTCTCCCCTTCGTGGCTCTCTCGACGGGGAGAGCGAAATCAAATAAAGACGACAGGACGGACGGACAACATACCCGGCGTCTGATACGCGGTGAAACCCCATCGCTCCCTCTCACTCTCACTCTGTCTCTCACTCTCTCTCTCACTCGCACACACACACACACGCGCGCGCGCGCGCGAATAAAGCGCAGAAGGAAGAAGGCGGGAGAGCTTTGGGTTAAAGGGGCCCAGAGAGAGAGAGAGAGGGAGGGAGGGAAGGAGGGGGAGAGGAGAAGGAGCGCCATAGGTGCGCGCGGGGCAGCGTGAGGCGCTCGGCTCGGCCCGGCCTCACGCGAGCCCGCGGGGCGGACACCGCCTCACCTGCAGTACCCTGAGCTCCTCTTGGACGCGGCTGTAAACCTTTCCTCAGACATGGTCCCCGATGGTCCGTCTCTCCCTTCCCCGGCGGTGTGTTCGGGTTTACAGCCGCCGCGCGCGCGCGCGCGAGAGAGAGCGGAAAAAAAAACGTGGCCCTGCGCCCGGGCGCCCCCCAACCGCCGGCCTCTTCCTGCGCGAGCTGGAGAGCGGGAGGCAGAGAGCGCTGACCTCTCACCCTCCTCCTCCTCCTCTCCCCCCCCGCGCTCCCCGAGCGGGAATGCTGGGAGTTGTAGTTCTACTCGGTGACGCGAGTCTCTTCCACACACCCTCTCTTCCCCACTCGCTGTCCCGAGCGGGCATGCTGGGAGATGTAGTTCCAGTCGGTGTGACGTAAGCCACCCACCCCGCCATCCGGCCGGGCATGCTGGGAGCGTCCGGGTCGCCGGTTACCATGGAGACCGGGGGTGCCCATCAGCACCAGCTGGAGGAGATGTGGTCCAGGTGGATGGGAAGGGCGTCCCATGTCCTCCTCCTTTCTCCCCGCTGCCTAAAATGCGGGCAAGTTTGAAAATCGTGCTCCAATCCCCCCCCTCCACCCCCACCTCCGATTCGCGGTCAGCCGCCAATCCCATTCAATTGTTTCCGAACCGTAACCGGGTCGCGAGGTCCTAACTGGACGTGCCGCCGCCGCAACAACAACAACAATAAAAAAGCAGCGGGCAGTGCCCTCCATGGCAAGCCTTGCGGTTTTAGCTGGTCAGACTTGCGGTCACTTCAACGCACACTCTTGAGGTCCCCCCCCCCCCCCCCCCCCAAGCCTTGATGCTTGCCAACCTTCGCCACGGTTTTTTTTTTGTGTAACAGTCTCCGAACGAGGTGAACGCCATGTGCAGCTTCAGGGAGAGGATGGAGTCCTGTAGCTCAGTGGTTAGAGCACTCACTTTGCAAGTGAGAGACCTGAGTTCAATTCCAGGCAGAGGGCGAAACCTCGGGCAAGTTTCCTTACGCCACACAGAGCCTGATAATAATCCCTCCAAAAAACCAAAAACAATAATAAATTGGTCATTTTCAATCTACGACTGTTTATGGGACATTGCTGTGCGCAATTGGCTGCCGCGTTCGCCCACAAATATACAGTCAATTCAGTTTACAGTGTGTTCTGTGAAGCGCTTTGGGACGTCTAGAAGACATGAAAACGCTATATCAAATGCAAGCATTATTATTATTCAGGGTGCGAATTCCATTTCAATAAATATCCAGGGAATTTCCATTGCCGACGCCTGTTTGGTTTGGGCACTCTTAAACACGGTGATGGATTTCCGCGTGTGTCAGAGATCTGGCTGACAGAACAAAAAGAGGGATGCAGAATCAGCGAGGATGTCCTAAACCGGGGTCTCTAACCGATCGATCGCGATCGACTTGGTCGGTCAAGAAGTGCCTCCAGTCCAGGCAAGTCCGCATCAAAGTTCCAGTAGCTACCAAACCGTGATACCCATGGCACCGCCATAAATGAAGAATTATATAATTGAAGTATTCAGGGATATATTCTGTATTCAAGGGATGAACACATTTGAAACTGAAATTCAAAAATTATTTTGTGTTAATTCTGCTTAAAATTATGCTGTTTTGTTATTTATATAGAGGACTGTTTAAGAGAGTTTTATATTTCATAAGTATACAATAAAATTTACAATTATATGAAAGAAATCTCCCACAGTAATGGAAAAAAAACATGGAAATGGTATTTAAGAACAGACATGAGCTGATAAAATGATAGACATATTGGCTCAAATGGGCTATCCTGTTCCTATGAACCTGTCACTCTGTAAAGATCTATTGTCACAAATATCCCTATCAGGTTAACAGCTTCTTTATTATTTATAAACTTGAGCTGAACAGAAGTGTTAAAGGAAGAAAATAAACGGGGAAGTTACAGAGGAACCATTGAAAATACTAGTCAAAGAATGGACTGATTTTAACTAATCATTCATTGGTCAAAGAAATTGATAAGTAATGAAACAGGGAGTTTTAAAGCCCTTAGTTTCTTTTTAAAAAAATTGTCTTTAAGAACTGCTTAATTGTTTAAAATTTCAGTGTCTAATTTCCAGTGTGTCACAGCTGTAACAAACTGGATAAGGGTTTTGTTCTGCTCAAAACAGTCAGAGATGTTTTCTGCTGCTACAAAGAACTTTGTGAAGCAGGTTGGAGATACTGGCAGATTGATCCCTGTTCCTAGTTTGAGTGAGGCTGATAGGTATCAGCCTCTTAGTCTAGTAACCAAGAAAAAAAAGTCTTGCTTCTGGAAAAAAAACAAATACAGTTCTACGCCTTTCACTCTGAAGGACATTCTTGTGGGAGAAAAAGAGGTTTCTGCTGGTAAAGTATTTTTCTAATTGTCTTGTTTTAGCCATGTGTTCATTGTTAAATAAAACTATGGTTTGTTTGAATTAAGCTGATACTGATACTGATATATAATATTGATCAATAATGTTATTTCTTAGATGCACATTTGTGTCCTTCCACTGCCTTCTGCTTCAGAAGTCTATGTGAAATACTGTGTTTAATATCTTAAATAAACAACTTAATCCTAAATTATTAATTAATTATCCCTGATTACGAGAGTACTATTCATTACCTTATAAGTATAAGTGACTGCCTACAAAATACACAGTCACTATACTTTACAATAAATCTCATGAAGCGCTTTAAGATGTCTTCTAGAAGTGAAAGGCAAATTCAAGGATTATTATTATTTATTATTAAAGGTATTTACTTACTGAGAAATATCGGTACGTCACTATTCCCAATAAACTGCACAATATATACGGGCTACATTGAATATGCCATCATATTTGGCACAAATATGACCAGAGTATGGGCTAATATTTATATGAATTTATTTTACCAGCTCAGATAATTAAACTCATTTATTTTATTCACTTTATAGGTGTCTCCTCATATCAGCTTCTCAATTATGAAGACAAATCTGACGTTTCCTTAAATGGGAGACTTGGAAACCAAGTTATTCATGATGTTGGTTTTAAGATTGCCGGCTCGGACTCCGTAGCAGTGAAAGCTTCATTTGGAATAGTAACGAAACATGAGGTGGAGGTGCCAGCCCTCCTCAGGGAGATTAATAGGTAATTCATTTCCGAGATATTTTGGTAACACTATTTTAAAATGTTTTAGCACTTATCTTTGAAATTATACATTAGTAAATTGACTTTACACAAAGGATTATTAACATTTGAGATTGCTTTCAGGAAGGATGATTGAGCCCGGGAAACAGCTTAATGATGTAATGGGGAAATAATAGAGTGGGGATTTCTGGAAATATGAGATCAAATGGCCCTGAAGTCCTTCCTCATCCATATCTCTCTTGCAATCTTGTTACTGCTCATTAATGATAAACAAAATTGGCGTGATATCGCTGAACATATCATTCACAAAAAAAACTTCCAAGGTCCTAGTTCTTCCTTAGATTTGTAAGTAGATTACTCTTCTCATGTCTCCTTAGAAAAGTTGACCTTGAACATTGCCTTGTCCGTCAAATGAAAGAAAGCCGGCGTGCTGTACTCTGTATTGTCATGGAGAGCATTCGGACAACCCGGCAATGCTCACTCACTGTGCATGCAGGCATGAGAAGAAAAACGATGCGGGTAAGTTGAAACTTTGCATTTAAATTATAAGAATATCATTACAAATAACAATTCAACCATATTCCAAAACTTAAATGTAATTTCACAGTGAAGGTGAGGTTAAAGAGAAATTGTGCCTCAGTATATTTCTGAGGCACTTCACTATGTGGAACTTTTTATTTTCTATAAAATATGCTGAATAGTATTTACGTACATCTTCAATCTACTGCTAATCTGTAAAAAGAAATGTTGCTTTCTTAAAAGAATCATTTTGGTGCCAGTTTCAGATTGATGATGGACGAAATCATAAAGGACGAGACAAAGCCATTGTTATCCCAGCTCATACAACTATTGCATTTAGTGTATTTGAACTTTACATCCGATTAGATGGCCATTTTGGTAAGTAACTGTGTTAAAGCTGTTTTCAAATTGAAGAACATTCAGTACAGTAACTATTTAAACAATTATTAATATTGTTACTTTTGGAATCTTTCTCTTTTTCTCTCATGAAGGTGTTTGACTCCTATTTTTCTTTCTACTGTAGTTAGACAGGTGCCAGTCTCCCCTCTTCCAAAATGGAGCCTTGCCAGTAAATTTTGATAGCTACTTACCCATGGCTGGGGGTGGGGGGTGGGGCAATCAATAAGCATTGCTTGAACTACTTAATCGAGGTGAATAGCATAATTATTTTATTATAAAAATATTGTAGCTTAATTGTTTAAATCTGCATTTCACTTTGCTCAAAGATCTCTGTGTTACATCTGAATCAGAAGGTGGGTTTGAAAAAGAACAAATAACGGAGCAGTTGGGTGGTTTGATGGGACGATTTTCAGTGTGGAGACTGCGACGATGTCTGTCAGAGTTCTTTTATGGCAGCCCATTCAGGTCAGGTATGTATTATTCTTGATGCTTCTCATTGAACACTCTTAGTCAGCAGTCATATTTAGAATGGCGGTAATATAGATACTTACAAAGGTCTGGATGTCTGACACAGATTTTTAGAATAATAAATAAAAACTTTCACAAAGATGTCCTGTATATCTTTGTACTTATTAATGAAGGATGTGCATTGTATTCTGTTTGTGATTTACAGCATTAGGCCAAAAAAAAGACACGCAACAGATATGATTTATATTTCACAGGTAGACTGAGCTGATAACTCACTAATGATAGTTGTGATTGAATGGGATTTCAATGATATTCCACCCCTCTTTTTATACAGATGCTCTTCATACCATATAAATTATAAAAAAAGATTTAGGAAAAAGCCTCCTAAGCGGGTAGTGAATGTACTTTGTGTGGTTAGCAGAGCATCTTAGATGATTCTGAGTCAATTGATGCTAAGTCATTGGTGAGTGAAGTGAGTGTTATGCAGCAGTGAAGGGTAATGGTGCAGAAACAGCAATCAATCACTGACTGTGCACCCATTTCTTCTTAAAGCTCCTTGGAGCGTGATATTGACACTGAGTAGAATGGAGCAGTTAAATTATTTGGCAGATACCTCGCTTTTGGAAAGGTTGCCCCTTCTGGAGTTATTGTGTTCTCATATCAGGTATTTGTAGATGTGTTTGAGTCCCCACATTATTCCCTATTACGCCACTATTTCATTTCTATTTTATCTTTGTGGAGCATGATTACTGAAACAGGCTTCAGTTGGAGGACCATTAGTGAAACTACTGTAGTCAGACATATTAATATTTTGTAATTTTAACAACTATAATAATAATAGAGAGGAAGCTGTTAGCCCCCGTTGTCTGCAGACTTACATTGATGAATTGTATTAGTGTTCAAGATATCATAAATGGGTGTAAGGACAGCACCATCTAGTGAAACGTATCATGGATTTAAGCTTCTTTGGTAGAATGCCAGCACAAAGGATCTTGGGTTGTTCTTTACTTCCAGTTTGTCAGGGAGCACCAACTTAATGTGCATTGACTCCTAAACCAGCTATTTTTAAAAAAAATGTTAAGCTTAAGTATGGTACACTGTTCACTTATTAAGATAATCATAGCTTTGCTAAACTACTTGCTGAATTCTCACGAAAAAATAAATGCCTATATTTTTGTCATTTTAAATGTGAATAATGCAATTTCATTGACATTGACTGCTGAATGGAATTTAAATCCAACTTTTATTGAAACTATAAAGAACTTAGATTGATTACCTAGAAATTGAAATGTATCACTGTTGGTGGATATTTTGCTTTACTTCGATCTTTAATTGTTGTGTTGGGATGTAACTTCTTGTTATGAGCTGGAAAGGGTTATTGGAAGTGGCCATTTGAATTACCCGTTTTCTTTTCTAATTTTGTGCCTTTTCTTTTTTACACACTAACTTATCTATCAATGTGACTGGTATCCTATCCCACTAATTACAGTATTTCAGAGTGCGAGAAGCCCCAATACACACATCACATTAGAATAATCAATGACCCAAATGTCACTTCTTCAGGAATCAGAGATAGCTTGCTACAACTAGAAAATAAAGGAAATGGGAGGGACATCTGCCAATCATATTGTATTTATGCATCCAGCAGGCAGACAGGACTTTAGCTTGTCACTCTCAACTTTTATTAGTAGGGAAATTGTGTCCCAGGAACTTGTGTTTAATTAAGTTTCAATGAACATAACTCTTGTTATCTGTTGTTTGTTTTTGCATAGATGGAAAGTTGGCGGATATTTCCACAAACTCAGACCCTTATTTGGAGGATTTGGTCGCTGACTATTACGAAAAAGCTACAAGCATGACCGACATTTCCACGACCTACCTCAGTGACAATGCACACACACGGGTAAATCTGCTCAATCATAATATCTCCAAAGGACCCTGTGTTCTCTGTGGCATGGGTAGTTCACGGAGAGAGACTGTATACGGGTGCCTTGAGTGTTCATTCAATGGACAGAAATACGTGAGACTGCATGTGGTGCCATGTTTTGATTTGTGGCACAAAAGAGTAAAATGAAACAGGATGCAGATAGTTACTATAAGCGCTCCAGATATGGTGATACATCCGTAAGACCACACTAATATTTTCGGGACAATGCAGTGAATACTTTTGAACAAGATATATGAATTGTATATTAATTAGTTCTGATAGTATTAGAGTTTTTTTTGATAAAACGTTATTGGACCTGTTTGTCAACTAAGAAAACATTGTTGAGAAACTGTAGATCTGTTATTGCCTGGTAGAAACAAATTGAATTGCACTGGATAAGAGTTCCAGAGTAACACTATACCATAGCTAGTTTACTTCCAGCAACAGCTACAGAATATGATTCCCCTCCACCCCACCTATTATTGCCTTCTCAGAGGTTCTGTTTGTGTTTTCATGTTTTGTACCATTGCTTTGTTCTGTCAAAAAACACACAATACAATTACAGTATATCCTGTGAAGCGCTTTGAGATGTCTCGAAGATGTGATAAGGCGTTATATCAGCTGCAAGGATTATTATTCTCATTTTTGTAGAGGTAGTTGAGTGCAATGAGTATCAAAAGTTTATTTGAATTATGTTTAAATTGCAGGTTTAGTGTGCTTCAGGTTGTTACGCATGACAATTATTGGATACAATGTAATTCTCTATTTTGTGAAGCCTAATTTAGATATTGTCTGTGTGTTTCATGTATTTGTTTTATTGTTATACATAGGCATTAAAGTTACCAGATTTACAGTGTGTCATATTTTGCCAGCATTGAATTTTGCAGAGTTAATTCTATAATCTTGATCTGGAATATTTTCTCCTTTCCGCTCATTAATATCATAGAGATCAGGAGAGAGAAATCAGATTAAGAATATATTATTGATGTTCATTTGAATTAACCCTGAATGGGATGTATGTAAAAGGTTACTTCTACGAAGATCACACCAATCGGAAATAATTACAGTGGAAAGTGCTGCAAATGAAAGAAATTGAGAACATTTATTTGAGTGGTCAAAGTACAATGCAAAAGTTAAAAATGCTCCCAAACTTTCATTTCAATCCATTGTTTTAGATTCCATCATACAATAGCTTTAAAAAAAACTTCTGTATGTCAAAAAAGACTTAAATATTCAAAAAGGTTCATTGTGCCATTCTGCAGTACCACAGGAAATGTAATAACAAAATAAGCATAGTCTTTTACCATAAGTTCTAGGCATTTCAGATAAGTTGAAAAAGAGTATGTTAGAGGTCGAAGTGCTACAGCTCATCATGATGATAAATGTTGTACTCTCTGGCAGAAATGAAACCATTTCCATCATGATCATTTCTTTGCAGTATATCAGCCAATACAAGTTCTAAGTAGATGGAATCGTCACGCCTTTTTTCATCATTCTTGAATTCGTTCTGCAAATACATCTTCAGCTGGAATAAAAAAATAGTTTAATATTTGAACAACAAAAGGTGGAAAACATGCAGACGGATCTGAGCAGAGTTCTGAGCCAGCCACTTAACAAATCTCTACATTATTCTCAGGATTTAGGACCCTAATGTCTTTCTTTCTGTTTATTTCTCACCTCCTTAAGATATTAATTTATGCTTAATGTAGGACCTCAACCAAAAGTTGTTAAGAGCTTGCTCAACAATATTAGTGAGCATTTGACTGGGGCAACACTAATGAATGTTATAAAGTATTCAATTCATCCAATTGTGCACTTGCTAGTTTAAAAAAAAAGGAAATATCATGCCAACCTTCCCTACAAAGAAAATGAATTTCTGTATATTAGATATGAATTATATATTATACAGAATTTTATATATATAGGTTGAGAGAGAGATATATACACAAAAAATTACATTTGTTTAGCGCCTTTCACGTCAGGAGGACGCCCCAAGGCTCTGGGAAGCACACGCATATACAATTCATTATAAAAATTGATGTAGTACCTCATCTGGGGAAAGCTTTCGATCATTGTTCAAGTCGATGGCACGAAAGCCTTCTGGACTCCTTGGTCCTCGTTCCACTTTGTAAAGTTCAACGTCAAATATCAGAGTTGCATCTGGAGGAACTTTATCTGTATGAACGTGAATTTTATAATGTGTACATTTTATAAAAAAAGTTTCCGTTCTGCTTTCTCTTTAGAGATTCCTATTGCTGTTATCTGTAACATGCTTCTTCCTTCATCCAGGAAAGTTTAAATTGTGAAATCCTGAAGGAGATTTAATACTCTACTGCGAACCCCATTTGATTTGAGGTTTTTTCTCCCAAGATTGTCTGAGAGCAAAATAAAACCACTCACTGAGGAAAACAAGTGTGGGATTTAAGCTTACTTTATTTCCATGGTTATTGAATGATGCATTTCTACAACTTCTGAACTATCTCTCACATTAAATACAAAAATTCACTGTTTATACCATTATTCTGAGGTGGAGGCCACTCAGCCAGCATCTGAGCCATGTGCAGAAAGATTTAACATCCGTTTCAATATTTTACAAAGATGGTTATTCTAGGCGGAGTGTTAAAATATACGTACCGTTTATCAAATAAACCCATGCACTATAATCTGCCAACAGAGGCAATCTTTCTCAGCATGCATGCGTATTCCTATTGGATAGGATGGACGTCAGAACTTCTCTCCAGGAACTGCACAGAATTTTAAGCAACAGTTAAAGTGAGACATTACCAGCTGTTTAAAGCAGCTATTGAACTGTATTACATGCAAAGAACTAGTAGACCCCACTCAGAATTGACTGAGTCCAAATCTGAACCATACATTTTCAGAACATTATTTTAGCATATGTAGATACAATATTATATAAATAAATGCAGTTAACGTGCAAAAAAGCGCAACCAGCTTCACGTTGCATCAAAGTTAATAGCTTCTAAGATTTGTTCGATGTTCATGCTTTTATGTTATCTTTCAGGGTTAAGTAACAAATAAGTTAAATTATGGTTATGTTGCACAACATGCAAAAATAACTCCTCAACTCCTCAATAGAAACTCAATCATATAACAGTTGTTTTTGAAAAGTATTCTACTGAGGCTCTCAGGAGCATTGGGGAGTTTCAACAGGGATCATGTTCCTTTCATGGGTTTAATTACCAATGCATGTATATGGTTAGAATTATATTGAAAAAAACGTGCAGAATTGGAACTCAAGAACCTTCCAGATGAACTCTAGCATCCAATTCTGCATCTTGTCCTGATATTTTAGCTCTGCAGCTTGCAGAGAAACAACCCAAAATGTGTCCATGTTATCATTTATATCAGATCACCGAAAAAAATAAAGGGTGGTTCCAATAGATTGTGTTTGAATGTGGGTTTACTACTATCGTTCCAAAATCTGGCTTTGAGAGCTGACTAACCGGCTTCCCACGCTAAATATCGTTCTAGGTCATCAGGTTGTCTTTGATATCACTTCAGTGACGACCTGTTGACCAAGAAATTCACCTTCTTTTCACGTTTTGTTATAATGTAGCCTGAGATCTTCAATCCGGACGACCGCAATGTAAAGTTACCCTGAAGTTGCAAATGGCAACAGAGCAGAAATAAAGTTAAATAATAATAATAATAATCCTTGCATTTGATATAGCGCTTTTCACGTTGGGAGGACGTCCCAAAGCGCTTCACAGAATATACTGTAAAGTGAATTGACTGTATATTTGTGGGCAAACACGGCAGCCAATTGTGCACAGTAATGTCCCACAAACAGTCATGGATTGAAAATGACCAATTTATTATTATTTTTTTTGTTTTCGGAGGGATTATTATTAGGCTCTGTGTGGAGTAAGGAAACTTGCCCAATGTTTCGCCCTCTGCCTGGAATTGAACTCAGGTCTCTCACTTGCAAAGCGAGTGCTCTAACCACTGAGCTACAGGACTCGTTTTGGTGTTTTCAATCAGTTAAAGATTCCCTCATTAAATGAGAAGTTTTAGATTTACCTCTCCCCATTTTTCCATAAGCCAGCAGAGGAGGTACAGTCAGTTTGCGTTTTTCTCCTTCACACATATCACGCATACCAATATCCAACCCTTTGATCACTTGCCCAACACCAAGAACAAACCACTTAGGTTGACCTTGATTTTCGACACGACTGTGGAGAAGTAAACATTTCGTTGATTAAGTATGAGATGTGAACATTTCAATCAAACTATCAATTTACAAAATGACAGACTACTGTGCTGTTTGTGCTTTGTTTTGTGCTGTAAATTCAAAGGTTCAGTTCTGCTTTACAGAGAATCAGATAAATGGGATTATGATTTTCCACAGCACCCATGCAATATTTAAAATACAATGACTTCTCTGAAAATAAAACTTAAAGAAAGCTGTCAGTATTACTCCATATTTTAATTTGTTTACTAAAATGCATTTTAGAGATTTACGTCTATATTCTAAGTGTACTTGAGTGATCACTCTGGGTGTGAACCAAAGATTAAAACAGGGAAAATGCTTGATTCTGAAACACAACATGAATACTTAGTGAACAGCAGTATTATCATTTGAATAATTGTTTAACATTATGTACATCTTCTAATAGTTTGGTGGAAGTAATTTGAAATATCAAATGTAGTATTGCATAAAAGAATGGAATGCTTGAAGCTTTGAGCAATGATGTGCGCTATGCTTTAAAATGTCGAATGACAAGACTGAAGAGCAACAGTGGGAGGAAGAGAGCTGTAGGAAATGGCAACGAGGAAAGACACATGATGGTGACGTCTGGTGGGTGGCACGAAATGCCAGTCTGGTGTTGAACATGATTGAAAAACTCATTTCTACTTGGTGCTGTACCAAGATTGGCTGAGGAATTGATAGGTAGTGATGGTCATGGCAAAACAACCACTTGCACTGATGTAGCGTGCCAAAGTTTTTAAAAAAAAACACCGGGGAAGCAATTTCAGGATTCTGTGGTTAGAAACCAGGTTGAGTTACAACAACAACAACAACAACAAAATTACATTTATAGAGCGCCTTTCACGTCGGGAGGACGTCCCAAAGCGCTGAACAGTCAGGTGTCGAGGCCCGAGCAACATCAACAACATTACATTTGTATAGCGCCTTTCACGTAGGGGGGACGTCCCAAGGCGCTGAAGCATGGGGGAGGGGTGGGGCAGGGGTGAGGGAAGGCAGAGAGGTGGGAGGGATGGGCGGGGGATGGGGATGGGAGGGGGGGGATGGGGGGGGATGGGGATGGGAGAGGGGGGATGGGGTGGGGGTGGGGATGGGGGGGTGGGGATGGGGATTGGGGGGGATGGGGATGGGATGGGGGGGGGGGGATGGGGTGGGGTGGGGGGGGTACTGGTACCTGCAGTAGATCTGGGTGCCATCCACCGCCAGGTAGCCATCGAAGTGAGTGCTGAGCAGATCCCCGCGCTTGGCCCTCTGCCCGCACTGCTCTGGTTTGTAGATGACCTCGATCTTCACGCCGCTGAGGTCTTCTTCTCCTCCCGTCGCTGCCCTGACGGGCTCTAAGCACCAGAGAACCTGCGAGAGGACGACCAGAGCGCAGAGGGAACCCATCTCAGGCGTCAACGTGTAACGTGTGTGTGTGTGTGTGAGAGAGAGAGCGACTGCTCAGTCCGCGCACGCGCACTTTCCAGGACTCGGCTCCCTGACCACGTGGCACTCCGCTCCGAGCCCCACCCGGACACGTCACTGCCCGCGACGCGACGCGACGTTGCAGCGCACCGCCGCCGCAAGCCCCGCCTTCCTCCTCTTCGGCCATTGGTCACCCGCGCACTGCCCATCATCCGTCCGCCCCCCCCCTTGGACTAGCGATTGGCTGACCGGTACTGGGCGGGGCTCGGTGTCCCCCACCCTTCCCCACCCACCCACCCACGCGGCGGATGACGGAGGGAGGCGGGCCTCAGGCTGGCCGGCCGGCCGCGCGATTGGCGGAGAGAGTGATTGACAGCAAGTCCCGACCGCTGATTGGTGCCGCGCTCCGGCCGGCCCGGGGGCTGGGGCGGGCGGGCGGGCGGGAGGGCGTTCGTCTGCCTCTGCGTACGCAGCTTCCGCTGCAGGTGTCGGGACTCGGGGGCTCAGTGACGGGGGGGCGGGGTGTCGAGTCCGAGTCGAGTCTCCCTCCTTCCCCGCTCTGACCGTCTCCCAGGCCTGGCCCGGTTCGGTTCAGTTTAGGCCCCAGCCCGGCTCTGCTCTGCTCGGCCCGGTGATGAGACGTCGGCCGCCGCTCGCTCCACTCTGCTCGTCCCGCCGCCGCCGCCGCTGTTGTTGTTGTTGTTGTTGTTGCTGCTGCGTCGAGCGCGTCCTGCGGTGAGAGGGCGGAAACAAGAGCATGTGAACATGGAAGGGATTCTGCACAAGTGGACCAATTACCTGACCGGTAACTGCCCGCCCGGAGGGGGAGGGGGAGGGGGTCAGGGGTTCTGAGACTCGGGGGGGGGGGGGGGGGGTCAGGGATCCGGGGGAGAGGGGTCAGGGATACGATGGAGTTCAGGGAGATTTGCGGGGAGGCCTCAGGGAGATGGTGGGGGGGGTTAGGGAGATGGGGGGTGGTTAGGGAGATGGGGGGGTTAGGGAGATGGGGGGGCCTCAGGGAGATGGGGGGGGTTAGGAGATGGGGGGGCCTCAGGGAGATCGGGGGGGTGGTTAGGGAGATGGGGGGCCTCAGGGAGATGGGGGGTTAGGGAGATGGGGGGGCCTCAGGGAGATGGGGGGGTTAGGGAGATGGGGGGGGCCTCAGGGAGATGGGGGGGTTAGGGAGATGGGGGGGCCTCAGGGAGATGGGGGGGGGGGGGTTAGGGAGATGGGGGGGGGGTTAGGGAGATGGGGGGGGGCCTCAGGGAGATGGGGTGGGGGGGCCTCAGGGAGATGGGGTGGGGGGGCCTCAGGGAGATGGGGGAGGGCCTCAGGGAGATGGTGGGGGGGTCCTCAGGGAGATGGTGGGGGGTCCTCAGTGAGATGGTGGGGGGGCCTCAGGGAGATTGGGGGTGGGAGCTCAGGGAGACGGGGGGGGGGCTCAGGGAGGCGGAGATCAGGGAAAATAGAACTAATAATCCTTGTATTTGATACAGTGCCTTATCACGTCTCAAAGCGCTTCACAGACTGTACTGTAAAGTGCGGTGACTGTATGTTCTTCTGTTCTCGACATTGAGGATTTGTAACTTGTCACTTTGTGCTCTCACCAGACTTTTATCTTCCCCGGGGCCCTCTTTTTTAAAAGGCTGTGTGAGCGCAGAAGTTCAACAGCTCTTGTGTGTTTAAATTGACAAATGGTTATAAACTTGATACACCGTCCTTTCATTGCTGACTGAACTGTCCACTGACACAGAGAGTAAGTGTGTGGTTATAGCTTTGTAGGAGTCAGTTACAGAGGTATGGGGAAAAGGCAGGAAATTGGGACTGAAAGGATTGCTCTTTAAAGAGTCGGGACAGACGCAATGGGCTGAATGAACTTCTGTGCCATAAATTGCTATGGTTCTGTTAGCCACAGACCAGAAAGGTACCATTTTCAATCCTTTCCCTGTGTTTAGTTAGATAATCCTACTTACACCAGCAATGCAATGTTAAATGCGGTTATGGAGGAATTGAATTGGATTTGGTATGATAGCTCTCCTCAGTTCAGTTGAATAACCAGCTAAGATTTGCTGAAAATAACCATTTGAATGAAGCATCAGAGGAATACTGCTGTCAGTAGGACTGTGAAGCACGAGTTGCCATTTTCTAGAGATGGTCAGAGTAGTGTCCTCACAACTCTTGAGTGCTGATCTTGTGTTGAACAAAATGTTATGTCTATAATTAAGTTGATTTGTGATTATGTAATAAATTTATTTGAACAGTTTTAAGCTTGTGAAGTTTAAACTGTAGTTTTGTCAGTTAATTGCTAAATTCTTTATTGTGTGGATATGGGCTTGAAGTTATGCTCTATTTGGAAATTAGTCTCTGACTGACTGAATGAGACTTGGGTGAATGTACGACTTAGGCGATTATGATTTAGAAGATAAGACTTCTGTGAGTTTTACTATATATCCTGTGAAGCACTCTGAGACATCCTCCCAACATGAAATGTGCTATATCAAATGTAAGTATTATGATCACTCTTGCCCCTGGGTCAGTAAGGGTTGTGGATTCAAATCGTATGTCAGAGACCTTGACCACATAGTGCAGGTCAGCGCCTTGTAATGCAGATGCTTCAAACTTTCTGGACACAAGAAATGACATTAGGCATCCTGACACCCACACAATTGATTCATAGTAAAGTAAACCATACTTTAATTGCAAACAATATTTTTTAAAAAAATTAAAGAACATAACTAAAAAGTAAAACCTCCAAGGTAATGTAGATGCTTTGAAAACCACTGCTGTAATGCCATCTAATACTGAGCATCAAGATTATTTTTCACCTGTTCTCAAAAGTCACAGATCCTGGGACGAGTATAGTTCATAGATTCCCTGCACTTGGAAAGGTTTCCTCCTCTAAAAGCATATTTCCAGCAAAGCTTTTACGATGACTATTTTTCTCTCTTCCAGGTTGGCAGCCGCGTTGGTTTGTTTTGGACAGTGGTATACTTTCATACTATGACTCTCAGGACGATGTTAACAAAGGCAGTAAAGGAAGTATCAAAATGTCTGTGTGTGAAATTAAAGGTTTGCAATAAACTATTTTCTCATATCTCATCGAAAACGTAATTGACTTGATTAAATCGTGTTTAATGCCTTAACATATTTATACCAGAAACCAATAATTTTAAAAGGTATAATGTGGATTTATTATAATAATAATAATTTTTGCTTTTGATATAGTGCCTTATCACGTCTTTGAGACGTCTCAAAGCAATTCACAAAATATACTATGAAGTGAATTAACTGTATACTTTATGGGTGAATCTATTTGCTTAATACAAATAATAATAATAAAAAGCCTTGCATTTGATATAGCACTTTTCACGTCTTCTAGACGTTTTAAAGCGCATCACAGAATATACTGTAAAGTGAATTCACTGCATATTTGTGGCCAAACGCGGCAGCCAATTGCGCACAGCAGTGTCCCACAAACAGTTGTGGATTGAAATGACCAATTTATTATTGTTTTTTTTTCTTGAGGGATTATTATCAGGTGTGTGGAGTAAGGAAACTTTCCCAAGGTTAATGGTGTTTTGCTTCAAATTAGGTTTTGGTGACTTTTTGTTAAAAGTATCCCAAACTAATTTGAAAACATTCAAAGCTTGTTGAAACTTTAACTGACACACTAAGGTGTTTCATTCTTTACTTTTACCTTAACTTCAGTGCATCCAGCTGACAACACACGGATGGAGCTAATAATTCCTGGGGAGCAGCACTTCTATGTGAAATCAGTAAATGCTGCTGAAAGGCAGAGGTGGTTGGTAGCACTTGGGAGCTCAAAAGCTTGCTTGACCGATACCAGGACTAAAAAGGAAAAGGGTAAATTTGAAATTCTAGATAGAATTTATCATGTGCATTTGGAATCTGTAAACGGCCTATGATATTCTATTTATGCTGTTGAATGTTTCTCTTCTGCCATTTAGCCTGCCTGAAATTTATAAGTTTCATGGTCCTCATCCCATTAGAACCACATTAATGAATCATTATGTTTCATAAATGAATTTGCTGATCTCGTAAGTCTCATTGATAAATAAATGATACATAACAATACGTTTAATATAGCACCTTTTATGTTGGGAGGACGTCTTAAAAGGTTTCGCATGTTGGATGAGCCAGAGAGGCTGGTGAATAAAAATGAGACTTTGTGCTCAGATTGTTTATCCTGAGTTGAGCTGGTGGCCTTATTGACAGCGACTTGGTTGGCACTTCGGGAGAGAATGGCCAAGATGATTTAGTGCCTATTTTGAGGTTGTAGTCATATTTTAAATGCACAATAGGACTTATGATAAACCTAGGTATTGCCATTTTTAAGGAGAATGAAATGAAAAAGGAGAACAATTTGTACATTTTATTAATAAATATTACTGCATTGGATTTGATATCAAAAAATCATTATTAGTACTTTCCCTATATCAAATAATGCTCACATTAATATTACACCTGGAGCCTGACTCCTTCTGCCCTGGCATTTGGTGAAGTACGTTTAAGGTTAAGTTCAGCCAGGAAATGTCGGTACTGCCTGTATTATACAGTTCTTACAAATCCCTATTCTAGAAATATAGTATGTTCTATTTTTAATGCAATTGTTGTCTTAGTGATTCATGAGCCACGCTTCATTATAGGGAACACACAGACTGTACACTTTTGTACAAGATGTCTTGAAATCTGGAATAATGCACCTTTTAATATTAATATCAACTTCCCACTCTTAAAAAGGAATGGTTGCATTTTCTTTCAATAACAAAATTCACAGACGATTTAAAATTATTTCTCTCTGGCTGTCTCCTGGTCACATACATGTCTTGACATTTGTGTACTGTGCATACTGTGTTGTGTAAATTCTACATTTTTACTTGTGCTCTAGAAATCAGTGAAACCAATGAATCACTGAAAACTAAGATGTCAGAACTCCGATTATATTGTGATTTATTGATGCAACAAGTTCATACGATACAACAAGTTCATACGATGCAAGACCAGCCAAATTTGTCGCCGAATGCTGAGGTATGATGTCGTATATCTGAAGTTGTAATGGTGAATAGCTTACATTTTATAGTTCACTAAATTTTTTATCCTCAAGAGTTTTCAGTGGGAGCATTTGACTTCTAATCAGAGCTTTCTGAGTATTAATGTTGAACCTTGACCACTTTTCAACTGCTTTCCATAATTGAACAGCTGGTTTTTACTAGCTCTTACTATGTTTCTGGTTGACGTGCGCTGTGACCTTGAATACTTCTCGTCTAAAGGGAAAAGCTGTTCAGTAAGTGGCATGCAGCACATGACCTGTTTTTGTATTCTGAGGCAGATTTAACTAACTAGAGAAATCCCCAGCTTGGGTAAAGGAAGTATAGCATCGGGATTGCATCATCACTTTTTAAACTCCACTGCTTCATCCCTTTTGTTTTCTACTGTTTGATTCAGAGCAGACTATGCATCAAAAACCTCCCTGTGTTGCTCACAAACTATACTTTCTGGCTGATGTTTTCTGTAAAATGTAATTGTGCAAAGATTGAAGAGGAAGATGAGAGCTACAATAGCTATCACAATGTGTTACCTAAACAGCAAGGATCCATCCAACACATTCAATGCAATCTTGTCTGCAGTTGATCGATCATCCATTGTAACACTTCAATACGTATACAATCAGTCGCTCTTTCCTGCATTGTTGTTGAGTTAATTTTAAGCCTTTGTACTTTCCTGATCGTATCTGTTTGATTTGATGGTGTGACTAATTACATGCACCTAAAATTAGAGAAAAATAATAATATTTATAAATAGATTAAAATTGTAATTTAACAAACTGCAATAAAAAATTCCTTCTGGCTTATATTTTTGAAGATAAGATATTTTTAGGTTACTTCGCCATTCTGGTGTCTATTTGCACTGCGGTCTCTGAACAATCATCATTCGATCCTTTTAAAATATAGCCTTTGTTTGATGTATGTGCTTAAATGATCATTTTCTTTTTGCTTTCTAGAATATGAACGAAGCTTCTTCTTTGCTCAGTGCCACATGCAATACCTTCATCACAACTCTTGAGGAGTGTATGAAGATAGCCAATGCCAAGTTTAAGCCAGAAATGTTCCAGCTTTCTCACTCCGATCCACTTGTTTCTCCTGTGTCGCCTTCACCTGTTCAAATGGTTCGGGTATGATATATATTCAAGAAAAAAAACATGTCTACATTTTAATGGTATCTGTCAGCACAGTTGGTTGCTTTCAAAGGACTTGCACTTGATGTACACTAAGCTATTTTGTAAGCTTGATATAGATTCAATTCATGTTGGTAATTTTTTTAAATTACATTTTACAGATGAAACGTTCAATCAGTCATCCTGGAACCATTCCTTATGACAGGTAAGGAGAAGGAATTGTAATTTGGATATAATTAAATAATTTATGACATTAAGCATGACATTGTTTAGGTCTGATGTGTTTGTGCTGTTTCATTGAAGCAACAATACATCTATTTATTCACTAACTTGCAATTTTGACTAGAATTGCTATTGATATAAATGTTATTTGCTGTAGAACGTTTTGCCAAACACAAAGTGATTATTTCATAATTCTTCATTGTTCGGTGTAGCTACATATCAACATAGAACAGACTGGCAATTCATACTGCTTAAAACTGATCATAAAATCAAATAAGGCCACACACAAAAACTTACTGTTTTACAAAATTAAAAAATCTGAGCTATTTGATTTCTATTCTCTGCCTACTGTTATGTGTTATTTTGTAATAAATCTAACTGAATAGCTAAACCCCATATTCTAATGAATATTCATTTTATGGTTATTTTACAAAGCTGAAAATAAATTCCTGTTTTTGTTAGCTTTTCTTTCACTCACTGATTCGAAAGCACAAGGTCCTGTAAATGCTTTTGTGTATAAATATTATACCCAGTTTGGTGTTATGCAGATTTATTGCATTTCTTAATTTTAATTAAACTTAAATATAAAAATGTGGTATAAACAGAATATTTTTTTGGCAGTTGCCTTATTTACTGGATCAGTGTACTTGCTGGATATCAATTCTGTCCTATAGTGATTTCTTGCTGTTTTGTGGAATGTTTTCCTTATTACGCGGAAATAGTGCATTCTGCATTGGCATAGAAGAATGAGGAATTTCAAAGAGAAATTTTAAATTCATATTTGTGATAGTGAATACACATAGTGTGAATTTTACTTCTAGATATGGTCATTGGGGATTTTGAAATTTTAAAATGAGATTTTGTCTTATCAGAAAAATAGAAACAAATCATCAAAAGGAAAATATCGATGTACTAGCACGTGCAGAAGAAATAACATCTTTTAGATCTCACAGGAGAATAAGGACATATTCGGATACTGAATCTTATAGCGACAGTGCTCTTGAGAATGCAGAAAGTAAGTACTGAAATGGATATTGTTTGTTTGATCAAATGTTTAATTGCAAAGAACTTACTATATGATGAATAGCCAACCAAATATAAGTTTTGTCTATTCTCAGACGTGTAGACAGGACTTGGTGAAATTATTGGAAAACTGACACATAGCAGCTATGATCTAATAGAATGGTGGAACAGGCTGGAGGGTAGAATGGCCTACTCTTGTTCCTACCTGTAGGAACACGAGTAGGCCATTGTGGAGTCCTGTAGCTCATTGGTTAGAGTACTCGCTTTGCAAGCGAGAGACCTGAGTTCAATTCCAGGCAGAGGGCAAAACCTTGGGCAAGTTTCCTTACTCCACACAGAGCCTAATAATAATCCCTCCAAAACCAAAAACAATAATAAATTGGTCATTTTCAATCTACGACTGTTTGTGCGACATTGCTGTGCGCAATTGGCTGCCGCGTTCGCCCACAAATATACAGTCAATTCACTTTACAGTGTGTTCTGTGAAGCGCTTTGGGACGTCCTCCCGACGTGAAAAGCGCTATATCAAATGCAAGGATTATTATTATTATTATTACCTTCCAGTGTTTGATATCAAACCACTGCCTGACTTTTTTTTGTGGATTCAGTGTTCCCAGCTGAAGAAATGTGCATGGAGGTGATTGTTATTGGAAGGAGGGAGGTGAAATGTGTACACTGGAGCAAAATTGCAAACTAATCCTGCCTAATTTAATATTACAGAGACTGCTCAAAATATGCGAAATTTATTGTCTATCGCAAATGGTGAATTCACTCCAGTGACCATTCCAGAAGAAAATACTACAACCTTAAGGAAAAAGACTTCAGACATCGAGATGCCTTTGGTTACACTTTCAAGTTGAAAAACATTTGGACAGGATTGAAAAGATGGTCATTCGTTCTCCAACTAATGCTATGAGGTAACCTCTGGCGTTTAGATGTTACAGAAAAAGAAAATGGATCTGCAATTTCCTAGGAAAGGCGGCGTTTGCACTTTATATATAAAAAAACTACGCAAAATCAGTAAACTCAACAAGCTTACCCAATCTTGTTTCTATTTTTCAACAAATTGATGCTGTATTTCCTACACCATCGTGTAATAAATCAGTTAAAGTTTAGCGATTGTTTGCCCTAAAAGCTTGGTCTCGATGTAGCACATAGTGACATCACAGGTATAGAAGCATCTTGGTTGAAAAGTATGGAAATCACACGACTGAAGACAGCTTTGCCAAGTGTGTGTGCTCGCTGGCAGGCTGGGACTGGTACATGTCCTATGTATCACCTGTTCACCTATGGGAATGTTTCTAGAAGAACTGTCTCAATTTGTTTGCACTTTTTTGATGCTTGTGCATTTTCAGTTGAATCCATTTTATGTACTTCAGTCCTTCCTCGTCTTTAGATACAATTTTGTTTTAGTAGCAGCTGATGAGTACTATTTATATCAGAACCACAAATACTTATACAGAGGTAGTGCAACAAAGTTTAAAGCGATATGTTCTGTATTTATGGAATCATACACAGAAATTACGAATAAATTCTTCCCAATATAAATGTATGCAATTCAACACAAAAAGTCCATGAACTTGCCATATTTATCCAGAGAAAATAAATGAAATTATATGGAAATTTAACTAGCAAGAACATAAGAAATAAATTAATAATTTGGTTAAGCTGATTTTGTTTTTCTCAAAATAGTGGATCTGTAATAATAGATTTGTTTTTTTTAAAAAAAGAGTTTGCTTTGGGATCATTTAGTTCCATTTATTTTTCTTTGTTACCCTGTTAGGCTGTGCTGTACAACAACTTTACAGCTTGTCTGTCCACAGTGCTATCTGAATCTGGTCAAAGCAGTGGAGAATTGTCACGCCATAATTGTAAAGTGTAATTTCTTCTGGACTAGTATACTTGTGGGATGAAACAGCACTTTTATAGGCTTGTGCCGTACATAAATAATTGAGTTTCATTTTCACTGTGATACTTATATAAACAGCACTGCAAGCAGTTGCTTTGTGAAAGCATGAGAGTCCAATCTCTTTTTGCTGAAGCATATAAAAAAAGTGTTACTTTTATTGCAGAAATTAAATTGCTCACTAGATTTGACTAAAATGATTTTTTTAGCATTACAGATTTTATTGAAAGTTGCTTGTGTCCTAATTCCGTGTTTTAATCTTTATATGATATATATTTATATACATAATATATATTATATACTTAACAGTGTAGTTTTTATTTCTGTGTTTTGGTGGTCTCCAGTGTGAGTTGTAGCATTATGAAACAAGGAAGAGGATAAAACAAGATGTATTTTTTTATTTCAGCAAATAAGGTGAGAACAAATAAATCATTGTGTGCTTATTCATTATTCATTGGGCATTCAAATTTAGTTTAGCTGCATCCACTCCAGTTGTGGTGTGATCCAGATACTCGAGACTCTTCTCTGAAATTGACCATGTTGGAAGAATCAACATGTATACCTTGTTACGTAGTAATGTGGTAACTTATTACGTGTGATTTTCCTATGCATACAGATTATCCTGGGCTTTTTAATTTCTTGCCAGTGTCCCGTGGAGAACATTTTAACAGTGAAATGACCAAAATAGTACCAAGTCCAAAAGGAATGTATTCAGCCTGACCTCTGTTGATTAGCCAAATCAGCTCAAAGGTGATTAGCCACGTATTAGCTAAGCCAAAATATTAGGACTTGGATATAATAATTTATGATGAATTTAAAAATACCTATGGGTTAGCAGTGCATGTGACTTTGTAATCATATGTTTACAGTTTTTCTTTCACCAAAATTGAATGCTTTGAATATTAAGAAGGATTCAGCTGCAAAGTTAAAGATAACTAACTGCTTCCTGTAAGTTTTCATGCATTTTTGTACCATCAGTTTAGGAATTAACCCTTAATCTCCATATTCTATCTTAAAAGACATGGGAATATGTTTTGTTAGCGAACACTTCCATCAGTGAAGTCTTCCACAGTTAAATTCAAGACTGAGAATTTGCTATTAACACTTATTTTGCACTCTTATTATATTCGGTAGTGTCTATTTAAAATCTTATTTGTGGCCATAATGAGGAAGGAATCTTGGCAAGCATTTGAAGGTTTGTTAAATACATTGTAGGTTAGGCATTTTGAAGTATTACAAGTATGATCTTGCTAAGGTACTGTTGAGCCATTATGAAGATCCAAACGCATTCGATTTACAATGTTAATGTGTACACTGTGAAGTTTGCAAGCTGGAGAATATTTGTGTCTGTATGTGTGTGTGTACCCATTAGGATGTACATCTGGTATGTGCCATAGTCTTTTACTGCAATTTTGTAAATTGTATCTCTTCACATAATGCAATTGAATCTCTTATGAATCAAATTTATCTCCCTGCAGAAATAACTGGAAAAAAATATTGCCCCAACAGGATATGGCTAATCCAGACTTGTCGTTTATCCTCTTAATAGCAGAGATGTTATGAACAATATGCACTGTTGTTTTGCAATGAGCAGTTACTGCTGCCGGGTTTTCCCCCTGCAGTAATTAGTAATGTAAGGAATAGTTTTAAAAAGTTTGCCTCATTATTAAAAAGCATTTGATTTCTGATTCAGTTAGTAGCAATATTTCATCAGATTAGAATAATTATATTTGAATAATTTTACTGAATTATCCCGTGCTTCAATTTGATATTTGTTTGGCCGTCAACATTTCAGTCGGCACCACAAGATTAGGTGCATAATATATTTGAGGAAATGTAAAGTATATGTAGGCTAATGATTTTAATTTCTTTGTCAGCCTGACAAATGTGTTACTGGCAGATAAGTAATGAGTACTTAGGATCTATTAAAAATAGTTTTCAGCTGTTCAGATGGCACCATACCATTCACACCAGATGGGTTTGAATTATCTTGGATCTGTGCTAAGTTAACTAGCTGATCTATCTAGCTAGGACAGAAGTTGTATTACATTTAGCTTCAGTCCCCTGGGTGAGAGGTGAAAAATCAGCTGGAATGTCTATTCAGTAATCCTGACTGGAAGTGTGTGTGAGACAAAAGATCAGACTTCATTCTCATAGCTTTCACAAATAATCTGTCTTGATTTACATTAAAACCATGGATCTGTACCCTGGCATAAGGCTTTAGGAGAAATTATTAATTTAATAAATTGAGCCCTTGATTAAAGAGTAAATTCCACTCTTTAACAACTCTCTTCAAATGATATTTAAATATTTTCTAAATATTATCTATTTTCTAAATATTTTGAAAGATATTTAAAGCAGCAGTACTTTAGTGTGTGTGTGGACAGCAGTTTAGGTGAAGGAGAATTGGGCCATAGTGTTTTTGTTTTATTTTAACAAATTGTATACATTTTGCCTATAGTTTTTGTCACTCATTTTGGAATTTCTTGGTACATTATTATCTGGCCCCCATTTTATACTCAGCATCCTAACTCAACCCTTGCCTCTCACACTACAGCCTTGTCTACAATTCACATGACAGCTTGCAGTCTTTTCTAATTACTATGAACTTCAGTTTTTGTTCGAGGATAAACCAAACACATTAAATTGCTGTATAATGTTGATTTAGCCTCATGAACTGTCAATTTCTATCCCTCTTATGAGTGAAAATATAGAAATAATTGTATTAGGACTTTTATCTTTGGGTTGAGTTAGTCACCAGCATAACTCCGGGATTAAATCTAAAAAGGTTGTACTTTTTTTGCTTCTGTAGTTGGTTCTGTTTGTTTTGTATCAGTTCTTCTTAAATAAGGTACTTCTGGCACTTGCAGTGGAATCTTGACTTCTGCTAACTTTAGTTTGTTACTGGCAGTGAGGCTTTCCTCTATTACGACAGGTAATTGAGGTTTCATCAATGACACTCCAATGTTTGCTCCGCATTGCCTTAAAATCTGGGTGAAAAGTACGAAGTGTTCATAAAAGAAAACTTTACCACAAAATTTACAGCACGTGACATTTGAAAAACATTGAAATGATCATCCCGTTTGTGAAATACACTGCCAATCTGACCCACAAGTTATGCAATGTAATTTGTCTTGCCCATAATATTAGGATTTTTTGTTGCACAAGGCCAGGTGAATCAATCAGTCTTTGTGGCAGTAAAGATGCATCACAGAACACTTGGGTGCCATGGGCTGTTTTAGGGAGAGCACAAAGTTTTGTAAAAACCGCCATCGTGTTGGGTCATTTTTTTAAGTACGTCGACCAATCGATATTGGCTCAACAAACCAACCATTTTGATCTTGCATAAGTACTCAAACCATCTGAAGTAGCTTTTGCCAATGGGCTTCACTAATATTCCAGCCTTTAAGTCTGTGTAGGGACTGCGCCATGCATTGATTCATAGTAATGTCATTTTCATGGTTACAATTTCTTGTGTACAATCCAGTTCTTTATCAAAGCAATTGGCTCATCAATAAATTCAGGTGTATTAAACTGCATTTTTTTCTGTGTAACTATGTAAGAAAAATTTGTTGTTACATGGACAGAATCTTGGGGAATATTCTTGTATTAGAAATATATATTCAGACACTTGAAGTTCTAATTGTCCATTGCACTCTGGTGGTTGAGTGAATTTCAGAAATGCCTTGTACAAAAAAAGTAGACTACTTAGCTTTTTGGTGAAAATATGTGAACTCCTAATAAAAACTTTCTACAACTACTTTGCTTTATTCCCTGTTCTTGTCTATGTGAAGAACTGAAATTCTATATTGTACTCAGGATTTCTTTTGTATCTACATGAATCATAACAACTAAGGTATGGCTAAAATCGTTCCTTCAGATATAATAAAGTAACTTCTGGCATAAAGCATTCTACCCAAAATTACACTGAAATAGTATTTCTTCTGTGTTTCCGTGAATAGTAATACCATGCAAACGTTTAACTGTTCAGCGCCTTGGGATGTCCTTCTGACATGAAAAGTGCTTTATAAATGTCATTTTTTTGTACTTAGTGGGAGGGGTGATACTGGGTTTAATGAGTTGTGTCAACAGTGAGTGTCTGAAGCCTATCCCTAGGGTTGCCTTGAGCATTTTCCAAAATGTGTCTGTAAGGTGTATCATGCTGATTCAGAGAGGTGAATTGTAAATCTGGATTATTACCCCTACGTGATCTACTTAAACCCTTCTTTGAACCACCCCCCAACTCATTTGGGATTTTTTTTTACACAAATAATAGCTTTGTGAGTGCTTGGAATAAATCCAGGTATAAAAGAGAAACAGTTTGTGGGTGCAGAAAGCATGCTTTATTTCAATCAAAATTGCTATTTTAGTTTTCTAATCTCAAGAAGGTTCAATGATACAAGTTCACAGAAAAAACACTACATAGATCATTCTTTCAAAGTCAATGTTTGGGACGGTAAGTTGGTAGAGCACAGTAGTTCTTTTCACTGTGGTAAACTTCGGTTTCCTTAAGCCCGCAAAACAGACAACATGAAAGAAAATTCTATCACTACCACACGGGCACTCGATGAAAATCTGAACCTCCAGGAGAGAGCACTAGTTCTGCACAGGAGTACTTGGAATAGCCTGTTGAAATGTGTTTTTGCCAGGTCGATGTTACTTTTTCATTCAAACCAATCCAAGCAGTCACCGTGCCAGAAATAGTGCACATGAAAAGTGATTGTACAAAGTGACGGCCGCTTGCACTTTGACAATAGTCTCTAAAATAGTAAGTAGTCTGACATAGTCGGTCCACAGCTCAGGGCCATTTGTGCAGTTAACATGAGGGTTTTTGTCAACTGCACAAAAGGCCAAGCCTAATTTGATATACTTGTGGTTGCATGTACTTGGGTTCAGTACACGTAGGATTGTCTCTAGGGTGTAGGTTGTCTTCAACAGGGAGCCTCTCCACCTGCTGAGGTATTCTTAAGTCGTCAACATGGTGTTGAGGTACAAATTTTAGTTCCAGGTTGCTCAAGCTAGTCGTTTTGTTAAAACTTTCTCCTGTCAACCATTTCTTTCATAAGTTGCATTCAATATGTCATAAAACACAAGGTACAAAACTTCCATAACCGCTTAAATCGGCTATATACAGTATGTACATGTCACAGAAAAATGGTTAAAAATTCCTAAATCAGATGCACAATAATGTAATATTGCACACTCTACCCTTTGTTCAGAATTTGTCTGGTTTGGTATGGATGAACATTGTCGAGTTGGGTACAAAAATATGTAACATTATAATATATACAAAGTCAGAAATTTAAGTCCATATGAGTTAAGGCATCTTACATCATTGTTCTACAAGTCTGAAGAGTAAGTAAATAAGTAAGGTATTGTTTAAAGTGATACGTCAGCAAAGGTCAGTGGATACGGACCTTTAAATTGATCTAACTTCAATATTTACAGTGGCAGAATCTGATCCAAATTCATTTGTGAGTTTGAGAGTGTAATGTCCTGCATCACTTTCTTTAACACCTGTGATTATGAGTGTTGTCAGGTCATCCAGTGTTTCAAGATGGAATCGGCCACCCACTCCTTCACTAGAAAGAGATCTTCCCCCACAGGTCCAATTTACGTCTGGTGTAGGTTCACCTGAGAAGGCACACGCCACTGTTAGAACCTTCCCTTTCTCAACGGTGATATCTGATGGGAGAGCTTCAATTTTAGGAGAAGACCCTGTTAAAGAAACAGCAGACGAGGTTAGATTTCTTTTTTTGCGATGTTAAAATAACGAGTTGTTCACAACAATACTAATAATAGTAATCCTTGTATTTGATATAGCGCCTTATCATGTCTTTGAGACATCTCAAAGCGCTTCACAGAATATACCGTCAAGTGAACTGACTATTTTGTGGATGAAATGCGGCAGCCAGTTTCGTATAAAAATGATGATTGTACGTTTAACAAAAACGTGCGCACACGATGCTTCTTTCAGTACTTTCTCACCTTTGATGCAACCAGTTATCATTTTTCCTGCAGTTGCTTCGAGTTGACTCATACTTGCGTGCCCCATAAAAGAGCTTGAGCTCATGGATAACATTGATTCTTTCATAGATGACATGCTACTGGAAGACATGCTGGCAAATTTAACTTCCGACATGCTGCTGCTGGCTTCCTGTTTGCTCATTTGGACTGTCTTGGAAGAGAACCGTTCCTGCATGCTAGCAGAAGCACTCGTCTCCAGAACAACCATTTTAGCGGGTTCTTCAATCAGAGCTGTGGAGCACAGCAAATAAAAATGATGCACAAAAATGACATCACTTTTAATATAGCTTAAAGGTGAAGTCATCTGATCTTACAATGATCAGAAAACAAGTCCCACTTGAGAATACCATACAGAGTATATCTATATATAAAATATATATAAAGACCATTCTCTTTTAGAATGAAAACAAATCAATCCAGAATTTGTGTGTTAAAATTACAGAAGCCATTGCCAGATTTTTCTTCCATATGGTATTTCGGAAACTCAAGTAAAGGTACTTGTGTCCAAAGCACCAAGATCGTAATATCAAGTACTTCATTTGAAGCAGTGACATACCGAGCACATTCAAAGATGCTGTTGCAGAACACTGTCCATGGAAATTCTTTGCTGTCACTGTATACTTTCCACTGTCAGAGACTGTTGTGTTCAGAATTTCTAGTGTGTATTTGCTTTTAGAACGGCTCACTTTCATATTTCTTGTGATCGCAATCTGAAATATGAAAGCAGAAGCTTTTCATTACAAGCCAAAGAACACGCTCGCACTCACTTAGAAAAAAAAGTATTTTACTTGGAGGTGCAGGTAAACTGGCAGCATGCAGAAATGAACAAAGTACTTACAGCGTGGTTGTCTTTCAGCCACTCTACCTCTGGAGAAGGGTCTCCTGATACTTCGCAATTGAAAGACACATTTTGTCCTTCGTTAACATTTTGGGATTTGGGTTGTGCAACGAATGACGGGGCATTTGATTGACTATGTTTCACTATTAGATCAAATTGGCATTTTACTACTCCGTGTTCAGTTTTAGCCTCACAAGTGATTATTCCTTCGTCTGCGAAACTGACTGTTTTGATGGTTAAGGTGTGGTCGCTTCCAGACACACCATATCGGTAATCCTCGGAGTTCCTAAGCTCAGTACCGTTCAAGATCCATTTCACATTGGCAGCCTGCGGTATGCTGGCCTTAAGTATAACCTTCTGGCCATTTTCTGCATTCATGTGCATCTTGGAGGCTTTAATTTCTGTGTATGATGTTTTGACCTCTTCAAGCGTTAATGCTTGTTTGACAATCTGTTCCTCGACGACTGCTGTTTCATGTGCTTTAATCGAACTTTTTCTCTGTGATTCAACTCGCAGGCTATCGGTGGAGCTTTTGGAAGCTAGAAAATATAAAATACCATAAATTATATATAGGTTCATATTGAGGACTAATGCAATGTTCTAAAGGATTAGAACCAACGCCCCTACCTTTTACTGTCACTTTGCAGCTTGTGGATGCTGAGCCAGCTGAATTTCTAGCAGTACATCCGTAAACTCCGCAGTCAGATGTCTCAGTGTGGAGGACTTCAAGGCAAAAGCTACCGTGTTCTTCAAATATTTTATATTTGCTGCTCTGAGCAAGAGTCTGTAGAAATGAAGGAATAAAATAAATAAACATAAAACGACGACAACAACTTGCACATATATGGTGCCTCTCATCTGAGAGCACTTACTGAACAGATAATATGACTATTTAAAGTATTTCTAAATGCAGAAGCGAGGCAATAGAAATCAACCACGTACCAGGCCATCCTTGGTCCATGTTACAGTTGGTTTAGGTTCTCCTGCAAGTTTGACAGTCAGCCTTGCCATGGTATCAGAGGCTACAGACAGGTCGCTGAGGTACATGGTGATAATCGGCTTTGAGATCACTTCTTTTTTCTGCACAGCTGCCTTTGATTCTGTGATTTTGGCCACTTTGCTGACTGCGCTTTTGAAGGCTTGACCGACGAAAGAGAAAGCTGTTTTTGAAACCCCTCCCTCCCCGGTGATTTCACATGTGTATTCCCCTTCATCGCTCTCGTTAAGCCCGTGGATGGTGAGGTTATAGACGCCGTCGGCAGAATATTCAAATTTGTAGTGACTGTTCTCCCGTATCTTACGGCCATCTTTCAGCCAAGTCAATTCTTTGACATTGAGGACAGTGCTCTCCACCGTACAGGTCAGTTTAACTGCACCGTCTTCGTGTATTTCAGCTTTTAATCCTTGAGAAATCTTGGGTGGAGTGGATGCAGGGATTTCCACTCGCTCTGCTGAAGCTGTTCGGACAGGAGGAGGCGACTTAACTCTTGAGCCAGAGCTGGCTTGGTCTGGGGATTTGACTCTCTTGGCTGACTTACTTGCCGATGATGGTTTTCCATGAGGTTCAGGGGACTTAATTCTCGGAGGTGATACCACACCCATTCCCTTTGCTACAGCTTTTCGGATGGTTACAGTAAACTGTGCTTCCTGTCTTCCTGCAGCATTTTCAACCACCACCGTGTAGCTTCCTTCATCGGAAGATTGAACTGACGAGATTGCAAAGGTAGATTTGAATTGCGTTGATGTAATAAGGTGTCGCCTGGAGGATGAAATTGTTGTTCCAGCATGTTTCCATGTCACAGTGGGTGCTGGCTCACCATCAAAGTCGCAAACAAATCTCACAGATTCTCCTTCTGCTACTGTGGCTGATTGCGGTTTTGTCAGTATTCTTGCTTGGACAGTCAGCTTTGTTGACGTCCGAGTGGATCTTTCTTCACTTGTTTTTCTTTCCTCTGTTCTTGCTCTTATTTCCTCTGTCCTTAATTTTTTCTCTTCGAAGGCATAACCTTCCGAGCTGACTGCCTCCCTTCTTTGGGATTCTTCCGATTTGAATCCTCTGAGTTCAGAAGAACTTTCGGTTGTGGTTGCTTGCTTAATGGTGGAGAGATGGTAAATATCGGTTCGGGTCATGTCAGGCATAAATGGTTTTGGTGGTTCTTCATCCCTACGACGAGACACGTAGGAAGAGTAGCCCCCTCCAGTAACATCTAGGGTTGCGTAATCAGAGGCTTCTCCTTTGTAATTGGAGCAAACAGCGCGGTAAGTGCCACTGTCATCAGCTTGGCAATTGACAATCTCCAGGGTCAGCACGCCAGACATATCGGTAAACTTATATTTCTCGCCCTCTTGAATCTCTTTGCCGTTGTGATACCACTTCACTTCAGATCTTGGTTTGGACAGAATGTTTAAAGTAAATCTGGTCGTCTGGCCGACTGGGACGCGGTGAGAACGCATCCTCAACGTGATGCGCGGTCCGTGGTCGAGGGAGAAGGGCTGTTGGGTGACGACTTCATATTTTCTTTCTGTTGTTTTCTGAGTTTTTAGCGCAGATTTCATTGATTCGTATCTGGAAAAAATGTCGAACCGCGCGGTCCTTTCAAAACGTGAGAGTGAACTTTCTCTGGAGACGGGACTGGGTGAACGGGGCCGGGTTCTCTCTGGGGTAGGTGAGCGCCTTTCCGAGCCTTCGCTCTCCGAGTCCAGTATCTCAGCTGGTCGGCGAGGTCGAGACCTAATCAGTTCAGACACCGGTCGCATCAGTTCCATGTAAGTTGGGGAAAGTGATCGCCTTCTCCTCAGGAACTTCGAGACGGAGGGAGATTCCCTACGGACGTATTTCTTGACTTCCATTACTTCTTCTTCCTCGCCTACTTGTGCCTGTACAATCCCCACTTCTCGTCTACTTGTGAACCTATGCTTCTCCTCGTGTTCCATGTGCTCAAGTTCCTTTTTGTAGGAGGTCAATCTCTCGGTCATGCGATACGGTCGAAGCAGCTCTTCGTCCTCTCTGTCGTCGATTAACCTTTGCTTTTGTTTTGGTGGCTTATAAACAGCCTTGTCGTGACGTTGGCGGAGGTCAATAAAGCTTGTGCCAGCTTCATGTTTGGAAGGGATATGATATGTTTTGTACTTGCGATAATCTTCCTCCTCCTCCTCTGTAGCTAGTTGTGTCCGTAAAGATTTGTGCTGAAGTGACGATAATTCAAAACGCTGAGGGCTGTACCGTGGAGGGGAAGCAGAAAATCCTAACACAAGTTCCTCCTCGAGGCGTAGTCGTTCCTCTTCTACTCTCTTCATTGAAAGGTAGTCATCGACCGGGAGAAGCAATTCATCAACTGAAACATCGCCAAGTGATCTCCTTCTTGGCCTACAACATATTTCACACTCGGACGATAGTGAGCGTCTTCGAGCCGGTCTGACTATTTCCAGATCGTCTTGGGACGATGTTGGTATGCGCCACTTGGGCTTGTACTGATCTGTAAAGCGTGGTAAAGGCACCTCATAGAACTGTTCCCATCTCGAGAGACGGATTCGTTTGGGTCTCTTTGTCACAAGTTTCTCGATCGGTCCTGGCATTTCATACTGGTCTCGTATCTTCCTGTACCACTTCATATCAGACAAAGGCACAAATTGTTTGATATCCTGATCTTCTTCGATTGCCCTCGCTTCATGCACACGAGGTTGTGGTATGTCATATGGCATGCGCAGTTTCTTTTCTGCCTTTACCTTTTCTTCCTTTGATATTTCATATTCTCCTTGTACGTTCTTTGTGCTGACAGCTGGTTTATACAGTATAGCAGCTTCTCTCAGAGCTTCCTGTGCTACTGATGTCAATGACACATGTTCAACCTTTGCCAGTATTTCAGCCATTCGCAAGGTTTTGTCAATTTTCTTCTGAACCTGCTGTTTACGGTCCTCCTCGTTCCTATACTGATGCTTGACATAGGTCACACGCTCAACTTTTAGGTAGGCTTGACAACTTGTAGATCCGGCACTGTTGGTTGCAATAACTCTGTAAACGCCTGAGTCTTCTGCTAATGTGTCCCTAATGCACAAGACATAGTAGTCTAGACCTTCATGGATAACTTCAATATTTGGACAAAAAGGCAAAGGTTGACCATCCTTCTCCCACTTCAGAGTCGGAGGTGGTGTGCCAGACACTCTGCATTCAAAACGAACGGAGTTGCCTTCTACGCATTCTAAATTCGCCAACAAACGCTTAAACATTGGTCTTAAAGTGTTGTCTGCTGGAGGTGGGTGAGGCGTTATCGTCAGTCTGCCTTTGCAGCTATCCTCACCGTATTTATTCCGAGCTAACACAGTGTATTCAGCATCATCATCTAATGTTACATTGTGGATTAGAAGCTGGTAGAGGCCTTTGTCAGTTATAAAAGTATACTTTTTCTCATCCTCGCCTGGTTTAATCTTCTGGCCAAATTTCAACCACGTTACACGTGGTTCAGGGTGAACAGTTATGGTGACGCCGAATCTGACAGTTTCTCCGATGTACGCAGAGTGATTGTACAGAGGCAAAGTAAACTCTGGTGGCTTCTCAAGGAGCCTCATGGTATCCACTCTGCGTTTTGCTTTCCTGACCTTACGGCGAACATAATAGGAACGCATTTCTCTGACACCACTCACAAACAGTTCTGCGTAGGAGCTATCTTCACCATAGTCGTTCTGTACTTTGCATCGGTAAGTGCCATCATCTGCACCGTTGATGTCTTTAACATACATCGATGCCAAACCATCTTGGTAGGAAATTTCATATTTGCTGCTGCTTTCCAGTTGCCTAATACCAAAGTACCAAGTCACTTGAGTAGACTCATCATAGTTTTCTATCCGGCAGGAATATTTGACATGTCCGCCTTCTTCAGCAGTGGCATGCATAATTTGGGAAGTAAGAGGACCGATATCGATTGGAGCCACCTTAACTTTGGCAACAGTAACTCCACGTTGTGATCTAATAGCCCCACCGGAAGATATACGAGCAGAAGAGACGACGACATTTAAATCTTTCTTCATTATGCTCTGATAGTATCTTCTGTGTCTCAAAGTCTTAATCACTTTGGTGCTCATTCTCTCTGTCCTCTGTTTCAACCAAGGATGTTCGAGGGCGTCAGCAGCAGTCATGCGGGCCTTCCTATCTTTGACCAGGAGGCGATCTACGAAGTCTAGAGCTTCAGTTGAGACTTCTTTGAAAGCTTCGTCCTCAAAGTTGTATTCTGCGTTGCAAATGTTGTCAATAACCTGCTGGTTTGTCTCAGCCATAAATGGATTGAGGCCACAAAGAAGTATGTAGACAAGAGTACCTACTGACCACATGTCAACGGATGTACTGACCATATCGTGCTGATGCAGCTCAGGTGCTGTGTATTCTGGGGTAGTGAACTGTATCCTAATGTTATCACCGGGTTTAAGTTGTCTCGTCTGTCCAAATTCAATAATCTTAATATTGGAACTCTTTCTCGTTGTGTAAATGACATTCTCTGCTTTGATATCAAAATGGCCTATATTCTGACTATGCAGGAACTCAAGTCCTTCGCAGATCTGGCGAGTGTAGTTGATAATTTCCCTTTCAGTCAACTCAAAAGTAGTTGAGCAAATGCGCTCAAAGATATCAACGCCTGAGATGAACTCAAAGATCATGACCAGTTCTTCAAGACTATCAAATGATTCGTGCAGCTGAAGGATGCTCCGGTGTCGAGCAACATTGAAGACATTAATCTCCTTCTTCACCAATACCTGATCAGCGCCTTTTACTTTAACAAACTTTGCCATATACGTCTTCTTACTGCTGTGTTTGATGCATCGGTGCACAATACCAAACTGTCCGCGTCCTAGCTCTTCAGCAATCATGTATTTGGTGTGAAGTTCTTTGGTAGCAGAGTGAGTAGCTTTCTGTTTAGTTATCTCTCTCAGTTCATCAACCTCATCGTCATAGTTTATAACTCTGGTCTTGTCTTCTTTAGTGACGACAGGTTCAGTTGATTCCGATGGTTGACTCTGACCAAACTTGTTCTCAGCTATGACCCGGAACTGGTAGCTGGTCTTGCCAAACAGATTCACAACCGTGTAATGCGTATCACGTGATTGTCCAACACGAATCCACATTTCCGCCGTGGTTGCGCACTTTTGAATAACGTAGTTAATTACTTTGCTTCCACCATCACTAGCTGGAGCATTCCATGTTAAAGCAACAGAATCACGTGAGATGTCGCTGACCTGGATTCCTCTTGGCGAGTCAGGTACATCTGCCACATCTAGTTCAACAGTTTGCTGATCTATACCAAACCTGTTCTTGGCACATACAATGTAGAAACCAGCATCTTTCCTGTCAACTCCATTGGGGAATACGAGAGAGGTGAATGACCTGGTCACAATGACTTGAAAGTGACCGTTAGTATCGATCAGATCTTGTCCCTTTTGCCATGTGATTACAGGATCAGGCTTGCCGGAGAAAGGAATTTTAATGCTAATTACTTCACCACGGAGAGCGTGGACTGCACCCATGCCTTCCAGATGTTTGGGTAAGTGAATCTCGGCAGGAACTATTAGAAAGAAAAAAAATTACATTAAGTTTTACAAGCTAAACATTAAAGTCACAGCAGATTTAATAGATGTATTACTATTTCTTCCTGACCATTATACAACATGTTTAAGAAGTTACTGGGGAATATATACCTTCAACATCCAATGAGACTGTGGTTGAAATAGCACCTCCTTGGTTGGTTGCGCGGACTTGGTAAACAGTAGCATCTTCTCCTGTGACGCCTGTAATCACCAGTTGGTGGTAGCCACCCTTGAATTCCTGGATCTTTAACTTTACACCATCAGGCTCGATCTCTTTGCCTTGTTTAAACCATTTCACGATCGGTTTAGGATTTCCAGTAATCTTGCAAACAAAAGTGGCATTGCCCTTATATTTTATATTCAGGTTGCGTAATTCTTCTTTGAACTGCGGTGCTCTAATGGGCACGTCAGACTTTGGAATGATGGGCTCGGATACCTCGCTCCAGTCACTCTCACCGCCAAGGTTTTCACACTTGACGCGGAACTCATACTCCAGGCCCTCGATGAGGCCTTCCGCAGAGTAAACGGTCTCACGGATTTCATCGGTTGTGGCGGCGATCCATTTGTTCTGCTTCTTCTCGCGCTTCTCAAGGTAGTAGTTTCTAATCTTTGCACCACCATCACTAGTGGGTGGCTTCCATGATACCACACAAGAGTCCTTTGTGACAGCGGCTACAGTAGGTTTGGACGGTACACCAGGCTTCCCTGTACAGGACAAAATAAAAAGAAAGAAAATTCAAGTTGACGAGATAATAAATCAAAAATTAAGCCTGGTACGTAAGCACCTCAAGTGGACTGAGACATTACTCTGCGTGAGTGCAAGTAAATGTAACTCGTTTTTGCTGTTGACTTACCAAATGCACTCTTGATGATGACAATGGCTGAGACTTCCAATGCCTGACTGACACCAAACTGGTTTTGAGCAGAAACACGGAAGTAGTATCCAGCATTATCGATAAGGTTTACGATTCTGCAAGATGTGCCAGCGATAGCAGATGATACAAGCTTCCATGTTTCTCCTTCTTTGGCTTCACGCTTTTCTACAATGTAATTGGTGATCATAGCTCCTCCGTTATCAATTGGTGGTTTCCAGCTGATCACTGCCGAATTCTTCAGGAAAGCATCCATTACTATTGGCCCTTCAGGCATATCTGGTTTACCTGTAGAGAAACATAACTGGTTTTAGACTTACTGTTACAGTGAGTGAATTATCTAGCAACAAATGGTATCAAACTATAAAACTACCGCATAAACTGAACTCGATGAAATTACCTTGTATTTCCACATTAAGTATAGTATCCACTGTTCCAAACACGTTGCTAAGTTGCACTTTGTATTTTCCAGCATGGATTTTCCGTTGGACGTTTCTGATCACGAGGTGAGTGTAGTTTTCTGTGTTTTCTATCAATACAGTCTCTGAAACTGCTAACGGTTTCTTGCCGTGGAACCAGTGAATAGCAGGCACAGGACGACCAATGTATACCACGTGGATGCGGAGACTTGTGCCACTACCAACTATATACTTTTCTTTCAATGGGAATCCAGAGTGGAACATTGGAGCTGCTTGGAGCAAGAGTTTGCCAGTAAGCTCAGTCTCCCCTGCGTCATTGGTGGCCTTGCAGGTGTACGAACCTTCATCCTCCTGATCTTCTGTTTTAACAGTTAATGAATGGTTACGTCCGTCTGAGCTCATTTTATACTTGCGGCTTTGAATTAGTTCTTTGGTATAATGGTACCATTTGATGTCGGGAAGTGGTTTACCAATTATCTGGCAGCTCAGTGTTGCTGTCTCACCCAATTTAGCTGTAACATCTTTTACTTCTTGTCTAACTGCTGGTGCTTCTCCAGCTGTTGTTTTTTTTAAAAAAGAAAAAGCACAATTAGCAATTGTTGGTTTCATCAACATATAGAATGTATTCATTTTAAATCTTACAAAAAAAAAGTACAAATCTAAAGACGTACATGTTAGTTTGGTCTTGATTGCTACAGGAGTTCTACGAGGCCTGCCGATTCCGGTCTCATTCTCGGCAAAGACTCTGAATTCATACTCCGTAGACTCCAGAAGGCCTCCCTGTGTAAACTGTCTGTCTTTGGTGCGGTCCTTGTTGCATTTCTTCCAGGCACTATCGCCAGATTGACGGTACTCAATCCAGTAACCAATGATATCCTTGCCACCGTCACATTCAGGACGCTCCCATTTAATAGCGATGCTATCCTTTGTGACAGAAATGATCTCGATTTCTCCAGGTTGGCTTGGTTTATCTGGGGGTAGAAAGTGAGTGTTTTGATTAGAAATACATGATCAAAAAATGGATGACGTACGTTAATGATACATTTGTCCTATGAAGAATTTGCAACCACACTGTGTTTCAAATCTCAGACTTAACTTCAATTCATTCAAATGAAAGATTTAAGTGCAGTCATAAAAATATAACATACCAAAGGGATCCTTGCATATAACACTATCTGATGCTTGACTTGGTTCACTGGATCCTATGTCATTCTGTGCAATGATACGGAACTGATATTCAGCATCCGGTACAAGTCCTGTGACCGTGTACATTGTTGTAGTAATTTGGGTCTTGTTTTGTCGAACCCATTTATCTGTAGTAGATTCTTTGCGATCAATAAAATAGCCAGTGACGCGAGATCCACCATCATCCTTTGGCCTTGCCCAGGATAGAGAGACGGACGTTTTGGTAACATCCAGGATTTCTGGAGGGTTGCTTGGAGGCTCTGGTGGATCTAAAACAAAAAGCAGTTCATTCGTTATTGACTGTAGAGATAGTCACGATGACACTCCATTATCAACATTAACAAAAATCTTTCCATTTCTATAGTCTGGAAACCTTACACATAATTTACAAGTAATTACTACCAAGTGTAGTGACTGCAAACATAAGAAGCACATTGCATACACCAAGATCACACACACACACACACACCCACAAACAGTCACCAAGTAAATGACTAATTAATCTGAAGAATTGCTGAAGACAATTTACCAAATCGTAAGATAATATTTTAGTCCATGTTCAACACGTTACACTTACTTAGTTGTGTCTTTGGTATAACTGGCTCCTCAGATTTTAGAGATTGACTGATGCCAAAGTTATTTTCAGCAGAAACTCGGAAGTGATATTCTATGTTTTCTTTCAGGCCTCTAACAACAATGGAACACTCCTTTACTGTGCAATCAACAGTGTACCAGGCAGTTTTGGGCACCTCACGTCTCTCAACAATATACGCAATGATGTCCGATCCACCATCATCAGTGGGAGGTCTCCAGCTAACTCTGACAGAACGAGCTTGTATGTCATCAAATTCAAGTGGTCCTTCCGGACGATTCGGGATTCCAATCACTTTCACCTTAATGTAAGCTGCCTTTTTGCCACATTTGTTTTCAAGGACCAGGTCATAAGTGCCTGAATCTTCTCTATCTGCTTCTTTTATCACAAGTTCAGTGTCGGTGTCACTGGACGCAATCATAGCACGGTGGCTGACATCACGACCTTCCTTCGTCCACTTACAAACAGGAATAGGTTTGCCTTTGATTGGCACAGTCAGCCTGATGACTCCACCTTGTCTGACCAGTAGGCCTTCCATATATTTAGGATCAAGTTCATAATCAGGATATGCTGGGGAAAAAAATAAAAATAATTCAACTTTTAACACAGCAAAGATACAATAACAACAATAATCATGTTATTACCCCAAAACCAAACTTCTGCGAAATGTGTCAGGAAGGGAGGTAGAAATAAAAGAAAATATCTGAAGATTAACAATTCTCACCTATCATTTCAGTGACTTTGACTGTTCCTGGGACATCAGCAGGTTCACCAGATCCACCAGCATTAACTGCTAATATCCTGAACCTGTATTCAGCTCCCTGTGGCATGTGAGTCAGAGTGTATTCACAGATCTTTGTTGGAGTGGTATTGCACTTGGTCCATTCAAACTGATCGATTTTCTGCATCTGAATGAGGTACCCGGTGACCTTGGAACCTCCTTCTTCTTCCGGTGGGTTCCAAGCAAGAGACACGGATGTTCGTGTGGTGTCTGTAACTCTTGGGTTCTGGGGCTTTTCGGGTGGTTCTACGGAAGACAACAAATCAAGTTAATACCACAACTAGTTAATAATAATAGTGATCCTTGCATCTGATGTAGCATCTTATCATGTCTTCGAGATGTCTCTTTGCGTTTCACAGGATATACTGTAAAATGAATTGATTGTGTACTGTATAATGACTACAGGTATATACTTTACCTATTGGGTCCATGGCAATTGCAGGCTTGGTTGGCCGACTTGGTTTGCTTTCACCTCTTGCGTTGATAGCAGTCACTCGGTGTTCATACTCTAGTCCTTCAATGAGTCCAGTGGAACGGTACCTTGTCATAGTCACAGGTACTTTGTTGACTCGGACCCACCGTTCAGCTCTCAGTTCTTTGCGTTCAATGATGTACCCGGTAACCTGGGAGCCACCATCTTCAACTGGCACATCCCAAGTAATGGTCATTCCATCACGAGAAATATCGAATACCTGGGGCGTATCAGGAGGTTCAGAGGTGTCTGTTGGAAAGAAAAGGTCAAAAATGTTTCTTTCCTGGTCGTTTAGTCATTTTACATGGCAGGGACAGGATTCTTAACAGAATATCAATTAAAAAAGTTAAAAAGCCAATTTTATTTGAAATGATATTTTTAGGATTTATTTTAGCAGCTTAGAGTTGATACTATAGGAATAAGGCTACGTTGATAAAATATGGGTTTATTGTCAGTGTCACTTGCAGCTGAAGTTCTACAGAACAGGTTAGTCTGTCTACGGAGAAGGCAATAGAAGGATATGGGAGGGAGCAAGGAGTGCGGAGAGACTCATGAGGAGTATAAACACTGGGCAAGAACTGACTGGGCTGAATGGCTTGCTTTCTCAGCTTTGAGAGAAAGTCAGCAGCAGTTTCTGTAGCACTGCTAACAGCTTGAGGATCAACACAGTGAAGAAAGCATAGGACACATTGTATGTTTTGTAACGCCTCTAATTACCAGTACACTTGTTTGCAATAAACTTACCGATCGCACTCTTGCACTGTACAATGTCGGATTGTAAGAATGATCCGATGCCAAAGCGGTTTGTAGCTGCTACACGGAAGACGTATTCAGTGCCTTCAATTAATCTAATGAATTTGAACATGGTCCTTGTAACAGATTCAGACACTGGCAGCCATCCTGGGCGATGAGCATCACGTTGTTCAACCACATAGCCAGTGATGGTCGCTCCACCTTCTTTCTCTGGTGGGTCCCAGCTGATAGTCACAGAGGTGGCATCAATCTCATCAAATCGAATTGGACCTGTGGGGTACCCTGGCTTGTCTGCAAAATAAATTGATGTACATTTATTAAGGACACAAGAAAGTAAGAAACCCTAGATGAGAATAAGACCAAGGTCCATTTATTTTGCCTTGCACCTTCCTGGCGGTCACACATACAGATGTCCCGAACTACCCTATGTGCTATATATCCCATAATGTTATTTCCTAAAAGAAAATGATCTAATCTGTGTTTGAAGGAATTAACATTTTCTGCTTCAACCGTCTCCCCAGGGAACCTGTTCCACAGGTTCATGATTCGAAAAAATTAATTATTGAACGTTTGAAAAATTATACAAGCAAAGAACAGCTCCAAGAGTGCACGCCTGAAGCCGAATTTTATTTCAGCGAAGTGCTCGTGAGAATTACTTACCAAGGATGATCACTTTGATAGATTCAGTAGTGGTTCCAGCAGTGTTTTTCAGCTCAAGCATGTAGTCACCGGTGTCACTGATAGTGGTTTCACGCACGGTAAGCTTCACTACTTTAGCTGATTTTTCCATCTTGATCCGATCGCCCTCTCTCATTTTGTTTCCAGCAAAGTACCAGGAAGCCGCGGGATATGGACGGCCACCGATCGGAATAACCAGCTCAATGGGCTTGCCAGCGTGCACTGAAACGGTCTTTTGAGTTATGCCCACTAAATCTATCGTTGGCACCACTGTTGAAGAAAATAAATAAAAGTACCATTAATTAGGGGCTGAAGCTAATACGTTCGTCATAGTACTGAATAGGTTTGTGAGCTACCATCTGAGTACCAAATACATTTTGAAAATATACGTACCTTTCTGTTCCTTTACAGTGACAGCAGTCACAATCTCTCTGGCTTCACTCATACCCTTCGCATTTAGGGCGTGGACTCTGAAGAGGTATTGCTCGTTCTCATTTAGAGAGATGATGGTGTGCTGGAAGACCGTCTGTTTAACGGTGGCAACCTTCATCCATCTGTCTGTACCGGCCTTGCACGCTTCAATTACATAACCAGTCAATCTAGAGCCTCCATCATGTAGTGGTTTCTCCCAGGCTAGTGTAACTGAGGTCTTGGTGACATCAATCACTTCTAGTTTCTGTGGAACCATAGCAACTTCAGACACAAGCACAGAATCTGCTACTTCACATGGTTCACCAATTCCATAGATATTCTCTGGCAAGACTCTGAAATAGTACATGCTTCCTTCGTGGAGTCCGGTTATTCTGTAAATTGTCTTGTTGCACTTAATTGTCACTGTCTTGAATGCTCTCATAGCTGCTTCACGTTTCTCAATGATATAGTTATTGATAGGTGCTCCACCATCGATTAATGGCACTTCCCAAGTTAAAACCACAGAATCCTTTGTGACTTCCTTAACCTTAACCACACCAGGTGGGCCAGGTGTATCTGAAAACAAAACAATGTAATTAATATTTCAAATGTTTCGAAATGTTAAGCAGAAATTGACAACACAACACGTTGCTCGTGTAGGATTATACATAAAAGCACTTGATTGTTATGATATGGAGCAAAAAGCAGGTGGGAAGAAGGGACAAAGTGATATATTTTTAAGATGATTTGGAAGACACAGAGAGAGGAGACAAAGCAAAGAGATTTTGTATTATATTAATAATAGTAATAATCCTTGCATTTGATATAGCGTCTTGTCACATCTTCGAGATGTCTCAAAGCTCTTTACAGAACATACTATAAAGTGAATCGACTGTATATTTTATCAGTGGCTTCAAAAGGCAGGGCATAGTGGCTAAGGACTCGGCCACCAATGGTGGGAAGGAGGAAGTGAAGAAGAAGCAGTAAATAAATCAGAATTGAAAAAGCAATATTAAAAACACATTTTTCCACATACCGTATACTTTGACAACAATAGTTGCTGCTTTCTTGCCAGATGGGTTTTCAGCCTCAATGATGTATTTTCCCGCATCGTAACGATTCACTTTGTCGATTATTAGCAGTGAGTAAGAATCGGTTGTATCAATGAAACCACGGCTCATGAGATCGACACCAGACTTGCTCCAGTTTATTATTGGAGCTGGTCTTCCCGATACAGAGACCATTAAGCGGAGAGAGCCACCAGCTCTAACAGTGACAGTTTTCTTCAGGTCATCATCAAGCTCAAGGTCTGGGATTGCTAGAAAGAATGAAATGTATTAGCAGAACCCAGATGGAAAACAAGATAGTAACTCTTCAAAAAATGTTTTATTAGATTTTATCCAAAATTAACAGCGTCCAAGAGTTTGGGGATTATTAGGTGGGATTTTAACATTTCTTCCTAGTAAATTCACACACAGTACAATTTTGATTATGATGATAATAATAATAAGTATGCACACTGAGGTTTTTTTACTGGGATTCACAAAGGGATTAGAAATGAGCATTTCTAAGATATGTCATGACTGACTCTGTTGCACGGACGCTTGAAATCAACATTTGAATTTGAGTTGCAGACATAATCACAATTCACTAGTTTCACATCTACACTTTGCAAAATCTTGTATCCTAATGCTGGTGATGTCTGGGCAGAAAAGAGTAAAGTATTGAAAACCCCTGTGATTCTGGTTTTCAAATCCATGCCACTTACCTATCCTTTCAACTGTTTCGATTTCAGCAGATGATTCACTGAATTCACTTATTCCGTTGATATTGACAGAAGCCACTCTGAAGAAGTACTTCTTGCCAGTTACAAGGGATGCAATCGTGTACTCAGTGTTCCTTAGGGAAGAAGTCGTGTGTGCTCTGTACCACTGCTCTGTACCTTCCTCTTTCATTTCAAGTACATAGCCGATGATATCAGAACCACCATCGTACATGGGTCTTGTCCATGCTAGGCTAATGCTGTGCCGGGTTGTGTCCACAACTCTTGGCGCTGAAGGTAATCCAGGTGTATCTGATTGTGAATAGAAATAGATTAGGTTCAGAAGCATCTGTAAAGATAGTGATCGAAAAAATAGTTTCAGTTATGAAAATTCTGAAACGTTTGTGTGTTGTAAAAGCACAACTTACATGTAGGTTCTTTGCAAAGGATGTACTGTGACGATTCACTTGGTTCACTGTTGCCAGCTGCGTTCACCGCTGAAACACGGAATTGGTACTCACAATTTTCCATTAAACCTGTCACTTTGAGTCTAGTGTCATAAACAGTATAATCTCTGTTGACCCGTGTCCAGCGCACACTTCGTTTTTCACGCTTATCTACCAGGTAGTTTCTAATTTCAGCTCCGCCATCAGTTTCGCACTTCATCCATTGGATGATGATATGTTCTTTACCAACTGCAACAAACTGTGGCTCCCCAGGTTGTGATGGAACAGCTGTTTACAACAATACGAGTGCATTAGCTTTCAGTAATACCTTGAATAATAATAATAATCATACTTGTATTTGATGTATTGTCTTATCACATCGTCGAGACGTTTCAAAGCGCTTCACAGGATATACTGTAAAGTGGATTGACTGTGTGTTTTGTGAGCGAAACGTGGCAGACAGTTGCACACGGCAATGTCCCACAAACAGCCAGGGGATTGTTAACCAGGACACCGAGAAAAACTCCCTTCTCTTTTCGAATAGTGCCACAGGATATTTAACGTCTCATCCGAAGAACGACAATGCAACATACCCTCAGCAATGCATTGGAGTGTCACCTTAGACATTGTGATTCCAATACCCGAAGTGGGGCTTGAACCCAGAACCTTCTGACTCAGAGGCGAGAGCGCTAAAGCTGGACCAGGCTGACACATGAGGTACTAATGCAAGTTAATGTAACGTTGGTCGGGCGGTTAATAATGTTTAAAGAAAACATGACGTGGGCACTTACTGAATAGGTTTCTGGCCACTACAGGTCCAGACTCGAGCAGTACACCGGGTCCATATTTGTTGACTGCTCTTACTCTGAAAATGTATTCATTGTTCTTTACAAATCTCGAAGCAACAGTGGAAAGAGTGAGGCACTCAGGTTCAACAATTGCCCAGTTAAGTCTGCTGGTCTCACGTCGCTCCACAATAAAGTGTGTAATCTCGGCTCCACCATCTTCTAGTGGCATATTCCATGTCAAAGTGCATTTTTCCTCAGTGACTCTGCTGATGGTGATTGAACCTTCACAAGGCCCTGGTGAATCTAAACAGAACATGAATCACAAAGTTCAGATACCAATATAGTTCCTTCATAAATTTATACCTCGATTAGTTGCTCAAATGCACTTACTGCCTTTTGTGATAGAAAACTTACCGAGCACTTTAACATTTACAGATACGGTCTTAATTCCACTTGGATTTCTCACAGTTAGTGTGTATTTTCCAGTGTCACTTCTGTCGCAGAACTTAATGATGGCGATGGCCCGCTTGTTAGTGTACTGCAGAGAAATCTTTTCACAAAGCTCCAGTTCTTTGTCTCCCTTAGACCAGAAGACCTTAGGATCAGGTTTCCCACCAACAAACGCATCAAGTACAAGATCTGAGCCAGCTCTTATGGTTACCACTTCTCCAAGCAGTCTGGTGTGTAGTTCAGCCTTTGGTGGTACTGGAAGTATAAATAAACAACAGGTGCATAAGTGACTTTTGAAAGCGAATTTGTAGTGTTAATATAAAATTCAAGTCTGATAATCAATGGCTATTGACTATAAAATTGTACATGATTGAATTGTACTTTATTCAAACGTACTATATTCATCTCTGCAAGTGACCGGTCCAGTGGATTCAGATGGTATACTGATGACTCCACTTGCATTCTTAGCTAAAGCACGGAATTCATAAACCTCTGCTTCACTGAGCCCTGACACTGTGTAGAAGGTATCTGTGATAGAAGTGTAGTTGCACTTCAGCCAGCGACCTTCGCCAGTCTCAGAATATGGCTTACGCTCCACAACATAACCAACAATCTTGCTTCCGCCATCGTTGATTGGCACTGTCCATTTCAGCGAAACAGATGAATTGTCAACATCTGTAACTTCAGGTCGACCTGGAGGATCTGTAAACAAATGTGAACAGAGGGAAATATTATTTTCAGTTGCAATTTGCAATTAGCTGTAGATTTAAAAAAGTGCAATGGCTTCACGTATACATATCTCTTATTTTATGTGTGTACTTACCAACAGGATTTTGAGCGATTTGTGGTCTGGATGCTTCACTGGCTTTGCTTAAGCCAGCTTTATTCATGGCATAGATTCTGAACTGGTACTCCAAGCCTTCTACTAGGCTGGATATTTTGTAGTGACACTCGATGCATGGTATTTTGTTTTCCTTCACCCAAAGAATGCTGTTGCGTTCCTTCTTTTCAATCCAATAGGCATTGACTTTGCTACCACCATCATGGTATGGTTCTTCCCATCGAACAGACATGGCACTCGAAGAAACAAAGTAGACATCTGGCCTAGTTGGTGCACTTGGTGGAACTGTAGTATGTGCAAAAAAAAAATCATGCTTAATTTTTAATCCGTTATAAAGCATGTAACTACACATTTACAACACATGAGTTCAATTCAGAAGTATGTTTGTTTGTTGCTTTTACTTACCAAATGGATGCTCAGCGACTATAGGAGCTGATTCTAACGGTTTGCTGACACCAAATCTGTTCTCTGCAGAGACACGGAAGTTGTACTCCATGTATTTTGTCAAACGGGTGACTTTAATTTGAGTGCGTTTCACACTGGAGTTGACCAGCTGCCAGACTGTAGTACCAGATTCACGTTTTTCTACAATGTAGTTGGTGATTTCTGCGCCACCATCATCTTCGGTCTCTTGCCATGACAATACGCAGGACTCCGCAGAAACTGATGAGATTTCTATGGGGCCAGTAACAGAACCTGGTCGGCCAATAACATTAACAGTCACGGTAAAAGTCTTGACTCCTGCTGTGTTTTCCAGTGTTAAGTAATATTTGCCAGAGTCGCCTCTCAGACTTTCCTTCATGCACAGAGTGGTTCTCTCTTTTGTTGTCTTGATGCTGACTCTATCAGTTTCTTTAAGTCTCATCTCCTCGAGTTTCCAAGTTACCTTGGGTGGTGGACGTCCACTGATAGGAACATCGATGGTAAAGGAACTTCCGCTTTTGCAAGTGATCGTTTGATTGGTGATGCCAGTGAGATCCGCTTTAGGCTCTATCCGTGGTTCTTTAATAATAACAGATGAAAAGGACTCTCTTGGTTCACTGTAACCAGCATCGTTCTTGGCTTGGACACGGAATTCATACTCTGTGTTTTCTACAAGTCCATCAACTGTAACCTGAAGAAGTTTGGTGTTACAGGCATCAACCCAGTGATCTGAACCCTTCTGCTTCATCTGTATCAGGTAACCAGTAATTCGACTACCACCATCGTGCTCTGGTTTCATCCAAGCCAAGTCAGCAGAGGTCTTGCCAGTGTCAACAATATCCAGTCTCTTCGGTGGTGCCGGTTCCTCTGTGGCAATGATAGGTTCTGCCATTTCATAAGGCTCGCCGACGCCATATTCGTTTACTGCCATGACGCGGAAGTAGTATTGCACCCCTTCAGCAAGGTCTCCTATCTTTAAGATCTGTCGGGAACACTTTCCACTAATTTCTTGCCAGCTACGCCGACTAGCTTCGTGCTTTTCTATAATGTAATGGCGAATGCTTGAACCTCCATCAATAACTGGAGCATCCCACATCAATGTCACTGATCCTCTTGTAACGTCTTTGAAGGTGATTGGGCCCGGAGCTCCCGGAGTGTCTAGTACCTTGACTGTGAATGTAATAGATTTGCTGCCGCTATTGTTCTCCAAACTAAGTGTGTATTTACCAGCATCGTACCTATTGCAGTTTTCTATTGTTAAAACGCTGAATGTGTCAGTTGTGTTAATGTGAGCGTGTATCCCAATGGATGAATCTGCCTTGGACCAAGTAACAACAGGTACTGGTCTGCCTTGGAAAGCAATGCTGAGTTGAACTGTGCCTCCAGCTTTGACAATGTGGATTTGCTTGAAACTGGCATCAATATCAATTTCAGGTGACGTTAACCTATCTACAGCTTGCACTGCGGAGGCTACCTCACAGCTATCTCCTTTGCCTGCACTATTGACGGCACAGACACGGAATGTGTACTCTTCCGTAGCTTCCAACTCAGTAACAGTGTATTTGGTGTTGACACACGCCTCTGCGTTCACCTTATTCCAATTGCCAAGAGCGGTCTTGCACATCTCAATGATGTACCCGATGATCGGCATGCCTCCGTCAAACACAGGCTTGGTCCATTCCAAGCTCACGGATGTCTTTGTTGTGTCTGTGACTCTGACAACTGTAGGCGCACCTGGTGGATTAACTGGTTCTCTGCATTTAACAAGTCTTGAGATTTCGCTTGAGGGTCCGACTCCAGCATCATTTTCAGCCGTGACACGGAACTCGTATTCGTTCCCTTCAGTGAGTCCAGTTATTCTATATCTGGTTTCTGTGATGGTTCTCTTGCTAAACACTTTGACCCACCGCATGCTCTTTTTCTCACGTCGCTCAAGGATGTATTGTTTGATTTCATTTCCTCCGTCAGATCGTGGTCTGGACCAAGTCACTGTGATACTGTCTCCTGTTACATAGGTTGGTTCTGGAGTTCCTGGGGGATCAGGTGTGGCTGTGAAAATACAAACATTAACGAATTAGGCCTGACTGAAGCAGACGAAAAGTGTGTGGGGCGATGGGGCTGGGGGTGGGGGGGAGAAATAATCAATGTAAAATTGTAGGAAAACAAAACGTACTGTATTGTATCTGTGCAATAACTGGTTCAGAATCTAATGGTCTTCCAACACCAAATTTGTTGACACTGGATATACGGAACTGGTACTCGTTGCCCTTGATTAGTTTGGTAACTGAGAATGAGCAGGCTTCGCAGTTATCACTGACCATTGACCAAGCAATTCGGCTCGTCTCTCGTTTCTCAATCACATAGTGGGTAATTACGGCACAGCCGTCATTATCTGGAGGTTCCCACCACAATGTGAGTTTTTCTCCAGTAATATTGCTGAATCGGATAGGTCCAATTGGTTTTCCTGGGGTATCTGAAATAAAATCAAAATTGTGAGTCATCCAGTTTTGTTCAGCAGTAACTAAGACATGCTACATCCTTGCATTGTCGCTTAACACACCATCAAAACACTTTGAAGCCTATCACAGGATTTTACTGTAAAATGAATTGATTTTATTTGCAGGCGAACATAATAATAATCCTTGCATTTGATTTAGCACCTTATCACATCTTGAGACGTCTCAAAACGCTTCACGGAATATATTGTAAAGTGAATTGACTGTAGATTTTGTGTGTGAAACGTGACAGCCAGCTTGTACAACGTTATGTCCCACAAACAGCCATGAGTGAATGACCAATATATAGGAGGTCGTTTTACTAGTACACTAAAAACTCCCTTCTCTTTCTCAAATAGTGCCTTGGGATCTTTAACTAGACTACGAGCTTGAAGTCCTGGATGTGAGGTTTGAACCCATAACCTTCTGATGCAGAGGTGAGAGTGCTACCAACTGAGTCAGGCTGACACGTTATTGTACTCATGTGATAGACTGACTAAGAAAAGTAGATGTAAAAGTCAAATTCCTCCAAATACCTTGAACTCTGACAGTAATATCAGCCTTCTTGCTGCCAGATGCATTCTTGGCTTCCACAGTGTATACACCACGGTGATCCCGTGAGGCGTCTCTGACAAAGACACTGCTAGATCCAATAACATTGGTGATGTCTACCATCAACTTCTTGTCAATTTCTTTTCCATCTTTGAACCAAGTAACCTGGGGTAATGGACGGCCTTTGATATGCACCTTCATTCGAATTGCCTCACCCGATTTTACGGTCAGGCCTTCAAAGTGCTCAGCACCAAATTCAATTGTTGGTGATACTGTAGAGAGAAAGTTGAATAAGTTACGTAGATAAAAAAAAAGCCAAGAAATAATTTTTTGACAGAAATACTTTACGGCAGGCATGTCACGTAATTTTAGTTTGTTTTGTTTTAGTACTTACTGCTTTCATCTCTGGTCATGATGTATCCGGATGACTGAGAAGGTGGGCTCATTGTTCCTACTGCATTTCTAGCAATTATACGGAATTCATATCGGTCACCAGGGCTAAGACCTGAGACTGTATACTGACACTCGGAAACATCAATAAAATTGCACCGTAGCCAACGTCCACTTGCTTGGCGTTTTTCAACACAATAGCCGACAATCTTACTTCCACCATCGCGTAGTGGTGCATCCCACTTAAGTGTTACAGTATCCCTTGTGAGATCGATATAATCGGGTGTACCGGGTGGATCTGTACAAATGAATGGGCATTATTAATTTTTAATTGTTTGGATTAAACTAGAATTAAACATGAGTAATTTTTTCTGCTGTTATAATTTGCAGCAATTGATTACTTACCAACTGGTGAGACAGCCAGATGTAATTTACTCAATTCACTGACTGGACTTAATCCAACACTATTTTCAGCATAAACACGGAACTGGTAGTCCAGACCCTCGATGAGTCCTATAATTCTATAATCTCTGCCAGAAATGTATGCTGTGTTGACCTTCTGCCACAAGATGCTGTTCCTTTCCTTCTTCTCAACATGATAACCAATTACTTCGGAACCGCCGTCATATACTGGTGCGTCCCACGTGATTGTCATACCATCGCAGGTAATATTGTACACAACAGGCTTGCCGGGAGGACCAGGAGGTCTGAACTGGTGTTTTGCGATAACATCCATTGAATTAAGTGGCGCACTTATTCCATATCTATTTTCAGCTCGGATTCTGAACTGGTACTCCAAGTCTTTGACCAGGTTTGGAACCTTAAAGCTTGTTCTGGTGACACTGGAGCAAACCATTTTCCAGCTGGTTTGCGAGGTTTCACGCTTTTCAACGCTGTAGCAAGTGATCTCACTTCCTCCGTTATCATCAGGGACATCCCAGGAAACGATGACGCTGTCCGCTTTCACTTCATCAAATTTGACTGGTCCCTTCGGCTTGGATGGAGGACCCAGAGTAAAAACAGTGATGCTGAACGATTTTCTGGAAACAGCATTTTCCAAGATTAAGGTGTATTTCCCACCGTGTTCTTTCTTGACGTTCTTGATATTTAAAGTCGCTTTGGTGGCTGTTTTCTTGTACCGAATAAACTCGGTTTCTTTTAACGGAGCATTATCTTTCAGCCATTGGATACTCGGCTGCGGTTTGCCCTTATAAGGCAGTTCAATGTGGATATTGTGTCCAATTCTGACACTAATCTGTCCTCCTGGAATTTCAGATAAATCTGCTTCAGGCGTGATAACATAATCTTTCACTGTAATGGGTCCGATTGTAACACTGTCACTTAGTCCTTTTTCGTTTTTAGCAAATACTCGGAAATCCATAGCTGTTAGCTCCTTTAATTTAGTGGCTTCAAATTCGCAAACTTTGCAAGTTCCAGCACTGGACCATTCGGTCTCCTCTTTCAGTTTCTTTTCGATGATGTAGTCTGAGATGATACTTCCTCCATCATAATCAGGTTTGTTCCATTGTAACACAACAGACGTCTTTGTGGAATCCTTCATTGCGAGCTCTTTGACGGGTCCTGGCACTTCAGTGGCTTTCACTGCTTCCGTGGTCTCACATGGGACACCCAATCCGTTCTCATTCTCTGCCATTACTCGGAAAAAGAAAGATGTCTTTTCTGACAGGTTGGTCAGTTTGAACATGGTTCCACAGCATTTGGTAGTGACACAAGACCAGGCTCTCTTTGTTGCATCTCTTTTTTCGATGACATAATTACAAATTGCAGAACCGCCATTTACAAGAGGAGGGTCCCAGATTAATGTGACTGTGCTTCGGGTTACATGCTTGATCTGTATATTCTGACAAGCCCCGGGAGTGTCAAGGACCTTTACAGTCACAAAAGTTGATTTGGCTTCACCGACGCCATTTTCAATTGTCAACACGTATTTGCCCGAATCCTCACGACTGACCTGAGGAATAGTCATGAATGTGGTTGACTCAGTGTTGTGGATGATATATTTCTCATCCCCGTTGATCAGTTTCTCACCCTTCCTCCATGTGACATTTGGAGTAGGACGGCCTTTAAAGGGTATCATGATCTCCACGTCTTCGCCTGCTTTTACTGTTATTGAACTTCTCATCACAACGTCAAGATCGATCTCTGGCCCTTCTGCAATAGTTTAAAAAAAGAAACGTATATTTTAGAGAAAAAAAATACATTTTTACGCTTTGTATAAAATCATTTTTATAAACCGTTGACTTACCAAGTATGTCCTTAGCTTGCACAGGTTCTGTCATTTCAATTGGCTCTCCATGGCCAGCAATGTTGACGGCACTGACCCGGAAGTAATAGTTGATACCAGGTTGTAAGTGGGCCACAACATATTCTGAAGTTCTGACTTCACCCTTTGCACTGACCACTGTCCATTCCTCTTCCTCAGCTTCCTTCTTTTCAACAACGTAGCTTGTTATCGTACTTCCTCCATCGTAGACTGGTTTAGTCCAGCTCAGAGTGATGGACGACTTAGTAGTGTCGACAATCTTCAGTTTGGTTGGTTCGCCCGGTGGATCTGCGGGTACAAGCACAGACACATTTATTTACCCTTTTTTAATAAGCCATATCGCTTAAGTTTAAATACAGGCTCATCTTTAAACTTGAAATAAACTTTGGAATATCTCTACGTACCAACTGGATCGGCGGCTTTGTAGAAATCGGAGATGTCAGAAGGTGGGCCGAGTCCAGCTGCATTCATGGCGCTCACGCGGAATTGATACTCGTTCCCTTCGGTGAGGCCGGAGACCTTTTGCCTGGTGTCACGGATGGGTTCCTTAATGACTTTGAACCAGCGAAGACTCCTTTTCTCTCGTTTTTCCAAGAAATAACCAATTATTTCATTGCCGCCATCAACGGTAGGCCTCGTCCAGGTGATAGTCATTGTCTGTTTAGTTATCATTGTGGCTTCGGGCATGCTGGCTTGTCCAGGTGTCACTGTTTAAACGAGAATCTCAGGGTTATTCTTTGTGGGTAAATAATCCACGACAACTCTAGAGATGCAACTATGTACGTGCAAATAACAATACAAGTGGTCTTACTGTCTTACCAAATGCATTCTTAGCGATAACAACATCAGATTCCAGTGGTTCACCAACACCGTATTTGTTCACACCCCTGACACGGAATACATATTCATTGCCTTTAATGAGTTTCTGCATTGAAATCATACAAGTTTCCAACTTGTCTGTTATGAGAGACCAAGCGACTCGGCTTGTCTCGCGTTTTTCAACGATATAGTGGCTGATAGAAGCTCCACCATCGTCCTCTGGAGGGTTCCACATGATAGTGATTTTCTCGGCTGTGACAGTCTTGAATTCTATCGGACCTCCAGGAGGGCCAGGTTTGTCTGTGAGAGGAAAACAAATAATTTACTAATAATCAACAGTTTGAAAATCAGCGTATTTCTTCCTTAACACTGAATATACAATACAATAACATTTGTATAGCGCCTTTCACGTTGGGAGGACGACCCAAGGCGAATATGAATACATACCTAGTATCAGTACTCTAATTGTTGCTGTTCCTGAGCCCATGGAATTTTTAAGTTTAATTTCATAGTTTCCACTGTTGATACGACTGGCATCCTTAATTAATACTGCTGCCGATTCAGTTGTACTTTCAATAGAGACTTGAGCACTAGTCTCAAGTTCTTTTTCATTCTTGTACCATTCAATGGATGGGAAAGGCTTGCCAGAGATGCCAACTTTAAGTTTCACAGCAGAATCAGCCTTATATTTGACAATATCCAAATATTCCATCGGCAGATCAATCTGAGGAGCACCTATAAAACAAAATCACCAGGAGTTACGGAGCTGTAAGCACTTACCACCTAACGATAACTCTTTATAATTGCGTTATGTTGGCAGAAAAATAATTACCATAGGTGTCATGGCATGTTACAGGTCCAAGAACGTCAGATGGATTGCTTATAGAACCATTTGCGTTCTTAGCAAATACACGGAATTCATATTGTGCATCTTCAGTCAGACCTGAGACACTGAATAGAGTCTCAATGACATTAATAAAGCTGCCCTTTGTCCATCGTCCATTCGGCAGATCGCGCTTTTCAACAATGTAGCCGGTGATCTTGCTACCACCATCGTAAGCAGGTTTTTTCCAGCTGAGGCTTACAGCGTTCTTTGTAACATCTGTTGCACGTACATTTGTTGGGGGTTCTGAAAAAGAAAAGTGCGATGAGATTTAGTTTATACGTTCACACCTCAAAATACTAATGCTGTGTAAACACAGAGCTGATCAGGTGAGAAGACACGACAGGTTATTTGAATACCTACCGCAAGCATCAATCGCAAGAACTGGATCGGAAAGATGGCTAACTTTGCCAATGCCTGCAGCGTTTTGTGCATACACCCGGAATTCATAGATAAGTCCACCAGTGATATGAGTGATCTTCATGTGTGTCGTACGTATGATAGTCTTGTTAGTCTTCTGCCATAGAATGCTGTTTCTGTCTTTCATTTCCAAATGATATCCAATCACTTGGTTGCCACCATCGGAAACTGGCTCGTGCCAGCCCACTGTTATGCTCTCTCTGGTGACATGAGTTACCCACGGAGTCGATGGAGGTCCAGGCGTAGCTAGAAAATATAGGTTAAGACATAATCAGCAATGCAATCAATCAAGTGAATAACACCCAGTGCTATTTTGTGCTTCATGAAGGAACAAGTAACTTACTGTAAGGCAGTTTGACCATGACAGATGCAGAATCAATATGGTCACTGATTCCAAATCGGTTCTCGGCTTTGATGCGGAATTGATATTCTTCTCCGGTGGTCAGTTTCATGACTTTGATTATACTTCTGGCCGCAGTGGCGGACACTTCTGACCAGGCTGCCGTACTGGTTTCTCGCTTGAGAACAATGTAGTTGGTTACCTGACTGCCACCGTCGTAGGCCGGCGGGTGCCATTTCAATATGACGCTATCTTCGGTGACGTCACTGATATTAACAGGACCTAATGGGGGGCTGGGTCTGTCGAGGACCACAATATTGATAAATGATTTGGTCGTTCCACTGGAGTTGGCAGCAGTAATATCGTATCGACCGGCGTCATTCGCCACACTTTCTCTCAGGTTCACAATGAGGCTCTCTGCGCTCATCTCCGTGTTAAACCTCATGGTTGACTTCACAACCAATCCGTCTCTCGACAAAGACACTTTGGGCTGTGGTTTACCAGATATTGGGATTTCGAATTTAAGGTTGGATCCAGCTCTGACGTACACTGTGTTGTGCGGGAAGTACTTCAGATTAATCTCAGGTGAATCTGAAAATTTAAAAAAAATGCATTTTAATTCAAAAGATGAAAACATAGGTATTTTCTACCACAATTAATTTTTATTTTGGTCAGAAGGGTATCTGATACACACAGTAACCACTTATGGCAATTAATTCTAACAGCACGTTGACTAAAAGCTACTTTTTTTTAATTTCAAGTGGTGTGTAAATTACAGCCGTGAATACCAGAAAATGGCAAGTTGTGCGGTTTTAGCTGGTTAGACGCCGGCAGTTACCCCCAACATGCCGGGGTCCCTGAGCATTGCCTCTTGCCATCCTGCGCCTAATACTTTCCAGAATTCGGTAAGCAGGATGAATCCCTCCAGGGAGAGAAGTGCGCATTTCATTCCAACAATCTATCTCTGGGATTTCCATGTGTAGGTGGGATGCATGGGATTCTCAGTTTTCTTTGGATACTCTCAAGCATGATAATAAATAAATAATAATAATATTATGATGACAGGTTTGCGCATGTATCAGACACCCAGCTGAACAAAAAAACCCCGACAAAATGTCATAATTAATGATGTCCATGAAACTCACCAAGCTGTTCTTTCACGGTTACAGGTAGAACCATTTCCTTAGGATCGCTGAGGCCGGCTTGATTTTGAGCGGATACTCTGAAGAAGTATTCACCATTCTCTCTCAAACCTTCGATAACGTGGTGTGTGGTCTTCACAACTGCACATTTGACCCACTTTTGCTGGCCTTTTTCAAGAGCCTCAATAAAGTAGCCGGTTATCCTACTGCCTCCATCGTGTTCTGGCTTGGACCAAGCGAGAGACACACTATCTTTGGTGACATTTGTAATTCCAAGTCGTTGAGGTACACTTGGCTTTTCTGAAAGATATAGTGTACATAGTATTTATAGATATTCATCTACCAGAAAATATACTCTGAATTTAAAATTTTAGATACGTACTACAAGTAATGAAAATAAAATACAGTACTTATAAAAGGTATTTAAGCTAGCTATCATTTTTAATCTAATTTCTTTGGTCTCTCCATCCCAGGTTATATTACCAGACTAAGAGAGCAAGTAATGAAACCTGCTCACTGGTATTTATAATAATAATAATCCTTGTATTTGATATCGCGCCTTATCACATCTTCAAGATGTCTCAAAGCGCTTCACAGAATATACTGTAAAGTGAATTGACTGTATATTTTGTGGGCAAAATGCGGCAGCCAATTGCCCATAGCAGTGTTCCACAAACAGTCGTGGACTAGCATTCTGGTACACCAATGTGTACTGTTATAGCTCTGAAATATTCTACAATCTTAAGAAACTGACTACATACCTGTCACTTTAACACCTTCCTTGGTCTCAATCGGAACGCCGACACCAAATTCATTTTCTCCCCTGATGCGGAAGTAGTAAATGGCCCCCTCTTGGAGATTGGTAACTTTGTAAGTGAGGCGATTGCAATTCATTGTCACACAGACCCAAGCCTTCTTACTAGCTTCACGTTTTTCAATGTGATAATTCTTCACACGAGCACTGCCATCGTTTTCCGGTACATCCCAGGTCAGCAGGACTGAATCCCTGGTGACTTCCTTTGGAATAATAGCGCCAGGAGGTCCAGGGGAGTCCAGAACCTTGACAACTAATGTCAGTGTGGCCGTAGCTAACACGTTCTGTAATGTTAATACGTATTTACCAGAGTCGTTCCTTGTTGCTTTTTCTATGGTTAATGATGTCATTAAATCTTTACTATCAATACTTCCTCGTACACGGAGATCTACATTGGATTTGCTCCACATGACATTGGGTATTGGTTTTCCTTTGAACGGCACGGCTAATGTAAAGGAGCTGCCAGCTTTGACAATCAAAGTTTTGCGCATTTCGTTGTCGATATCGAAAGCAGGCTCTTCTTCCCTTTCCTTTGCAACTTGTGGCTCAGATACCTCACTTGGATCGCTGACCCCAACCTTATTGATGGAAGATAAACAGAAAACATATTCTGCTCCTGATGTGAGTCCAATTACTGTAAATTCTGTGCCTCTCAGGTTTTGGATGGCTGTGGTCCATTCGGTTTCTTCGGACTTTTTATACTGTACAGTGTATCCAGTGACAGGTGAACCACCGTCAAATAGGGGCTTTGTCCAAGCAAGTGAAATACTTGTTTTTGTAGAGTCAACAACTTTGGGTTTGGATGGAGCAGCAGGTACAAAGAGTGGATCTTCTGCACGAATCAACGTTGATGCTTCGCTTGCAGGACCCACACCTGCAGCATTTTCCGCAGACACGCGATATTCATATTCTGCGCTTTCACGGAGTCCTGTGGCCTTCACTCTCAGATCGTATACAGGTTTCTTATTGACCCGTACCCAGCGGAGTCCATTCTTCTCACGTTTCTCAATGATATAGCCAGCAATTGAATTGCCACCATCACTGTCGGGTCTTGACCAGCAGATGGTCATGGTCTCCTTTGTGACGTTGGTAATTTCCAATGATTTTGGTGCACTAGGAATTGTGAATGGATCAAGCGCTTTTCTTGGTTCACTCTCTATAACTTCACCAACTCCATACTTGTTAACTCCCATCACTCTGAAAATATACTCATTGCCTCGGAGCAGTTTAGTTACTTTACAGGATGTTGTTCTCAACTCATCTGTTACCAGGGTCCATGCAAGGCGACTTGTTTCACGCCTTTCTACAATGTAATGATCAATAGCTGCTCCTCCGTTCTCTTGAGGAGGTGCCCATTTCAGTGAACACTTTTCAGCTGTAAGACCAGAGACGTCTAAAGGACCAGCAGGTGGGCCTGGTCGATCTAGTACCTTGAGGTTAATTGCTAAGGATCTTGTTCCAGCAACGTTTTGCAGTGTTAAGACATACTGTCCTGAGTCTCGCCTATTGCAGTCCTTCACGATAATTATAGTACTCTTGTCAGTTGACTGGATTTCAGTCCTTGCCTGTCCTTCAAGCTCTTTACCGTCCTTTGTCCATGATACCACTGGAAGAGGACGTCCTGCAATATCTGCATTGACCTTAACCAATTCTCCAGCCTTAATAACAATTTCCCTAAATTTAGCATCCAACATAATCCTGGGGGCTTCTACATCATCTTTCACAGTAATGGGACCTGTTGATTCAGATGCTTCGCTGAATAAACCTGCGGAATTCTTTGCAATAACGTGAAACTCGTAACGTTGATCTTCAGTAAGACCAGTAACATCAAAATACGTTTCTGGGATGTTAGTAAAGTTGCACTTCAACCAGCGTCCATCTGGCAACTCTTTGTTTTCCACAATATAACCAGTGATTTTAGCACCACCATCATATTCTGGTTTAGTCCAAGACAGTGAAACTGAGGTCCTGGTAATATTTGTTACCTCTGGTTGACCTGGAGGGTCGCATGGGTCTCTAGCCGCAACAGGCTCGCAAACCTTACTGCATTTGCCAATACCTGCAATGTTCTCTGCATACACACGGTATTCATACAACAGCCCTTCGTCAAGAGAAGTGACTTTAATCTTCGTGTCGGTCACAAGACCTCTGTTCACCTTCGTCCACAAGATACTGCTTCTTTCTTTGCGTTCAACATGGTATCCGAGAATCTTGGAGCCTCCGTCAACGACTGGTTCGTTCCACTTCACAATCATGTAATTCTTAGTGGCATGTGCGACGATGGGAGTTGAAGGAGGACCGGGTGGTTTAAACGGGTACTGTGCAACAATACCGTGAGAATCCTTATTGTGGCTCTTGCCATAACGGTTTTCTGCGCAGACACGGAATTGGTACTCGCTCCCTGGTTTAAGTCGTGTAATTTTTATGGATGTTCTGGCTACAGTACCAGACACCATTTCCCAAGTTGTTGTTGTAGTGTCTCTCTTTTCAACGATGTAATTGTTAATTTGACAACCACCATCGTACTCTGGTGGGTCCCAAGATATAGTGATATTATCAGCACTGACATCGTCCACTCGGATTTCGCCAGGTGGCCCTGGTTTGTCAAGAACAATAACATTGATTAAGGAGGTTATTGATCCTGTGCTATTGGAAACAATTAGTTCGTATTTTCCAACATCTTCCTTTGAAGCTTCTTTAATGGTCATAAGTGTAGACGTCTTTGATGTCTGAACATTCACTCGTGTTGTTTGTTTCAAAGACTGTCCGTCTTTCTTCCATGTCACAGTGGGCAATGGTCTTCCTCTGAAAGGTACGTCAACCTTGAGGTCATCACCAGCCTTCACACTGAAACTATTGAACGCGAGTTCAATGGATGGTTCAATTTCAACATCCTTTGCAACGACCGGAACTCCCAACAGTCTCGGATCACTCTTTCCTTTCTCATTCACAGCAATGACTCTGAAAGTGTATTCCTCGCCCGCTGTTAGTCCTTTGACGGTTGTCTCCAGTGTTTTTTCTTGAGCACACAATGTCCATTTTTCACTTCCTTTGGTTTGCATTTCGATGATATAACTAGATATTTTGCTCCCACCATCATTTTCAGGTTTCTCCCAGGTAAGAGTTGCAGTCTTTCGTGTCACATCTATCAATGTTACTTTGCCAGGAGGCAAGGGCACCTCAGATGCTTTAATGGGCTCAGCAGTTTCTGCTGGAAGGCCTGTTCCATACTCATTGACTGCCAAGACACGGAAACAGTAAATACCTCCTTCTTGAAGTGATTCAACTCTGAATGTTGTTTTAGTACAGTTGTTGGTAACAGAAGCAAAAGCCTTTCTAGTGGATTCACGTTTCTCTACAATGTAATTGGTAATCTTTGCTCCACCATCAATAAGAGGGGGTTCCCATGACAATGTCACACAATCTTTCCTTATCTCTCTTATATGGAGATTTACAGGTGCACTTGGTGTATCAAGAACTCTGACGTTAACAAAAGCAGATTTAGTACCACTGTTATTTTCCAAAGTTAAATGATATTTACCACTGTGAAACCTGTTGACATTATCAAGGACCAACATTGTATAAGAGCTTGTAACTTCAATCTGGGTTCGTTCACTGAGATTTCCTTCAGCTTTCTCCCATTTTGCTTCAGGTTCTGGTCTACCTTTGATGGGAACAAACAGCCTCAAAGTACCACTAGCACGTACGGACACAATCTTCCGGAGATCAGCGTCCAGCTCAATTTCTGGTGGCTCCAACTTATCAGCTGCAATAATTGTATCAGCAACATTTGCTGGTTCACCGACACCTTCACAGTTGATGGCACAGACACGGAAATTGAATTCGATATTCTCTTTCAGTTTCTCTACTGTAAAGTATGTAGACTGCACCCCTGTTGGAGGCGTGCAAGTGATCCAGTCTTCAGTACTAGCTTCTTTAACCTCTACAGAATACCCTCTAATTTGAGCTCCGCCATCATAGATAGGTTTGCCCCATGCAAGTGATACTGTTGACCTTGTCGTGTCTGTCACCTTTGGATTGTTTGGTGGACCAGGAGGATAGATGGCATCACAAGCTCTGTAGAAAATACTTGGTTCACTCGTGTCGCCTACACCAGCAGCGTTTTCTGCAGATACGCGGAATTCATAGAAGTGTCCGTCTACCAGACCAGTCACTCTGAAACGCAAATCAGTCAACCTCTTTTTATTGCACTTGGTCCACCTAATTCCATCCTTGTCCCGTTTTTCTAGTACATATCCTTCAATCTCAGCTCCACCATTGTCAGTAGGACGCCCCCAGGTTACAACCATTGAGTCCTTAGTGATCGATGTAACTTCGGGTGTTGTTGGTGGACCTGGTACGTGGAATGGATTTTTGGCCACAACCGGTTCGGATTCCAGTGGTTCACCTATTCCATACTTATTCACAGCCATTACACGGAATATGTACTCATTGCCTGGAAGAAGTTTGGTTACTTTGTGACTGATAGCTTGCACGTTAGTCTCCACTTGCGTCCAGGACAGTCTGCTGGTTTCCCTCTTTTCAATGATGTAGTAAGAAATATTCGCACCGCCTTCTTGGGAAGGTGGGTTCCAGGCCAAGTAGCATTTCTCTGCTGTAACACCAGAAACCTTCAGAATACCATCGGGAGGACCAGGCCTATCAAGGATCTTAACAGTTATGGGAATAGATTTTGTACCGCCTACATTACTGAGGTGAAGTGTGTATTGCCCTCCGTCAATTCTTATACAATCTTTGACTGTGAGAGCAGTTTTGTGAAGGGTTGATTTAATCTCCATCCTTGCAGTAGTTACTTCCAGATCTTTGCCATCTTTCATCCATTTTACTTCAGGTATGGGTTTACCATAGATATCAGCTTCCAGTGCAAAGCTGTCTCCTGCATTAGCAACGATCACGTCCTTGTACTTGGGGTCCAAGGAAGCTCTAGGGGATTCGATCTCATCTCTTGCTGTAATTGGTCCAGTGCTTTCAGATGGTTCACTGAAAATACCAGCTGCATTTCTTGCAATTATTCTAAATTCATACCTTGCGTCTTCAGTTAATCCAGTCACGTTAAATTCAGTCTCGATTATGTTGGTGAAACTGGCCTTCATCCAGCGACCTTCAGGAAGCTCCTTCTTTTCCACAAAGTATCCGGTGATCTTGCTACCACCATCATATGGAGGCTTTGTCCATTGGAGAACAATGTTATTTCTTGTGATGATGACGGCTTCGGGTCGGCCGGGAGGATCACAAGGATCTCGAGCTACGTAACATTCAGATACCTTGCTAGGTTTACTGATGCCGACAATATTCTCTGCAAATACTCTGAACTCATATTCAATACCTTCTTCTAGATTGTTACACTTGAAATGAGTGTCTTGGATGATCACCTTGTTCAATTTTATCCAAAGAATACTGTTCCTTTCTTTACGTTCAAGGTGGTAACCCAAAATCTTACTTCCACCGTCGTTTACTGGTTCATTCCACTGGATATGCATGGTGTCCTTTGTCGCAGCTGATACAATTGGAGTAGCTGGAGGGCCAGGCATCTTGTATGGGTATTGTGCAACAACTGCTTTAGAATCTAAAGATGAGCTCTTGCCGTACCTGTTTTCAGCAAAGATTCTGAACTGGTATTCACTTCCCGTGTTCAGTTTCATTATTTTGATGGTTGTTCTAGCTACAGTTGCGGAGACGATTTGCCAAGCAGTGGTCGTTGTATCCCGCTTCTCCACAATGTAGTTGTTAATTTGGCAACCTCCGGTGTATTCAGGTGCATCCCATGAAATTATAACAAACTGAGCACTAACTTCATCAAATCGTATTGGCCCGCTTGGAGGACCTGGTTTATCAAGCACTATAATGCTAATATCTTCTGTGGCTGATCCAGCACTGTTTGTAGCACTAACTGAATACTTTCCAAAGTCATCCTTATGACTGTCTTTAATCAGAAGGATTGTTGAGGTTGCAGTTTCCTCCACATTTACCCTTGTTGTTTGTTTCAGTGACTGTCCATCCTTTGCCCAAATAATCTTAGGTTTTGGACGTCCCATCACTGGAACTTCAATCTTCAGGTCGTCTCCAGCTTTGACACTATAGGTGTTGAATACGAGTTTGAAGGTAGGTTCAATATTCTGATCTTTAGCTATCACTGGTACCGCCAGGAGTCTTGGGTCACTCTTTCCTTTCTCATTGAAAGCTAATACACGGAAGAGATATTCATGTCCTGAACTGAGACCAGCAACTACTGCCTCGCATGTTTTAGACTGGGACACAAGACCCCACTTTTCAGATCCTTTCGGTTGCATTTCAACCAAGTAGCCCATAATTCTGCTGCCACCATCATGTTCCGGCTTCTCCCAAGCTAGAGAGACACTCTGCTGAGTGACGTCAGTGAGAGTTACTTTACCTGGTGGTAAAGGTACCTCAGAAGCCTTCACAGAGTCCAGAGTCTCAACTGGTATACCAATTCCAAACTCATTTTCTGCCATGACTCTGAAGTAATAAATCGCTCCTTCAGCAAGATTCTCAACTTTGTAGCTGCACTTGTTACATTTAGTGGTCACGTTAGCATAAGCTTTTCTGGTTGATTCTCGCTTATCAATAACATAGTTTTTAATCTTTGCACCTCCATCAATAATGGGTGGATCCCATGTGAGTGTAGCTGAGTTTTTCTTTATGTCCTTCACAGCTAGGTTTTGTGGAGCTCCAGGTGTGTCCAACACTTTGACTGAAACAAATGCAGATTTGGTGCCACTACTGTTTTCTAGAGTCAAAATATATTTTCCAGCATCATTTCGATCGCAGTTATCTATCGTCACCTGCGTATAGTTGTGTCCCTTTTCTACTTGTCCCTTTTCATTCATTTCACCCTCGTCCTTTGACCAACTAATCTCAGGAGCAGGTCTGCCTTTAAATGCTATAAAGATCCTGGCAGTATTACCTGCTCTGACTGTGATCCCTTTCCTTAATTCTGCCTGAAGTTCAATTTCAGGTGCATCAAGTTTATCTTCTGGTTTAACTGCGCCAGGTACTGTTGCTGGCTCACCTACTCCTGCCTTGTTGATGGCACATACACGAACATTATATTCCTGTCCTTCAATGAGTTTTCCGATTTCAAAGCGGGTTACTCGTAAACCGGTCTGTGGAGTGCACATGGTCCAGTCTTCCTCGTCTGCTTTGCGGATTTCTACTAAATATCCTTGAATTTCACACCCACCATCATAAATTGGTTTGCCCCAAACAAGCACGACAGAAGTCTTTGTGGTGTCTACAAGGTGTGGATTAGCTGGTGGCCCAGGTTTGAACACTGGATCACAAGCCTTGTAGAAAACTGAGGCCGGAGATGGTTGGCCAATTCCAGCGGCATTTTCAGCAGACAATCTGAATTCATATTCATGGTCTTCCACGAGCCCTGTGACTCGGAATCGCAAGTCTGTAATTCTACGCCGGTTACACTTTGTCCATCTGATTCCAGCCCTGTCTCTCTTCTCCACGATATAACCTATGATTTCACTTCCACCGTCACTGTCCGGTCTGTTCCAGCATACAGTCATGGAGTCTTTTGCAATGTTGGTTACTTCCAATGATTTGGGTGGACTAGGAGGTACAAATGGGTTCTTCATCATAACGGGTATAGACTCCAAAGGCTCACCGACACCATACTTGTTGACGGCCATGATACGGAAGATATATTCATTGCCCTCCAAAAGCTTGGTAACTTTATGCATAGTAGTTTGAAGGTCTGAAGTCACAACAGTCCAGGCCAGACGACTGGTTTCTCGTTTCTCAATGATATAGTGTGAAATGTTACTTCCACCATCATGCTGTGGTGGACTCCAAGCAAGAGAACACTTTTCAGCAGTGACGCCGGTAACTTGGATTGGTCCCTCGGGAGGTCCAGGTCTGTCCAAGACCTTTACGTTGATGGGAACAGATTTTGTCCCTGCCACGTTAGAGACTTGAAGAATGTATTGTCCGCCATCCACTCTGATTGCATCCTTTACAACAATCAGAGCTTTGAAGTCACTGTTTTTGATCTCATGTCTTGCTGATTCTTCCACTTCTTTGTCACCCTTGAACCACTGAATAACAGGTAATGGCTTGCCATGAACATCAGCATCCAGCTTGAATACATCACCTGCATTAACCACAATTGTGTCTCTGTATTTGGGATCCATAGATATTCTAGGTGGTTCAACCTCATCCTTTGCAGTAATTGCCCCAGTACTATCAGATGGTTTACTAATTGTACCTGCAGCATTTTTAGCAATGACTCTGAAGTCATACCTGTCATCCTCAGTGAGACCAGTAACAGTGAATTGGGTTTCAATGATATTTGTAAAACTAGCCTTCATCCAGCGACCCTCAGGTAGGTCACGCTTCTCAACAATGTAGCCAGTAATTATACTGCCACCGTCATATTCTGGCTTTGTCCACTGAAGTGTTATTGCATTTCTGGTCACAATAAGAGGTTCTGGGCAGCCTGGTGGATCGCATGGATCACGGGCAACAAAGCACTCAGAGATCTTGCTTGATTTGCCAATTCCAACGATATTCTCAGCGTATACTCTGAATTCATATTCAATTCCTTCTTCGAGTCCGGTGATCTTCAATCGTGTATCTTGTATGATGCTTTTATTGACTTTGGACCAAAGAATGCTATTTCTTTCCTTGCGTTCAAGATGATAGCCTACGATTCTGCTACCCCCATCGTTGATTGGTTCATGCCATTCCACAATCATGGTCTCTTTCGTAGCATTTGGAACAAATGGTGTACCTGGTGGGCCAGGCTCTTTGTATGGATACTGGGCAATAATCGCCTGAGAATCTAAAGCGAAACTTCTACCGTACCTGTTCTCGGCATATATTCTAAACTGATATTCTTTTCCTGTTTTCAGTTTGGTTATCTTGAGAGTTGTTCTTGCCACTGTAGCTGAAACAAGCTCCCAGGTTGTCGTAGTCGTATCTCTCTTTTCAACAGCATAATTACTTATTTGACAGCCACCGGTAAAGGCTGGTGGTTCCCAAGCAATTGTGATGCTTTCAGCACTAACGGCATCAAACTTAACAGGGCCACTGGGTGGACCAGGCTTGTCTAGGGTTATCACTTCGAAAGACGCTGTCTTTTGGCCAACAATGTTGCTCACGGCAATGGCATACATTCCGCTGTCTTCTTTAACCGAATCCTTGATGCTTAGCACTGTATGATGACTGGTGTCAGCAACATTGACTCGGGTTGTCTGCTTGAGTGACTGGCCATCCTTTGTCCAAATAATCACTGGTTTAGGTCGTCCAGAGATAAGGATTTCAACTTTCAAATCATGTCCTACTTGTACATTATAGCTGTTAAATGCAGGCCTGACGTCTGGTTCAATCACTAGATCTTTGGCAATCACTGGTACTGCTAGGGTTCTTGGATCACTCTTGCCCTTCTCGTTGGCTGCCATAACTCTGAACGAGTACTCTTCTCCCTGTACCAGGCTCGTGATGACTGTTTCAAGGGATTTTACATGTGCACAGGCTGCCCACTTTTCACTTCCTTTACTTTGCATTTCTACAACGTACTGGATAATTCTGCTACCGCCATCATGTTCAGGTTTCTCCCAACTCAAAGACACAGAATTTCTTGTCACGTCAACCACTGTTATTTTTCCTGGAGGCTGTGGCACTTCAGATATTTTAACAGGGTCAACGGTTTCTGCGGTTAATCCAATCCCATGCTCATTCTCGGCACAGACTCTGAAATAGTAACTGCAACCTTCCTGGAGTTGTTCTATTTTAAAGGAAGTCTTATGGCAATTGGTGACAACGGCAGAGTAAGCTTTCCTTGTGGATTCCCGCTTTTCTACGATATAATTCTTAATCTTCGCACCTCCGTCCAACTTAGGCGGTTCCCAGGATAAGGTTACGTGTTCCTTTGTTACCTCCTTAACTTTCAAATTAATTGGTGGACTTGGTGTGTCGAGCACTCTGACACTGACAAAGGCGGATTTTGATCCACTGCTGTTTTCCAAGTTTAACATGTATTTTCCGGTGTCATATCTGTTAACGTTGTCAATTACAAGCATCGTGTAACTCTCAGACACATCAATTTGTGCAGTGTCTCTGATTTCACCATCTGACTTAGTCCATTTCACTTCTGGAGCAGGACATCCTCTGATAGGAACAAACAATCTCAAAGAACAACCAGCTCTTACATTAATGATCTTCCTCAAGTCGGCACCAAGATCTGCGTCTGGAGCTTCTAATTTATCTTCCAAAAGGACAGTGTCGGGAAAATCAGCGTGTTCACCAACTCCAGCTTTATTAACAGCACAGACACGGAATTTGTATTCATGCTTTTCCACCAATTTATTCACTTGAAATTGAGTCTGCTTAATGCCGCTTGCTGCCGTGCACATTATCCATTCATCAGTGCTGGTGTCGCACATCTCTACGATGTATCCTTGGATTTCACATCCGCCATCATAAATGGGTTTGCTCCATGAAAGAGAAACAGAAGATCTTGTAACGTCAGTGACTTTAGGATTGTTGGGTAGGCCAGGTTTGTAGATCGGATCAGCAGCCTTGTAGAAAGGGGAGGACAAACTCGGGACACTGATGCCAGCAGCATTTTCAGCAGATACTCTAAACTCATAATCATGGTATTCCATTAATCCGGTCACCCTGAATCGGAGTTCAGTAACCAGCCGCTTATTACACCTTGTCCATCGTATTCCTGCTTTGTCACGCTTCTCTAAAATATATCCATGAATTTCACTACCACCATCAGATGTAGGTCTTCCCCATACAACGACCATTGAGTCCTTTGTAATAGCCGTAACCTCAGGTGTCTTTGGTGCATCAGGGGGCACAAATGGATTCTTTGCTATTACTGCTTCAGATTCCAGTGACTCACCGACACCATATTTATTTACTGCCATAACACGGAAGATGTATTCATTTCCTTCCAGAAATTTGGTAACTTTATAACTCAGAGCCACTACATTGGAGTCAACTACTGTCCAGACCAAGCGACTAGTTTCTCGCTTTTCAATAACGTAGTGGGAAATCGCACTCCCTCCATCTTGGGTTGGTGGCTTCCACGCCAATGTGCATTTCTCAGCAGTCAATCCAGTTACAACAATTGGTCCTTCTGGCGGTCCTGGTCTGTCAAGCACCTTCACGGTTACATGAACAATCTTTTCACCTGCTACGTTCCTTGCCAAAAGTGTGTACTGGCCGCCATCCACTCGAATTGCTTCCTTGACTGTGAGAGCCGTATTGAAATCGGTACTTTTAATTTCGAGCCTGGCTGTGTTTTCCAGTTCTTTGTCTCCTTTCAGCCACTGGATTGTTGGGATTGGTTTGCCAAAAATGTCAGCTTCGATCTTAAATACTTCACCTGCATTTACCACAACAGCTTCCCTGTATTGTGGATCCATGCTAACTCGGGGTGGGTCAACTTCATCTCTGGCAGTAATGGGACCAGTGCTTTCTGACGGTTCACTGAACACACCAGCTGCATTTCTGGCAATCACTCTGAACTCATACCTCTGGTCCTCCATTAAACCAGTTACAACAAAATTGGTATCAATGATATTAGTGAAGCTAGCCTTCATCCAGCGGCCTTCAGGAAGTTCTTTCTTCTCAACAATATACCCAATGATTTTGCTTCCTCCATCGTATTCGGGTTTGTTCCACTGAAGATGCACCGAATTTCTGGTAACAATCACAGCTTCTGGGCGACTCGGAGGATCGCATGGATCTCGAGCTGCGACACATTCAGATACTTTGCTAGGTTTGCCAATGCCAACAATATTCTCAGCATACACCCTGTACTCGTATTCAATGCCCTCTTCAAGATTGCTGGACTTCATCTGGGTGTCGGAAATAATTGACTTGTTCATTTTGATCCATAGAATGCTGTTTCTTTCTTTGCGTTCAAGATGATAGCCCAAAATCCTACTGCCACCATCGTTGACGGGTTCATTCCATTGTACGAGCATGCTCTCCTTCGTAACATGCGTCATATAAGGAGTACCAGGAGGACCAGGGGACTTGTAGGGAAATTGTGCAACAGTAGACTCGGAAACAAGAAAGCTGCCCTTTCCATATCTATTCTCAGCTGCGATTCTGAATTGATATTCAATACCAGTCTTTAAACGTATGGCTTTGATTGTTGTTCTGGCAACAGTAGCAGACACAATCTGCCAGACAGTAGTTGAAGTGTCTCTCTTTTCAACAATATAATTATTAATTTGACATCCACCATCGTATTCTGGTGGTTCCCACGTGAGAATCATGCTGTCTGCAGTAACCCCATCGATCTTGATTGGCCCAGTTGGAGGTCCAGGCTTATCCAAAACAACAATACCAAGAATTTGAATTGTTTCGCCAGCAGCATTTGCTAGTTTTATGGTGTAGTGGCCAACATCATCGCGACAAGCTTCCTTAATTACTAGAAGTGCCTTACTATCTTTCAATTCAGCATTGACTCTGGTTGTCTGTTTCAATGGCTGGTTGTCTTTCAGCCATGTTATTGTTGGTTTGGGACGCGCAATAAATGGCACATCAACTTTCAAGTCTTCTCCTGCTAGGACGCTGAACGTGGTAAACAGAAGTTTAAAAGAAGGAACGATTATGAGATCCTTTGCAATAACGGGGACGCCCAGTTGTCGAGGATCGCTGACACCTTTTTCATTCTGTGCTGATACTCGGAACATATACTCTTCACCTTGGGTCAGCCCAGTTATGGTGGCTTCAGTAAGCTTCACAGTAGCACATGTTGTCCACTTTTCACTTCCTTTACTTTGCATTTCCACAATGTATCCTAATAACCGGCTGCCTCCATCATGCTCTGGCTTCTCCCACGACAGAATTGCACTGTTTCTTGTTACATCTACCAAGGTTACTTTGCCTGGTGGAAGCGGTCTTTCTGACACCTTAACTGCATCAGAGGTCTCAACAGGAAGACCCACTCCATACTCATTTTCAGCCAGGACACGGAAGTAATAGTTGCAACCTTCTTGTAAGGTGCCCACCTTCCAGGTTGTCTTGTGACAGTTGGCGATGACTGTGGAGTACGCTTTCCTGGTGGATTCTCGTTTTTCTACTATGTAATTGTTGATCTTGGAACCGCCATCGATAAGCGGGGGCTCCCATGAAACGGTGACGGACTCCTTGCTAACTTCCTTAATCTTCAGATTCTGCGGTGCCCCTGGAGTATCCAGAACTCTAACATTTACGAAAGCAGTCTTGCTGCCGCTGCTATTTTCGACTGTTAACATGTACTTGCCACTGTCGAATCTGTTCACATTTGGGATAATGAGAAGAGTGTACGAGCTGGTAGTTTCAATCGACGCTCTGTCCAGTGGCTCCCCATCTTCCCTGGCCCATTTGATTTCAGGAACTGGTCTTCCCTTCACAGTAACAAACAATCTCAAAGTGCAGCAGGCTCTTATACATACCACTTTTCGTAGATCTGCATCAAGATCAATCTCAGGAGGTAACAATCTGTCTTCAGCCTTAACTGTTCCTGGGATTTGTGCAGGTTCACCAATGCCTTCAACATTCACAGCATATATGTGAACCAGGTATTCTTGGTTTTCCTTTAACTTCGTGATTGTGAACGATGTGGCTTTAAGTCCAGCCTGTGGTGTTACAATTGTCCATTCATCTTCTTCAGGAAGACACGTTTCAACCACATAACCTGTAATTTCTGAACCGCCATCATAAATAGGTTTATTCCAGGCAATAGTAATTGAAGATTTGCTCGAATCAAGCAGCCTAGGGTTACCTGGAGGTCCGGGTTTGAATACAGTGTCACAAGATTTATAGAATGGGCTGGTAGAACTTGGTTGACTAAGACCTGCAGCATTTTCAGCTACGATTCTGTATTCATATTCATGTCCTTCTGTAAGCCCAACAGTTTTGAATCGCAAATCAGTGACTGGTCTTTTGTTGCATTTAACCCATCGTAATCCTGTCTTGTCACGCCGCTCAACAATATAATTGGTGATTTCACTGCCACCGTCAGAATCTGGATGCCCCCAACAAATCACCATTGAATCTTTTGTGATTGCTGTAACCTCTGGTGTCTTCGGTGGGCTGGGTGGGACAAATGGATTAGCAGCGATAACAGGTTCAGATTCCAATGATTCACCAACTCCGTACTTATTCACTGCCATGACACGGAAAATATACTCATTCCCTTTGAGAAGTTTATTTATCTTCAGTTTGGTGACTTGAACGTCTGCTGATACAGTTGTCCATGCAAGTCGACTGGTCTCACGCTTTTCAATGACATAATGATCAATCTTTGCACCACCATCATCTGGAGGTGGTAACCATGATATCACACATTTTTCTGATGTGACATCTGTAATTCCTATCGGTCCTTCAGGAGGGCCGGGTCTATCTAGAACTTTGACATTGAAAACATGCTTAACTGAGCCACCAGGATTGGATGCGGTAAGTACGTAAGCACCTCCATCTTTTCTTGAGCTATCTTTGTTCATCAAAACCGTCGAGAAATCAGTGATCTTTATTTCCTGTTTTCCCATTTCTACAAGATCCTTTGCGTCCTTTGTCCAGACCATTGTTGGTATTGGTCGCCCTGTTACGTCTGCCTCGAGTTTGAAAACTTCACCAGCTTTCAAAAGTATGACATCTTTGAATTTAGCATCCACCATTATCCTTGGTTCCTCAACGTCATCTCTGCATGTTATTGCGTCAGTGGGCTCAGATGGCTTGCTCACTGCTCCTGCTGAATTTCGAGCTATGATGCGGAATTCATATTTGTCATCTTCAGTAAGGCCACTGACCGTGAACTCGGTCTCCAGAACATTGCTAAAGTTTGCCTTGAGCCATCGCCCACTCGGGAATTCCCTCTTTTCAATCGTGTATCCAGTTACCTTAAAGCCTCCATCATATTCTGGCTTTGTCCAGACAAGTGTTACAGAATGTCTTGTAATGTTAACGGGAATTGGTTGACCAGGGGGATCGATAGGATCTAGCGCAAATACTGGATCTGAAGGTTTACTTGGTTTTCCTTTGCCAGCCATGTTTTCTGCTGCAACACGGAATTCGTATGCAATGCCATCAGTAAGTCCACTTGATTTAAATGTGTTGCCTGCAATCAAAGCCTTGCTTATAATTTGCCAGAGAATACTATTTCTTTCCTTTCTTTCAATATGATATCCCAAAATTTGACTTCCACCATCAGTAACTGGGTCATTCCAAGTGATAGTCATTGAATCCTTTGTGACTCCAATAACACTTGGAGTTCCTGGAGGTCCAGGCACCTTAAATGGATATGCAGCAACAACAGACTCTGAAATAATGGCAGGTCCAACACCATATCTGTTTTGAGCCTTAATTCGGAATTGGTATTCCATTCCAGTGGTAAGGTGACTAGCTTTAAATGTTGTCCGTATCACAGTAGCTGCCAGCTCTACCCATGATGTGCTGTTGGTCTCGCGCATCTCTACAATGTAGTTGTTGATTGGTACTCCACCATCACTCTCAGGTGGTTCCCATGACATCAAAATGTAAACAGATGAAATGTCGTCTAATTTGATGGGGCCTTTAGGTGGTCCAGGAATGTCATGAACTTGAACACTGATGGTGTCACTTACTTCACCGATTATATTTTTAGCGGTCAGAGTGAACTTGCTGGTATCATTTCTTGTGCATTCGTTGATGTTAAGTATTGTTGAGTTGGCTGTATTTTCGACATTTATTCTCTGCGTTTGCTTCAAAGTTTGGCCTTCCTTTGTCCAGGTGACTGTTGGTTTTGGTCGACCATGCACTGGGATCTCAGCTTTGATATTATCTCCTGCCCTTGCAATTATAGTCTTCTGGTATATACCACGCAAGTCCAATTCTGGAAGTGACGTTTGTTCTTTTACAACAACGGGCCTGCTTTCTCGAGGATCGCTCCTTCCAGAAATATTGACAGCCATGATGCGGAATGTATATTCCTCATTTTCAGTCAAATTCTTTACAGTATAATCTAATGCCTTTTGAGTTGCTAAAGGCATCCATTTTTCACTGCCTCTCTTCTGGGCCTCAAGTACGTATCCTGTAATCCTACTACCACCATCGAACTCTGGTTTTGGCCAAGCTAAGCTGACTGTGTGCTTAGTTATATCCATGATGTGAAGACTTTCTGGAGGAGACGGGGCTTCGGATGCTCTTACAGGGTCTGTCGTCTCAGCTGGTTCCCCAATGCCGTATTCATTCTCAGCCATTACTCTGAAGTAATACTCAGACCCTTCTGAGAGATTGGGAATTCTAAGCGAACACTTTTGGCAGTTTGTTGTAACAGTAGCATAGGCTTTACGTGTCGATTCTCGCTTTTCTATTATATAATTTTTGACCCGTGAGCCCCCATCAATCATTGGCAGTTCCCAAGCCAATGTAATGCTATCTTTTGTTACTTCTCTGGCTTTAAGGTTAATCGGAGGTCCTGGGGAGTCTAGGACCCTCACGTTTACAAAACCAGACTTTTTACCGGCAGCATTTTCAAGACACATTGTGTACTTTCCAGTGTCATCTCTGGTGGATTCAGGGATCAGGAGGAAGGTGTATGAAGATGTAGTTTCTACTGTGGCACGTCCTTTGACCGGACTATCTCCTTTAAGCCACGTGACTTGAGGAGTTGGCCGGCCCTTGATTGGTACAAAGATGCGGATTGTGACTCCAGCTCTGACGACAAGAGTTCTTCTCAGATCAGCGTCCAGCTCAAAATCAGGCACTTCTTCACGTTCCTTAATTTCAACCGCACCATCAACTTGAGCAGGCTCACCAATCCCCTCAGCATTGAGTGCTCTGATTCTAAAGTGATATTTTTCCCCTGGCTGAAGGTTAGCAACAACAAATTCGGTTATTCTGAGTGCAGTGCCCGTGGTGTCTTTTACCCATTCTTCCTCTGCTTCTTTCTTGTGTTCAACTATGTAGCCGATAATGTCAAGGCCACCATCGTAGTGAGGTTTCCCCCAAGTCAAAGTAGCGGTGGTCTTTGTTGTGTCCACCACTCTTGCGTTAGAAGGAGGCCCGGGCACATCTGTGTTAAGTAAAAATAAACTCAGATGATAAGATATCTATTTCTACAGAACCAAATCAGCGCCTACTGCGCTGAATATAAATTTGCTGAATTCTTTTTAAATATGAAGTAAACGCTTACATACATCTTTCTTTTTTAAAATATAATTTTAAGGTATTTGAATATCATTTATATATAGTATATGTGAATATAATGTATATATTTTAATATAATCTTAAATATAATTTGAATAAACCCTAATATAGTTCTTAGATCATTTAAAAAGAATTTTAATGTATTTGAATGTAATTTTAAAATATATGAAGTCAGTGCTTACATGCTAAGTCTTTTGTCAGCACTGATGCTGATGGTTCGCTTGGTGTTCCGATGCCTGCTTTGTTTTCTGCCGTGACCCGGAATTCGTACTCAGTTCCTTCATTAAGTCCTACTGCTTTATGCCGTAGATCTGAAATCGATTTTTTACTTGTTCTAACCCATCTCAGACCTTTCTTTTCTTTACGCTCGACAATGTATCCTAGGATTTCACTACCACCATCATCAACTGGTCTCTTCCAGCAAATGGTGACTGTGTTTTTGGTAACATTGGTGATTTCAGGCTTTCCTGGTGGACCGGGTGGACCTAGGAGACGAAGATTTATAAGTGAGTTTCATATCATCAAACTAAAATATGCAGGAGTGAAATATCTTGCATTTTTGTAATAATATTTGCATTTGGCATAGCGTCTTATCATGTCGGAAGGACGTTTCAAACTGCTTCACAGGATTTACCGTGAAATGAAGTGACTATATTTGCAGGTAAACGGGACAGCACAATTAGGAATAGCCATGGAGGGAATGACCAATTTTATTTGGGGGGATTGTTAGCCAAGACACTGGGAGAAACTCCCTTCTGTTTTTCAATAGTGCCGGGGGATCTTTAAGATCTACCTGAGCAGGCAGATGGTTTTAACATTTCATCCCAAAGACAGCACCTCCGAAAATGCAACACCCATCCCCAGCACTGAATTGGAGTGTCAGCTTAGATTATGTGAATTCAAGTCCCTATGTGGGATATAGCCTGCAAGGCCCCACAACACTAATGACATGAACGGACCAGTCCGATATGTGTCAGCGTTGTAAACTTAAAAAGCGCTCTGAGACGCCTCGAAGACGTGATAAGGCGCTATATCAAATGCAACGATTATTATTATTTTAATGATTGTTATTATTAAAAAGTACTCACCAAAACTATCTACCATTTTAACAGGTTCGCCATGTGAAGGGTCACCGATGCCATACTGATTTACAGCAGAGACACGGAAGATGTATTCATTTCCTTGTATAAGTTTGCTTGCGACATATCTGCAGCTTGGGAGATTTTCCGCGAGTAAAGTCCAGAGAAGGCGACTGGTTTCTCTCTTTTCAATTGTATAGGATTTGACCGGAGAACCTCCATCTTCTGCAGGAGGCGACCAACTGAGTGTTACCTTTTCAGATGAGACATTGCTGACTTCAATGGGGCCTGGAGGACCAGGAACGTCCAAAACTTTCACACGGACATTTTCCTCTTTGATACCAAACGGGTTGCTGGCAGTGATGGTATATTCTCCAGAATCCTTTCTTGTAGCATATTTAACAGATAGTATGGAGGAAGTCGGAGTGTCTTCAATTTGGACAATGTCAGAGGGCTTGAAGTATTTTCCACCCTTAGACCAAGCTGATTTTGGCGGAGGCTTGCCGAGAATACTGGTGGCAGTAATCACGATTGTATCGCCAGCTTTGACTGTTAAGCCTTCCTTTACAGTAGGATCAATTACAATTGTTGGTGCCTCTGTGGAAATGAAAGAACAAACAGATGTGTTAGTGCCGCGAACAACGCTTGGTTTGGTTCAGTGCTTTTTTTTTTCACGTTTTGTTAAATCAAAATACGCACCATATTCGTCCTTGCACACAATGGTTCCTGTCGTTTCCGATGGCTCGCTGATTGCTCCGGCTGCATTCTTTGCTTTAATGCGGAAGTCATATTTGCAGCCCTCAGTCATGTCAGTGACAGTGAAGGCACAGTCCTGAACATTAACGTGATTTGCTTTCATCCAGATTTTCGAAGGGAGGTCCCGCTTCTCAACAATGTAGCCGATTAGTTTATGTCCACCATCATACTTGGGCTCAGTCCACATGAGGGTCACAGAGTTCCTTGTGATGTTAATGACATCAGGTTTTCCAGGGGGATCTGAAAATAAAAATCATTTCAAGGGTAGTAAAGGTGCTTTGTGGCCCTTGCAATGTGGAATAGAAAGAATACAAAAAATCTGCAATATATTTTCAACCTACCAATTGGATCAAGTGTGGTAACAGGCTTCGTTGGTGGACTTGGTTTGCCTACACCAGCCAAGTTAATTGCCATAACTCTAAATTCATATTCAAGTCCCTCTGTCAAGCCAGTTACTCTGAAATCCTTCATTCTCAGTGGGGTCTTATTTGCTCGTTTCCACAGAAGGCCGTTTCTTTCTTTGTACTCAATGTGATAACCTGGCGTAAGGAATAAATAGTTTTAAAAGCACTGCAAATCACCATGAACTAACAACAACAACATTATATTTGTACAGTGGCTTTCACATCGGGAGGATGTCTCAAGGCGCTGGACAATCAGTGTTTCGGACCCGAGCTGGGGGTCGGAATCGGGGAGGGTGGGGGTGCGGGGGGGGGGGGGGAAGGAGGGTGACCGAAGGCACGGTCAAAGAGGAGGGTCTTGAACTAAACTATAACAACAAATTACACCTATATACCGCCCTTCACATTGGAAAGACGTCCTTGCAAAAGAAAGATAATAACGTTAAATGCTTTACCTGTGATAGGTGAACCACCTGTCTTCCTGGGGTCTGTCCAAACCAATGACACAGAGTCATGTCTGGCGGCAACAACTTGAGGTGGCAAAGGAGCATCAGGTACATCTGAGAGGAGGAGGAGGAGAATGTTTAGCTTGAATTCAATACAACAATGCGATTCAATGAAATCTACCTGTAAAATGCACCAATGCTTACCAAACGGATGCCTGGCTATAACGGGATCAGATTTCAGGTCTACGCCTACTCCATACTTGTTCTCAGCACTGACTCTAAAGGTGTACTCAATTCCTTCGTGAAGTCTTGTGACTCTGAATGTTGTCTTCTGTACAGCAGAGGCACACGTCACCCATTTGTTGGTCGTGTTATCTCGCTTTTCCAGGATATAGTTTGTAACTTCTGAACCACCATCGTCCTTGGGAGCTCCCCAGATCAAAGTAATGGCATCCGCTGTGACTTCATCGAAACGCAGAGGTCCGGTTGGTATTCCAGGCTTTCCCACTATTTTGATGAACAGAGTGCCTTCCTTTGTGCCGGCGGTGTTCTTCACGGTGACTGTGTACTTTGAGGCATCGCTCTTTTGACATTCCCGTACTATTAATGTTGTATTGACAGCAGTGGATTCCACAACAACTCTGCCACTCTCATCCAAGAGCGGGTCTTCACCTTTCTTCCATGTTACTTTTGGGACTGGCTTTCCACTGATTGGAATCTTCAGACGGAAGCTGCTTCCCTCCTTGGCAACATAAGTTAAGTCAGGCAGGTCTCTCAGATCAATATTTGGTGGTACTGTGAAGAAAAACAGTGATTTTGTTCAAAAAAATTAGAATTCCAATGTTTTAGTTGTATTCGGAAGCTTACCCTTTTAATAACTTAATAACCCTTTTAATAACTTCTTATCATTTTCAGGAGGATCTTACAACATTTCTCCCACAGGTAATATGCCACGAGTGAGGATATCTCAATGAAGTTACTGTGCTTGTTGTCACAAGTGAAGTATGTATCCTATTCACATTATCAATTTGATTTCGTCAGTCTTAAAAGTTTGGGGGGGTAACTTAATAATGTAAGCGGCTTTGCTATACACACCCTGTAAAAGTTAAATGTTCAGTGATTAACGTCTCCTTTGAGAACCGTTACATTTTTAGTCTTAACCAATGAATTGGATATTTTCCAGCTACACTATTTGATCAGATAAACCGTTTTTGAAAACATAAAAACACATTAGATTGTTTCTGCTAATGAGTGTCTAAGGTTCGTTTGGATGGTGTATCTTTCTTCTGGTACAATACCTTATTGATTTCACTTCCAGTAATCACACTTGCGATCAAAAGTGGATTTATTTCATAACAAACTGTAAGGTGAATGGGGCTTCAATGTAACATATTACTCACCAACTTGATCCTTGGCTACAACTGTAATTTCCTCTGGTGGACTGTATCCTGCATCATTCAGTGCTCTCACTCTGAAAGTATATTCTTTTCCTTCCTCCAAATCTTTTATTGGATGTTGCATGTTCTTTGACTGCATTAACTCTTTCCATTTGTCTCCAGCCAGCAATATTTCAACAACATAAGCTGTAATTCGTGATCCACCGTCACTGGCGGGCTTTTTCCATGCCAGGGTGCAAGATGATTTGGTCAACGTTAAAGCCTTCAGGTTGATCACAGGTCCAGGTTCCTCTGTATTAGGTAAATAAATACAATTTAAGAAAAAGTTATGTTACCAACAACAAATAACATTTGTATAACGCCTTTTTAGGTCGGGAGGTCATCCCGGATTTGGACCCGAGCAACTGGTTTGGATCAGGAGGGGTAGAGGGCCGGAAGGATATGGGTAGGAGGGAGACTGAAGGTGCGGACGAAGGGGAAGTTCTTGAGACGGGCCTTGAAGGAGACAAGGGAGGAAGAGTGGCGAAGGGACTGTGGGATGGAGTTCCAAATTGTGAGGGCAGAGAAGCTGAAGGCCCGACATCCGATGGTGGGGTGAGCTGGGCGTGGGACATGGAGCAGGCCGGAGCCCACTGAGCGAGTGGAGCGGACTACGTTATAATAAAGCAACAATTTTTGTTACCTGAAGCTCTCACAGCATTCTTTGTCTCACAAGGCACGCCGATGCCATATTCATTTTCAGCCAGCACTCTGAAGAAGTAAAATTTACTCTCCTCCAAATTCTGAATTCTGAAACTTGTCTTGGGACACTCAGTTGATACAGTTGACCATGCCTTTCTTTCAGCATCTCGTTTTTCCACAATGTAATTCTTAACTGGACTACCACCGTCCACAAGTGGAGGATCCCAGGAAATAGCAGCAGAATTCTTTGATGTTTCTTTAACCACAAGGTTAAGCGGAGGACCAGGAGAGTCTAATTTGAAAGAAAGAAAAAAGATGTTTCATCCAAAAGAAGAATTATAAAATGAATTGATTTTAGAAACAGGATTTTTTGCCTAAAAGTATTCAGAGACCAACTTACCCAGAACCTTGACAACAAGTGTATATGTCTTCATTCCACTGCTGTTTTCTAAAGTTAAAATGTACTTTCCGCCGTCATATCGATTGACGTTTTCGCAGTACAGCATTGTATCGTATTCTGAAGTTCTGATTTCAAGTCCTTCTCTTTCCTTGATGTTGGTATTCATTTTTGCCCACGTGACTTTTGGAGTTGGACGACCTCTGACTGGCACGTAGATCCTCATTGTGACTCCCGCACGCAGAATAAGTGCCTTCCTTAAGTCAGCATCAAGATCAGCTTCAGGAGCAACTGTTCAGACACACAAATACAGGCTGTTATAATATGGCTACAAAAACAGCATCGAGTGTGTATTGTATGAGTATTGTTATAACAACAATAATTCTTGCATTTGATTTAGCGCCTTATAAAATTGTTAAGACATCTCAAAGCGCTTCTCGGGATTTTACAGAGACTGTGTATCTGTAGGCAAGCAATTTAAATACTTACTCAAAATATCTTTGGGAATATGTTTATCAGGCACATCACTTGGATCACTGAAGCCGATTTTGTTCACTGCAGATACACGGAACTGATACTCAGTGCTATCGTTCAGTCCTGTAACAATATAACGCGTTTCTTGAAGGTTCTTTGGCACGTTACATTTCATCCAATTTTCAGTATCCGCGAGTTTAATCTCGACCAGGTACCCCAGGATAGGGCTTCCACCATCATACGCTGGCTTACTCCAAGACAAGCTGACGGTGCCGCGAGTTGTGTCAATCACTTTGGGGAAGGCAGGGGGGCCAGGAGGATCTGATAGAAACAAAATGATATTCAGCAAAATAGTCTAAATAAATATAACTCTAGAACATGGCAGTCAAAACTATTTCATATTCATATTAGCTTACATTGAGGATCAACAGCAATTGCTGATTTTGAGGATTCACTAGGTTTGCCTGGTCCAGCTTTGTTCAAAGCAATAACTCGATACTCATACTCCAAATCTTCTTGAAGTCCTGTCGCCTTAACTGTTCTTTCCATGACTGGTCTCCTGTTGACTTTGGACCACTTGACGACCTTTGTCTCACGTTTCTCTAGTAAGTATCCAGTTATAGCTGAACCACCATCATCAGCTGGGGGTTTCCAGCTCACAGTCATATGGTCCTTTGTGGCGTTACTAATCACTGGAGGATCACATTGTCCAGGGACATCTATGAAGAATACAGATTCCTTTTTAAAAACTGTTCCTTTGCTCATCAATTAAAATAAAATAAAAAAACGACTACGTCATTAACAAAGTGCTTTTCTTACCGTAAGGATTTTTGGCAACAACGGATTCAGTCAGGATGGGGTCACCGACACCATATTTGTTTTCAGCACAGATGCGGAACTGATATTCGTGTCCTTCTATCAGCTTCTCTATGCCGCAGCTAGTAATTGGGACGTTAGCAGTGACCTGAGCCCAATTAGGCCGGCTTGTTTCACGCTTATCAACAACATAGTTGGTTACATCAGCACCTCCGTCCTCTAGAGGAGGCAGCCAACTGAGGTTAACACGATCTGAGTAAACGTTGCTGATTTTGACAGAAGCAGGTGGGCCAGGTTTGTCTGAAGAAAAAAAAATTGAAAATAAGGGTGCATTAATGTACTGGAAATGAATACATCATTTCTCAATTAAACGTTGACTTCAAAGTATTTTAAAAAAGTATTTTAAAAAAAATCTCTATACCTAGTACTTTAAGTTTTACGTGAGCCGATTTCGATCCACTTGGATTCTCTGCGAAAATAGAGTATTCTCCAGTTTCCTTCCTTTGAACGGAATATAACTCCAGAGTACACAAACTTCTTGTGGTTGTTATCTTGAAACCATCAGCAGGCACAACCTCATTGCCGTTTTTCTTCCAACTGACTTTCGGAAAAGGTTTTCCAGAGACAACAGCCTCCAAGCAAACATTGACTCCAGCCTTCACAGTCATAAGACTCTTCATGGACACACCCAAGTCAATTTTGGGCGCATCTGTCAAATTAACAGAATAACAGCTTGCATTATAATTTTTTTNGCTTCAATACGTTAATACGTGTAAAAATGAACGTGGCGATGTACTAAATTCGAATCCGTGAAAAATTACAACAACTGGCAATGAATTCAAGAACAAAATTCAAAGCTTACCATGTTCTGCTTGGATGGTAATTGGATCTGAAGGTTCAGATGGCTTGCTAATGTTAATGACAGTCTTCGCAATGATTCTGAACCGATATTGAGCAGCTTCTTCAAGACCGGTAACAGTATATTCTTCAAGAGGTACGTTGTGGCAGTTGGAGTTGCATCTGATCCACTTTTCACCTGGTAGTTTACAAGCTTCGACAAAGTAACCAAGGATTTTGCTCCCACCGTCATGTTTGGGTCTTGCCCAAAGAAGAGCCACAGTACTCTGTGTAATATCGAATACTTCTGGTTTGCCTGGTGGATCTGTTGTAATTGTAAATGACATGTATAAGTTATAGATTTTATATGTAAAATCTGCTGAGAAAATGTAAGAAATCATCAAGCAAAGTTTATAATGCATTGTAACAAGACTTACCAACAGGTGTTCTTGCTGTTACAAACTCAGTTGGTTTACTGGGCTTGCTGGCTCCAGCTCTGTTCAGTGCAATGACTCTGAAAGTATATTCCAGCCCTTCAATGAGACCTGAACATGGGTATTCAGTTGTACGGACAGCTGTGTCATTAGCCTTCACCCAAAGAAGACTGTTTCTCTCTTTACGTTCGATAACGTAACCGGTGATGGGACTGCCACCATCACTTTCTGGTCTATCCCATGCAACAAATATGCAATCTTTGTTCACCTTTGTTAAATGTACATTTCTTGGTTCAGTTGGAATATCTGTCGGAAACAAATCGATCAGTCAGCTGTCAATAAAAATAATGTTGGGCAAAACAATCCTCAAAATACTTTGTGCAGTGACACTGAGGAACCAATGTTAACGTACACTGCATTATGAACGTTACTATACTTAGCAACATAAGGAAATCTCCCTCCCCTATCTTTTAACAGAGTAGTCGGAAGTCCAAGACACTTTGATCTAACTTACCGAATTGATATTTAGCAATCATCTTGCCAGAAGTAAGAGGATCTGAAATGCCAAACCTATTTTCTGCTCGGACCCGGAACATGTACTCTTGCCCAGGCATAAGTTTTCCAATTCTGCAGCTGGTTTTCGATACAGATGACACGCTAGTGATCCAGTCACCTCGGCTTAAATCACACTTCTCAACAATGTAGTTTGTTATGTTGCTGCCGCCATTTTCATGTGGTGTGTGCCAAGCGAGGGTGCACGCATCTGCGTCAATTTCTGTAATATCAAACGGTGGTTCTGGTGGGCCTGGGGCATCTGAAAGACAAAGGTAATCCACAAAAGAAAATGTCAAGTAACTCCATGTGCAATAGAATGCAATTAATGTAAAGTTACTGTTGCAATGTTTCCTTTCAAAGCAAAATTATAATCGTATAAAACAAATATAAGAAAAGGTACGGACCCATTATCACGACATGAACCTTCTGGGAGGCAATGCCAGAGCTATTTTCTGCTATAAGATTGTAAAAGCCGCTGTCACTTCTGCTAACGTCTTTGATGATGAGGACAGAAGCACCCTTTGACTTGTGCACGGCTAGACGGCTCGATGGCATCACATCTTCATCATTCTTCTGCCATTTGAAGGTTGGTGCAGGCTTGCCAAATATGTGAGACTCAACTCTTAACTTCTTGCCAGCTTTGATAGTTATGTTCTCTGCCATGATAATCTTTGGTGCCACTGTAAGAAAAAAACATAAATAAAGTACATTTTAATCCAGGAATACCTTTATTAGAACGCTATACAAATGTCATTTTGTATTGTATTACTTTGCTTCGTCATATTGTGTCTGCAGCCTTAAACTATTTGGAAATTCCTATCAGATTAGAATGATCATGTTTTCAGGCGTTTTGGCAGACTTTCTAAAATTATCTTAGTACCTTAAAACGTTCTGGCCAGAAACACTATTTTGCTTCAAGTGCCAACCTGTACTTCTGTTTTATAGTGAGTCAAGTTCCTTGTAAGAAATCTATAATTGTTACTTACTTAGTTGTTCTTTAACCTCAAAGAATCCTTCAGTTTCTCTGGGTAAGCTGGACCCCACAATGTTTCTTGCTGCAACTCTGAATTTATATTTCTTTCCTTCTTTAAGACCCATCACAACAATGCTCAGGTCCTTGACTACAGAATATTGCGTCCATTCTTTCTCAGTTTGACCCTCTTCCTGGTATTCAACGATATATCCATCGATTTTAGAACCTCCGTCCCTGAGAGGTTTCAACCAGGCCACCGTAGCAGAGCTCTTTGTGCCATCTGTGACCTCCACTTTCTTGGGTGGATCTGGTTCGCCTACAAGAGTAAATGTCGGAATATTAATTAGAGAATAATAATCCTTGCATTTGATATAGTGCCTCATCTTGTCCTTGAGACTTCTCAAAGCGCTTCACAGAATATACTGTGAAGTGAATTGGCAGCCAATTGTGTACATTTGTGTCCCACAATGAGTCGTGGATTAAGTGACCAAATTATTATTTTTTGAAACTTTTTTTGAAGGGATTATTACCCCCGGAGAAACGATCTGGCAATCGACTAACACCCAGCTTCCTGCTTATTGCCAGGTAAACAGAGGAGTGTGGAATCAAACTCGGGTCCTCTCGCTTGTGAGGCGAGTGCTCTATCCAATACGTTACAGGACTCCGTGAGATCAACTGACTTCAAGCAAAATGCTTAACACAGAAAACAAGAAAACTACCAATGGCGGAATCTATTCTGCCCATTAGCTCATTGATATAATAGGTTCTGTTGAACAAGAAAACAAAACAAAAGTACTTACTAATTGGATCTCTTGCCACAATAGATTTAGCAGTATCCTTTGGAACCCCAGAACCGTACTGATTGACAGCGGTCACCCTGAAATAATAGTCATTTCCAGGTACCAAGTTAGTTATTTTGAAGCTAGTTTTCTTCAAATCTGGTATTACTGAAGCCCAGGTCTTCCTATCTGCTTCGCGTTTCTCCAGAATATAGTGGGTCACTGGACTGCCACCATCATTATCAGGTGGTGACCAAGAGAGCTGACATGTCATTTTTCCAACGTCTGAAGTTTCAAAATCTGAGACAGGCCCGGGTGTGTCTAGGAGTGTGCGGAAGAAAAAAAAATATTATTAAAAAACACCATTACCAAACCTGCAAAATTTCAATTCATGAAACTGGAAACAAGTGTACTGCAACTGTATGACTTACCAAGAACTTTCACATTCACAAACACTGCCTTTTCGCCCGCTGCATTCACCAGTGTCAATGAATATTTGCCAGCATCATCTCGAGTACTATCTGGGATGACGAGGAAAGCCATTGTGTCAAGGAGGTCAACTAGGCCTTTTCTGACCACATTGTCAATTCCCATTTTTCTCCAGCAGACCCTTGGTGCCGGTCGGCCTCGAATGGTAGCAAACAACCGAATAGGACACCCGGCTCGGACAACTACAACTTTTCTCAGGCTTGCGTCTAAGTCAATCTCTGGTGGTTCTGTAAAAAAAAAATCACATTTTGCGTAAGAAATTATTTGGCTTTAAATAAATAGCAAAAGAAACATTTAAGGAACCAAAATTTCTCAGTTCAGTTCAGTTAAAAACAAAAACGTTAAATACAGTTCGTACCTAGAATCTCCTTTGGAGATACAGCTTCTTTGAGTTCAGCAGGACGACCGAGCCCAACTTGATTCATTGCTGCCACCCTAAATTCGTACTCTTGCTTCTCATCAAGGCCTGTCATTGTAAACTGAGTGAGAACAAGCTGAGCTGCAACGTTACATCTCTTCCAACCTTCTTCAGGACCTTCGCTTGAACCTTTCAGTCTCATTTCAGCGACATAACCAATGATGGGAGAGCCACCATCGTACACTGGTTTCCCCCAACTAAGAGTCACGGATGTCTTGGTGCTGTCCGACACCTTCAGACCAGTTGGAGGACCAGGTGGTTCTGCGGAGAAAGATGTGCGAAATATGGTTTGAGAATGACAACGAAGAAAATTGGAAACATAAAGAAAGCAAAATGTTACTGCTTAGTAAATTTAAAAAAAAAATACCCATAGGATCCTTTGCGAATACTGGTCTGGAAGGCCCACTGGGATCTCCAATTCCAATTTCGTTTTCTGCTTTGACTCGGAACTGGTATTCGCGTCCGGGAGTCAAATTTTTCACCCTCATGCGTCTTTCTGTGATTGCAGTCTTGGTGATAGGTACCCATCGAATAGATAGTTTCTCTTTCCTCTCCAATATGTAACCTGTGATTGATTTGCCACCATCATCTTCTGGTGGATTCCATACAACAGTCATTTCTTCCCTGCTCGCCTTTGTGATCTCTGGTGCGTCTGGAGGGCCAGGTCTGTTAAATTGTGTCTTGGCCGTAACTGGTTTACTTTCAGTCGGTGGTCCAGTGCCCATTTTGTTTTCTGCACGTACCCTGAAGATGTATTCATTTCCTTGTATGAGACGAGTGACGTTTGCATACTCGTTAAGCACTGAAGTAGAATATGTGGACCAGATCATTCTCTTGGTTTCACATTTCTCTATCACATAGTTTTGGACTTCACAGCCGCCATCATCTTCTGGTGCGTCCCAGCTGACTCTGCATCGATCGCTTGCAATGGCAGAGATCTTTAGGTCTCTGACGGCTCCGGGTACATCCAAAACATGAACAATGGCATAGGCCGTGAAGCTACCAGCTATATTTGTTGCAATAATGGTATATTTGCCTGAGTCACTACGTTTAGCCTTAATCAGGGCAAATCGGGCTGATTCCGGGGTGATTTCAATCTTTGCTCGAGGCAATCTAGCAAAGTCAATTGCATCTTTGTCCTTAACCCACGTCACCTCTGGCGCAGGCTTGCCTCTAAGATCAGCATCAAGTCTAATGGTTTCTCCTGCTTTAACAGTTAATATTCCAGATAGCTTTAGATCCAAGACTGGTTTCTGAATTTCTTCTTTGATAACAATGTAATCTGTCTTCACCCAGTTGCTTTCGCCACCTTCATTCTTGGTTTGTACTCTGAATTGGTAGGTCTGGTTCTCAATGCACCGGTCAGCCATAAAGAACGTGTCTTTAATACTGCCTTTGTGTAATCGATCCCATTCATCAGTGTCTTTCAATCTTCTTTCAACATGATACGACAGATTGGGACTACCACCATCAAAATCCGGTTTCCTCCATTTAAGTTGAGCAAATGACTTTCCTGTTTCGGCAACATGGAAATTTTCAGGTGCTCCAGGTTTTTCAACGGGGTCAATGGCTAGGATTGGGGTCTTGGTCTCAACAGTCGGCCCCAGTCCAACTTTGTTTTCTGCGCAAACACGGAAGAAGTATTCTTGATTTGGTACAAGCTGTACCTTGACTATGCGCTTAGTCAAATCTGCTGAGATCATAGACCATCCTCTCTGGCTAGGTTGACGGCATTCTGCAATATAGTTAGTGATTTCTGAGCCGCCATTGTCTTCTGGATTGTCCCAAGCAAGCATACAAGAATCCTTGGTGATGTAATTTGTCCTGATATTTTGACATTGTCCAGGTCTGTCAAGTACATTGACAACAACAGCAGCCTGAACTTGTCCGCTACTATTTTTGGCAACGACGCTATATTTTCCATAGTCAGCTCTAGTTGCTGATTTAATGTGGAGCCTTATAATTGGATAATCGTTATTGATCTCTGTGCGTTTGTCAGGAGAGACTACCTTGCTGTCTTTTGACCATGTGATGTCTGGATCTGGTCTGCCTTTAACACGGCCACTTATACAGATGGTTTGTCCCACACGAACTGTGACCAGTTCACGGCAAACGATATCCAGGTCTATCTCTGGAGGTTGAAGAATGTCCTTTGCGATCACAGTTTCTGGTAATTCTCTTGGCTCACCTTCCCCAATAACATTGGCAGCTTTTACACGGAAGCGGTATTCATTGCCTTCAATTAGACCATGTGCTCTGTAAGCACATTGCGGGATCAAATCATCTTTGTTGACTCTAATCCATTTCGTACTATCTGTCTTCTGACATTCTACAATGTATCCCAAGATAGGGCTGCCTCCATCCTTGTTAGGCTTTATCCAGACTAAATCAACACTTTCCCTACTTTTGTCCTTCAGTTTGGGATTAATTGGTGGTCCAGGGGCTGTGATAGGTCGTTTGGCTGCTACTGTATCAGAGTTTGGTGATGGTTTACTCAGACCAGCAATATTTTCAGCAAATACTCTGAATTGGTATGAATTGCCTTCAAATAGTCCAACGGCCCTGAATTTAATATCTAATACGGGTGTCTTGTTCACCCGAATCCATTTGCCAGATATTTCTCTGCGCTCCAGTATGTAACCATTAATTGGGCTTCCGCCATCAGACTTTGGTAAGCCCCAAGAAACTGTTACGGCATTTTCTGCAATATCATAAACAACTGGTTTACCAGGTGGTGACGGGACATCAAATGTATGTTTGGCAACAGTTGGCAGAGAGTCTAATGGTTCACCAATACCGATTTTATTCTCTGCTCGTATCCGCATAATGTATTCACATCCTTTCTGAAGACGTGGAATCTTAACTCTGGTACTTGTGCTTCCACTGCTAACAATTCCCCAGGTCTCCTTCTTCGTTTCTCGCTTTTCAACAACGTAGTTCATAACAGGACTTCCTCCATCATCTTTAGGTGGACGCCAGGACACGACCATGTGTTCTGGGGTTACTTCCAGGATATTAGCTGGACCAATTGGCGGGCCAGGGACATCCAAGACGGTTAAATGTAAAGCAACTGTCTTGCTACCAGCTGGATTGGAAACGGTAAGCAAATATTCACCGCTATGTTTTCTGTTACACTCCTCAATAGTAAGGATTGTAGAGTGGCCATCAGTGTTAATTTTGTAATGGCCTTCTGATTTGATCACAACACTGTCAATGACCCACTTGACTGAAGGTACAGGAATACCCTTCATAAGGGCAGGAAATCTGACTGTGCTGCCAGCCTTCACGACAAGACCTTCAATCAATTTCACATCCAAATCTATAGTTGGTGGTACTGTAAAACAAAAAAGAACATGGAAAATTAATTAGGCATCAGCAGTGATTGAAATGCAGATTAAAGACAATGTACTTCAAATAATATGAATTAATGCAGGGGACGAACCTATTTTCTCCTGGCATAGTACAGGCACTGTTGTATCTGGACGACCAAAGCCAACTATATTTTGAGCTTTAACACGGAACCGATATATCTTTCCTTCCTCCAAATGTGTCACTGTGCATTCTGGAATGCTAACAGTTTTGAATGTAATCCAGTCTTGTGCGCCTTCTTCCTGGTATTCAACTAAAAAGCCTGTGATGGGAGCACCTCCATCACGATCTGGGTAATTCCAAACAATAGACACTTCCGTCTTGTCTACATCAACGTGATGCAAGTTCTTAGGAGGACCAGGAGGAGCTATAATAAAAAAACAAGATAATCATATAATTTTCCATTCTGCATCCAAACCTTTGTGAATTTGAATAAATCAAATCAAATCAAATGTGGTGAATAAGAACTTACATAATGGATCAATTGCCTTGATTGGTTTTTTGGTTTCAACAAAGGCACTTCTGCCATATTGATTTTCAGCAGCCACACGGAACAAATACTGAGTGCCTTCCATTAAATACTTGGCCATAATGCTGTGCTTTTTGGACGAAGAGGAGATAGGAACCCACTGTGGAGCTGAAACATCTCGTTTCTCAATTATGTAATTTGAGATAACAGCACCTCCGTTGTCAATTGGTTCCTTCCACATCAGATAGCATGAGTTACTTCTAACTTCAGTAACAGTAAAGGTATGTGGTGGACTGGGTTTGTCTGGAAACAGTTAATACACAGTTAATACAGTGAAACGGACTTGTAAAAAGTAACAGAATATGTCTTTTTAAGTAAATAAAATAGTGCGTTCTTGAAATGTGTTTTATAGTATTACCTAATACGAAAACATTGCATGTAGCAGACTTCTTTCCTGCTTCATTTTCAACAGTCAGTGAGTAATGTCCACTGTCACCCCTGACAGCGTTACAGATTTGAAGCTTGCTGCCAACTGGTGTAACCCCAATGTCAGCTTTCATTGGTACTTCTTTATCCTCCTTTTGCCAGGTGACCTTGGGGAATGGCATTCCCTTGATCATTGCACTGAGGGTTAAGTCACTTCCTGCTCTTATGTTTAAATCTCGAGCCATGTTGGCATCCACAAACAATTCAGGAGCCTCTGCAAAGGTAATACATTGGGGAAGGAGTTAAACATATATAGAAATGAATTACACATAGCAGTATTATTATAAACGTAGAATGAATTAAGCAGTACTTCTTTAAAGCACTTACCGAGCCGGTCTTTTACTTCAACTGGATCACGGACGTAAACTGGTTCTGATTCACCAACTACGTTGACAGCCATAATGCGGAATTTGTACATATAACTTTCAGTGAGACCTGTTACCCTGAATTTTAAGTCAGGGCACGACTCTGCCGTATGATTGGCTTTAGTCCACTCTTCGTCACCAACTTTTTGGTACTCCACTAAATAGCCAATTATTTTTCCTCCTCCGTCATGACGTGGAGGTAGCCAAATCAGGTCAACGGTAGATTTAGTCTTGTCCACGGCTTCAGGAGTGACGGGCGGGCTTGGTTTGACTGTACACAAAATTTGAAAACATAGTCATCGAAAAATCCAACAAGTCAAACATCGAAAATGTTGCTCAAGCGCTTTGAGGCGTCTCGAAGACGTGCTAAGGCGGCGTATCAAATGTAAGGATTATTATTATTATTAAGAGAAAGAACTGAAGATTTATTTCACATACCGATCGGATCCTTGGCAAAGACGGGTTTGGATGGTGGGCTCGGGTCACCGACACCTACTTCATTTACAGCTGAGACACGGAATTCATATTCACAGCCTTCATAAAGATCAGTCACTTTGTACTTTGTGTCTGGGTAAATAGGCTCCGTGGATGCTTTTGACCAGCGGTTAGACATGGTTTCTTTCTTTTCCACAATGTAATTAGTGATAGGTTTGCCCCCATCTCGTGGTCTATTCCAAATCACCACAACAGAATCCTTGGTAACATCCTTTATAACTGGTTGTTCTGGTGCTTCAGGAACCCCTTTACAGAACAAATTCCAATGTTATTATTATTATTAATTATACATTGCACACCTGTTTATAAAATATGTCAAAGAACATGTGCTATGTAGTATTTAAACGTATAATTCAAATATTATGTTGAAAACAAAATTGATTTTCTTATTATGGCTGAAGGGAACTATAAGAAAATGTAGAATTTTTAGACACCTGTATTTTTGTCTGCTGTTCAGAGTAAATTATAAAAACTAACACTTACTAAACCGATCTTTGGCTTTAATTTCTTCAGATTCCAATGGATCACTGATTCCATACATATTTTCAGCACTGATGCGAATGATGTACTCTCTGCCCTCAATCAGTTTTGGTACTTTGCAAGTTGTTTTAGTAACAGCAGAAGTAACGGGCATCCAGAGATCCCGGTTTGTATCTCTCTTTTCAACCACGTAATTAGTGATCACACTGCCACCATCGTCAAGTGGTGGATTCCAGGAAATAACCATATGGTCTCTGTGGACTTCATGGAACACAACCGGGCCAACTGGAGGCTGTGGACGGTCTGCGGGTGGAAACAACATGTCGTTTCAATCAAGTTTTCTAACACAATATCAAACAATTATTTTGCCTTTGAAACAGCATCTCGAAGGTTAAGAGTAATTAACTCACCAACGACAGTCACTTCACAGACACCTTTGCGTGTCCCCGTGCTGTTTTCCACGACCACACAGTATTTGCCCGAGTCTGCGCGGATGCCTTTCAGGATTCCAAGACAAAGTGTCTTTGGAGTTGTCTGGATCTTTAGACGATCGGTGTCCGTGATTTTCGTCTCATCCTTAAGCCAAGAAACTTTGGGCGCGGGTTTGCCTGCATAGCGTCCGTTCAAACTGAAACACTCACCCACACGCACGACAAACTTGTCGCGGAAATCCAGCTCAATTGTGGGGGGTACTGGAAAACAACAAGACTCTGTTCGTGTCTAATTGAATCAAAATCATATTTTTAAAAAAACTTTCTGAAGAGAAAAGAGATCACTTACCAAGTTCATCCTTGCACGTTATTGGCTTTGAGCAGAAGGATGGCTTGCCTTGGCCAACAACATTAACTGCACTGACACGGAACTCATAAGTGTCACCTTCCTTTAAGCCATCGCTTGTATACTTCCGGTTAAGAAGCTTGTCTTTAGTGATTCTGATGAACTTGTCTTTGCCAATGAGACGGGACTCAATGATATACATAGTAATATCAGAGCCGCCATTATACTTAGGAGGATTCCAACTGAGGCTAACTGAGTTCCTTGTGACTCCTGTTACTTGAAGTTCTTCAGGACGGTCAGGGACAGCTAAGAATATAACAATGTATGAAAAAAAATATGACGTACAAATGTAAATCGTAATTTAAGCGAGCATTTTTCACAACAAAATATTGAAAATTCATGTAAATATAACGGTTGCTTACACATTGGTTCTTTAATTATATACTCGTACGGTGTCTCAACCCACGGTCCCTTGCCAATAAGATTCTCAGCTGCAATTCTGAAGAAATAGGCATTTCCTTTCATCAGGTTTTGGATTACGGCGTTCTGCCGGGTGACTGTGTAGGTCACGGGGGTCCAGCCTCTACGATCTGCTTCACGCTTTTCAATGACGTAGTTGGTGATAGCAGATCCACCATCATCATCTGGGGTGAACCAGATCAACTTACCAGAATCGTTGGTGAGGTTTTCAAAGTTTAAAGGTACGCCAACCGGTCCAGGAACGTCTGCAAGGAAAACAACGCTCTTACTGATACGCCTGAGGAAATGTTACTTGTAGAAAACGAGTGCAAAGACGACCCAATTATAATATTTACCTAAAACGTCAACGATGATGGTCTTTCTTCGTTCACCCCCTACGTTCTTAGCTACCAGATTGTAGATGCCTTGGTGGCTTCTCTGGCACTTTTTGATAACGAGTGCAGAGCTGATAGCTGTAACTTCAATTGTAGCTTCTGCTGGCACGGCCTCATCATTTCTATGCCACGTGATCTGTGGAGGTGGTTTGCCCGACACGTATGCTATGATACGAATAACGCCTCCAGCGTGTACTACAATTCGCTCTCGCACGCTGGCGTCCAATTCAATGTCAGGAATTTCTAGAATTAAAAAAAGAGTGTGAAATTCTCGTAGCTAAAATAATACAAAGGAAACGCACGTACACAGGCCATTTCAAACACTTCTTACCTGTCCTATCCTTGACTTCAAGTGCATCAGATATCTCTCCAGGAGCGCCAACTCCAGCTGCATTAACTGCTCTCACTCTAAATCTGTACAGACCTCCTTCTTTGAGTCCCGAGACAACAAATTTTGTGCCTCTGACTTCTTTATCTTTGGCCTGCAGGAAAATGGCATAGAAAGGCAAACAGATCAGGCAAATTCAAACATTCAAATATATTCTGTGAAGCACTTTAAGACATCTTGAAGATGTGATAAGGGGCTATATCAAATGCAAGGATTACTATTATTAATAGTAAGTCCTGTGAAGCTCTTCATAATGTCCTTCTGACGTTAAAGCACAAGATCAACTGTAATTATTATCATGATTAAATTGTATCATGCATTATCGATGACACTTACCTTCTCCCATTCTTCCTTTCCTTCTTCCTTAAATTCAACAAAATAGCCAGTGATCCTGGATCCACCATCCTTAGTTGGTGGATCCCATTCCACATCAGCAGTTGACTTGGTCCAGTCAGTCACTTTAGGGAATGGAGGCCCAGGTGGTGCTATATAGAAACAATAAACATTTCAGTACACTATCCAAACTATATTACAACAAGTTAATATGTTTATACCAAAAGATGAAAGCCTACCAATAGGATCTCTTGCTATTGTTGGGTCAGAAGGCTGACTTGGGGGCCCAATTCCTGCTGCATTGATGGCAAACACACGGAACTGGTAATTCGATCCTTCAATAAGACCAGTTACATTATAAGACACTCCGAGAGGCATAATCCTGATCGGATCACGATTTACTCTGTTCCATCTCTTGCCAGTGGTTTCTTTGCGCTCCAACCAGTAGCCTGTCACTGGAGAACCACCATCATACTCTGGATCTTCCCAATTGACTATCATGGAATCATGGGTCACACTGCTTATAGTTGGTTTATCACACGCACCAGGTAAAGCTGTAAAAAAAATTATTGAAATAGTATTAGAAGGCTCTCCTCAGATGCAGCACAAACATATTCTTACAAAGGTATTCAGACTAAGTGTACGTTTCACGACAAAATAGTCAATTTATTTTACGGTATATTCTGTGAAGCACTTTGAGACGTCTCAAAGACACGATAAGGCTTTGTATCAAATGTAAGGTTTATTATTAATAGTATCATGTTCAAAATAAGTTAAATTTGGTGCTGAAAATCCCCCAAGATGATTGCACAAGTTAAGCAATATATTTAAAATCATCAGGCCAGTGAATGTAGGTACCTTTATAAATGTTGAATCTAACAAGGGTTTTAACTCAAAATATTTTTCAGCTGAATAAATGATAATATTAACAAAATGCAGTGCCTATGGACGTCCTCCCGACGTGAAACACATTCTACAAATGTAATTTTGTATTGTTATTTTGTATTGTAATACTTGACTGCAATACATACTGAATAGGTTTCGTGCTGTTTCTGGTTCACTGTCGAGAGGTTCACCAACACCATATTTATTCTGAGCCATGATGCGGAAGACGTATTCGTGGCCTTCCAGTAACTTGGGTACTGAACAAAGGCACTCTTTAACCTCGTTTGTAACCTCCATCCAAGTCTTTCTATTTGCTTCCCTTTTTTCGACTACATAGTTGGTGATCTTGGAGCCGCCATCATCCTTCGGAGGAAGCCACGCTAACGTTATGTGTTCGGCAGAAATGCCTTCAAACTTAATCGGACCCACCGGAGGCCCAGGGCGTCCTGATTTGTAAAATATAAAAAAAAGTATATAAACAAAGCATATTCTTCATTACATTCTGATTGATAAAACTAGAGAAATGGAATTATTAGAAATTTTCCAAAAAAACTGAAATATAAATCACAGACAAGTTTGAAAAAAAAATGAATTACCAAGAACGTTGAGTCTCATTTCCTTGGAATCCGTTCCCAGATTGTTTGTTGCAGTGAGAGTGTAAAGACCAGTGTCCTTTCGGAGGGACTGATGAATCAACAAAGTGCATTTGTCCTCGGTCACAATTTTGTTGACATGTTGATCGTATTCTACTTTAGACTTCTCTTCTGCCTTGTGAGCAGGCGCCTTGCACCACGTCAAAGTTGGGAAGGGTACGCCTTTAATTTTGGCTACAATGCTGATGTCAGTACGTTCTTCTGCCTCCAAGAATTCCTTAAGTTCAATTGAAGGTCCACCTACATATGGAGTCATTCCGTAAATTAGGTCAGCTTCAGTCTGGCATTGTCTATAATCCACATGAATAATTCAACAGGTAAATTGTTTTCAATACTTACATGTTTGATCTTTTACGATAATTGGCCCAACGGGGTTACATGGTTTACTTTGACCGGCCTCATTTACAGCTTTTACACGGAATTCGTATTCCCCGCCCTCCTGGAGGTCCTCAACTGTAAACTTGGTATCGTCAACATCGCGTCTGTTGCATTGCTTCCACGATTCCTTGTCTTTTCCTGTGGTGGTCCAGCTGAGACGCTCGATAATGTAATGGGTCACCGGAGCACCTCCGTCGTTCTTAGGTGGCCGCCAGGTAAGAGAAACAGCATTTTTCGTGACGAGGGCAATTTTAAGTCGCGTAGGAGGCTCAGGTGGATCTGAAGTCGTAAATAATTTTAGTCAAAAAAAAAGGATGAACAAAAAAGCAGAAAACTCCAAAACTGAGTTGCACTGACACCTCGACTGGAATCAGAAATATTTATTGACACCATGAACTTACGGATTGGATCTCTAGCCCTGGTCCTTTGGATAGTTTCCGCTGGTGCACCAACCCCAAATCGGTTTTCCGCTCGGACACGGAAGAAATATTCCTGGCCTTCAACAAGATCAGGCACAGTGTATGATGTCCCTGCACAGGCAGTGTTAACCTTTACCCAGGCCCTTCCTTCTACAGTCTTCTTCTCTATATAATAGGCCTTAATTCTGTCTCCACCGTCATTGTCTGGGGGCTTCCATGAAAGTTTGCAGGTGCTTCTGGTAATGTCACTGACTTTGAGATTTTTCGGCGGGCCTGGGGCATCTGGAATGGAGGCAGAGAAACTCATTCCATGAACAAATCAAACTATTATAAACTATTACCTGTTTGGCGCATAATTGAAATAAAGATCAGGAACGTACCAAGAATATTTACTCTGATGTTTAATGTCTTTTGTCCGGCCTTATTCTTCGCGGTGATGCTGTAGCGGCCAGAGTGGCTGCTGTTACACTCTGGAATTACCACAGTTGTAGTAGTTTTAGTACTTTCAAGCTGCGAGAGACAGAGAGAGAGAGAGAGAAAAAGAGAGGGACCCATGATACACACTTGTTAAACAAAAAGGTTTTTCAACATTACAATTGTGACAATGTAATATAGTGGTAAATAAGGCGTTTCACCCACAAAATATACCATCAATTTACTTTACACAATTTTTGAGCCGGCTTGAAGACTTGATAAGGCACTATATCAACTGCAAGAATTATTATTATTATCATAAAAACAGTATTATTACCTCTGCATCAGCTGGTAAGTTGTGGATGTCATCCTAGACAAAAATAGAAGAAATGATTATTCACTGAAAGTTTCCAACCAATGTAAAAGCCATTCAAAACAACACTGATCAAGTGCAGGGTTATGTCTTGTGAGCATTTGAAGTAAAAGAATTGGTGTAGGACTAACACTGAATTGAGTCTAGAAAATGGCAGTTCTTGTTCAACCAGAACAAGTGCGTTTCGCCCACAAAATATACAGTCAATTCACTTTACAGTATATTCCGTGAAGCCCTTTGAGACGTCTCGAAGACGTGATAAGGCGTTATATCAAATGCAAGGATTATTATTATTTATTATCAGTCTAAATACAGATCAAGTAAAATTCCCAGCAGTTTGATACACTGCAACACAAATATTAATAATCCTTGCATTTGATATAGCGCTTTTCACGTCTTCTAGACGTCCCAAAGCACTTCACAGAATATACTGTAAAGTGAATTGACTGTATATTTGTGGGCGAACGCAGCAGCCAATTGCGCACAGCAGTGTCCCACAAACAGTCGTAGATTGAAAATGACCAATTTATTATTGTTTTATTTTTTTGGAGGGATTATTATTAGGCTCTGTGTGGAGTAAGGAAACTTGCCCAAGGTTTCGCCCTCTGCCTGGAATTGAACTCAGGTCTCTCGCTTGCAAAGCGAATGCTCTAACCACTGAGCTACAGGACTCCATGTAAATGTACATTCACATAGCGTCGTTCACATCGGGAGGACGTCCTTCATAAATACAGTTGAAAATATTTGAAATATTTGATACCTTCAAGACGGTCTTAGCTGGTCCTTCAAACTCCCAATTAAGCTTTGGAAAAGGACGACCGGTAACAATTACTGGGATTTTCACCGTTGTACCGGCACGGCAAAGGAGCAAGTCTTGTGCATTAATTGCTAATGAAACAGTTGGTTCCTCTGTAGGTCAGGAAGAAAAGATGCCGGTTAAAAACTAGAAGAGTTAAATGCCAGCAATGCTAAACTCTGCTAAATATAAAGGTACTTGCCAAGAAGGTCCTTGACAACTATTTCTGTTGTTGTTGAACTTGGCTCGGATTCGCCTGCAGCATTAACTGCTTTAACTCTGAACCTGTACTTCTTGTGCGTCTGTAAATTGGGCACCTCATATTCACAATTGGTGAGAAGTTTATCCGGCTCAGACACGTTTTTCCAGTCAGACGAGCCTTCCTCTTGCATCTCAACAATGTAGCCTTTGATCGGGCTGCCACCATCTTTGTCTGGACGCTTCCAGCGAAGGGCTACTGTACTGTTAGTTTTGTCAGTCACCTCTAAAGCCGATGGAGTACTGGGAGGATCTTGGGAAAAGAAAAGTAAAAAAAAAAGCATATAAGTATAGTCTCACCCATTTTATCTAATGGTTCTACAGTTTAATTATTTGCTTACAAGCAATATTTTAAATTAAATGCAATACCTGATAACTCTTCGATACAATATTTTCACTGTGTTTCACATTTTCTGTGCTATAATATTTTCAAACGGTATTGGTAACAGCTAGATTATTTTGTCAAAAGATTTATTTTTAATAGATATATTAATTCATGTCCAACTAACTAAAATGCAGTGATGTGTATGAAATGGATTGCTATTGATTTGATAAGCACTTACATATAGGATCAGCTGCCAATACAGGATCAGAAGGCTCACTAGGAGGTCCAATTCCAGCAGCATTTACAGCCATGACTCTGAATTGGTATTCAAGACCTTCTATCAAGCGGAGGACATTGAAGTCTAGGCCTTTTACAGAGGGTTTGGTGACAGGAGCTCTGTTAACCTGGGACCAATACACACCACCCAGCTCTCTCTTCTCCAGCCAGTAGCCTGTGATAGTAGCACCACCATTGTTCAGTGGAGGTTCCCAAGATACAAGCATCGTCAGTCTCGTGACATCGGACACCTTTGGCTTGGCGGGTGGTCCCGGGAGGCCAAATGGGTCTTTGATCGTCACCTTTTCAGAAACGCAATCATCGCTAATTCCATACTTGTTCTGTGCACGGATTCGGAATTGATAATCTCCGTCCGTTGTCAGTTTCCATACCTAAAAAGAAGAAGCCATTTGTTAAAACAGAAACAAAAAATAGATACTGTGCTATAACAGATAAGAACATAAGAATTTGCCCGGCAAAGAAGATCAAGGTCCATCTAGTTCGCCTTCCACCATCTTGGCAGTCACTTGATATGTTGTGTCCCAAACTATATACTGATATAATATCCTGAGATATTATTTTCTAGCAGAAATCTATCTGATTTGTTCTTGAACCAAATGACATTTTCTGCTTCCACTGTCTCCTTAGGGAGCCTGTTCCATAAGTTTACTACTCGCTCACTGAAGTAGTGTTTCTGCAGGTTTGTTCTGAATCAAACAGATGACAATTAAACAAACACAGAAACGCGGCAATATTAAAAAGAATCCTTACTCCGTATCTCCTTTCAATAATGAAATTTGTGATCTCCTCCCACTCAGACTTCTTCTTGGATGCATCGCGCTTGTCAATAATGTAGTTCGTTATTTCACTGCCGCCGTTGTCTTCGGGTGCATCCCAAGTCAAATAGCAGGATTCAGACTTGATGTCGGAAACTACGAGCTTTCTCACAGGTGAAGGTTTATCTAGAGTTATCAAAAAAAATTTGACAAAAATCAAACAGCAGTTAAGAGCAAAGTAGCTACTGTCTGGTAACATCAAATAAGTTCTGATTCTCTCAAATCTTTATTTCAATCGTTTTGTCTTCTTACCAAAAATGACAACGTTCACAGACTGGAAAGCAGTTCCGAGACGGTTTGAACCAGTGATAGTGTACAATTGTGTGTCCTTTCTAACCGATGCAGCGATATGAATCTTGGTCTTTGCATTAGTTCTTGATAAGATTTCGGTATGCATCTTTAGTTGGTCAGTCGATGCTCCTATCACAGTCTCTCCTTTTTTCCATTCAATCTTGGGTAGGGGAAGCCCTTCCACCTCAGCTGGGATGTCAATGGGTTCACCAGCTTTGACAGAAATAGTGTTTCTCTTGATTTTCACCAGCAGTTTTACAGTTGGAGGCACTGGCAGGAAAATAAAGGAACAAGAAAGAAATGTTAAGAGTGCACTTAAATATTCAGCTATGAAAATGTCATTATAGATTTGTGGGGTTAAGATGTAGATATCATTTCAATTACATTACCTTCATCGTCCTGGATTACTACATTAAGAGGCAGTGACGGTTCACTTTCCCCGATTTCATTGACAGCTTTGACACGGAACTCATACATGTGCAGTTCTGCTAGGTTTTCGACAAGGAGGTTTGTGGCTCTACATAGCTGTTTGTTAACTCTGTCAAATTCAGGTGTATCTTGCTTTTTCTTTTCAATAATGTATCCGATGATGGGGCTACCACCATCATTTCGAGGAGGCTTCCAATCGAGCGTGACTGTTGACTTTGTTCTCTCTGTGTACATAAACCTCTCGGGTGAAGTTGGTGGACCTGAAACGTAGTAGATTTGCATTTAAAAATAAGTATTGTCGCTCCAACAACAAATATTATTTAGGTTGAACTTTTATTTTCCTTGGAGCTTACCAAGCGGGTCGACGGCAAGTATAGGTCCAAGGTCAACAGGAGGACCACCACCAAACTTATTTTTAGCAATAATACGGAACATGTACTCCTGTCCTTCAAGAAGCCCAACAATGTCACACTTAGATCTGTCGGTCTCTATAGGCTGTCTCCAGGTGTGCATCTTGGCATCCTTTCTCTCTATACTGAAACCAGTGAGGTCACTACCACCATCATCCTCGGGATCAGACCAATTGAGCAAAATCATCTTTCTTGTAACGACGACAGGTTTCAGATCCAGAACAGGGCCGGGCACGTCTGAAAAAGAGAGCGAGAAAACCCCAAAACGCGGATCATTTCGACTGAATCAAAGTACGAATGCAAAACACAACCACTGATGGATTTAATTTTTCGGAGCGTTTTTGCCTGCCTTACCCATCACTTCTACTCTGGTCACTGCGGATTTCGAGCCACTGCTGTTTGTGCCGGTGACCATGTATCTCCCATGATCGCTTCTTCGCGCGTCTTGTATGACCAGCACGGTGCTGGTGCCAACTGTTTCAACAAGGATGCGCTCTTTGTCAAGTTCCCCTTCTTCCTTGCTCCACTTGATTTCCGGTGGGGGTCGGCCTGTGACAATGGCAGGCAGTCTAATGGTTTTCCCGGCCAGGTGCTGAACACCCGCTTTTACAGAGATGTCAAACTCAACCACTGGAGGCTCTGTAAAATAAAGCATGATTTTGTGAATCAATAGAAAACAGTTGGCAAACCATAAAACTTTTTGTGACTAACTGTTCGATTCTTAATACCTTTTGGATCCCTCACGGTTACAGTTTCGGTTTCACCAGGAGGGCCTTCTCCAGCATTGTTGACCGCCACAACACGAATTTTGTAATCGCCGCCTTCTCGAACCCCGCTGACTGATAGGGTGCGGTTCTTGACTAGCCTTTCTGTGCAGCGTGACCATTCCTTTGAACCCAGCATCTGCTTGTCAACATGATACCCGATGATATCGCCACCACCACTGTATATTGGAGGATCCCACTCGATTTCTATTGTCGTTTCACTTGTATCTAGGATTCTTGGTCTTGGTGGGCCAGGTGGTACTGAAAGCAGAAAAAAAACAACAGTGCTTACCAAATGAAATGAGACAGTTCTCGCATCATTTTTGCCCTTTTGAATGTCGAACAAGCTATTTTTAAGGCAATACTTACACACAGGGTCCTGAGCAATCTTGGGTTCTGAAGGTGGACTGAATTTTCCAGGACCTGCTGCATTTTCTGCGCAGACTCTGAATATGTACGTTAATCCTTCCATGAGGCCTTCAGCCTTGGTGGTGAGAGCATTCAGCAATTGTCTATTCACTCGGGTCCAATGGGTACTGCTAATTTCCTTCCTTTCTACCCAATAGCCTATGATAGGGCTTCCGTTGTCTTTTGGTTCTTTCCATTCAGCAACCATGCTATTGCTAGAAGTATCCACCACCTCAGGTTTCTCAGGTGCCTCAGGAGGTTCTAAAAGCAAAAATAAGCAAGCGTTGTGTCAACTATAATAGCAACAACAGGCCATAGCAAAAAGCCTCATAGCAAGAGGTTTCAAAGTTACGTGACACCGTTCTCAATCATATTATGCTTCTTCGATGAATTTGTAATAATACATTGTAAACTATTCAAAAGGTACTTCAAATGTAACAATTATTTTGAAAGAAAAATCAAAGTTTACCAAATGGATTTTTGGCAATGACTGGCTGTGAGAGACATGGTGGTCCTGGGCCGAATTTATTTTCTGCCGTCACACGGAAAATGTATTCCTTCCCTTCGATAAGTTTAGTGATGTGGAATTTGCGTTGCCTTAGAGTTGACGATATCGTAATCCAACCAGCTTCAGGTTTAGAGTAGTCTTTCTTCTCCAAGATATAATTGAGGATTTCACTACCGCCATCATCCACAGGAGCATCCCATGTACAACGGAGAGAATCGCTTCTGATTTCCTCAAAGGTGAAGTTGATAGGTGGGCCAGGGGTATCTGCAATATCAATAGAAATGCACAGGATTGTTATAGTACCAAAACTATACATCTACCATGCTTTTGACCCTTGCATTTTAACAACTGACAATAATTTTTTTCCTTGAGAAGTAATTATGAAACTGCTTACCTTGCACGTTTACGTAACAAGTGGCTCTGGCTATACCATGATCATTTTCTACTTTGATTGTAAATTTTCCATGATCCTGTCTAATAGAATCGCGGACCATTATATTGGACTCTCCTTGTCTGCTATTGTCAAGGCTTAAACGTTCGGGTAGACTGAGAAAGAACGGCTCTTCTTCTACAACTTCCTGCTTCTTCTTGACTGGCATTATTTTACGTTCCCTCTTTTTGATTTCTTCAGGCCGAATCACTTCCTCATCTTTAATCCATGTCACACTTGGATAAGGAGAGCCAGAAATAACGGCGTTGAGGCTAATCTGATCACCTCTTTTGACACTTAATCCAGACGCTAGGTTTCCGCTCAGGAAGACCTTGGGTCGTTCTGTGAAGGAAATTAAAGCATTGTTAGATCATTGCCATTAACATTACATTCATACCCTTCAATTTATCCAATCTTGAAATGAGTCTCCCTCCTTGACTGGGCATTTAAGAAAATAAAGCAATGAATTGTTGAATGGGCTGATGCATTTTACTAATTTCATTCTAATGAAGGGCGGCTCACCAACTGGATCCACAGCTTTGATTCCTAGAGTGAGTTTTGAAGGTTCGCTAACTCCAGCTACATTCTCAGCACGTACACGATACTGATATTCATTTCCTTCCTCGAGATTCTTTACAGTGTAAGACAGAACAGGCACCAGGTATTCGTTGCACCTCTCCCACTTGTCACTCCCCTTCGGGATCTTTTCAATAATATAGCCCATGATTTTGCAGCCTCCATCATAGAGCGGTGGCTTCCAAGTGAGTGTTACTGATTTTGATGTTGGATTGTGGTCTTCAACATCAACTGGTGGATCAGGCCGTTCTGAAATGCAATTAAAATAATAACTTAGTTCTATTTAATATAACAATAATAAGAATCCTTACATTTTATATAGTGTCTTTCACATCAGGAGGACGTCCCAAAGTGCTTCACAGGGAGGGTATGCTGTAAAGTGTAATGACTGCGTATTTTGTGAGCGAACACAGCAGGCAATGTACAATGATCATTATATAAATTTACAATGAGATGATAGATGACAATGATCATGATGCTAAGTGTGCAGGCGCCACTTAACTGATGAAAAGTTAAAAAAGACTTACGCTTTGGATCTTCAGCGATAACTGGATTGCGAAGCTCGGTGTATTCACCTCCGCCTATTTTGTTCACAGCCTTTACACGGAAGTAATATTCACCATTTGGGATGAGGTCTTTCAAGGACCAACTGAGTTTGTTCTCACCAGACATGACTGGCATATACGTTCTTCTACCAGACTCGCGACGTTCAAGCACATAGTGCAAAACGGGACTGCCGCCATCATTGTCTGGAGGATCCCAGGTTATCTTGCAAGAATCCTTAGTGACTTCACTTGCCTTAATATTTTTACACTGGCCAGGCAAACCTTAATTGAAAGAAATTGAAGTGTTAAGTAAATTACACATTCGGCGAGAGTTTGTCATGCCAAGATAATTTTTGAATTGAAAGAATTCTCCCGTGATTTAATTTCAGATTCTTACCGATGACTTTCACGTTGATAGTACCGATGGTGGAACCCAGCTTGTTTTCCAAAGTAAGTGTGTAGACACCAGCGTCAGCGTGAACACTGCGAGCAATCTCAAGGCAGGCACTGATATAATCACTCTTCAAAGTGATTCTGTCATCTGCTTTGAGTTCCCTTCCGTTTTTATGCCACGAAACAGTTGGTGCTGGAACAGCTCTGAAGGGTAAAGGCACGTTCAACCTTTCACCCTCCACGACAATGACATCCTGTGATTTGACTTCAATACTTGGGTTGCCTGTTAAAATAAAGAATTACCATTACATCTCGTAACGTGAGACAATTTTGCACCACTTCATTTTATCGATAGAAGAATTGGTATTTTAGTTTTAACATTTGAGAAGGGGAGTTTCTCTTAAAATAAAGAGGAGGTTCTTACAGTCAGGATCCTTTGCGAAAACATTTTCAGATATTTCTGATGGATCACTTGTCCCGATGGCATTGACAGCCCGAACTCTCAGGATGTATTCCTTATCAGGTTTGATGCCTTCGTCCGCTTTATATTTCAGGTCCTTCACTGGCCGAGAGTTAATCCTCATCCACTTTTCGGTTCCTGGCTCACAAATTTCAATATGGTAGCCAAGAATTGGGCTGCCACCATTTTTCTCTGGTGCCTTCCAGGCAATAGAAATATGGCCTCTGCTTGCGTCTGTCACATGTAGCTCAAGAGGAGGAGATGGAGGACCTAGACGCGCAAAGAGTTTGGTTTAAACATCGAATGCTTTTCTCTTAAAACTCTTGCATTTAGAAGCAAGTCATATTCTTACATTGTGAAAACATGTCCTACTCACTTGTTGGATCTTCAATTAAGAGCATGTCTGTAGGTTCACTTGGATGTCCACATCCTGCTTCATTTTCAGCGCGGACTTGAAATTGTACTTCAGTCCCCTCAATTACATCAGTGACTCTATAGTTACATTCTGGTCCTGCCGTCTTACCAGCTTTAACCCAGCGAGTTCCTAATTTCTCTTTCTTTTCAATGACGTACCTAGATAAACATGCGTTAACAGTCATCAGTCGGTATAATAATAATAATCATAATCCTTGCATTTGATATAGTGCTTTATCAAGTCATCGAAATGTCTCAGAGCGCTTGACAGGATATACTGTAGTTTAAAACACATCAGCTGTATCGGTAATAAAGTGCATTAAATTAACAAAGAAGACTATAATGACCTCTGAATTGGCCTTCCACCATCATTTTTAGGAGCCTCCCATTTCAATTCAACGTGTCTCTTGGTTACATCCAACACTGTAAGTGCGTAGGGTGGACCAGGAGTAGCTACGGAAGAAATCAAAATGCATATGTTAGATCGACAGAATTGGTTAAACTATGAGAGTCATTCGAAATAGCATTAAAGTCTAGATGGCAATACACGGCTTCAAACTTACTGAACGTGTCTTTAGCCAGTACCGAGTCTTCCAGTTCACAGTAATCGCTCTGTCCAGCTACATTTTCTGCAGCAACACGGAAGACATAGAGCGAACCCTCAGAAAGAGGTGTCACTGTATATTTAATGTCTTTCACTGTAGTGTCAACAGTCTGCCAACCCTTTCGTCTCACATCTCTCTTCTCCATAATATAATTTGTGACCGGAGAGCCACCATCTCTCTCTGGCGGAGTCCATTTAAGGTCTGCGGTATTCTTTGTGATATTAACGACTTCCAGCCAACGAGGAGGTGAGGGAGGATCTGTTTGTGCAGAAGCGACAACGTTAGCACATCCCAAACATTTCCAACTTGAATTATTTATCCATTACAAATGGCTACTTACTCAGTCTCTCCTTGCACAAGACGGGATCGCTGGGTTCACTGGGCTCGCTTTCACCAGCTTTGTTGACAGCTCTAATGCGGAATGAGTATTCTTGTTTGTCCATAAGACCTTTCAGGAAATATTCAGTCATGGGAACACCCTCAGCTACTCTGACCCAGTCTTCTGTTCCATTCTTCAACAACTCGATAATATAAGACTCAATCTTTGCTCCTCCATCGTGTTCTGGTTTGGTCCACATTAGGAATACTGTCGTCTTCATGACATCTTTGACACTAGGTTTTCCAGGAGGCCAAGGTGGATCTGTAAATAAATCATATTCATAATATTGATTTCTTACAGTAAAAACAACAACAACTTGTATTTATACCTTCACGCGGGGCAGGGTCCCAGAGCACTTGACAGTGGCGGAGTCTGACCTCGAGCTAGGGGCAGTGGGAGGTGACCGCAAGCACGATCAAAAAGGAAGGTCTTTAGCTGGGATTTGAAAGTTTGGAGGGAGGGGGCAAGGCGGAGGGATTGAGGGAGAGAGTTCCAGCGTATTGAGGCATGGTGGCTAAAGGCACAGAGGGGACGAGGAAAAATTTTAAATTCATATACAATGATATTTGACAATACAACCACACATACCAATGGGATTCTTTACTAGGATCGGTTCTGTTTCTTTGCTAGGACTGCCAGGGCCAGCGAGATTCTCTGCTAGAACACGGAACTTGTACTTCTTCTTTGTTGCAAGCCCTTTCACTCTGTTGGTTACAGAACACATATGCGTACATATTCATTTGTGCGCAGTGGAATACACAAATCTGGATTCAGAAATCTCATGAGATATTTCATATTTTTGTTAACATAAAAAAAATTATAATTGTTGAACAGTAAATACCTGAAGGTAGTATCTCTGATTGGTATTTTGTTACATCTCATCCATTTGTCAGTTTCTGGATCGAATTTTTCAATCCAGTATCCAGTGATTGGGCTACCACCATCTTCATCTGGTTCATTCCAAGACAAAGTCAATGAATCTTTGTTGATATCTGAAGGCTGGACATGTGTTGGAGCACCAGGTGGATCTAATGAATGAATAATTTTATAAGTATGAATATTTAAGCGGTATATTACCCAACAGTATTGGGTGGTATATTAACCATGCATAACATCACAATCACATTGTATTAAACTGTATTGCTTACCGAAAGAATATCTGGCTACAATTGGAGCGTGCTCAGATGGCTCTCCAATGCCATACATGTTCTCAGCACAAACTTTGAAAACATATTCTTTGAAGGGTGTAAGATTCATCGCCTTATATTTGGTGTCTTTGATGGTGGTTGAGAGTTTCTTCCATACTTCGCTAGCTCCTTCTTTGAAATGCACAATGTAATTTGTGACACGTGACCCACCATCGTCTCTCGGGGGATTCCAAGTCAAGACACAGTTTTCATTCGTAATCTCAGTGATGTCAAATGCCGCAGGAGGCCCAGGTTTATCTGTAAAATGAATGAATGATTTAAGTATTTGTTGGATTTGATGGCATTACTTTAAGTCTTGTAAGATTATTTAACGTTGCATATAGTATTCGAACATTTAGCTACCTAGAATATTGACTTCAACAACAGCTGTAGCCCGGCCACTGGTGTTTACGGCTTCAATAATGTAGGTGGCAGTGTCGCTCCTAGTGGTATCCATGATTGTCACGGTGGAATGACCAGGTTTTGTCTCGATGGTTATTCTGGTGTCGACCCTCAGTAAACGTTCAGCTTTTGTCCAAGTAACTCTGGGCTCAGGTTTGCCAATCACACAGGCTGGCAGCTCAACCTTTGTTCCGGCCTTCACAGTAATGCCAGCGAGCAACTTAACATCAAGTTGGATCTCTGGAGGCTCTGTTGTAAGTACAGATCACATGTTATTTAGTCTTTTGAATGAAGTGTTAAACAGAAGTCTTGTTTGCCTGTTCAGCTGGAGATTGAAGATGCTATGACAGTATTCTAAAAGAGAAGAGAGTTCTTAATGGTTCTTCCTGGCTATCAATTCTCCAGATTAATTGGTCAATCACTCTTCTTGAGGGAAAAATCTGTCTTTCTGTAGGTTATAATCGGAAGGAATTTCATGTATTGATGAAATAATGATAATAATAATAGAATATTGACTTCAACAACAGCTGTATATTATATATTATGTTATATTATATATTATATTTTATAATATAATATATTGTATGTTGAAATGTCTCAACTATGTGAAAACTGCTAAGAATTTTCAGTGGTATGTTTAAAGCTAGCCCTGAAAGTAGATATTATCATTTCAAATTTTTACCAAAATTTAGTCTGCAGGCATATGTAATAATTTTAGATCCAAATAACAGGCAGTATATTTTCCATCTATCTGTAATCTTCCCGCTGGCCATCTTCACCAATAAGTATCTACCTAATATCCACATGACTGGAATATACTAAGAAATTCTGGGCTTGATGTGTGTTGCAAACCTAAGGCATCGACCATGTACCTTTTGGATCCACAGCGTGTATATCATCTGTAGGTTTGCCTGGCCTGCTGGCACCTTGTCTGTTCAATGCTTTAACGCGGTATGAATACCACTGCCCTTCAGTCAGGCCAGTCACTTCAAACCTATTAAATAAAGCAGCCAATAATTAGAGCATTTACTTCCGACCACTGAAAAACACTTTGATCACTAGAAATCTAGCCGTGTTAACATACCTCAGGTCAAATACTGGCTCGCCACACATCTCCCACTTTTCAGAACCACGCTGGCACTTTTCTACCATATACCCTTTAATGCGTGAACCTCCATCATATTTGGGCGGTTCCCATGTGAGGAAGATTCCACTGGCAGATGGATCCCTCCACTTGAGATTTTCGGGTGGGTCTGGGACAGCTGAAAAGGTACAGAATGACAACTTGTCGTTCATGTTTTAAGATCAGGAGCTTCACTAGAACCATTAAAATCTTCACTTAATCGGTTTTCCTTTTATATGAGTCTATCACTTCTGGAAACAGTTTATTTAAGTAAAATTATTTTTGAAGCGACAAGGCGTTCCTGACATACAGTGAGGCCTAACGCTGTAATAAAATATACAAATTCATACATTTGCTAGTTTTGCAGGTACAGTTGGAATATGAAGTACAAAATATTTTTCATCCGAAAGAAATGAAAATAATTTGGTCACGCAATCTGCGACTCTTTGTGGGACGCTGCTGTGCGCAATTGGCTGCCGCGTTTCACCCACAAAATATACAGTCAATTCGCTTTACAATATATTCTGTGAAGCGCTTTGAGACGTCTCGAGGACGTAATGAAGGCGCTATATCAAATGCAAAGATTATTATTTTCAGCTCACATTGACCTGAAAACATGTTGAGTTGCTATAAATTTCAGGGTAGATTAACAAAGCTAAATGCTTACTTGCTGGTGCAGATACATTAACGGGTTCATCAATATATCCGGGCTCTCCTGGTCCACACTTGTTGCAGGCTGAAATTTTAAACAGGTAATCTCTTCCCTGATACAGGTCAGGAACTGTATACTCCAGGTCAACCACACCCTCGATAACCTGGAGAGCCACAAAACAAGCAAGACGTGTCAATTTTGACAGGAAAAAAAAGCAACCTACACATCATCGAATCTTCTACAAGTGCAATAACACAGCAAAGGTATAAAGCATAACAAATAAAAGTATAGCGTTTTCTAAAAATGGAACACATTTTTTTTACACTGTAATATGTAGGAGATAGTTCACTACAGCCTGCTCACTCCCTGTCTTCTATCCATAAAGCCTGTTTTTTGCCCAGAACATTCAAAGAATACACTGTGGTAAACTCCACCCACCTATTCTATCCTCTGCGGAAACATAACAATCTCCATGGTTGATGCCTTCAACCTTCTTTAAAAGTCTCATATATGGAACTTTAGCAAATGCATTCTAAAAAATCCACTGTAAAGCCCACCTGCCAATTTAGTTAGTTCTTTAAATAATTCTAGCAGATTTGTACTACTGGTTCTATATCTTTGTCGGCTATTCCTCATAGTGTCTGCGGTTCTTCAGATTAGAACTGAAAGGATTCCATTCAAGCATTTTCCCTACGGCAGATCTTTAGATCTATAATTCTCCAGCTCCGTTTTGGATGAAGTGATTGGACTTACTTTGACCCAGGTTTTGCGATTAACTTCTCGTTTCTCAATGAGGTAGCCGGTCAATGGACTATCACCATCGTGTTCTGGTGGCTCCCAGGTTAGGTGAACTGAACTCCTACCGATTTCCACCACTTTGATATCCATGGGTGCGCTCGGACGGGCTGTGAAAGGAAGATTAAGATATGAAATCTTTTCACGGAATGGCTTGTGAAAAGACTTGACGATCCTGCTCTTCTTTTCTTCGCATGACATCCGCATACTTACCGATTACATTCACTTTGATGTCCCCTGAAATGGATAACACAGGATTTTCAAGCGTCAGACTGTAGACGCCCTTGTCAGGAAGTTCACTGGGACAAACGATCAGTTGTGTGTATCTCGCGGTTGTCTCCATTTTCACACGATCGCCACTTTCAAGAGGTTTGTCATCAACGGCCCAGGTTGCAGTTGGCGTTGGGTAGCCAGAAATAGGAACGCGGATCTTAAGTGGCTCTGGGACAATGACCTCGAGACCGTCTTTGAAATCTCTTAAATCAATGGAAGGAGCCACTAAAAAGAAAGCAAGAGTGTCAATGGCGCTCAAAGGTTCTGCTAACAAAAACAAAATATTCCGATTTTTCGCTGGCCTCAAAATCCTTTTTCAAATCTTATGAGAACATTCATTACCGTGAGGATCATCAGCTGTCAGTGGCCCGAGAGCATCAGCTGGATCTGACACACCCGCTGCATTTTCAGCCGAAACCCTGTAATAATACTTGACTCCTTGCTTCAGTCCAGGGACCTGCAGTATGGCAGAAAGGGAAAAAAACATGGTGAAAATAAATAATGTTTCCGTTCGTGGCAAGTTTCCCCCTCACACGCTTAGAAATAAGGAAGCAACAACTCGTGCGCAATTGTCTCTCGCGTTTTGCCCACAAAATACACAGTCGCTACACTTTACAATCTATTCTGTGAAGTGCTTTGAGACATCTTGAAGATGTGCTGAAGTCCTATATCAAAGGCAAGGATTATTATTATTATTATTATTATTATTTATATAGCACCCTTCATCCTGTGTGGCAAGAACAAGGAAACGGAAGAAAAGAGAAGTTACTAACTTTGAATGTTGTTTCGGGAACAAGTCTGAGAGTACAACGAATCCATTTATCCGTGTCTTCTTCTTGTCGTTCAATAATATAACCCAGTATTGGGCTTCCTCCATCTTTCAGGGGAGCCTCCCAGTTCAGCTGTACCGAATCTTTGGTCTGATCTGAGCATTTGAGATTGATGGGTGGGCTTGGTTTGACTGAAAGAGGAAGAGAATAATTAAGAAGTTGAATATCACTGTAATACAGACTTAAAAATGATTTGCGGCAGCAAATAGTTGTGTTTATGATCGGATACTAACATATTGGATCCATAATCTTGACAGGATGTGTAGCTGCACTTGGCTTTCCAATGCCAGCCTTGTTCTCTGCTCTGATACGGAATATGTATTCTCTGTTCTCCACAACATCATTCAACTGAGCCGAGAGCTCATCTGCACTGGTAACCATCGCTACGTCCCATTTAACTGACGTTCTGTCTCGTAACTCAATTATGTAGTTGGTGATTTCTGCTCCACCATCGTACTCGGGTGGTTCCCACGTAATGGTGGCACCGAATTTATTCACATCCTTTACGTCAACATTGATTGGTGCATCGGGTACATCTGTAAGAAGAAAATAAATCAAACGTGATTGATTACTCATACAAATAGAAATTAGATTGAATTGTTATTTTCAGGTAGTAAATGCGTGATTTTTTTGGATACTTACCAAACTTATTCTTAGCTAGAACAGGTACATCAGTTTCCACAGGTTCACCTGTACCTACTCTGTTCCTTGCGCTCACACGGAACAGGTACTCTAAGACTTTTTGGAGCCCGGTCACTGTGAACTCAGTGCTGTCAGCACGATCAGTAGCCAAGGTCCAAGTCTTCCGTTTTACATCACGTCTTTCTACGACGTATCCAAGGATCTTGCTGCCACCGTCACTGTCAGGCTCATCCCAGGCAAGACTCACTTCACCATCATAAGTTTCTACGATGTTCAAATTCTGGATTGGGCCAGGCACATCTGTAAATTTGTAGGAAAAAAGCTTTACGAAATGCACTTAAGAAAGTGTGTTACAAATAGGCTTTTGACATTGTAATAATCACAATAATCCTATTTGATATAGCGCCTTATCAAGTCTTCGAGTCGTCTAAAACCGCTTCACAGAATATACTGCAAAGTGAATTTGACTACAATTTGAGGGCCAAACGCAGGGGGCAATTGCACACAGCAGTGTCCCACAAACAGTCGTGGATTGAGGGATCACATTTTTAAAAACAATGTGAAAATAATTATTTCAAGTGTTTATCACCTCCCGGAAAAACAATCCGTCAATCGACTACCAACTGGGTTCCTACTTACTTCTGGGTAAACAGAGGTGTATGGAATAAGGAAATTGGCCAAACGTTTTGCCCCACTCGGGAATCGAACCCGGGTCCTCTCGTTTGCGAGGCGAGTGCCCTGACAAATTTGCTACAGGACTCCGTGTTTTGTAGATTATACAAGCGATTGCAGAGATGTAAACTTACCAATGACATTCAAATTGATGTATGCTTCTCCCTTTCCATGTTTGTTTGCAATGATAACCTTGTACCTTCCTTTGTCAGTTCTCTTTGGATCTGAAAGTCTATAACTTGTCATGTCTACGGTTGTGTCGATGTTCTGTTTGGGCAGGCTCACATACTCTGAGGTGGTACTATCTTCCTTGAACCATTTGGCTTCACCACGTGGATAGGCATCATAAGGAAGTGTCATTGTGAAGGGTTTTCCAGCATCAATCACAAGGTTCAGATCAGTTATCTTGATGGTAGGCACCGCTGCAATAAAGAGTGAACAAGTCAAGACATACGCTGAGATTTCCACTAGATATTTAACACAGCAGGAAACCTTCCCGACGTTGGAGATGTCATTTCAATAGGCTAGGACTATTTTATTAAAAGAGTTGAGTGACGGGCATTAAAAGAGATGGGTCAGGAGATTTTATTTGATTGAAAATTCTGAAGGGAATCTTTTGATATGTTTAAATGGTTCAAAAAAAAGGGCAAGAACGAAGGGATGTGCACTTAAGCAAAGAAGTGAACAGACTGCCCAGGGTGTTGATGGAAGTAGATTATGTCAGCAAATTATAGCAGGGAGAAATTATAATAGAGAGGCCATGATATTGTATCACAGTAATTTCTTAAAGGGGAAGCTTCACCTTGAAATTTCCAACAATCCAAATTGTGGAGCTAATTGGCATGTGTAAGATGAAGAATTATATACCCATATATTTTATTTAATTGCTTTATTTTACTTTTCGGTTTCCAGTCCTGTATATTGCTGTTTTCCTATCTTTATAAAAAGTTGCCATGAACAGAAACAATTGTTATTGATATCTAAAACTCAATGTAACGTACCTGCTAGTTCTAATTTTGCTCTGGCATCTTTATCCTTGGCAATGAACCTGTATTCGCCCTGATCACGCGGTTTGATGTTACAGATCTGCAATCTGTGCACCTTCCCTTCACTCATCATTTGATGTTTGTCACCCTGGACAATGATCATATTGTTTCGGAGCCATTTGACTTCCACCCTATCCTTGTTTAATTCAGCTTCGAAGATCACATCGGAATCTGGAGCTTCGAAGATATTTTGTGGAGGCCTGATGATCTCAACTGGGATTTCTGGATGGAGAAAAATAATTGTTAGTCCTTCACTACCCACCTTTCAAGACTTTTTGTGTTGTGTTGTTTTTTTTCTCTGAATAATGACTTGCCTTCAACGAACAGCCTCGCCCTGGAACGTCTATCTTCCACACCACAGGAGTATTCACATTCATCATCGGGTCTGCATTCCCTTACAGTAAGTGTGTGCAAACTACCGTCCTTCTCAAACTGGTACCTGTTAAAAACACAGTGGCATTAGTAATTGTTTGTGAATTAGTAGAATGCAGGTATGAATGATCATTTTTGGTTAATTTGTTTTTAAAAATACATACTTTTTGTTCTCCCTGAGCTCGCGGCCATTCCTGTACCATTTCACTGCAGCCTTTTCTTTCGACAGCTGACATGAAAACACAGCGTCTTCAAACTCAATTACAGTCTGATCCTGGAGATGCTCGGTGAAGTCTGTGGGCGCTTCTGTGATAATCAATTCACCAACAGATTTGTCCTGTCCTGCTGTTACAGTGTATTCACCTTCGTCTCCAAAGCTACACTCTTTGATTAGAATGGAGTGTTTTTTCTTATCGATTTTATATGAAACTCGTCGGTCAAATGTAATCTCCTGCCCACCCTTCATCCATGCTAGAGTGACATTTTCACGGTTCACTTTGCAAGAGAAGATGGCAGACTTCTTCTCCATTGTTTCACAATCATCAAGAGGCTCGATGATCTTCAGCTCCTCCTCTGTGGAGATGAACATTAATATTTAATATCTAAATTCTTTTACTTGCATTATGCAATGTTGGCAGAAAGCGATTAAATATGCAATATCTTTACATTCAAGAAAATCTATTTACCTTTTACTTCCAGTTCGGCTGAGCATGCTGCATGTTCTCCTCTATTATTTGTCAAGGCAATTGTGTACGTTCCTTGGTCCTTCATTTGGGAATCCTTAACTCTGAGAGTATAGACCAAATCTTTCTGGAGCAAGAAATATTTTGCACTATCGAAAATAACCTCGTCATTTTTCAACCATTTCGCTCTGGCACCTTCAACATTGACTTCACAGTTGAATACAGTTTCTTGTCCTTCTTTGGCAAGCTGGTCTTTGATGGGAGTTATTATCCTTAGTTTTTCTGAGAAGAAAACACCAGATTTAAAAATATAAAACATATTTTTTGATTAGAAACATTGGTTTTGATCTGTCTCAGAGTAATAAAATCTTCTGGACCTACCAATCACTGTCAGATCTGCTGTTGCTCGTGAGGAGGCAACCATTGCTGCATAGGTTCCTTCATCATCCAATATGGAGTCCTTAATAACAAGCACTCGCTTATTGCCCTCCGATATAATGTCGTACTTATCCCCAGTCCCAAGCTCTGTATCATTTCTGAACCATCTCACTTCGTAGGACTCCTTAGATACTGCGCAGACAAACTCTGCTTTGTCTCCTTCTAGCACCTCCTGGTTCTTTGGCCGAGAAGTAAATTCTGCTGCCAGTTCTGCAATAAATACAACAATGTCCCAGGGCGGGTTAAAACGGGCAAAGGTTAAGATAAAGGCGAGAAATACATATAATAATAATAATATCGGAGAAAGTTATAAACTGCAGGTCGTTACCGTTAACTGCCATCTTAGCTGAAGTGCGGATCCCTTTTGGGAGCCGGCAGTTATATTCACCAACGTCTTCTGGATTGACGTTGTGAATGACTAGAATGCGTTTCTTGCCATCTGTGAGTTGTTCGTATCTGCCAATGTCAGGCAGCTCCACGTCTCCCTTGTACCACGTGACCTCGGCATCCGGCTTGGAGACTTCACACACCAGCCTGACAGTGTCCGTTTCAGAAGCTTCGACATCTGCGAGCTTCTTGGTGAAGCCAGCTTCCTCTTCTGAAAATGTACAACGATGCACAAAAAAGGTCAACAAAAATAATAATAATAATACCAGAAGAATTACGCTTTGAAAGTTAAAATGATGCAAAACTAAAGTCTGATCGTTTACCTAACACCGTAAGCATTCCAGATGTTTTAGAGGTCCTTGCATCACATTCATATTCAGCTTCATCATCAAAGCTACACTTGTGGATGGTCAACAATCTCTCGACACCCTTCGCTGTGATATCATACTTTTTGCCTTTCCTTATTTCCATGCCATCTTTAAACCAGCGAACCTAAAGAAAGAAAATGATTTCTTAAAGTCGAATGCAATTTGCTCAGCAGAAATTCAAACGGCATTAAGTTAGACAGGAAACGATAATAGGAATAATTCGAAAGTCCAATTCAACGCCTAACTTGTTCTTTTGCTTCATTTTAAATTCCTGTCTGATTGGCCATTTTGAAGTTAAATAACCGCGCGCACTCAAAATAATCCTCGAATGAATCAGTGCACAAACCTTTGCATCTTCCCGTGAAACTTCACACGCAAATTTAGCCACGTCCTTTTCTTTCACTTCAAGGTCGGTGAGAGGCTTTGTAAACTCGATATGTGGAGCTGTAAAGGAGAGGAAAAGACTCGTTAGCAAGTGCATAATATATCATATTGCCACGGAAGATCTGAACATTGATGTACATCGATATCTTTAGATATGAATCTTTCCCTACTTACCTTCCACACTGAGGAAACAGGATGTCTTAAAGTCTTTTGCATCACAAGTATACGTCTTAGAATTATCAGGTTTGCAGCCATGGATAATAAGTCTTCTAATTCTTCCTTCTGCAACAATATCGTATTGCTTGGACTTAAAGATTTCCTGTCCAGCCTTAAACCATTTCACTTCAGCATTTTCTCTAGACACTTCACACTCCAGAACAGCAGTGGCCTCTTCTTCCACAGTTTGGTCCTCCAGAGGTTTAGTAAATTCTGCTGCAGGTTCTGTAAAAGATTCATATGAAAATTAAGTAAGGATAGCCGAAGCTTGGGGAGCCCAGAGTGTGCGTTGGGGTAACTGCTGGAGTCTGACCAGCTAAAACCGCACAGCTTGCCATTGATATCGCTGTCTGACAAGCTTTTCCACTGCTTGTCCAGTTAGGACCACCCTACCCGTTAGGGCTTTGGGTTGCAAACGTAACAGGAGCTGAGTAGGATGATTCCAGTGACTGGTCTGGCCTTCCAAGTCCTGCTGATGAACCAGGCTGGTTGTGCTCTCATCAGCAGTGCCCTGGAATACTGCTATCTATTCCATAAGTAAACATAAAAACTGCAACCTCAGTGGGGGAAATAATAGAGCAAAGCTTCAAAGAATTGTTTGACTTTTGTCACTCACCTTTTACAATAAGTTTAGCAGATGTAGTGAAGTCCTTGGCAGTAATTTTGACTTTTCCTGCTTCATCTAACTGAACGTCTCTGAGGGTGAAAGTGTGCACTCTACCTTCAGCGCGAGTAACAACCTGAACCAAAAAATGTTTGTAATGTTAATCTCATTAAATACCTGTTCCGAGCATTTTAAAGTATCAAATGAATAACTAAACAGATGCCATTCAAGAGAAATAGCCCATATTCCCAAAATGTTGTTGTTGTTATTATTATAAATACAATTGTTTGCACATCACAATTCTGCAGATTTTTTAATTTACAATAAGATTTCAATAAACTACAACGCAAACGTGTTGTGTAATGTTAGTTCACAATGTTGCAGCTACACTGAAAATTTATAGATCATTTATTTTCGTTCCTTTCCAACAGGTGTGGTACGAAAATATGCATCACAGTTAGTTAGTTAGCCAGTCAAACCTATATGTGGAACTGAACATCAAGTGCAAACAACTGTTTCTTTCAGCTGTTGCAAAGCTGACATGGAACCACAATCAACACTACCATCTAAATTTCTCAGAAATCTGTAGCTGGACTGGGTTTTCTTTGAAAGTACGATCCAACATGAAGATTATATGGAAGCTGATTGATGCTTTTTGTTGACAGATATCTAAGTATTAAGCAAATCCACAACAGAGTGTATTAAAGGCAATTTTTAGTGTCTGGTGTTTTAAAGATTGGTCTTGTAATTTTTAAAAAATCATTTTCAACATTGAATTAGCATAATGCTGTGTACAAAAATCTTATGAGGGAAAATATTACTCAAACTATTGGGGGCATGATTTTAAACGGATTGAATGAAACTGGGGTGGCAACAGTTTGAATTTAAATCGACATGTTACACTTATTAGCTACTTGCCGGGGAACGAACTACCATTTATAATCCTTGCATTTGATATAGCGCTTTTCACCTCTTGTAGACGTCTCAAAGTGCTTCACAGAATATACTGTAAAGTGAATTGTTTGTATATTCGTGGGCGAAATGCGGCAGCCAATTGCTCACAGCAGTGTCCCACAAACAGTCGTGGATTGAAGTGACCAATTTATTATTTTTTTCTTGAGGGATTATTATCAGAGTAAGGAAACTTGCCTAAGGTTTTGCACTGCCGGGAATCAAACCCAGGTCTCTCGCTTTTGAGATGAGTGCTCTAACTACTGAGGACTACATTTCAGCTTAGTTGTTTGTTGAATGAGTTTGTTTAATTCGTATGTCTCTTAGGTTTGATTTCCCAGATACATTTTAGTAAGCAGAAAGCCATTTCCTTCTGGAGTGACTGATTTGCAAACATCCACTGGATGTAAGGCAATTGCTACAAAAACTGCAAGATAGCCCTGGACTTTTAAGTGAAGACTTTGTTATATTTTTATCATGCTGTTGCACTTTGCGGGATATGTCAGTATTATTTTTCTTCGATCAGCCCGATATTTCTCCAGATCGTTGCACTTTATTCGGTAGATTAAACTCCACAACTTGCTGGTTTTAAGGGAGTTTAACGAGTTGAACCTTTCTGTTTGCAGCAAAACTGAACTCACAGCAGGTAAGGGAATTGGTGGCTAGAGATTAAAGACATTAAATATAGAATAAGCTGAAAGTGCACAGAAACGCAATGTTTTAGAGTTAGAAATATAGTATTCAATGCTACAATTGGCTTCACAAAACATTTCAAGGAGAGGACTTCTCTTGGAACATAAGAATTTCAGTGCAAATTTCAATTGTATTAAATACAGAGAGGGAAAAAAAAAGTTCATTTTCTTTTTTCATGTATTTGTGTTGCAAAATATGATCAACTTTACAGTTCTACTACATATACTTGTATGCAATGCACATATGATTGTGTGTATCTGTGTTTTTTTCTTTTGGAAAATTGAGGATCTGAAAATGCAGGTCTTGCAATATATCGCCTGCAGTAAAAGACTCAGCAATTTGCCCATGTCAAACCGAGCACTCAGGCACTTGTAGCATTTAAAAATAGCTCAGATTGATTGCTTGGAAACCCAAACTTGGCCAAATGTTATCTTATCTTAAAGCCCTGCCTGTCTATTGCCTGAAAAGGAATTGGAAACCACCAGAGCCCCTGATACGCAGAATGCTCAGAGATAGACACAGAATCAGAGAAGAAACCTTCGGAATATAGACTGAATAACTAACCAAGGTACTTATACTTATAGTATAGATAGTTAAAGAAAAATGCTCTTAAAAGTTACCAACATCAATGGTATACGTAAAATTCTAAGTGTTTAACAATTGAAATGGTCTTCCATAAAATAATTCCCCTAGGATCATGCATGTTGACACAATTGGCTTTGAAATAAATCACATACAAACACACACACGAGCAGAAATGAAATGGTATGGACTTACCCTGTCGCTGGCTTCCAACTTAGTGTCCTTCAAAAACCACTCAACTGGGATTCCTTCATACGAGAGCTCACACTCGAAGGTAGCAGAATGCCCAGCAACAACAGTGACATCTTTCAGGGGCCGGAGCAAGCCGATGACTCGTGCTTTGGATGTGGGAGAGAACATTGTTATTTCCGTGGTTCCCCAAGAGGCTTGTTTATTTCACCCGAACCTCATCTCAGCAACGACCCAAGAGACCAGCCTCTGTGTCCCTCACCCCCAGGCCCAGCAGAAGGAAAGCAATAGAGACATTCCAGCTATATTTGCATATTGTCCTCTTGAATTCTAACACCGTCAGCAGTAAATTTGAGTGGCATCTGCTTGAGATGCCAATCACATCTGCTCCCACACTACGATATAAGGTATGTATGTCCTTTTCAAAATAGCCACCAAGGCCATTGGTCACACAGCAAATTCCTCTCTGACAACCGCCCGCTGCTGTCAATCAACCTTCTGGCAAAAATGCAGACTTGAATATTATTTTGCCTCCAAATTATAAACTCAGCAAAAAAAAAAACTTTTGATGTGTTCCAACACTGCGTTTCCTTATTCGGTAATTGTATGTTAGTCATTTTATAGGCAATTTACTTTAATACAAAACCTACTTTTAATACAGAAACGCAAGTGGAATAAGCAAACACAATACAAATTTACATTTATTGAAGCATCTTACACGTCGAGAGGCACTTAGGAAAACTAGATTGTCGCTTGAGCTGGGGATGGGAGCAAAGGGGTGGGGAGGGGGAAATATGACTGAAAGCAATCAAAGATGGAGGCCTTGAGATGGATATTGAATAAGGTGAGGAAGGGAGTGGGTTGGGGGGACTCTGGGATAGAGTTCCAGAGAGTGGAAACGGTAAATTAATTGCCTAGAATGAATACAGTAAACTGCCTTATAAAGTTGCAGCAATTAATACAAAAGACCACATTTCTTCCCTCCAGAGAGAGAGTGCATTGATTCCATTGCAGCCAAAGGGAAATTTCGATGGAGAGGTTGCTTGCATATGTGGAATTCTCAGTCTGGTTAAATATCTTAAGCGTGATGTGTTTCTTCAAGTGTCAGACATCATGCATGATCTCATTTCATTTATTAAGAACCGATGGACCCAAAACATGCATTTGTGTTTAATAGGCTTATTGTATAAAAATGCAATTTAATAAACATGTAATGAAAAGTGATCTACCTTTGACTCTCAAATGAGCGTTGGATTTGGCATTTGCAGCTTGGAAATCAACTTGACCGGCTTGACCCAGTGGTACATTGTACAGAATAAGAATATGCTTAGTGCCTTCCTCCTTAATCTCACAGTCCTAAATTATAATGTAAAAAAGACCATTAATATCTTACATACAGTACAATTTCCCAGATAAATAAAAGTAAAACACTTGCTGATAAATATATAGATTGGCACTTACAGGTGACGGTCTTAAACTTTCTCCCTTCAGCTTCCAGTTGCCGTGTACATCTTCTTCGGAGATTTCCACCTCAAAGCGAGCAGTTTCTGTTTCTGTGATCTCAACACTGTACAGTGGCCGCATTATCTTTATGTCACGCTCTGAAATAAAATTCATTCAAAGTGTTATTCGCCAGAAAATCAAAACATTTCTGGAAACTCAAGGTAGCTTCATGAGAGTGCAAATGGTACGCCATTAGAAACTTCTGATTTGTATCATTCGTACCTTCGGTGTTCAGCTTGGCGGTTGTCTTATCAGAACCGCAGTCACATGAATACTCTCCCTGGTCGGTCTTTAGTGCTCGTTTGATGATTAAGAAGCGCTTCTTGCCGTCGGTCTTAAATTGAATGTTCTTTGAAGGAGTCAATTCTTTCCCATCCTTCAACCATTTAACTGGTGCTCCCGCTTTACTGATCTCACACTGGAACACAACTTCATCTTTCTCTACCGCTGTGTAGTCCTGCAACTTGCTGATAAAGTAAGGATCCCCCTCTGGAGAAAAACAAGGAAGACATTCAGAAGGCAAGAACAAAGGTAAATTTCTGTGCGAACTTCAGTCCGTAAAGTAAGTAAGTACATGTGTGCTAATACGGAAATAATCTTTACCAAGGACGATGAGTTTCGCCTCTGAACTTTGGTCCATAGCTTCAGCTTTGATGAGGGAGGTATCATCGATGGTCACGTCTTTGAACATAATGGCGTGAATCTTACCGTCATCTTTCATGGTTACTACTCGACTCGGGTGCAGCCGTACGTCATTTTTGTACCACACAACCTGAATATTCTCGTGAGAAAGCTCGGCTACAAATTCTGCCGTCTCACGCTCTTTCACGGTTTGGTCTTCGATGGGTTTGCTGAATTCAAGTCGGATACCTATGAAGAAAAGAAATGTTAAATCTCCCTCAAACTGCACTGGAAAGATAGCGCCTTATCCCATAGCATGGAAATGACATTAAAGCAGATACCAGCGGTACAGACCCAAAGGACACCTGAGTCGCAATGGCCTGAACAAACTCTTGTGCTACAAATATTCTATTATTTTATACAGCGCAATGGAAACATTGCTGTCACTTGCCTTGGATAATCAGTTTTCCACTTGTCTTCTTGTCCTCTGCTTCAAACGTATACTTTGCTTCATCATCAAATGCAGCTTCTTTAATTATCAATGCATATTTCGTTCCTTCTTCTAAGACCTCAAACTTAGCATCTGACTTAACCTCCTCTGTTCCTTTTAGCCAACGGAATGTCTTGGGCTTCCTGGATACTTCACATTCAAACTTTGCTTCGTCCTTCTCGTACACTTTCACATCATCAAGCGGTGTAATGAAGGTGATTGGGATTTCTGGATGGGTGTATACAAAGCAGAACACGATTAGGTATTTTAACAAATCCAAAACTTACAAGAAAGTGCATTTTTGTAACACTTGTAACATCAAAACACTTCACAGTAACAAATCCTGTCTAAACACTATTTTTTGTGGCCATGCATGGCAGATATTTTAAGCTCAGCAATGGAGCACAAAGAGCCATAATCTAAATGACCAATTAATCTGGGAAATTAGTGGCCAGGACACCAAGGGAAACTTTCTTTTCCAATTGTGACGTGAGATCTTTAACATCCACTTGAACATGCAGACAGGATTTTGGTTTAACATCTCATCTGAAGGACAATACCTCTGACAATACAGCAGTTCCCCTAGAATCTCAGCCTCGACCATTAGCTCAAGTCTTGATGTGGGACCTGAACCCTTAGTCGTGTGACCCAATGGTGAAAGTGAGCAATAGAATAAGTGTTACAAAACTGAGCCACAGAAACTAGATGTTCCAAGTGAATTGGAAATTACCTTTGACTTTCAAGTTAGCTGCACACTTAGCATTAGCAGCCTGAAAAGCAACTTCTCCAGAATCTTTCAGTTTGCAGTTGTACAGGATCAAAGTGTGCTTCTTACCATCCTCGAGAATCTCACAATTCTGTAAAGTACAAAAATCAAAGATGTGTAAAACGTGTCAATACGACAATGCTCCTAAATTCAATTAAGCATCAATTATTAGGAAGGCGATCTTGAGGTTTTACGCTCAATGATTTAACGCAGAATTGGTCAGTTAGCAAATCCATTGGATTTATAATTATTTATTGAAAGTTGCCACAAAATGCCCTTATGTTCAATCGAATTAGCCCGCAGTAAATCTATTCACATAATTTTAAGCAACTAAAGTTGTGTCTGTGCTGCTGGGAATGATTTGAAGTGCAAAATCTCGTTACAATCAAATTGTTCAAATGAAAAGAATCAGTTTGGTATTCTGAGTTTGGTGCATTCTCTGAACAAACCAGGTGTTAGACTTTTGTTATGAAGTAACTGGTTGTGTAACTGACACATCATTAACCTTTGAAAAATTCCATTGACAATTCTCTGGCCACTCAATAGACCATCAAAGAATGAGGAGTGAGCCCAGTACTATTGGAACCCACTATGTTTGCACTGGTCCTGAAGCTACCTCCTCTTGCTGGTGTCAAGGGAAGATTCAGTGCAATTTGTGTTGTTTTACAACCCCTTTAAACAGTGCACATTTGATGGTGAATCACTGCCAAATGTGCGGTAGAAGTGCAACACGAGTGCTCAAGCACAAAGGTCTGAATCTGAGCTAAATGCAGAAGAAATAACTTACGGGTGATGGTAACAGAGTTTCTCCATTCAGTTTCCACTGAGGATGCACATCAGTCTCTGAGATGTCCACCTCAAAACGTGCAGTTTCATCCTCGAAGATCTCTACTCCAAATAGTGGACGCATTATTTTGATAATGCGTGCTGCAACCACAGAAAGGAAAACAATGGGTTTTTAATAATAATAATATTCCTTGCATTTGATATAGCGCCTTATCATGTCTTCGAGACTTCTCAAGGCGCTTCACGGAATATACTCTAAAGTGAATTGACTGTATATTTTGTGGGCAAAACATGGCAGCCAATTGTACACAGCGGTTTAAAAAGTGGACAGATATTATCTTATGGTTATTTTCTTGAAGATTATAAGCATGTTAACTTGGAACACTTACCTTCAATATTCATAGAGGCTTTTGTGACATCAGTCCCACAGTCACATTCATATTCACCCTTCGCTTTATTGTCAACCTTCTTGATTATCAATATTCGGCGTAGTCCTTCAGCCTTCATAGAGACTATTTTTGATGCTCTAATTTCTTCACCATCCTTCCGCCATTTCACCGGCACATCCTTGCTAAGCTCACATTCCAGTTTCACTTCATCTCTCTCCACGGCAGTGTAATCCTGTAGCTTCACCGTGAAATACGGATCTGCCTCTGTAGATGAAGGAAGAAATGACAGAAATATTTACTGTGTAAAACTGCATGAAGAAGTGTTGTATTGTGTTGTGTCGGTTGTAGAAAAATAGATCTAACAGGGAGTTTAGGAGAAATGTCTTCACCCAGAGGGTGGCGAGAATGTGGAACTTACTGCCAGAAGCTGTGGTTGAAGCAAAAAGCATCAATGTATTTAAGTGAAAACTTGATGTGTACATGAGAGAGAAAGGAATAGAGGAGTATCGGAGAGGGAAGTAGGAGGGGTGGAGGCTTGTGTGGAGTATAAACCCCACTACAGACTTGTTGGGGTGTATTGCCTATCGTGTAACTCTATATAACTCAGTGTAATACAGAGAATAATAATACGATTACTGTATCTGACTCTTACCGATGACAATCAGGCAACCTTTGGTGGAAAGTTCAGTGACTTCTGCCTTGATCTCACATGTATCATCCAGAGTCACTTCTCTAATTTCTAAAACATGCTTCTTCTCGTCAGTGGAGATCAGAACAGTTCTGCTTGGATGAAGTACGGTTTCATTTCTGTACCAAGTCACAGGCAAATTTTCGTGGGAAAGCTCAATTTCAAAATGAGCCGTGTTTCCTTCTTTAACTGTCTGGTCCTTCAGTGGTGTAAGGAATTTCAACCTTGTACCTAAAATATGAATGTAAATGCCGTGAGCAAACAAACTATTGCACATTTCCTGACACAGTTTATAATTTTGTCCTTAATCATTCAATTCAATGCCACGATTACTTTAAATCGTCATGTAAACTTGCTTTTTGTTTTAAAAAATCATTAAATATCTGTGATCAGTATGAGATCTGCAAAGGGCAGGCTGGTATATATCAGAATAGGTGAACTCAAACATATTCAGGATCTATCATTCACATTTGCCATGCCAAATCATGGCATTGTCAACAAAAAAGGTCAAATCAGTTAAACAGCTTATTATATGACGCGAGCATCATGTAACACCTCTTGTTTGCTCATGTGGGTAATAATAACAACAATAATAATAATAATCCTTGCATTCGATGTAATGCCTTATCACTCACGCCTTCTAGACGTCTCAAAGTGCTTCAGAGGTTTAAAAAAAAGCATGAAACATACCAGTGACAATCAGCTTTGCAGTTGTTTTCTTGGCGTCGACTTCAGCAGAATACTCTCCTTCATCATCAAAAGTAGAGTTATTGATGACAAGAATCTGCTTCTTTCCATCAGCGACCAAATCATACTTATCGCCAACCTTAAGTATATCTGAGCCTTTAGTCCACATAATCTTCGTAACCACTCTGGTGAGGACGCATTCAAACCGTGCTTGACGTTTTTCAGGCACAGTCACGTCACTCAGGGGTACCTCAAAGTCAAGTTCAATTTCTGCAAATAACGTTAGTTACATTTTAATAAGACGCTACGCAAAGAAGAAATCAACTACAGCATACTTCAACTTGTATTTGATTCAAAGTGCCGCCGTTTATAATCAGAGGAGATGTTACGGTCGCTGCTTTTTTGTCTCAGAGGTATGACTTACCTTTCACTCTCAGGTAAGCAATGGATGTGGCATTCCGTGCCCTGAAGATAACTTCACCAGCTTGATCCAGTCTGACATTGTGAAGGGTCAAGGTACGTTTAGTCCCTTCATCTTTCATTTCACAGGTCTGCAAAAGATAACAAAGTTCATCGTTTATGGCCCGTAACAATGTATAGTAATATCGGCCTCGAATTTCATGGGAAATATCTAAATATTGCAGGTACAAAGGAACAGCTTACAGGAGATGGGCGCAGTATTTCTCCCTTAAGTTTCCACTCTACTGAAACATCTTGCGAGATCTCAGTTTCAAAGACAGCGGTTTCTTTCTCGTAAACTTCCACACTTTGCAGTTCTAAAAGTATGTCGATCTCACGCTCTGTCAATGCAAAAAGAAAGATCATTATTTTTAGCCTTACAGTAGAATGCTGCAAACCATTCAGACATCCACATCCTATGAATAACACTGTTGTCAAGGTTTTATAGCAGATTTTTAAAACGTACATGTAAAAGAGGCTTTTTTTATAATGTAGCTGTCAGTTTGACACAAAGGGCAGCAATTTTGCCTTTGAGTCAGGAGTTTCAGTAAGTGAGTTCAAGCTCCACATCAGAACTTGAGCTATTAGTCTCGACATAGGGGAGTGGTGCATTGTTGAAGTAATTGTCTTTCAGGTAAGACATTAAACTCAGGTTCTCTTCTACCTGTAAAGAACCCACCATAATAATACTAAAATAATAATAATAATAAATAATAAAATAATAATAATAAAAAAAATATTGTGGACAAAAATCCCTCAGATTAATTGGTCAATCGCTTTGTTGTTACAACAACAAGAACAAGATTACATTTGTTTAGCGCCTTTCACGTCAGGAGGACGTCCCAAGGATTTACCTACAAAAAAACCACACAACAATGACTTGCAAAGTGCTTGAGATTGCTTTGAAATAATAAGATGCTAAAATTATGTATTTTCCTTTGCTGATTTACCACATTGCACTTTTGTAAAATATCCCCAAACCATAAACTGAATGTGATATTGGTAAAATTACTTTTTTACGAAGTACGAACATTGCAGAAGTCAGGACGTTATTTTATTGGTGGTGGCAGATCAACTGGGGTGCACACGTCTAAATTTTAGTTTGTTTTGACAAGAATAGTCAGTATTATATATATATATATATAAAATATATCTTACCGTCAACGATCAGGTTGGCTGTGGAGGCTTGTCCTTCCACCTCCACTGTGTATTCGCCCTGGTCCTCGGGGCTCACATTCTTCAGTGTGAGAGTAAGAATTTTACCAACTTTCTTAATTTCAAACTTTGACGGGGGCATTGCTGAAATCTCCTCTTCGCCTTTGAACCATTTGATATTTGGTGTATCCTTTGCGATTTCGCATTGAAAGACGGCAGTTTCCTTTTGTTTGACCCGTTGGTCCCGAAGTGGCTTGACAAACCATTTCCTGACAATTTCTGCAGGGGAGGAGAAAATTATAAACTGAGTACTGTTCGTACGTTCACCAGTTACAGATCAACTAGAGTCGTAAACATGTGGAACGGGCTCCCTTGGGAGAGAGTGGAAGCAGACAATGTCATTTGTTTCAAGAACAAATTAGATAGATTTCTGCTAGAAAATAATATCGCAAACTACATCAACCTTGGTCTTCGTTCGCAGAGCAGATTCTTAGTTCTTATCAACGAAATAGCACTTAACAGTCTATAACAAAAGAAAGATGGCAATAATCCTCAAAAGTAATTACCTTGTACGCTAACTTTTCCTTCACATTTTATATTAGCAGTCTCGACAGTATACACTCCAGCATCAGAAAAGTCACTGTCTGAGATAGTAATGGAGCGCTGCAGCCCGATGACACTGATAGTTAATTTGCCAGGAATATTTTCAACAACTTCACCATCCTTCTTCCAAATCACGTCTCTGTCCTTGTTTAACTCACAGGTCAGATACAGAGGTTGTCCTTTGAAGACCATGATCTCTTCTTCCAGCGTCTTAAAGAATTGCACTGGCAGTTCTGAACATTTTATGGGGGGGTGGGGGGTGGGGGGAGGAGGTGGGGGGAGAAAATAGCAATTAATGGTCTATAACAAAAGAAAGAAAAGTTAAAACATGCAAATTCCCATCTAATTGTCTGGATTAACCTGAACTGACCAGCCCTTAAGTGACAACAAGGCAAAAAGTTTAGAGTTAACTTTAGAATTATTCTGAGAAAAGGCCATATGTTTCCGCAAGCTTCCTTTGCCTATAGCTATTTTAATGGAATTCCCAGTCGTGTTCTTGGCTTGTGCCATGCAATACCTCAGATAGGAATACAAAATACCTTGGACGATTAGTTTGGCTGTGCTCATCTTTTCTTGCTTTCCGAGACGGCCTACACAGGTATATTCACCGGTATCTGAAAGCTGCACATCAATGATATGCAGCTTCCTATCTTTGCCATCGGATGTAAATTTGTGCTTAGGGCTCTCTCTCACAGTGCTTCCGTCCTTCATCCAGGATGTCTGTGCTGTCGATGGCGAGATCTGGCATTCAAATACAGCAGAAGAACCTATGGACTCGGCCTCCTCCAACACGATATCTTTTAGCTCTTTGACAAATTTCAGTGGGACTGCTTTAAGCTGGAACCCTGCAAAAGGTGCCTCTTCTCCGGGCGGTCTGCCACCACCTGGTTTAAGTCCTTTCTTGTCTGCGTCTCCAGGCGATGGCGTTTTTCTCGCTAAAATTCAGAGTTGGACATAAATACATTGGATTTTTTTTTTTATTTCTCGCTCGTTTCGCATGCTTCTGAAGAAGGTTTGAAGTGAACCAGACACGAGATGCCACTGCGTGCCATGTTTCAGCCGGTAAAAAAAAGGCGGAGATGCAAGCAAGAGCAATGGCAACTGACTGGCCAAGATGATGCAAACCTGGTGCACGGAAGCCCATCATTCAAAGTCTATGCATTCCATCATGCCATACTGATTTCAGATGATAGGATTTATTTATGCCATCTCGAGTATCTACAGCTACTATAATTTCAATATGGATGAGGAATATTCGCCATTCACCAATGAAGAAGCAACAATTCCAAATCACAAGTCTTCAGAACAACGCAAGTGTATTCAACTTGTAACTAATCTGGTACAGTCGCAGAAAAACTGTTTCTTTTGCACACACAGAGGAGAACACGCATGCATCTGTGGTCATTAGATCCCAATAGGGCTATCACAATCAATGCAGAAACCATTTTTCTCATTTAGTTTCCGTGCAAACATGCTTCTACAAGTCTCAAGTGCAGCAACTTTGCAGATGTAAACGGAACACATACTCTAGTATTATATTTACTGTTTGTAGGTGTAAAGGTACTGTATAAAGTGGGTAAATCATGCAGATTAAACTACTATTTGAACTTATGGATTCAGTCAGTTAACCATGTTACAGTAATGAGATCACAAGGCCAAGCAAATCAATTTGACTTATCACAATTCTGAAATAACTCAAATTTTTTTTAAGAGCAGTGGAAACTTCAGATTTTATTTTAACACAGATATAAGTGTGACATTTTAACAGGGTGTTTTAGGTAACAAGAGAATTCATTAATATTGCATAATTGTCGATGTGACACATTAGAACACTATTATAGCCATCGGCTGAGGTTAATAGTGTTCATGTGACACTTATACATGTGTATAATCATGCAGCCAATTGAAGCTGAGACTATCTGCTTGGTAGATCCTCTCACCTCTTGGTGAACCTCTGCCCCTGCCAGCTTCTTCACCTGGTGCCTTAGCATCTGTAGTGAGACAGTAGTGTAAGTATCGGCATGTCACAACTTTCCTACCAAATAGTTAGATGTTATAATAATCCTTGCATTTAATATAGCGCCTTATCAAGTCTTCGAGATGTCTCAAAGCGCTTCACAGAATATACCGTAAAGTGAATTGACTGTATATTTTGTGGGCAAAATGTGGCAGCCAATTGCGCACAGCAGTGTCCCACAAACAGTCGTGGATTGAGTGACCAAATTATTATTATAGTTTATTTTTTTTAGAAGGGATTATTACCACCAGAAAAGCGATCGGCCAAACGACTGATAACCCACAACTGAAAATTGAGACTAGAAAAATGTTCTTCAATGAAGCAAAAATATTTATATAGATACAAAAATAAAAAAAGGAATACTGGGACCATCTTAATCTAGTAATTAAATGCTTACTCATGGCACCAAAAGAAATTAAAATGAATATCTGTTAGCTGAAAGATGAGAAAAATGAGAAACCAGACATTTTTTAAATTTTTACTGAATTCCCTAACCATGAAAGGGAATTGAAAATTACTGAATAATTCACCCTTAGTTCTGTTAATAGCAAACAGAAAAAAAAAATATCTTTTCAGACAGAAAAGATGAAACCACATGGACAAAGCACAAATAACGGACATTAATTTCGTAACACGGTTGACATCCCTAGTGCTTCATGCACACACCAGCGGACAGACTGCCAAGAGAAAGACATTGACACAGACGGACTCACATACAACATTCAGGAACACTGACTAGTTTTCCAAGCATGTGATCAGTGAAGATCTGCAGCCATCTCACCTCGTTGCTTGGAAGACTTTCCAGGAGTCTGAACTACACCCTCAACTAATTCTTCATCATCTTCACATTCCCAATCAACAGATGAGCCATATTCTTCCTCTCCTTCAGTTCCTTCCCATTCCCAATCTTCTGTGTATGGTAATTCTTCTGATGATATCTCCTCCGTCCCTTCTTCTGGCTCTTCAATCTCGCCTTCATAAGCTTCTTCATCAGCTGCTTCATGTGTTGCTTCAGATTCTCCCTGTGAAATATCTTCCGAAGGGACCTTGTCCAGCTCTACTGTTTCGCTTTCTTTGACTGAAATAGGCACTTTTTCTTTCCTAATTTTACGATCTACAGCCTCAGGTTTCTGTTTAGGAGAAATCACTTTCTTTCCAGATATCTTCTTTGGTTCTTTTTCATCAGCCACAACTTCCTTTGAAGGAACTTTCTTCATCTCTACAGTTCCCTTTGGTGTTTCTGATATGGGCACTTTCCCTTTGCTAATTGCACTGTCCACAGCATCTGGTTTCTCTTTAGGGAATACTTTAGGGGAAATAACTTTCCTTCCAGGTATTTTCATTTGTTCTTTTTCATCTGCCACAATTTCCTTTGAGGGAACTTTCTTTATCTCTACAGTTTCCTTTAGTGTTTCTGATAGGGGCACTTTCCCTTTGCTAATTCTAATGTCTACATCATCTGGTTTCTCTTTGGGGGAAATTGCTTTCCTTCCCGGAATTTTCTTTGGTTCTTTTTCATCAGCCACAACTTCCTTTGAAGGAACTTTCTTCACCTCAACAGTTTCCTCTGATATTTCTGATATGGGCACTTTCCCTTTGCTAATTGTACTGTCTACAGCATCTGGTTTCTCTTTCGGGGATACTTTAGGGGAAATAACTTTCCTTCCAGGTATTTTCATTTGTTCTTTTTCATCTGCCACAATTTCCTTTGAGGGAAATTTCTTTATCTCTACAGTTTCCTTTGGTGTTTCTGATAGGGGCACTTTCCCTTTGCTAATTCTAATGTCTACGTCATCTGGTTTCTCTTTGGGGAAAATTGCTTTCCTTCCCGGTATCTTCTTTGGTTCTTTTTCATCAGCCACAACTTCCTTTGAAGGAACTTTCTTCACCTCAACAGTTTCCTTTGGTATTTCTGATATTTCTGATATGGGCACTTTCCCTTTGCTAATTGTACTGTCCACAGAATCTGTTTTCTCTTTCGGAGATACTTTAGGGGATATGACTTTCCTTCCAGGTACTTTCCTTGGTTCTTTTTCATCCAACGCAACCTCGTTTGAGGGAACTTTTTTCAGTTCTACAGCAACCTTCCCTATTTCTGAAACTGGCACTTTCCCTTTGCCGATCAGAAGCTGCTTCTCACCAGGCTTCTCATCAAATACTGCCACCTTGTCCGCTATTTTCTGTGGTTCCTTTTCCTCAAATGGAGTTTCTTCTGAGGGAACTTTTTCAAGTTGCACGGGTTCTTTCTGTTCTTGTGAAACAGGCACTTTGCCCTTACCTATTGGAGAGCGTGATGCGATTGGTTTTTCCTTTGACGTAATGATTTCCTTTGGCATAATTATTTGCTTTTCGGGCACTTTAGGAGGTTTCTGGGGTTCTTTTTCTTCCGATGCCCTTCTTTTTGAGGGAATTGGTTTTAACTCAACGATTTCTTTGTCCTCCTCTGATATTGGCACTTTCCCTTTACCAATTTTAAACCGAGACTCAGGAGGCGTCTCTTTGGGAGCCACCACCTTCTTCTCAGGTACTCGCTTAGGAGGCACATCGGCCTCTTCAGGGGGAACCTGTCCTGGAATAGGTTTCTCTGCAGTCTTTTCCAAAATGGTCTCCCTGGGCATCCTATCCATTGGGTGGATGTCTATACCTTTAGGTTTTTCTTCTTCGATAGACGGTTTAATCCTGGGTTCATCTTGAACAACTTTGGGAAAGTCAACTTTCTTGAGACTCGGATGTTCCTTTTTCTCCTCCTCAGCTTTGGGAATTATATGAACTTTTTTCTGCACCAAATGTTTTTCTTCTTTTTCTTGCTCCTTAGGGCTTTTGCTAGGCTTTTTCATTGGAACGACAGTTTGTTTAGCTTTCTCTGGTAGAGGAATTTCAACCTGTTTCACTGATGGCTTTTCCTTTTCACCTACCTCCACGGGAACTCTTTCAGGTTTGGTCAATGGTGTAATAGTTTTTTCACCTTTTTCTAAAGGAACTTCGTCATCCCTTTCGAGTATTATTTGCTTTCCTCGGTCTTCTATGCCCTTGGGGACTCTACCAGGTACCTTTGCTGCTAACTCTTTTTCTTTCACGGTTTCTTCTTTAGGCTTCCTCATAATCCCTTCTCTGGCTCTCTCTCTTGTTTGGGGACCCTACTAGGTTTCTTAAGTGTTACACTTTCTGGTTCCTTTTCTTCTTCTTCAGGAACTCTACCAGATTTTTTCAGCAATGGTTTGTCTACAATATCTTCTTCCATGGTGATCTTATCTGGTTTCTTGAGTGTTGTTCCCTTTACCTTATCATCTATTTTAGGACATCACTAACTACCTTTAGTCCTGATTGTCTATTTTCTTCTTCCTCCTTTGAGAATATTCCATCTTTCTTTAATGACAAAACTTCCCGGTCAGGTTCCACTTCCTTAGGGCTTTTAACACGTATCCTATGTTTTAATTCTAATTGTTTTTCCTCTTCTTTGGGTGATGCATCAAACTTCCTGCGTATAACGCGCTGTTCACCTTCCTCTTCCTTAGAAATCTTACTAGTTTTCTTCAGATTTGTGATTTCTAACAAATCTTCCACTACTTCCTTTGGAACTTTGACTGCTGGTTTTAATTTCAAAGGTGCCTCTGTTTTTTCTGTAGCTATAAAGGTTTTATATTGAATTTAGTGATTGATTAACAAGGACAACATCAATTCCATAAAAGAAACGTTTAACAGAAGAACAACATAAATCAAACAATATCGTATGTTCTGGACTAGATTTAGGTTCCCTAGATTGAAACAGACTGGAGAACATTTTGATAGACAACCAAGTACGCCTAAAGACATGTAAACAGGAAGAATAACAAGACATAATTTACATAAATTGTAACGGTTTCTTAAATGGACTGGAAGGACAGTTTGATACATTACCAATACACAACATTTATATACCTGCGGACTAAAGTTTAAAATTATGCAGTATTTCATATTCAACTGGCCCAAATATTGAACATTAGGAGATCAACAAGTGACAATTGGATGTTTTGCATTTATTAAACAAAGTTTCAAGTTGTGTTTGATAGACTGTACCTTTTACAGGTCTCTTGCCTCCTATTGGAGTCGTTATAGGAGCTGTAACACCAGGTACTTCTGAAACAAAATAAAGAAATGATTTTTACACTGTGATAATCAGAGACTTAAAAAAATGCACATTCTATTGAACTCAGGCACTCTGAACAGCTACATAAAAGGCTGTCCCTGAACACAGCAGCTGCAACACCGGATATCATCTTGGAATCACCTGCTGATAGTTTAGTGTGAACTTACATTTCAACTGAAAAGTTCTGCAGATCGGTCTGTAAGATGGGGATTTTACTAACACAGCCGAATATAGAGTAAGGTTGGAATCTTGCTGCTCAGACGTAACAACGGGAGAATTTTTTCCCCCAGTAGGCTGGTCAGTAAGAAATCAAGTGGCAAATCTGCCAGATTAGATAACATGGGGAAAATTGGGATTTTCCACCGAGCAGAGCCATGCAATCTAAAGTTTAAGAAACTGATGAGGACACTTATTGCACTTATCTTGTTTAAGGCAAAAGGTTGTCTGTGATGGATGAGCCATGTGTCTCTTCCTTTAGAGACACAGTCACAAAGGTTTAGAGTAAAATGGGCTTCAGTCTCCAAGAAGCCATCTCTTCCAGAGTCGAAGAATGTGGACACAACTTCCGCTTTCACATAATCTTGAGAGGGTGATTCGCTGACTTTATAGAGAAGCCTTTTCAAACCTCAGCAAGTCTGTTTCACTTATGAAATCCACTAATGGCATAGCATGATTGCGCTTAAAGTCATAAGACCTTCCACGATGACAATTCTAGGCTCTTGGCTCCCTGGCCCACCATCAGATAGTGTTCTTGATCCTATGTTATGTCCCACTGAGTTAAGCATACCTCATTTTATATGGAGGCAACACCTTCATTTTAGTGGCACGGGCACTAGAATGGGGGTAGACAGAGCACTAAGGCTCTCCCCCTCCCTCTCCCCCTGGCTCGTTGTCAGACTCCACCACTGTGAAGGACTCTGGGGCACTACTCTGTGTGAAGGAAGCTATATAAATGCAAGTTGTTGTTGTTGCTGCTGTCGTTGTAAGGCATGTAAATAGTACCATTGAGAGATTACTCACCGGCTATAAGCACGTATATCAGACACATAATAACCGTAACATATTCTTTTATTTACCAAATATGATTTATTGCATGTTCACATGTATGCCATTGTTATTGTGGTCAGTTGCTGCAATGTGGATGTAGGGTTAGTTGTTATTTGTTGCTATGGAGGCTGAAAGACACTAACTAGAGCTATTGCTTCCTATAAAGAGCTATAATGACTAAGCAGGATACGGTATTCTGGAAATTTAATTAGCTGCAGCACCTTGAGAGATGTCAAAAGAATGCTTTTGAAAGTGCCATACAATGAATTGGGTCCCAATATTCCAGGTTTCAGTTTGGTTCTCCTCAGACCGCTGGACTTCTTTATCTATTTGGATTTTCTTGTCAATGGCAAGTGGTGAAGAATCTTGGAGTTCGTGGCTGGATCATATAAACGGATACCCTCCAATAGTCCGGCTATCTAAATCCTTGCCGCAAAGCACTGTATGATCCTTGATCTCCTGGATACACTATATCGTTTGGGGCAGGACATGTGCATGCGACAGCCAGGATAGGATGGTGGAAGGCAAACTGGATGGTCCTTGGTCTTCTTTTTCTTATGATCCTATCTTGTTGCAATCCTTCCATTGGGGCCAAAGGATTTATTATTGAGGTGAAGCTCCAATATACTAGCCTGAGCTCCAGGTACAGTTTAATGTGGAGAGTCCTTTCCATCTGTGGCCTTGTTCGTTCCTTTCATCCCTTTCCTTCTTTGCTGGAATCATTTGACTTGTCACTTTATGCGCATGCAGAATTTATTGGAATGCAAAAGTGTTTAAAATATTAAATACTGTGCGTTTTAAAATCAGAATAAAGCCACAGGGGTTGTGCATTGTACTCTGACTTTGCTGCTTTATCGGCAAAAGCTGCTCTCCTGTTAATTGGGCTGGAATATGGTCCTAAATTCTCAACGCTCAAGAGAATTCATAAATATAGTTCTACTGCAGTCTCATTGATCTTTCAATTGGAAGAAATGTTCCAAAACCTTAAATTGTCTGAGTACAAGAATAAAAAGCTGCTGGAAAAAAGTACCATGTATTAGCTAATATTTGCAAAGTTGGAAAAGTTTGACTCTAAAATCATTCTGAAATGTATTTCTTTTACATAGATTACCTTTGGTTGGTTCTTCTTCAGAAGCGATTGTGGGTGTTGGTTTTTTCCCAATCTCGGGAGCTGTAAAGAAATTGAAAATATAGTATGTGAGCGAGTTTGAAAGCCGCATAGATTCCAAGCAGAATGTTAAATAAAGAGGGTTTAGCAACATCTCCACCTACAAATTCGAAGTGAACACAGACACATTTCTGCTTCATCCAATTAACATAAACAGCCTGACCTATTTTGCGTTGCTTTAGCTCTATAACACATGGGATGTTAGAAAGACCTCCATCTGAAGGATTGTACCCACCGAAGGATGACACAAACATGGTGATTAATAAGCAAAGGGAAATTAAAAGGAAAAAATTACAAACTGCGATAAGAAATAATTTTCTATGGGAAGTAAAATATCTGTAAATGAAGAAATATCATGAGGACGAAATTTAAAATAGGTTGTGAGCTTTGTACCAGCGACACATGATGTTGAGTTACTCTCATCTGTTTACACTACTTTGATTCCATCACAGGTTTCACAGAAGCTGTGGACTAACTGGTTCATTCTTCTAGGTAACTGTCGGCACTTATTCATTTTGAAATAATATTTAGTTCACATAGAAAATCTAAAACACTGACAAAGGTAACTACCAATAACACTGACAAACAAATACATGGGAACAATTCCACACAGGAGAAGACATAAAAGGAGTAATTGGCTGGCGTACGGGGAAAAAGCAGGTAATTGGGACTGAATGGATTGTTCTTTCAATGACCTTCTTCTGGGGTGTAAATTTCTATGGTTGTGAACTTCGCCTCTCCATCCAATTCTCAAGATTCCTTCAATGTGTCTATCTCTAAATCTTATAACAATGAATCTTTTCAGTTTCTACCACCTTTCAGATGTATCCATCTGGCCTTGTAATGTTAAAGATTTTAAGTCTACACTTCCCAATTAAACATCACAACGCCCTAAAATTAACGGAGAATACTTGAATACTTTGACTGCTAAACATATTGATGGTGAATCTGATGCAATTTGTTTTTACAACCATTTGGTTGTAAAAGCAACAGCAAATATATTAGCACGGGAGTGCAAAACAAAAAAAACATCAAAGTCACAAATTCTTTCACAAAATATCCAGAGTAAATACTCTTCTGAAACTAAAGAAAGTGCTAATGAAACAAAAAGACAAATGAGATGATAAATTGGTAAATGGAGACACTTAAAGTCAGTGATAACAGCAAAACAAGGAGATTCTAGAAGAAATTGTGCAAAATTCCAGAACTTTTCCAGTGAATGTGAGATACAGGAGTTTGGGTTGGTTAAAATAGTTCTTCTATTTTAATTTATACCTTTCTCTAGAATCATTTCCTCTCTTTCTGAAGGTACGTCGTAATCGGTTTCTTCACCTAAAATCTTCTCGTCATCTTCAGGGACTTTTAACACAAAGTTTCAAAGCGTTGTGAAACATGTAGACAATTCACGCACAAGAAAAGACGCACAGGAGATGCAAATGTCACGACATGTTGTGGGCACATTAGATGGTTATGAATGTGGTACAAAACTTCAAACGGGAAAACAAGACTCAGTTTAGACACAACCAAAGCAAAACTCACCAAACAATGAAAATACACACAACACAGAATGTGTAAATGGTGAAGAAAACCGAATGGAAATACAACAAGTTAGTGGATGAAGTCTGTGAAAGATTGTGGTAGAGGATTAGTAATGAGCCTGACTGAATTAACTAGGTTAAGATATGTTGCCAGCTCTATACCTGGAGTAACATCCTTACCTCCTGGAACTTTGATTGGAACTTTTTGAGGGACGGGTTTCTCGGTAACTTCAGGCACTTTAAAAAGATTATTAAAATCACTGTGAGCCATGTTCATTTTTTTAAAAAACACGTGAGATAAAAAAAGTATCAAAATCAAGAAACACGTTCTTAAAAGTGACCTAACAATGCACAATAAGTGTTAATTGTTAAGTTAACAATAACAGAAATTAGTTTTGCGTTTGGTTTCTGCGCTGCGGTAGTGAAATCGCAAAAAAACAAAATGGAATTTTCAAAATAATGCTGACATTATTGGCAGAAAAGAAAAGCAGTCTTGTGAGCCATATAAATATGGAAAATCACATTTGAAAGAAATTGGGAAAGGAGGAATTCTAAGTCTTTTTTCTGCAGATTCAACAACTATACATTGTTCTAAATAACATGCGTGTCTAATACAGCTAATTCTTAACATAAGATTCCCTTATAAGCAGGTACCAATGTTATGCTGTTTCGATCTTGAAACTGTTATTGTTGGCAACAATTTCACATATGTGGTTCTGCACAAATTCAGTCTGTAATTAATATTAAAATAAATCTTGCTATTTTAATGACGGCTGGAAGAGCAAAACTCAGATTATTATCATGTGATTTTCTACGCAGTTGAAAAATGCATTTCATATAACTTCAAAACTGAACACTTAGCACTTATAATCAAGATAATGCTTGTGACGTAAAAGTTGATAGCATAAAAATAGGCAGAGCAAGGCGTAATTGGCAATGGTAGAAATGATAAAGCCAATAAATGAACTAGCAGGTTACCTGTAAGAGAATAAAATGCTTATTGGCAGCCCACAAATGTAAGATGTACATGTCTGTTATGTACCTTTAGGTCGAATGGTCATTTCTTTTTCTTCATATACTTCTGTATCTTCTTCATCTTCTTCAGGCTCTTCAACATAGGCTTCTGTATATTCTTCAAACGCTTCTATCTCTTCATCAAGTTCTTCGGTCTCTTCATCATATGGTTCTATTACTTCATATTCTTCCTTATGTTCTTCATATGTTTCTATTACCTCATATTCTTCCTTATATTCTTCATATGCTTCTATAACTTCATATGTTTCCCTGTCTTCTTCATAAGCAGGTTGTTTTGTAACCTCAGGGTCTTCAACAACAATGTACAGTTTAGCGCAAACAAGAATCACTGTTGTAAAATCTTATGCACTCACGTACTACGCATAAACAGAACGAGACACTACTTATTTGACATGAAACAAGTCAACACAGTGAAACGGCATAAACGTAGTCAACGTGTAAAAGAAAATACATTCTAATGATAGCACCGACTGCATCAAATAACAATTAACAAACACACCTAATTCTTAATAAAAATTTACTTGAGATAGGGTGGATGATTTTGATACCTTTTAGAGGCACAACTTGTTTTCTTGGTGTAACAGTGATTGGTGTCACCTTTTCAGATGTAGGCTTCTTTACATCTTCCGGCACTTTAAGGAATATGATTTCAAATTCAGACCTTACTATCATAATGAATAACACAACGTGTAACATAAAAAGATAGGACACATAAATGGTAACATTAAAGGACAGGACTCATAACAGGTAACATTAAAGGACATGAAACACAACAGGTAATATGGAACAGTTGGTTATATTTTAATTGTTGCATTTTATTGATTTTAAGTGTATTTTATTTTAATTCATCATGTGCTTTTTTCTTTGTTTGTTTGTTTCATTCACAACAAGCTCTCCAAAGTAGAAATCCACAGCTTGGCGAGTGCTGTTCAAAATAAGAAATCAGCTATGTCATGATATAACTTTGTTCTGAGTATTAAAAACATTGTGTGTGTTGGCACTTAGATATACATTGCTAAAACAATATAGTGCACAGCAGTATATTAATAAATAGTTGTTTGGGTCTTTAGTAAGGAATTATTCAAATCGATTCCTTGCGTTTTCATGGATGTGCAGAGAAGTTAATGAAATACCAACTTTCCAAAACAACGACGACAACATTACATTGAGCACTTCCAACACAATTCGTGATAAACACAACAACACCAACAACAACTTGCACTTATATAGTGCCTTCCACGCAGAGTAGCGTCTCAGAGCGCTTAAACAACAACAACAACAACAACAACAATAAATGACATTTGTATAAGGCCTTTCATGTCAGGTGGATGTCCCATGGCACTGGATGATCACAAGACAGATGACAATGATCACAAGACAGATGACAATGATCACAAGACAGATGAAACATTCATTTTTTTTAAGACTAGACACGCCAATAGAGTAAAAACATTACATTAAAGTCATCAAAACAAAACAGACAGCAACCATTAATCACAAACAAGAAGAATTCTGGTCAAGCAGGAGGCTGGTCTGCATATTTTGTACCTTTTTTTGAAATAATTGCTTCTTTTCTTGAAACGCTGATGGGTGCAGGTTGTACCTTCTTGTCAACTTTGGGCACTTCAAAGAATATTATTTTTTAGGACAGATGTACTAAGGAAGCATTGAACAACACAAATACAAGACACAATCACACACAACAGACAGACATAAAAATAGCTCCTGTACGTCAAAGCTACTTCTTTATACTGTCTGAACTATGCAATTGACACACAGACATTTTCCAGATCAACATTAAAAGGCTTGAGAAAAGCAAATTGCAGGCCTTACTTGCTAAGCGTCTAGTTTAAACAACTATAAACTATTCCAAAATGGAAATCATGTCCCTTACTGCCTAAGTGTATGTAACAAAACAAGGAATGGATTATATTTATATTCAATGGAAAATCGCAGAAACAAAAATCAAACAAATATTCAGGAATGTTAAGGGGTGTGCTACAAAATGTAAAGTCAAATGAGCTAAAGGGACGTCTTCATCCAAACGAATCCTGTGATCTTGTGATGCTTGTAATACTGCTTCTATATTTAATCTAAACTTTCCTGTAATAATCTCCTATTTTCTACAAGATAGATTAGTTAATTACATTATTCTACCTCTCTGTTTTCAGGTGAAGTAAATCTATATATGTTTTTTTCATGTGAAAACACACAGTTAATTTTTTAACAAAAACAGTCATCCATAGTTCCAGAACAGACACAATGTCACAATAGTTAAGACAGCTAAGATGTTGTGCACAAAAATCTCCAATGAGTTACAAAGAGGAGTTGCAAGAGTTTTCGTAATGATTCTTTTGAAAAACGTTGATGTGAAACATTGCGCTGACTTATTGTTTTACCTTTCGGTGCTTCTTCTTTTCTTGGCACAGGTTTAAGTTGTACAGCATCAGGCTTCTTTGGAACCTCTGGCACTTCAAAGAATATGCTTAGATTAGACTTAAATTACTTAAGGACAGTAATTCCTCCACACTTATTCAACAAAACGACACTCACATCACACCACACCCACGACATCATTAAAACACCAAAAGTGGGCATTTTGCACAACTAATAAAAAGAAAAGATATTAACCAAATTATTATCAAATTATATCCAAATTATCAGGAAGAGAAACATTATATTGTAGATCATTGTCTTCATGGATAAAAGGAATCTTTTGTTTATGTATAGTTTCCAAAATAAATGCAAGATGTATAAAAAAAGGTCTTCCTTATAGAATTATATAACCAGTAGTTCCTGTAAGAATTAGGATAAATCTTGTGAAACATCTAATGAAACAGCTAATGAAAGAAATCAATGAAGCAACTCAGTACCTTTCTTCTTAGTTTCAAATGTGGTCCAGCTGAAAATAACAATCCTTCCGATGATGAAATGCTAAGTCTCTTTTTGTCAAATAGAATTGAAAATAAAGTCGCATAAATGGGAATAAAACATTTCCCACATCTGTCGATCACCTCTCTCATTACATTGGTGCATCACAACTATGAATACGCCTGGTATTGACACTTCCCTGTACCTTGACAATTTATAACCCCGTTCTACTTCCTTATTTCTTCACCTCTGGTCTAGTTTGTTCCATTGCCTTTTCACTAAAAAAAAACTCTTTGCTTGCAATTCCTATTTGGGTTTGAAGTCCTTGTTTTGAAGATACGATCAAATTCTATAGTGCACCCTCCTAATTGCAGACAAGAAACTAACAAGGCTGCAGACAAGATAAGTTGTTCTTTGTTTAACAAACAAGCACAACCAGCATGTGCTTATTTGCGATAATAATAATAATAATCCTTGCATTTGATATCTGAGGTTGCTACAGGTTCTGGTCAATCTCACTGGCTTCACTCCACCAAATTGTGCTGCTATCACACTTGTGCTTGAGCATGACTGCAGGGCAACGCTGACATTTATTATCCTCAATGGCACCAGAACGCAAGGCCATGCAGGAGGACATCTGAATTCACCGCTGAGATAGCAGTGGTAAGAACAACACTGTGCAAATATGCTAAAGCTGGACCACATGGCACTGAGATAAAATGGAATATTAATACTTCATCCTCAACAAGGCATTTCCTTCATATAATATAAATCAATAGAGTGTTTCCAAGATTGAATGAACGTTTTTTGTAATTACAAAAACGTTGGTTTTATTATAAAGAGGGCATAAAACACTGGGTTAATTTCTGTACCTTTAGCTGCATCTTTCTTGGGAATAATGATCTCTTTCTTTGGAACAACAGCTGGTTTCACTTTTTCAGCAACCTCCTTCTTGGGAACTGCTGGCACTTTACATAAACAGAATTACAGTTTCAAGATTAAGTATCTTCATTTATGTACACAGTGTTATGACGATGCGTTAAGGTAACATGAGCTACAAAGGACAAAACTCGAGCAGAAGACGACATTTTCCAAATCAAAAGATCAAAATTGTTGGACCATAAATACCAGTTGCGAAATACCTTGCCTTCCCATGAAAACGTGTTCTTTTGAAAAATTTCCACGTGTTTTTGTACTCCAGAATTTGTTATTTTCAGACGTAAATTTGGAAAAAGCCTTGATTGAAATCAGCGCCCTCTCATCAACAGAAATTTGCAGTGCTCACACATATTCAAGGTCTCAAAATTCACCAGACATTTAGCTGATATTGAGCAGTTGCTTTAATATCAGGACTAAAGGCAGGGCAGTACAGTATTAATGATCCATTCAAATAAAATACACAGGCACATCACAACGTACAAAACAACACAAATGTGAGATACATAACAAATACAATGTAAGAATAAGACTGGAGAATCGCCCATGTGCTTCTGTACCTTTGGCTGGAGCAACTTTGTCTTTTGTTGGCACAGCTTCTGGTTTCACCTCTTCGGGAACCGGCTTCTTGGGCACCTCTGGCACTTTAAAGAACATCATTTGTACGTGAGACTTGAGTCATTCATGAAAATATAGACAACTTTTAAAATACGTATCCCCTTCCCAACCCAAGAGCCCCTCCCCTCAAAATGATGAACAAGTTAGCTCACATTAAATAGACATGACAAGATAAAATGAACATGACAATTTTCTAGCTTGACAAAAAAGACAAAACATTCTGCACGTAATGTGCTGCTTTGAGGCAGTGATCATTAGTGGCAATTTTCTGTATTCCAAAAATACAATAATCGTTGTTTTGAACCAAGTTTTCATACATAAAATCAATTAATATAATAATTGTCGTTACATTTGAGAGAGCGCCTTATCACATTGTCAAGGCGTCTAAAAGCGCTTCACAGAATATGCTGTAAAGTGGATTAACTGTGTATTTTGAGGGCAAAACGTGGCAACCAATTTGTGCACAGCAACGACTCACAAACAGCCATGTAGTGGGTGACCAAATTTATGTGGGAGATTGTTGGCCAGAAACTCCCTTCTCTTTTTGAATAGTGCTATGGTATCTTTAATGTCCACCTGAAGAGACAGATGGGACCTCGGCTTAATGTCTCGTCCACCTCCGACAATGTATCACCCCCCCCAGATCTACATTGGAGGGTCTGGTCAGACTATGGAGATTCCAAGTCTCGATGTGAGTTTTGAACCTACAATCTTCTGACTCAGAGGCAAGAGTGCTATCACTGCGCCAGGCTGACACAAAAAAAATTCTATTGTATCCAAATCACAGTAATCAGAAACAAGCATTTGCTGGTAAAAGAAAGCGGGGAATTGGGATGAAGGAGGTGAGAGTGTTAGTGCCATGGGTCAGGCTGGTGGGCCAATGGCCTTCTCCAATTCCTAAATATTAAGCATTGATTTCCATTGTGGCTTTGGCTGTATTTAGATAATGCAAACTTCTTAATGAATTCAACCTTCCAAGATCCTACTTTGTCCGACATTATATTCTAAGAGGATTTGTTTTTAAAATGACAATAAGAGGAGACACACCACATCACAAAAGAGCACATGAATAGACAAGGCAATTCAACAATAATTGCCCCATCATAAATTGTTAGTGAGCACTGAAAGATGATCATGAAAAGTAGACGACTTTTCATTGTAATGATAAGAACAGGATTCAACGCAACAAAAGCACGAATGTCTCACATAGAATCCTTCTGTGAGTTTTTGTACCTTTTGTTGGAGCAATCTCCAATTTTCTTGGAACAATGACAGGTTTTTCTTCTTCAAGAGCAGGCTTCTTAGGAACCTCTGGCACTTTAAAGAATATTATTGTCTTAAAATTAGATTATTTCATGAAAGTCCACATAACAAATTTAAACAACTGGAAGACAAAGTGAATTAGACTTGACGGACAATGATGACAAATGATTAACACTTATTTGTGTGTGTACTGTGCTAATACTGGCAATTAACGCATTGCCTTACACATGGGGTAAGGGTATTTCTGTTAATCAATCAGATTTGCTGATATAGTTAAAATGAAATAGGATTTACCTTCTTGATAAATTAAGCACATTTTTATTCTCTCAGTTATTTTATCGACACTGTTCCAAATACAACAAACTAGTTCTCAGTGCCACAAAAGGTACTATTACTTCTGGTTCCTGGTACCCAAATAATATTAAGCTTCACTACACCTTGAAAAGTTAAGAAAAAAAACAATTCAATGGAATTTTATCATACAAATATTAAACAGCTAATTTTCTGACATGTTCGCGATAATATGTGATAGCACGAGTGATACACACAAATTTCAAACAAACACTATTATCTGTCTCAGCGAAACAGAGCTGCACATGACTACAAATAAACATAGATAAAGGTAATGGGATGAATAACAAGAAGCACCAGAAGGTTTCTGGCTGTGATTGATGAGAAGATTAGGAATGTAGAAAATTGTGCTGAATATCGTGAAAAGAAAAATGATGGCACAATACATGTGAAGATTTGTATAAATCCGTGTGTGTACTTTCGTACCTTTGGCTGGTTCAGCTTCTTTCTTCGCGACAGTAACTGGTTTAGCTTTATCAGGAACTGGTTTCTTAGGGGGCTCTGGCACTTTAAAGAAGATTATTGGTTTAAGATGAGATCCATTCAGGACAATTCAGATCGAAGCCATTTGAACAAACCAAGGCAACAGGTAAGAGCACATAATAGACAAAAGCAGCACAACATGACATCCATTCTTGAAAAAAATATACTTAAAACTAAAATCCCTTAATGTGATGCAACTCCTAATTTGAGTAGCAATTAGCAATAGTGGGCATATTTCTGCAATCATTAATTAACATAACTATGTATTTGCTAATTTGTTTTGTATCATTTCTATCATTTTTAGCTATTGCAACATCAAATTTCCTTTAAACTAGTAGCATGCCATATGAAAAGGAATGCTTTTTCTCTCATACAGCATAACCAAGCGATTGTTGTAAAAGCCTGAACAATGCACATGGATTGAAACCAAACATAACAGAGTAGCACAATTTGGAGAATGAATATGGAGGAGGAAGAGCTGCACATGACAACAAATAAACACAGATAAGGTAATGAGAATGAATAACAAGAAGCACCAGAAGGTTTCTGGCTGTGATTGGTGAGAAGACTAGGAACATAGAAAATTGTGTTGAATATCGTGAAAGGAAAAATGATGGCACAATACACGGGAAGATCTGTATAAATCCGTGTGTGTACTTTCGTACCTTTGGCTGGTTCAGCTTCTTTCTTTGCGACAGTAACTGGTTTAGCTTTATCAGGAACTGGTTTCTTAGGGGCCTCTGGCACTTTAAAGAAGATTATTGGTTTAAGATGAGATCCATTCAGGACAATTCAGATCGAAGCCATTTGAACAAACCAAGGCAACAGGTAAGAGCACATAATAGACAAAAGCAGCACAACATGACATCCATTCTTGAAAAAAATATACTTAAAACTAAAATCCCTTAATGTAATGCAACTCCTAATTTGAGTAGCAATTAGCAATAGTGGGCATATTTCTGCAATCATTAATTAACATAACTATTTATTTGCTTTTTTTTTCTGTATCATCTATCATTTTTAGCTATTGCAAGAACAAATTTCCTTTAAATTAGTAGCATGCCATATGAAAAGGAATACTTTTTCTCTCATACTGCATAATAAAGCTATTGTTGTAAAAGCCTGAACAATGCACATGGATTGAAACCAAACATAACAGAGTAGCACAATTTGGTGAATGAATATGGAGGAGGAAGTTGCATTGAGTAAGTGCCAGAGCTGTTTAATGGGCAGAATCATTAAGAATGAAATGGTTTCTTTTCAGCGATAAGAGCAGGAATGCATGGTAAGCAGAAATATTCCTACGAAATTCTTCAGTGCTTTTTTTTTTACCTTTCACAGCAGTGCCTTTTCTTGTTAGAGTGACTAGTTTCTCTTCTTCAGCAACTATCTTCTTAGAAACCACTGGCACTTTAAAGAACATTATTATTTTAAGATAAGATTCATTCAGTTTTGAGAGTATTTAAATATATGAAGATGATATGAAACCTATATGTCAAGTACTAGTTTTCAATGTAACTACTGAATCTGTACAATTGTCAGTTGCTGCCATTGTTAAGAAACTGGTACAAATCAAGATATTTCTGCAGTAATCGATTACCACAGTAGCATTTGCTGTAAATTAATTATTTTCCCACTATTTTTACTATTAATTTAGTAAATGCAATGATCAAGTCAGCATATTATCCCAGTTTCATGGTTTAGTAATACATTAAATAACTGATACAATGTGTTATAATAATAATTATTAGACTATCATAATAGATAAGGCTAGTGGCATTATAGCACAAATGGTGCATACAGAAGCAAAAGATCATCTGGATATTGCAACAGGGTAAATGAACACACATTAATGGACAAATACAGAGATGACAAATAATATTTGGATAAGAAGAAGCACCATTCAAGAGATTATTTTCATTATAACAGTAAGAAAATGTTGCAGTAAAATAGCTGACAGGAAATATTTTATACCTTTCACTGAAGGAACTTCCTCTCTGCTTTGAACGATGATTTCTTGATATTCTTCTTCAAAAGTCTCTTCATGAAACTCCATCACTTTGAAGAATATTATTGTTTAAGATACAAATCATCCAAGAAAGCACAAGCAATTCCGAATGGTTTTAAAGTAATTAAGACAAAGGGAACATATGAACGCGATACACTTAACAAACACAAAGTGATGTTATGTCATGTGACAAAGACAATTGGGAACAAAAAGGACAATAACTTAATTTTGGCAACAAAACAGAAGCATTTAATAATGGGGATCTTTTAATGAGCTTGATAAAGCAGCCAACATCATTTTGTTTTTCACTGATTTTATATTATTTTGAATAATAATCCTTGCATTTGATATAGCGCATTATCACGTCATTGAGAAGTCTCAAAGCGCTTCACACAATATACTGGAAAATGGTTTGACTATGTATTTTGTGGATGAAATGCAGCAGACAACAGCTGTGTCCCAATTTCAAGATGAATTAATCAATTCATTAAGATTTTAATTTAAGGTTTTGATTTAAGAGATGTGGCCAAAGATTTTATAATTCTTAATTCTGCTTGTTTTGAGGCTCCTAGGTTCTATTCCTGGTCTGCGATGAGCTTAGGTAGGATGGGATTTAGATGCTGTATTTGGCTTCAGCAGCTCAGGCCCAGAGAAGGTGAAAGAAGGTGAAAAGTTTTTCACTCTTCATTGCTAAACCAGCAACACCTGCAAGATAGTGCATGTGTGAAGCCAGCCTTGGAATTAGCTTCGATCCTCCCATGACCATATCTGCCTCTTTGGCAATTCTTGCTGTGTGATCTGGACACTCATTGCTACTGATCACAGGTGAAAAACAATTCCACTTCATCAAGACTCCGAATGGGAGTCAATGCCTTTGGAATTGTATCCTCAGATGAGTTAACACCTTCAGATGAGGAGGGGGAAGAAATGGGAGAAAAATTCTTAGATCTCGATTTTATTCATTAAACTTATATTATTTTCAATAATCGTTCAGAACGTCAACTCAAACGATCATTTAACTAAAACAATGAAATGCCTTTGATGTAAAATCATGAGAGGCTACAGTTTTGATGGTTTCAATGACACATACTGACGTAAAACAAATTCTGACACCACAATATTACAGAAAGCACACATTCAGGGTTTCAGTATGAATGTTGTGCTTTGACTTCAGTGTGGAGAAGGCAAATAGCATTTCGATAGCGCACTACATCAGAAACAAGGTTCTGATTATTAGTTATGGGTCAAACGTGGAAAACAGACATTGTTTACAGTACAATGGTGAGAAAAGGATGTGGCAGTATGTTGAACACATAACATTCTCTGCAGTTTGTGTACCTTGTACTTCAGTGACCTCTTCTCTTCTTTGGACATAAACTGGTTTAGGTTCTTCAACAATTGGCTTCTTAGGAGCAGCTGGGAGTTTAAAGTGCACGATTTTATTAAGATGAGACTTACTCCAATAAAACAGCATAGATGCTTACAAACACCAATCAAGATATGATGAGACACACAAGACAAACAGAACGAGCACACAATAGCATTCCCTGCTGTATAATACTGGTATTATATTCTATTATAATTTGATATGAAAACCACACTATATAAACTTGACAGAACCTTTTTGCCAACAGAACTCAAAATAATTATTTGCCATCTTTGCCACTACTTTTTTTTTCAAAATGCAAGTCAAGTTCTGTTTAAATTGAAATTTGCAAGTATAAATTCACATTTAATTGGAAGCGTTAATAACTGTAAAGATTAAGTTCCGCCCCACCCTCCGCAAGTTACAGTTATGACAGCACAAACAGCACACACAGACTTAAAGCTTAACATAAAACATTACAGTTTTGCAACAGAATAAAACATCACAGAAAAGAAGGACTTTAACAAACAGCACCAGAAGCTGAGTCTGGCTGGAAATTACAAGAAAACAATAAAGAACAGAAAAAGTTTCTCTATAATGCTACAAAGAGAAATTCTGCAGTAAAACTGACAGCATGAAGTTCTTCTGTGTTTGTTTCTATACCTGCAACTATGACGACTTCCTCTTCTCTTTGAACAGTAATTGACTTCCTTTCTTCAACAATTGGCTTCTTACGGATCTGGGGCACTTTAAAGAACATTAGCAATTCAAGATGAGATTCAATTTAAGACAATCCACATCGTTTTTGAAATGATTTGAAAAACACATTGGACAACATGAAGCACAGACATGATGAACAAAACTAACGCAAGGTGACAATCGCTTTTAATCAACCAAATTAAGAACATAAGAACATAAGAATTAGGAGCAGGAGTAGGCCATTCGGCCCCTCGAGCCTGTGCCCCACCATTCGATAAGATCGTGGCTGATCTTCAGACCTAACTCTAATTACCTGCCCTATCCCCATATCCCCTAAGCCCTCTGTTTTTTAAAAATCTATCAGTCTCAGCCTTGAAGATGTTCAAGTACTGAGCATCTACAGCCTTCTGAGGGAGTGAATTCCATAAATTCACTACCCTCTGAGTCAAAAAATGTTTCCTCAACTCTGTTCTAAAAGGCTGACCCTTAATTTTAAGACTGTGACCCCTGGTTATAGATTCTCCTTCCAGGGGAAACAGACCCTCAGTGTCTACTTTATCAGCCCTTTAAGAATCTTATATGTTTCAATAAGATCGCCCCTAATTCTTCTGTACTCTAGAGAATACAGCCCTAGTTTATTCAGCCTATCCTCATAGGTCAGTCCCCTCATCCCAGGAACTAACCGAGTGAATCTACGCTGCACCCCCTCTAGGGCAAGTATGTCCTTTTTTAAATAAGGAGACCAAAACTGGTAATTGTTAAATCCCAAACCAAGTGCTTATAATTCACCATGACTGAAGCATAACTTGCTGGTAATGGAGACCTTTCTGTATTAATATTTCATCATATTAGGATCCTGAGATACTATCAGCCTGAAGGGCGCAAAATATATGCAAGTAGTTCTTGTTGCATCTTATTTTAAATTTACCATCTTCACAATCTTTTTTTTAATTTTCCTTTCCAGCTTAGTTGGATGCAAAACAATCTCATAAATTACTCACAAAGACAAACCAATTTGTGCAACAAGAATTGGATGCTATCAGATGGCAATTGATTGACTATGATTAAAGAAGTTTCATATTTCCACATGATATTACTGAGGCGATGGATGGCTTTGGATGCAGTAATAATGTTCATGTGAAGTCTTTTGTAGAATTTTTTTACCTTTAGCTGGAGCGACCTCCTCCTTTCTTGAGGCAGGAACTGGTTTAGGTTCTTCTTCAGCTGCTTTCACAGGGACCTTGGCCACTTTAAAGAACATCAAAATTTTAAGATGAGATTCGCTCAAAACCTTAATGCATCATTTTCATGATATTTGAATGACAGATCTAGAAACACTAGCCTCACAAGAGACAAAACACACTCTCCTCTAATTTGACGCAATTATCTGAAGGTATGACTTATGCACATCATAACACAATAAATTAAATAAGGCTGAGAAAATATACATACCTTTGAAACTCCTTGAATACATTAGATCGACATAGAAACATGCTAATCTAACAAAACTAACAAGACATTTTTCTTGTATCAGCTCACGATTATTAATTTAAAATGACAATTACTTATCAAGACAATATGTTGTTAGTTCGCACCTGGAAGTGATTTTCTGAACTGGCAGAGCATAAATTTGCCTCTGCCATTCAAACAAAAAAAAAACATGTTCAGATTTGCTCTTAAAACATTGATGTTATACTCAATCAAAGTGAATTCAACCTAATGCCCTTACCACCCAGGGCCAGAGTCAGATGAACTCATTCCATTTTACAGTTACCTACTTCAGAAGCGATCATTGATTGTTCAGGTGAATCCTATGTGTGACCGGCCATGTCAATCAATATCAGACAAAGAAAATCTTTTTTTTTTGAAGAAAAAGGTTTGCTCCCGCCTTCCAAAGTAAAACGACAACAGCGAACCACAACAACAACAATGCACTACATTACAAAAGACAGGTAAGAAAACTGATTTCATAGGTAGAAACGGGAAGGGAAAATCAGCCGTGATCTGATAGGAACAGATAGGAAAACAGAACTAGGCCATTCAGCCGCTCGAGCCTGTTCTGCCATTCTAAGTTAGAATAAGTTGGAAAAAAAAACAAGAATAGATACAAAATACTTCCGATAGACTGGGTGGTTTCCTTTCTAGAAAGTATTTTTGGCAGTGTCACAACATATCGATTGAAAACGTATTGAAATTCTATTAGAGCGATATTAAATAACTATTTTCTACTCATTGGACAACATGCCAAAGTGGCGTTGTGTTCAATGAAACACCATAAGTTCTGCACATATTTTGCTTGCGCTTTAAAGCAATTATTTTTCATATTAAAATATTATTACTATTTCGAGCACAACAAATGACAGAAACACAAATGTGAAAAATAAACCCTGACTCTGAAACACTGCAACAGAACAGAACATGGTGGCGATTAATTTTGCCACAGATAAGAATGAGGGTCTGAACAGAGTTCAAGAGATGACTGAGAAATGTAGTTTTCATTCTCATGTGGGGAACAAACCCATCAATACACTGAATAAGAATAAGGGTTTTATAAAATCTTTCTCTTAGTTTTGTACCTTCAGTTGGAAGAATCTCCTTCTTTCTTGCAACAGTAACTGGTTTCACTTCTTCAGCCACTGGCTTCTTAGGAACCTCGGGCACTTTAAAGAATATGATTGTTTAAGAACAGATCCACTCAAAACGATACAAACAACTTTGTAGACATAAAAGTAATGATCCACACACATAAAACTGCCTCAAGGTGACGCGTTTTAGACAGTAAAACAGACTTGGGAGTGAATAACAAGAATTTTTGGATAACAGATGGAATTAATAAGCACCTTTCAACACTGATACGAAAATGGGTGTAACGCCGCAGGATGTAAGGATTATTTTGAATGGTTTGGTGTTACAAATAATAATCATTTTCCCAAATATCCAAACTTCAAACAAGTCAGCTTCTAAAATTTGGTAAAACATATCATAATGTCCATTGGTTTGGAGATGAATTCTGCCCATGATTATCTTCTTATTCACAGATTTAGTGACCTTTGCAGTTAGTAGGTGAAAATTTATGCAGCACTTTAGCATATTCCAGAATTTAGCATATCCATAAATGCCTCCTTAATTTTGAGACAGTTTTTGTGCAAGTTGTTTTAAGAGCTATAGAAAATCAACTTCAAAGTTCACATTGAATTCAACAATTTGCCAAATGCTGCACCCTTTAAAATGCTTCTTAAATGGAGGAATTCTAAGGCCAGGTGGAAAAGTTTGGTGTCCTAGAATGTGTTCCAATTGAATTCACAGCAAGTCAATAGCCCTATTATATTTTCCCCTTGAAAATATTTTCTTACAACTGCTATTTATGACAACATGAAAGATACACACAGATGAGAATACAAACTTGGGACATCACAACACTGTAACAGAACACAACTTTGATGAATAAAGATGAATAAATGAACAAAAGTAAAAACGATGGCGATTAATTCCACCAAAACAAGAAGTTGAGAGATGAATGAAGAAATGGAGACAGTTTTCATTTCTAAGTAAGAATGTAAGAATGAAGATTTTATAAAATCTCTCTCTTAGTTTTATACCTTCAGTTGGTGGAGACACCTTTCTTCTTGGAACAGTGACAGGTTTCACTTCTTCAGCCACTGGTTTCTTAGGAACCTCCGACACTTTAAAGAATATTATTTGGTTTAGGGAATGATTCACTCAAAAGAAAATAAGGAAAGCTGAACACATACGGTAGTAACATTAAACATCACGGACAAAACCAGCAGAAAACATGACCAGAAGAAGAACCAGAAGCTGAATCTGGACAGAGTTTGAAAGACGATTGTGAAATGTAGACAGTTTTCATTCTAATGATGGGAACGTGTAGCAACACTGACTAAGGATGAAGAGTTTATGAAATGTCTCTCTTAGTTTTGTACCTTCAGTAGGAGGAATCTCTTTTCTTCTTGGAACAGCAACAGGTTTGACTTCTTCAGCCACTGGTTTCTTAGGAACCTCTGGCACTTTAAAGAATATTATTGTTTAAGAAAAGATTCACTCAAGAAAACAGATATAACAGGGGGCGTACAAATATTATCCCACAGTAACATGACGCACATGACAGACCAAACACTGACTGAAGACAACGCACTGTCATAGACCAAAACTATGAATAATATATCAAAGTAAAAAGGTTTATTGTAATGTGTTACAATAAATTGTGTTGTGATAATAATTTGTTCATTCAATCCACAACTGTTTGTGGGAGATTGCTGTGCGCAATTGCCTGCCAAGTTTCCCCTACAAAATATCCAGTCAATTTACTTTACGGTATATCCTGTGAAGGCTTTAAGACATCTCAAAGAAGTAACAAGGCGCTTTATCAAATGCAAGGATTACTATTACTATTGTTGTTATTATTATTAACTGGGCAAAGACTGGGACTCTTCTGTACTCAGAGAATGCACATTTAACCAAGTAATTTTAGAATATTGTTGGTCTCTTTAAAACTAAAGTACATTTTGCAGTTATGTTTTGTTTAAGCATTTCCAAATATAATCCTTCCAAGTTTGTAAATTATAATGACATCGATTATTCCTAGTGGATTTTTAATTCACTGAAACATTATGAGTTTTGATAGTTATCATAAAATGTTACCGTGTTACAATTACTCTTCATCCCAACAGCGACAAAGTAAAACATAAACTCACATATCACAAACACCGTAACAGAACAGAACATCGATGAATAAATATGGTGTTGATTTATTCCAATAGAACTATGACCAAAGAAATGAAGTTTGAGGCTTTCTTCTAAGAAGAATGGGAACCTGTAGCCATAATGGGTAAGAATAAAAGTTTCAGGATGAAGATATTTTAAAATCTCCCATTTGTTTTGTACCTTCAATCGGAGGAATCTCCTTCTTTCTAGGAACAGTAACTGGTTTCACTTCTTCAGCCACTGGTTTCTTAGGAACCTCACGCACTTTAAAGAACATGAGCATTTTAGGGAACGTTTCACTCAAGAAAATACACAGAACATTGAACGCACTAACTAACATTCAATGTCACAGGCAAAACCAACAAAAACACATCAGAAGAAGAACCAGAAGCTAAATCTGGACAGAGTTTGAGAGATGACTGTGAAAAAAGACAGTTTTCATTCTAATGATGGGAACGTGTAGCCAGACTGACTAAGGATGAAGAGTTTATGAAATGTCTCTCTTAGTTTTGTACCTTCAGCAGGAGGAATCTCTTTTCTTCTTGGAACAGTAACAGGTTTGACTTCTTCAGCCACTGGTTTCTTAGGAACCTCACGCACTTTAAAGAACATGAGCATTTTAGGGAATGTTTCACTCAAGAAAATACACAGCACATTGAACACACTAACTAACATTCAATGTCACGAACAAAACAAACAAAAACACATCAGAAGAAGAACCAGAAGCTGAATCTGGACAGAGTTTGAGAGATGATTGTGAAAAAAGACACAGTTTTCTTTCTAATGATGGGAACGTGTAGCCAGACTGACTAAGGATGAAGAGTTTATGAAATGTCTCTCTTAGTTTTGTACCTTCAGCAGGAGGAATCTCTTTTCTTCTTGGAACAGTAACAGGTTTGACTTCTTCAGCCACTGGCTTCTTAGGAACCTCCGGCACTTTAAAGAATATTATTGTTTTAGGGAACGATTCACTCAAGAAAATACACAGAACTCTGAACACAGAGAAGTAGTAAACTCAAAGAAATGTGAATGTGACAGACAAAACTAGTTAAAACATGACACAGTCCTTTGAATCAACAACAAATGGAAGGATTCTTATTTCGTTTGGTATAATTACTCATTTTAAACAAGATCTATGGTTTTGATAATTGAATGTTATTGCTACATTTGTACAGCACCTTTCACGTCAGGAGGACGTCCCAAGGCACTGGACGGTAGGGGAATTAGGATGGAATTCCAACGGATGGGGTCAGAGAGGCTGAAGGCCCAACTGCCAATGGTGGGGTGGTCTGGGCAGTGGAGGTGGAGCAGACCGGAGCCTGATGAGCGGAGGGAGCAGACAGGTCGATATGGAGTTAGCAGGTCACAAAGGTAGGGAGGATCAAGCCCGCGGAGGGCTTTGAAGGTGAGAACAAGGATTTTGAACTCTATCCTCTGAGAAATGGGGAGCCATTGGAGCCGGCTGAGGGTGGGGGTGATGGGGTCACGGAACCTGGTGAGGGAGAGGATACCAGCTGCCATGTTCTGGATGATCTGCAGCTTGTGGAGGGAAGAGTTGGGAAGGCCGACAAGTAGCGAGTTAGCATAGTCGAGCATAGATGTAATGAAGGGTCTCGGTGGCCTGAGGAGAGAGAAGATGGCGGAGGTGGGGGAAGGCAGAGTGGGTCATGGCACGGATGTGGGGTAGAAAGGACAGTTGAGGGTCAAACAGGACACCAAGCTTCTGGACTGGCTCTCTTAGCTGAAAATAATAGGGGTTCTGCTCCACCAAATAATACTAATATTGAACAAATCAAACATTTCCACATACAAGACAGCCACTGTTTAGAACAACGTGAAAAACACACACAAAGATGTAAAACATGAAACTCCAGCATCACTGTGAATAAATAGCGTGATGATTAATTCCACCAGAAGCAGAGTTTGAGGGAAGAGCAAGGTGAATGGGAACAAGCGTTGCATTGCAACAGACTGCCACACTGAAGAAGAATTCAGGTTTTATAAAATCGCTGTTGAGTTTTGTACCTTGAGTCGGAGGAATCTCCTTCCTTCTAGGAACTGCAACGGGTTTAACTTCATCAGCCACTGGCTTCTCAGGAGGCTCGGGCACTTCAAAGACTATTAGTGGTTAAGAAAAGATTGACTCTAGAAAACGCATAAAACTGTGTAGACCTACAGCAACAGCAACTTGCATGCATAGAGCGCCCTTCATGCGGGAAGAGTCTTGAAACATTTAAACACGTAACAAGACACACTAACATGAAACACGCCCACAACACACTAAACTGGTTCAAGATGACACTTTTTTATTTAATATGAGTTAATGACGTGGAATGTTTGTCAATATCCGGGATGAATGCGGCCCCTTCAATGGCGATAAAATATAAATTTGACCGGTATATATATTTTTAAATGTCGTCTCCCCTCTGTGTAAATTCTATTTTTAAAAATTTGCATGGGATGATTCAAATCAATTTGGAATACAGGTATAACAGATTTTTAGCACTTTTGTATCGTGTAAGAGATATGTTAGGAATCAGTAAATGTATGTTCCTTCTTGTAGTGTGAGTTTATTCTGGAATGATCATCCTCTTGGCTAAAACCACCGGTCAGCAAATATACTGATCGTCAGGAAATAAGATACCCCATCTGCTAAAATCACAAACTTTATGGATGTGTGGAGAATTACTTGTTAAAAATTGCTAAGAGGATGTTCCCACAAGTTCCCATACAGTTCCCCTGTGTGTTGAGGCTATTGTTTGTGACGATGTGAAACAACACGCACAGATGTGAAACATACTCCCCAACAACACAACATGGTAACGGAACATCTATGAATAACACACAAGGATTGATTCCACCAGAAGAAGAATCAGAAGCAGAGTCTGGACACAGTTCGAGACGTGAGTGACAGCACAATTTTCAGACAGACGGTGTGAATAGACCACCACACTGAGAAAGAATTAAGATTTTATAAAATCTCTCTCTCTTAGATTTGTACCTTCAGCTGGAGGAGTCTCCTTCCTTCTTGGAACGTAAATGGGTTTGACTTCTTCAGCCACTGGTTTCTTAGGAACTTTAAAGAACATCATTGTTTTAGGAAAAGATTCGGTCAAGAAAATAGAAATACAATCATTTTTTGTGATAACTGTAAATGACAAATCCCTGGGGACATGAAAAACACATACGATGGACAAAGTCGTCATACATACATGAATCAAACATGAACACAATGAGTCAAAACAGAAATACTAGTACATTTTAGGATGAAACTTTGGTTAGTGGCTGGTCAGAGCGGGGGTGTTTTCTACACTGAAGATATCAAATCAAATCCATTTGGTCATGGAAATCTTTGGTAAGGTTTGCTCTCTTTATAAACAAATTAGGTTTATTCGAGTTCACATTTTTTTTACACCATTTTAATTATTATGATGAATCAAGTTGGCTTGTTTTTATTGGGATATATTATTTCTAATGGCTTTGTGTTTAATGAAACATTATGAGTTCCGCAAACATTCAAAGCGTGCAAGTAGATATTCGCTCCTTATCACACACCAACTGAAAATTACGAACATTTCCCTGTACCTGAGTTGTTACGATCTGGAATGCACTGTCTGAAAGGGTGGTGCAAGCAGATTCGATAGTAGGTTTTCGAAAGGGAATTGGGTAGATATTTGAAAAAGAAAAATAAATGCAGGGCAATGGGGTAAGGGCTGGGGAGTGGGATTAATTGGATAGCTCTTTTAAAGAGCTGGCACAGGCACGATGGGCCGAATGGCCTCCTTCTATGCTGTAATACTCTATGATTCACCTTACAATCAATATTCATGGCAACATGAATAATACAAGTTGACATGAAACATAAACTGTATCATCACAACATAGGAACAGAAACCGACATTGAGGAATACAAATGGAGATGATTGATTCCACCAAAATAAAAAGGACATGATGCTGAGTGTGAACAGAATTTGAGATACAATTAGGAAAAATAGACACAGTTTTCATTGTAAATTGGGAACATAACACCACACAAAGTAAGACTGAAGATTTTATAAAATCTCCCTCTTTGTTTGTACCTTCAGTTGGAGATTTCTTCCTTTCTGGAACAGCAGCAGGTTTCACTTCTACAGCTACTGGCTTCTTGGGAACCTCTGGCACTTTAAAGAATATTATTGTTTAAGAAAAGATTCACACAAGAATAGGTGTAACATTGAAGGCACATGAATCAAGATTATCCGGAACGTCACAGGAAAACATATCCAAGACAACATATGAAACTACTTGTCAACATAAACTGTTGTTGTTATCACATTGGTCAGTATCTTGAATTAACCCAGATATTTTACAATAACAGCAATTAACAAAAAAACTTTTGCACGGATTCATTAGAAATTTGTCAACAAATTACATGTCTTTCTGTGTTTTCTTTAACCCCTATATTTTTTCAGTAAATATGATACTAATAAAACATACATTTTAGCAGTTTAATATTATATTAAGAATAATGCAGTGAATGTACAATCATTGGTAAAGTCACTAACTTCGATTTATAAATTTTAATAGCCCAATCCTGCTCTAAGCCTACACCACCAGTCAGTAAATTTCCTAGCGGGAGAGGAGTAATGCCCATAGCCACAGTCACCAATTTAATAGTAACCAGAAAATCACGCAATAAATTGACCAAAAACTTGGCCCATGGAATTGACAGTGTGTTAATTGAAATATGCTAACATTTCTCCCTGTATGTTGCAAGCAATTCACATGACTATGCGAAAGGTATAAACAGATGTAAAACACAAACACACAGGTATCACGACAGAACAGACATCGACGAATGAATACGGTGATGACTAATTCCACCACAACAAGAACCGGAAGCTAAGCCTGGACAGAGTTTCAGAAACAAACAAGAAACATGGACACAGTTTTCATTACAATTGTCGGAACAGACCACTGCGCAATTTTATAAAATCTCCCGTTTTGTACCTTCAGTGGGAGGAGCCTCTTTCCTTCTGGGAACAGTAACTGGTTTCACTTCTTCAGCCACTGGCTTCTTATGAACCTCTGGGACTTTAAAGAATATTATTGTTTAAGAAAAGATTCAGCCATAGCATGGAAGGCACATAAACTAGGATAACAAGAAACATTACAGGAAAACATGCTCAAGACGACACAAGATAAAAAATATCAATTCAAGAAACAAAATCGCTTGTTGTACTGTTACTTTAGACAATCTCTTCAATTATTACAAGGACTGTGTGCACTGATACATTAGAAATTTGATGATAACTTATTGATTCGACAATCATTGGCAAAGTCACCAACTGAGATTTGTTTTTAATGGTCCAATTCAGCTCTAAGCTGACAGAGTATCAGCCTGTAAATTTGCTGGTTGTAGAAACGTCACCAATTTAATGGGCTTCAGAAAATCACTCAATAAATTGACCAAGAACTATCCCTTGGAATTGACAGTCTGTTAACTGAAATATGCTAAACTTTTTCTCTGTTTGTCGCCTAAACACGTAACATTATGAAAGGCAACACAGATGTAAAACACAAACACATGGGTATCACAAAATTGTAACAGAACAAACATCAATGACTAAATATGGTGATGATGAATTCCACCACAACAAGGAGAACCAAAAATTACGTTTGGACACAGTTTGAGAGACAATCATGAAATGTAGACACAGATTCTTACGGTGGGAACAGACCATTGCACTAACAAAGAATGAAGATTTTATAAAATCTCCCAATTAGTTTTGTACCTTCAGTCGGAGGAGACACCTTCCTTCTTGGAACAGTAACAGCTTTCACTTCTTCAATAACTCTCTTCTTAAGAACCTCCGGCACTTTTAAGAATATTAGCATTTTAGGGAACGATTCATTCAAGAAAATACACAGAACGTTGAACACACTAACCAACATAAAATGTCACGGACAAAACCAATAGAAACTGACACCAGAAGAAGGACCAGAAGCTGAGTCTGGACAGAGTTTAAGAGACGACAGTGAAACATAGACACAGTTTTGAATCTAATGATGGGAACGTACAGCCACATTGAGTAAGAATGAAGATTTTATAAAATCTCCCATTTGTTTTGTACCTTCAGTTGGAGGAGACTCCTTCCTTCTAAGATCAGTGGCAAGTTTGACTTCTTCAGCCACTGGCTTCTTAGGAACCTCTGGCACTTTAAAAAAATATTATTATTTTAGAAAAGATTCACATAAGAATATACATAACATTGAAGGCACGTAAACCAAGACAACAAGAAACATCATGAGAAAACCTATATTGTATATGAAAAGCACAAGTGAATGAACAGTAAAATCACTTGTCAACATAAGGTTTCGTTACTCTGAGCAGGATCTGAATTTTACAGGGACGTTTTGCACTGACAAGTTAGATATGTGACGATAAATTACACTATACCACTTGCGGACAGGCCTTCAGCTTTTCTGCCCCTACCCTTTGGAATTCCATCCCAGAATCCCTCCGCATCGCCCCATCCCTTGCCTCCTTCAAGACCCAACTCAAGACCTTTCCCTTTGACTGTGGATTTGGTCACCCACCCTCTCCCCTTGCCCTGGAACCCACTTGGTTCTATCTCCCAGCTGGGATGCATACCCTTGACTGTCTAGCGCTCGGGGGCATCCTTCTAAAGTGAAATGCAATATATAAATGTAATGTGTTGTTTGTTTAATATTAAATTAGAAGAATAATTCAGCGAGTCTACAATCATTGACAAAGTCACCAACTGAGATTTATGAGTGTTAATGTTCCAATCCTGCTCTAAGCTGACACCACATCAGTCTGTACATTTGCTGGTTGTAGAAAAGAAAGGTAACCCCATTGGTAATAAAGTCATCAAATTAATGGGGTACAGAAAATCATTCAATAAATTGACCAAGAAATTATCCCATGGAAATGACAGTGTGTTAACTGAAATATGCTAAACTTTTTCTCTGTATGTAGCAGTTACTACAGGTGACAACATGAAAGACATACACAGATGTAAAACACAAACACACGGGTATCACAAAATTGGAACAGAACAAACATTCAATCACTGAATATGGTGATGATGAATTCCACCACAACAAGAAGAATCAAAAACTAAGTTTGGACACAGTTTGAGAGACAATCATGAAATGTAGACGCAGTTTTCATTCTTATGGTGGGAACAGACCATCGCACGAACAAAGAATGAAGATATTATAAAATCTCCCATTTGTTTTGTACCTTCAGTAGGAGGAGACACCTTCCTTCGTGGAACAGTAACTGTTTTCACTTCTTCAACTACTCGCTTCTTAGGAACCTCCGGCACTTTTAAGAATATTAGCATTTTAGGGGACGATTCATTCAAGAAACTACACAGAATGTTGAACACACTAACTAACATGAAATGTCACGGACAAAACCAATAGAAACTGACACCAGAAGAAGAACCGGAAGCTGAGTCTGGACAGATTTTGACAGACGACAGGGAAATATACACACAGTTTTGAATCTAATGGTGGGAACGTACAGCCACATTGATTGAGTAAGGATGAAAATATTATGAAATCTCCCATTTGTTTTGTACCTTCAATTGGAGGAGACTCCTTCCTTCTAAGAACAGTGGCAAGTTTGACTTCTTCAGCCACTGGCTTCATAGGAACCTCTGGCACTTTAAAGAATATGATAGTTTAAGAAAAGATTCTTGTAAGAATATACATAACACTGAAGTCATGTAAACCAAGACAACAAGAAACATCACAGGAAAACGTTCTCAAGACGGCTTATGTTGGTATATGAAAGCGTATGTGAATCAAAAGTAAAATGACTTGTCAACATAAGGTGTTATTAATCTGGGCAGAATCTGGAATTAACAGGGACCTTTTGCACTAAGTTAGAAATGTGACTATAAATTACTTTACATCAGTGGCGGTCGAGCCTTCAGCTTTTCTGCCCCTACCCTTTGGAATTCCATCCCAGAATCCCTCTGCCTCACCCCCTCGCTTGCCTCCTTCAAGACTCAACTCAAGACCTTTTTCTTTGCTCTTTGACCGTGCTTTTGGTCATCCACCCAACCACCCACCTTGTCCTGCACCTCTCTTGATTCCATCTCCCAGCTGGAATGCATACACTTGACTGTCTAGCACCTTGGGACGTCCCTCCAAAGTGAAAGGCACTATATATATGCAATGTATTGTTTGTTTAATATTACAGTAAAAGAATAATTCAGTGAGTCTACAATCATTGGCAAAGTCAACAACTGAGATTTGTGAGTGTTAAAGTTTCAATTCTGCTCTAAGCTGACACCTCATCAGTCTGTACATTTGCTGGTTGTAGAGAAGTAAGGAAACCCCAATGGTGATAAAGTCACCAATTTAATGGGTTCAAAAAAAACACTCAAAAAATTGACCAAGGAATTATCCCTTGGAATTAACAGTGTGTTAACTGAAATATGCTAAACGTTTTCTCTGTATGTTGCAGTTACTACAGGTGACAACATGAAAGACATACACAGATGTAAAACACAAACACATGGGTATCACAAAATTGGAACAGAACAAACATCAATGACTAAATATGGTGATGATGAATTCCACCAAAACAAGAAGAAACAAAAATTAAGTTTGGACACAGTTTGAGAGACAACTGTGAAATGTAGACACAGTTTTCATTCTTATGATGGGAACAGACAATCGCACTAACAAAGAATGAAAATATTATAAAATCTCCCATTTGTTTTGTACCTTCAATAGGAGGAGACACCTTCCTTCTTGGAACAGTAACTGTTTTCACTTCTTCAACTACTCTCTTCTTAGGAACCTCCGGCACTTTTAAGAATATTAGCATTTTAGGGAACGATTCACTCAAGAAAATACACAGAACGTTGAACACACTAACTAACATGAAATGTCACGGACAAAACCAATAGAAACTGACACCAGAAGAAGAACCAGAAGCTGATTCTGGACAGAGTTTGAGAGACGACAGGGAAACAGACACAGTTTTCAATCTAATGATGGGGACGTACAGCCACATTGAGTAAGGATTAAAATTTTATGAAATCTCCAATTTGTTTTGTACCTTCAGTTGGAGGAGACTCCTTCCTTCTAAGAATAGTGGCAGGTTTGACTTCTTCAGCCACTGGCTTCTTAGGAGCCTCTGGCACTTTAAAGAATATAATTGTTTAAGAAAAGATTCATGTAATATACATAACATTGAAGGTACGTAAACCAAGACAACAAGAAACATCACAGGAAAACGTTCTCAAGACGACTTATGTTGGTATATGAAAGCATATGTGAATCAAAAGTAAAATGACTTATCAACATAAGGTGTTATTAATCTGGGCAGGATCTGGAATTAACAGGGACCTTTTGCACTAAGTTAGAAATATGACGATAAATTACTTTACATCACTGGCGTTTGTTCCTTCAGCTTTTCTGCCCCTACCCTATCGAATTCCATCCCAGTATCCCTCTGTCTCACCCCCTCGCTTGCCTCCTTCAAGACCTGAATGAAGACCTTTCTCTTTGCTCTTTGGTCACCCACCCAACCACCCACCTTGTCATGCATCACTCTTGATTCCATCTCCCAGCTGGAATGCATACACTTGACTGTCTAGCGCCTTGGGGCGTCCTTCTGAAGTGAAAGGAACTATATAAATGTTATGTGTTGTTTGTTTAATATTACATTAAAAGAATAATGCAGTGAGTCTACAATCATTGGCAAAATCATCAACTGAGATTTGTGAGTATTAATGTTCCAATTCTGCTCTAAGCTGACACCATATCAGTCTGTACATTTGCTGGTTGTAGAAAAGCAAGGTAACCTCATTGGTGATAATGTCACCAATTTAATGGGGTCAAAAAAAACACTCAATATCCCTTGGAATTGACAGTGTGTTAACTGAAATATGCTAAACTTTTTCTCTGTATGTTGCAGTTACTACAGGTGACAACATGAAAGACATACACAGATGTAAAACACAAACACATGGGTATCACAAATTTGGAACAGAACAAACATCAATGACTAAATATGGTGATGATGAATTCCACCACAACAAGAAGAAACAAAAACTAAGTTTGGCCAGAGTTTGAGAGACAATCATGAAATGGAGACACAGTTTTCATTCTTATGGTGGGAACATTGCACTAACAAAGAATGAAGACTGTATAAAATCTCCCATTTGTTTTGTACCTTCAAAGGGAGGAGACACCTTCTTTCTTGGAACAGTAACTGCTTTCACTTCTTCAACTACTCGCTTCTTAGGAACCTCCGGCACTTTTAAGAATATTAGCATTTTAGGGAACGATTCATTCAAGAAAATACACAGAATGTTGAACACACTAACTAACATGAAATGTCACGGACGAAACCAATAGAAACTGACACCAGAAGAAGAACCAGAAGTTGAGTCTGGACAGAGTTTGAGAGACGACAGTGAAACATAGACACAGTTTTCAATCTAATGATGGGAACGTACAGCCACATTGAGTAAGGATGAAAATTTTATAAAATCTCCCATTTGTTTTGTACCTTCAGTAGGAGGAGATTCCTTCCTTCGTGGAACAGTAACTGTTTTCACTTCTTCAACTACTCGCTTCTTTGGAACCTCAGGCACTTTTAAGAATATTAGCATTTTAGGCGACGATTCATTCAAGAAAATACACAGAATGTTGAACACACTAACCAACATGAAATGTCACGGACAAAACCAATAGAAACTGACACCAGAAGAAGAACCAGAAGCTGATTCTGGACAGATTTTGAGAGACGACAGTGAAACATAGACACAGTTTTGAATCTAATGATGGGAACGTACAGCCACATTGAGTAAGGTTGAAAATATTATGAAATCTCCCATTTGTTTTGTACCTTCAATTGGAGGAGACTCCTTCCTTCTAAGAACAGTGGCAAGTTTGACTTCTTCAGCCACTGGCTTCATAGGAACCTCTGGCACTTTAAAGAATATGATTGTTTTAGAAAAGATTTTCGTAAGAATATACATAACATTGAAGGCACGTAAAGCAAGATAACAAGAAACATCGCAAAAAAACATTCTCCAGACCACTTATGTTGTTATATGAAAAGCATATGTGAATCAAAAGTAAAATCACTCATCAACATAAGGTGTTATTAATCTGGGCAGGATCAGTGGCGGTCAGGTCTTCAGCTTTTCTGTCCCTACCCTTTGGAATTCTATCCCAGAATCTCTCCGCCTCACCGCCTCGCTTGCCTCCATCAAGACTCTACTCAAGACCTTTCCCTTTGCTCTTTGACCAGGTCTTTGGTCAGCCACCCACCCCCCCCCCCCCGTTGTCCTGCACACCTCTTGATTCCATCTCCCAGCTGGGATGCATACTCTTGACTGTCTAGCATCTTGGGGCATCCCTCCGACTTGAAAGGCACTATATAAATGTCATATGTTGTTTGTTTAATATTACATTAAAAGAATAATTCAGTGAGTCTACAATCATTGGCAAAGTCAACAACTGAGATTTGAGAGTGTTAAAGTTCCAATCCTGCTCTAAGCTGACACCACATCAGTCTGTACATTTGCTGGTTGTAGAGAAGTAAGGAAACCCCAATGGTGATAAAGTCACCAATTTAATGGGCTTCAGAAAATCATTCAAAAAATTGACCAAGGAATTATCCCATGGAATTAATTAACAGTGTGTTAACTGAAATATGCTAATCATTTTCTCTGCATATTGCAGTTACTACATGTGACAACATGAAAGACATATACAGATGTAAAACACAAACACATGTGTATCACAAAATTGGAACAGAACAAACATCAATGACTAAATATGGTGTTGATGAATTCCACCACAACAAGAAGAATCAAAAACTAAGTTTGGACACAGTTTGAGAGACAACCGTGAAATGTAGACACAGATTCTTACGGTGGGAACAGACCATCGCACTAACAAAGAATGAAGATTTGATAAAATCTCCCATTTGTTTTGTACCTTCAATGGGAGGAGACACCTTCCTTCTTGGAACGGTAACAGCTTTCACTTCTTCAACTACTCTCTTCTTAGGAACCTCCGGCACTTTTAAGAATATTAGCATTTTAGGGAACGATTCACTCAAGAAAATACACAGAACGTTGAACACACTAACCAACATGAAATGTCACGGACAAAACCAATAGAAACTGACACCAGAAGAAGAAGCAGAAGCTGATTCTGGACAGAGTTTGAGAGACGACAGGGAAACATAAACAGTTTTCAATCTAATGATAGGAACGTACAGCCACATTGAGTAAGGATGAAAATTTTATAAAATTTCCCATTTGTGTTGTACCTTCAGTTGGAGGAGACTCCTTCCTTCTAAGAACAGTGGTAAGTTTGACTTCTTCAGCCACTGGTTTCATAGGAACCTCTGACACTTTAAAGAATATGATTGTTTAAGAAAAGATTCACGTAAGAATATACATAACATTGAAGGCACATAAACCAAGACAACAAAAAACATCACAGGAAAACAATTCTCAAGACAATTTATGTTGCTATGTGAAAGCATATGTGAATCAAAAGTAAAATCACTTATCAATGTAAGGTGTTATTAATCTGGGCAGGATCTGGAATTAACAGGGACTTTTTGCACTGATAAGTTAGAAATATGACTATAGATTACTCTACTTTACACCAGTGGCGGTCGTGCCTTCAGCTTTTCTGTCCCTACTCTTAGGAATTCCATCCAAGAATCCCTCCGCCTCAACCCCTCACTTGCCTCCTTCAAGACCCGACTGAAGACCTTTTTCTTTGCTCTTTGACCGTGCCTTTAGCCACCCACCCAACCCTCTTGTTCTGCACCCCTCTTGATTCCATCTCCCAGCTGGAATGCAAACTGTCTAGAGCATTGGGGTGTCCCTCTGAAGTGAAAGGCACTATATAAATGTAGTTTGTTGTTTGTTTAATATTACATTAAAAGAATAATTCAATGAGTCTACAATCATTGGCAAAGTCACCAATTGAGATTTGTGAGTGTTAATGTTCCAATCCTGCTCTAAGCTGACACATCAGTCTGTACACTTGCTGGTTGTAGAAAAGTAAGGAAACCCCATTGGTAATAAAGTCACCAATGTAATGGGCTTCAGAACATCACTCAATAAATTGACCAAGAACTTATCCCATGGAATTAATTGACAGTGTGTTAACTGAAATATGCTAATCTTTTTCTCTGTATGCTGCAGTTACTACAGGTGACAACATGAAAGACATACACAGATGTAAAACACAAACACACGGGTATCACAAAATTGGAACAGAACAAACATCAATGACTAAATATGGTGATGATGAATTCCACCACAACAAGAAGAATCAAAAACTAAGTTTGGACACAGTTTGAGAGACAACCGTGAAACATAGACACAGTTTTCATTCTTACGGTGGGAACAGACCATCGCACTAACAAAGAATGAAGATTTTATAAAATCTCCCATTTGTTTTGTACCTTCAAAGGGAGGAGACACCTTCCTTCTTGGAACGGTAACTGGTTTCACTTCTTCAACTACTCTCTTCTTAAGAACCTCCAGCACTTTTAAGAATATTAGCATTTTAGGGAACGATTCATTCAAGAAAACACACAGAACATTGAACACACTAACCAACATGAAATGTCATGGACAAAACCAATAGAAACTGACACCAGAAGAAGAACCAGAAGCTGAGTCTGGACAGAGTTTGAGAGACGACAGTGAAACACAGACACAGTTTTCAATCTAATGATGGGAACATATAGCCACATTGAGTAAGGATGAAAATGTTATAAAATTTCCCATTTGTTTTGTACCTTCAGTTGGAGGAGACTCCTTCCTTCTAAGAATAGTGGCAATTTTGGCTTCTTCAGCCACTGGCTTCATAGGAACCTCTGGTACTTTAAAAAATATTATTGTTTTAGAAAAGATTCACATAAGAATATACATAACATTGAAGGCACGTAAACCAAGACAACAAGAAACATCACAAGAAAACACTCTCAAGACGACTTATGTTGGTATATGAAAAGCATATGTGAATCAAAAGTAAAATGACTTGTCAACATATGGTGTTGTTACTCTGGGCAGGATCTGGAATTAACAGGGCTTTTTGCACTGATAAGTTAGAAATGTGACTATAAATTACTCTACTTTACATCACTGGCGATCGGGCTTTTCTGCCCCTATCCCTTGGAATTCCATCCCAGAATCCCTCCACTTGCCTCCTTCAAGAGCCGACTCAAGACCTTTCTCTTTGACAGTAAGTGACAGTAATTAACTGAAATATACTAAACTTTTCCCCCCGTATTTTGCAGTTATGACAGCATGAAAGATATTCACAGACATAAAGACACAAACACACCGGTTTCACGACATTGTAACAGAACAGAACATGGATGACTGAATATGGTGATGATTAATAATCCACCAAAAAATGTACAAGAAACGGAATCTGGACAGTGATTGAGGGACGATTGAAAAATGTAGGCACAGTTTTCAATCAAATGATGGAAACAGACAGCCAGACTGAGTATGAATGAAGATGTCATAAGATCTCTCTCTAGTTCTGTACCTTCGGTTGGAGGAATCTCCTTCCTTCTTGGTACAATAACCGGCTTCACTTCTTCAGTTACTCGCCTCTTAGGAACTTCCGGCACTTCAAAGAGTATTATTATTGTAAGAAAAGGTTGACTCAAGAAAATATATAACTTTGACAATTTATAAATTACAGGTCAGAACTCACAGCAGCAATGAACACACATACGAGAAACAACTGAACAAAGACAACAAATATTTATAAATGTGAAATGAAAGCAGCAACTGGATGTTTTGCCAGTAGTTGGAATTAATTTACATTCACTGATAGAATGTCAATTTGATTAGGAAATATTTTCAGTTTACTTTAATTTATACTTTCTTCACAAATAATAATCACATTTTTTGATTCAAGTCAATTTGTATTACTGATAACAAATAATCTTTTGGGGAGTTTTATATTCAACTAAGTTATTATGTAAGGTCAGTGATTGGACGTTCCTTAGAGTGTGAGTTTATTGTAGGATTATTCTCTTCTCAGCTGCAACTACTAGATTTACACAGTAAATTTACAGACTGGCGGGCAACCCCATGTTACAAAATCATTACTTTTATCGATGTGCAGAGAATTACTTACTATTAATTGACAAAGAATGCACTCCACTAAATGCACAAATTGCGAAACATATTGTACATTTTTCCTACATGTTGCAGCTACTGTTTGTGACAATGTGAACGAGATGCGAAGATGTAAAACATAAAGTTGAAACGTCACAACACTGTAACAGAACACTGATGAATAAACACAGCGATGATCAACTTCACCAAAACAACAAGAACCAGAAGCTGAGTCTGGACAGAGTTTGAGAGACAACCGTGAAACGTAGACAGTTTTTATCCTAATGATGGGAACTTGACTAAGGATGAAGATTTTATAAAATCTCTCTCTTAGTTTTGTACCTTCAGCAGGAGGAGACACCTTCCTTCCAGGAACAGTAACAGGTTTGACTTCTTCAGCCACCGGTTTCTTAGGAACCTCCGGCACTTTAAAGGATATTCTTGGTTTAGTGAACAATTCTCTCAAGAAAAAACATTGCACACAGAAGAGTAGTGATTCCAAGGCATGCGAACATGACAGACAAAACTAGTCATAACAGAACATATTGAACATCACGGAATTGTAACATAACATACCAATGAACAACTACGGTGGCAATTAATTCCACCAGAATAATAAGGAGCAGAAAGAGATGCTGGATAGAGTTTGAGAGATGAATGTGAAATGTAGAACACAGTTTTCATTCTCATGGTGGGAACAGACTATCACATTGGTGAAGACATCAGGCTTTATAAAATCTTTCTCTCTAGTTTTGTACCTTCAGTTGGAGAGATCAACTTTCTTCTTGGAACAATAACTGGTTCTTCTTCAGCCACATGCTTCTTAGGAACCTCCGGCACTTTAAAGAATATTAATGTTTCAATTGTTCAAGAAGAACATGTAATTTACGCAAATAAGACCCCATGAAACACATAAACGACAAATGAAACAAACGATGGAACTACTAATTTAAAAGGGATAAGAACTCATGTGCATAATGCGGCTGTTGACATGTTTCAATGTAAATGTTTACCATCAATCTGCATTGATCTTTGAATTATATTTTTTAAAAAAACAAAAATGTTTTATTCGACATGTTGCAGGATCTTGTTTGCAACTGCCAACAATAGGGGTAATTCCTCATTGAAAGACTGCGGGAATTTACCAGGATTTTTAATAAAATGTTCTGGTAATTTTACAATTAAATATAAAGTTTTTTTTAGTAATTACAGAGGTCATAAGCAAAAGGCCAGTGCTCTTTTCTCATCCCCCTGTGTTCTGCTATAGGTGACTGAGCCTTCAGACATTATATCATGCCCTCTAGAACTTCTTTTCAAACTTTGCGGCCTTCATTCCTCTCTTTGTGCCTTGAAATATCAATAATTCTTTCTCTCTGCTCAGTGCTCTCTGTTATAGTTATAAAGATGGTCATCCTCTAGTAAAGGTATGACCATATAGGTGAAAGTTTTTACTGTAATTATCATTTCAATGATAGTTTTCTGATTAAATTTCGCCAGGTTAACATGGTGCTCTTTGATGTGTTCAATATTTAAAAGAGTTTTCCTTTCAATGTCAAACATACTGCTATATCAACAGAGACAGACAAGCATAACACAGCATGAATTCACAATACTATTATTGCACAAATGCATGAAACAGATGTAAAAAGGCAAGTAAATAAGAATAGTATTGGATAAATATGCATCTTTTATACCTATTGCTGGTGCGGGCTCCTCTTTCCTTGAAACAGTAACTGGTTTCACTTCTTCAGCCACAGGCTTCTTACGAACCTCGGGCACTTTAAGGAATATTAGATTTTTAAGAGCGAATTTACTCAAGAAAATGTACAAACTTTGAAAAAACATAAGCAACAAGACAACATAACAAACACATGACAGAAGACATTCATTCTGCAAACATTTTTAAAATCCAATCAATCAAGGTACATGTATGTAATGTGTTGTCTTTAGGTAACTGAGCATTAACTGATAATAATAATAAGGTGGTTTCTGTACTTATAATATTACATCGCTAACATGCAAAGCATTCAGGATGTTTAAAAACAATCTATTTTCTTAATTCCTCAAATACAACGATCTATATTGGCATAAAATGACCAAATTAGCCAAATTTAACAATAATTCACTGACACTAAATGGTATCATGCTCAAGTAATGTGGCTTTTAACATCTGTTTAAATGTAGATAGTTATGATCAATCTGAATTGATCTGTTAATTACAAAAGAAAATGTTTTATTCGACATGTTTCAGTGGTGGTGATGTTATGACAGGATAATGACCTGGTAGAATGCAAACACAACACACAGATTTACAACACTTTAACACATCATACATCCGGGACACAAAGATGAACAGTACATATTGCATCTGCAATAACAAGCAGCAGCAAAAGCAGGGCTGCAGTTGAGATTCAAGAGCTACCCAGATCGATGGGTTTCCACATAAAGTCTGCGTAAATGCCCTTTGTAGATGTCTACCTGTAGCTGGAGCGATCTCTTCTTTTCGTTGAACAGCAACTGGCTTCACCTTTTCAGGAACTGGCTTCTTGGGAACTTCTGGCACTTTAAAGAACATGATTATTTTAAAACCAAATCAATTCAAGACCGAGTTCGGGATGTTTAAGATATGGAGAGGAAAACGTAAGACAACGTGAAACACACACGACAAATTGAACGAACAAAAGACAACCTTTCCTCCTGAAATCAAAATTATAAAATTAAAACCTGATGTAATATAGTGATAAACATGATAGGGATTCTTCTGGAGACTTGACTTATCAAATGGCTTTTTGCTTTTACGCTTTCGTTTGCTTTTAGGTAATGACGTGCGATTGAAAATTCAGGCAAGATTTGGTAGTAACAGAAGATAAGACGAATAGACTAACACTATAATAACAAAGATCCTTCCCTGACCAATGCTGTAGTTAATTATGTTTCCCATTAATTGTTATAATTACTTTCACTTTATCCCAATACAAAGATTGAACATTCATTGTCCTCTCATCAATCTGCATTCCATTTAGTTACCAAGTCCAGCAAAGACTGAAACGTTCAAGATCATACTCGAGTCCAATCAATATTGTTGATGACTTAGAATCACACACATTTTCCATACTGGTTAGAACTTTTGTTAAGATACACATAACATTTACATGGCTTTAAAGATATCAAGGTAAACCAAACTAGTCTGGACCCGATGTAAAGGCGCTTTACAAATATAATTTTGTTGCTGTTGTAGTCTTTGGATTTGATCTAACGCCCTTTCCACAAGGAGGGGCGTCTTAAAGCGCTTCACAGACTTTACTGTATTTTATACAACAATGTCTCTCAAATGGTCATGAAGTGAATGAATGGTTTTATTTGGGGTTTGTTAACGAGGACACTGGGAGAAACGCCCATCATGATGTTAGAACATTGGAACAGAAGAGCAGACACAGACAAACAATTAAACAGAAGAATTACGTTTGATTAACAAGAGGCACCAGGAGAAAGGTTCTGATTAGCATTGATGCCAAACCATGACAGATAACAATTATGATAACAATGGTTAAAATCGAGATGCAATACTACACGAGAATTAGGCCTTGCTACGAAAAGCCCTTCTTTACCTTTAGTTGGCACAATCTCTTCTTTGGTTGGAACAGCAGTAGGTTTGACCTCTTCAGCCACTGGCCTCTTAGGAACCTCTGGCACTTCAAAGAACATCATCGGTTTAAGAAAAGATTCACTCAAGAATATGAACAGATCTTTAACCACAAATCAAGAGACATGAAAAAACGCACGAGAGACAAAACAAATAACATTGTTCTCTTATAAAACACAATTATTCAATCAAACGGACAATTTGCAAACATCTTAAATGCCCAGAGAAAGAACATCTTTCTTGCTATTTCAAATCGGGACACAAGTCTAATATTTTTTAAGTTCAAATTTATGAGCTTCACACTTTCCCCGAGGCAAGAAAAGTGCCCATTGATCACCTTTTCTCTAATAAAGCTTTACAACATCAAATGAAACTTTTTTATTTACCATGGCTGTAATTTCAAGTAGTTATTGATAAAAAAAAATGCAACTTTCCTAATGATGTATTACTATATAATTAAAAAAAATCATATTCATATTTATTCAGATGCAGTGATTCAGATCAGCTGGCGATCGATGCCTGGTAAGAAAATATGCGTATTATTTCTAGGAAGTTTAATTAAGCACTTTTCATTTCAGAAATAATTTGGGGTATCAAGTTGCCATTTGAATCACGAATACTGTATACTAAACACACGCTGACAGCATGAACATGTACCACACATAAACCTTAACGTCACAATTAACAGATCGGACAAAGACAAACAGGATTTGAATGTGAGGCAGAAAATATTTCCACTCTCACGGTAAGAACAGGATGTTGTATCACATAGAACATAGGATGTGTAAAACCCTTTGTAGTTTCTACCTTTGACTGGAGTGACCTCTTCTCTTCTTGGAACGCCAACAGGTTTAACCTCTTCAGCCACTGGCTTCTTAGGCACCTCTGGCACTTCAAAGAATATTATTTATTGTGATCAGAATTCAGTCAAGAAAATATACTTTGAAGATATTTAAAAAGTAACTAAACACAAGAGAAAATCCTTTTGGGTTTGGTTATTAAGTGGACTACTTGCAACATATACAACATTGAAGCAACACTGGGACAATATATTTAGTACAAAATGCAATTTTTTTACAACCATTTGTAAGATTATTTTTTTGGAAATCAAACTTAACTAAAACCACAAGATCGGTCTGGATAAAGAAGGCTCTTCAGCCCATCTGATCTTATCCCTTCAGAACGCCCTCTCTAGTCTCCCCATCACTGCATCAAACTACTTTTTAATCAAGTAGCATCCCTGACCTCCACCTTCTTTCCTGGCAACCTGGAATTGGTTACTCTCTGCGTTAAAATAAACAACTTCCTGTCCTAAACTGCCCTTTACAACTCTAAATCTTGTTTTACTGTTTTAATAAATAATCCTTGCATTTGATATAATGCCTTAATTGAGACATCTCAAAGAACTTCACAGTGTACTATAAAGTGGAGTGGCTGTGTATTTTGTGGGCGAAACGCGGGAGCTAATTGTGCACAGCCTTTAGGATGTCTTGTATACATCCTAAAATAAAACATTAAATGCATCATCATATATATCCAGTGGTCAGTACAGTTAATAAATTGCTGGTTCAATGTATTATATGGGATTGATTCAACCTCATTGGAACTGTGAATCCAACCAATGCCACTAACAGCTAGTTTACACAGCACTAGGGTTAACTTTGATTTTATGCAGTTTGTGTGTCAATCATATTTCACACATCATTAAAGAGGTATGGATGGAGAAAGCCCTTCAGCCCATTTGATCTCATCCTTCGAAAGCACCCACCCTATCATTCACCCATTGCAGCATGAAGCTGTTTTTTTAAAATAAAGCAAAAGACATGAAAAATTGAGGGGATGGGGGAGTTAGGGAGAGAAAATAAAAGAATTAACAATAGACGCACGGGTATAATATGTAGCAGTCCAACATTAAAGGACAAATGCATAAGCAAAACACAAGTGGCATTCGAACAGGAAGCAGAATTCTGATACAGCTCAGAAAATTAATAGTAAGAACAGATGCTGCACAACAGAAAGATAACGTTTGGTTTATTTGGTGGATTACCTTTGGCTGGAGGGATCACTTGTTTTTTGGGAACAAGAGCAGGCTTAACCTCTTCAGGGACTGGCTTCTTAGGAACCTCCGGCACTTCAAAGAACAGTTTAGTTTAAGACCAAAGCAATTCAAGAAATATATTCAGCATTTAAGATGACAAAAAAAACACACATGACAACAGTTAGATGAACAGGATGACTAGTTCTGTACATTATATGTTATGATTGGGGTTTGACGTATAGCATCAACTTGCATTTATATAGCACCCTTCACCAAAGCAGCCTCCCAGAGCACTTAATAATAATAATGATAATAAGCACTTACGAATAATAATAATATAATAATAAACCCAATGCTAAATAATGCAAAGAACAAAAAACAGCTTGTTACAAATTGAGTCATATTATTCACTGTTTTTGTTTCTACTTTCCAAGCTGAATTGTTTCAATGTCTGATTTAATAAAATTAATCATTTTTTAAAAAAATAAAGTAGATATGTACTGAATTGAATCATATTAACTTTTCACAAGAAATTGGGTATAAATTCAAATGTTCGAAAATTAATTCTTGTTTAAGGAATTCAAGGACTGCTACGGTGAATACAATATTAAGGTGCTATTTGGTTATATCTATTTGATAAAAGATATAACCAAATAGCATAACAGATTTAAATATGCAACACAAAAGCATATTACCTATGAGCTCATGACACTGACAGAGCAGTACAAACACAACATTAATTGTAGACAAGGGGATAACATTTGTGTCACATGAAACATCCACAGAACATGTCTGATTCAGACTAAACAGACAAACACGAAGAGAAAATCTTTTCATTAGATTCTCGCACCACATAATGATACTGACGTAAAAGCCATCTCATATTGTACCTTTTGCTGCAGGAGTCTCTTTTCTTTCAACAGTGACTGGTTTAACTTCTTCAACAACTGGCTTCTTGGGAACCTCAGGCACTTTAAAGAACATCATGGTTTTAAAACTAGATACATTTCAAAAGTGTACATCAGTGCTCGATTTCTCATTTAAGATACCGCTCAGAAAGATACCACCACTTTCCATGAATTAGATTTCAGCGCCTTGGGACGTCATCCCGAAGTGAAAGGCGCTGTACAAATCTAATTTGCTGTTGTTTCAAGGCTGTACTGCAACCTATTACCAGCACCAGCATTTTAGTGTTATCCATAACTAGATCACCTACAAAATGATAACTGCGTGATATTTGGTTGCAATTCTTATTGTATTGCAAAAAATAACTTCAACTTATTTGCATTTAATGATTTATGGATAAATGACAAGGTTTTTAATTCAATTATCTCAGTTACTAAGAATTACTTAGCAGAAATGCAAACATTTATTTTGACCAGGAATAGAGGTTTGTTGGTGGATGTATGAATTCCTTCAGTTCGCGCCTTACCCCTCAAATCAAGCACTGATGTACTTAACACCAAATTAAAATGACGTGACTCACACATATAAAACACAATGTGAGGTGATATTGTAATGTTTTTTAACTGGTACAAACATTTTAACTGGTACGTCAAAAAGCGACTCAAAATGTCAGATGCTCTGCGATGCAAACATTGCAAATCAACTCCAATTTATTTATACTATTATATTAAACAATAATTATTATTATAATATATTATTATTAAACAGTTAGAGCACCTGTAATTAAGAGACTCCACCATAACATGGGTTTCCACCACAACATAACAGAATGAAAGACAACGTACATTTAGAGACACATAAACATATATTAAAAGGCAAGACACGAGTGTTTGTATCATAAGAAACACCAGAAGCAAGATTAGAGGTTATGAAATAGCCATAAAGAGGAGACCTGGCTTTCATTCTGATGAAATGAAGAAAATATTAAATGTAGAAGATTAAATGTTGCATGAAATCTTGCTTTATATTTTGTACCTTCTACTGGGGCAACCACCTCTTTTCTTGTAACTTTAACAGGTTTAGGTTCTTCAACAACTGGCTTCTTAGGAACCTCTGGCACTTAAAGTAACATAATCTTTTTAAGACTGGATTCATTGAAGAAAACATACAGAACTGAACACATTTGATCAAGAAGATAATGCACATGACAGACATGTCCTCTTGGAACACTTTTAAAACTGAGGCAACTACTTACGTATGAGTGACAACTTGAAGAACTGATCAAAGGGGAATGTTTTTGCAATGGTATAATAGTCACTTTTATCAAATAAAATCTAAAACTACTTTCAACAGAGAAATTGTTTTCACTGATTATTGTCTTTCATGCTTTTCCAGCTAACATGATTCGAATTGTAAACATTGATTAAAAATAGAATGGAATCAATGTCTATAAAATACCGACAGTCTCGGATCTAATGGATGTGTTGCAATAATATAATAATGTATCTGTAGTGACATACACAATCTATACTTGTACATTACATGGACAAGGACCACAACACTGAAACAGAACAACACGACAGGTTCAGGAACAGTACAATAAGCAGGACAGGCAAGATTCTCGTTTGGATTGGGAACTTAATGTGAAGACTAGTTAATGTTTCACTTCAAAGGCAAAAACAACGTAAGAATAGATTCTGCATAACTGTATAAGCTGTACCTTTTGGTGGGACTTCTTTTTTCTTTGGAATAATTTCAGGCTCTGGTTTCTTCGATGGCTCTGGTTTCTTTGATGGCTCTGGCACTTTAAAGGTTTATGTATATACATTAAAAATGTACTTAAAGCAACTGGAAGTCACACCACACAAGGCACACACACCCTCCCCAGAAGCAGGGGGCAACCTAAATCATAAATGTTTTCTCCTCTAGAAGCATAACACAGACACGTCACAAAGACAACTTCTTCTGCCCGCAAGACATATATCGCTGAAGTAGAATGGTTATCCGAAAAGTTCCATATAGGAAGCGTAAGATATTCATGTCGATACCATTTGTTAGTTTAAGAATTAAAATAATTGTAAATGTACAAAGATAACTTCTGGCAACGAACAATGTAAAATGTCACAAGACTGAAGACAGCGTGGTTCATGTACCATCACAGAACATAGTTAACACGTAACCAATTAAGACAGAAATGCATTCCAAGACTCGGCAGCAAAGGAAAACTACCAGTAAGAAGGTAGTTAGGTTCAAACAATGTGTTGATTTCTGTACCTTTTGCTGGTGCAACTTCTTTCTTGCTTGGAACTGGTTTCACTTCTTCGGGTACTGGTTTCTTAGGAACCTCTGGGACTTTAAATAAGACAGTTTCATATTTTTATGGAGAAATTATCCGACAATCAGACAAATCCACTTAGAACATTTTAGAATGACAGATAGACAACCGCAACCAAAGCAACTAATGGATTATACACTGCTATTCAACAACAACAACTTGCATTCATATAGCGCCCTTAATGCGGGGTAGGCATCCTGGAGCGCTTGACAGTGGCGGAGTCTGACCCCGAGCCAGGGGGAGTGGGAGGGGGGAGGTGACCGTAAGCACGGTCAAAAAGGAAGGTCTCTAGGTGGGATTTGAAAGTGGGGAGGGAGGAGGCAAGGCGGAGGGATTGAGGAGAGAGGATTGAGGGAGAAAGTTCCAGAGTGGCTGAAGTCACGTCACCTAATGTGAATCATCATCTAATGTGAATCAACTTGCTCCAAACAAAACTCTCAATTTAAATTGTTGCTTTGGTGATACCCTGCCTGACCCTCATCTTTAGTTTGGCTTGTCATTCATTCTCCATTCAAGCTCAAATATATTTTCACGCAAAAAAGATTAACCATTCAGAAATATGTAACTGTCTCTTTTCATTGATCAACACAATATAAAATCCTCGCTTACTTCATGACACGAAAGCGCTGCATATTTTTATGGTTACGCAGCATTAGAATAAAAGCAAATGTTTCAGGTGAAGCAGGAACAAATGGAACATACAAATAGCTGCATCAAACAATGAGATAATGTAGCAGTGTTATTTTAAGAGATGGATTTGAACACAAGATTTTTTTTAACAACAGCAGCAGGTTTGTTAAGAGCAATATTGATCTAAAATATATATTCAGATAAGAGTTGTTATTTTAATACCTTTTATTGCAACAATCTCTTCTTCTGTTGAAATGCTTACACGTTCTTCAATGGATTGTTTCTCATACAACTCTGATACTGTAAAGAGCATTTTTGTTTTTAAATTTCAAGTAAAGCTTACCATTGTCAATTAGAAATAAAAAAAAGCCTCATTGAATGAAAAACACGTTTCCTTATTTGTCAAGCAACACTGCCTTTTCGCTCTTAAAAGAAGTAAAACGTCATATACATTGCCTTTGCAAGGTAGAAAATTGGCATGCTCAAGATTAAGATGAACTAAAGGGACAACCCAGTTCTTTTAGGCTAAGGATATAATCAAATGGGCCTCTTTCTTGTGAAATATTATCTGAAGCAGTTCTTTCCCACACAAAGAAGCCTCTGACATCAATAACGATCTTACAAATGATGTTTGACTTAATAACTGTGAGATTATGAGTGTATCTAAGTGTTGTGCTTTCTTTCTATCAATACACTTCGACATAGGAGATTAAAACAAACACACACAATGAGCAAGCATTACATTTGTTCACAAAGACTGATGAAACAGAAGGCAAGGCCAGTACAACAAAGTTAGCATTTGCTACCAGAGAAACATAATGAGGCCAATGATAATATAACAGAAGGAGCTTTGTTGTAAGCAAACTGCAAGCACATTATACCTCTTTGTGCCGTGATCTCCTCTGTAATAGGAATCCTAGGTGCAGGAATTTGTTCAGGTAGTCTTCCAGTCCTCCTTGTAACTTTAGACACTTTAAAGATATTATTGTTAATGAAGATGCCACACATTGACAGAAGACATTTACACATCTTTAACAGGGTATATCAGACACGCAATTCTCTTAATTTACACTAAAACATGTCTAAAAGCCGAGCGTGGGAATGAAACAGCAACATTGTTAAATTAATTGGGGGGAGACCACATTTTAAGCAGATTTTAAAATAATTCCATTGTGTTTCCAGAAATGAAACCAATTTATCGCCAAATGACACCAGAAATACAATACTATTTAAAGGCATAAACTATAAGGATATGCAGAAAGAGCAGGTCAATAAAATTGGCTCTAGTTAGACTAGTTATTGCAATCTGTGCTACCAGCATAGCAAAGTAAAACTAACAACTTAAAATGTAAAAGCTCTGTATGAAATCCTCAATAAAAAAATGTTTTTTNGAAAGATTATGTTGCATACAAATGAATTGATTATAATCAAAGTTCATTCAAGAATTAAACAACAGACTTCCAACAACAACGACAAATGCAAAAAGACACAAGTTTGTGTAACAGTAGGACAAACAAAAGATACTGAACTAAATAGTTAAACAATTATTTAGACAAGCAACCGTTACAATAAATTACAATTAAAGAAAGAACTGCGTTATGGACAACAAGAATTTGACTTGTCAGAAAAAAAAAGCAAAGCTGTCTTTATATCTGTACCTCTGGTCGCAGAAATCTCTTCTTCAACAATAGCCTCTGGAGTCGTTTTAGATACAGGCTTCTTGGGAGCTTTAGGAATGTTAAAGAACAATATTTAAATTAACACGCTGTTATTTAAGTAAGAAAGCAATGAGAATGTATCCTTGCTGCAAATTTACCACCAGTCCAAAAATCATTCAGATGCAATACACGCCATATTTACAACAACAACTTGCACTTATATAGCACCCATCATGCAGGGTAGCCTCTTGAAGTGTATTTAGAAATTGACATCAAAATGTGAAGCCGGCTGAAATAGGGTATGTTTTCAATACAGTGCCACAGGGTGAAGCTCGTGGAGGGGAACACTACTGCGTTGGTTCAATCCTGATGTTGCCTGAATACTCTCCAAACATGAGCCACTGGAGCGTGATCAGATGTTGGAACCTTGGCTAGTGTCTACCCTCTCTCTCGCACAGAGGCCAATTGGAAGGCTCTTAACTACATTTACTACTAATACTACCATGGCTAAAATTAGCTAACTCAGCACTGAACGCAGATCCGACCGAGAGGTAATCCCGGTATATACAGACTTGTGCCGCAACGTATGGTCCCTCTACTAACTATATCATTTGGAAAACCGGTGAAAATGTCATTGTTTCAATTGCTTTGAAAGTGATTACTGATACCCCTTATTTCAATTGTTTTCTTTTATGTTTAACACAACACAAACCAAGCAAAATTTGTACCTTTGATTTCTGTGATCTCCTCTTCGTGTATTGTTTCATAGAAAATCTCTTCATGTGTCTCTTCATAAATCTCTTCGTGATATGTTGTAACTATTGAAATATTCACGTGTTATTTATTAGTTTAAATCCAGCAGCAGATTTTATTTCATACAAGATAACAGGCAGCATGACAAGAAAGGAACTTAAAAGAAACCTAATGTATTCCACAATTTACATTATTATGTAAATATTATATTATGATATAAGAATTAGGAAGAATGTTATTACATTTTTAGCAGGAGGGACGTTAGTTTTTGTTTTGCTAAGGGAACTTATTTCAGACACACTTTGATGGACACCTTCAACTTTTTTTTATTGACTTGTCTGATTTGGTGATGCAGATTCGGAGCAAGGTTAGGTGTATCTCATTGGAATACTGCACTTTGAACTTAGCTCTGGAGTTTAGTAAAAGAAGAATACAAAGGCGACCTACCTTCTTCTTTTATGTGTTTTTGTTCTACTGTAAGATAGGGATGAACACAAATGTATAAACAGTAAATTAAGATAGAACTTCCAATTTATACAATCCAAAATAAATGATCCCCAAAATTGAAACAAAGGAATAAGATATCTCAGGCAATCTGACAGATATATAAATTCAACTCATACAATTAAAATTATTTGACAAATATACAGTAAATATTAAAAGTTGTGGATTTATTTGATCCCAAACTATTTTAGTAAAAATTTAATTTTACAGAATCTTTACCACAGAACTTAATAGGGTCTTTACCTTGTACTGTTTCAACTGAAATTCCAATATCAGGAACATCTGCAGAATGCAAAAGAAGTCATAATTATTTTATGTCAACTAATCCCGAACAATCTAGAGATAGAATATAATTATAGAAACATCAGGCTGCTGTCCTCTGGGAGATTATGGCATGTAATAAAGTGATCGAGGTGATATCATTACTGTGAGGATCAATTTCATAGCTGTTCATAATTATTATTTGAATCCCGAGGATGTAAAGTGAAAGAAGAGGACCATGTTTCTCAAGCAGAAACAATGAGAGTTGATCATTCTCGCAATACCAAACGACCCACGTGTTCAGGTAAATATTGCTGTGTCAGACACTATTCTTTTAACTGCCAATCACATTGGACATATTGAGAGATGTGATACGATATTTCTTTCAATTTACAGGGTTTCTCTGAGACGCACTGGATTCAAATTTATACCTTCTAACTGATCCCCACTGAACAACCCCGCCAGAACCTCTTCAGAAATCTTTCGATTTGTTTCCAGGTAAATTCTGAATGAAAGTGCTTTCCTCTGGAACAATGACCACGCTGGCATATCATGCTGAGCATTTCACCACATGGCTTGGCTCTCTGAGTGAGTCTCACCATCTTGCTATGCTACGCGCCCATTCAATTGCTCCGTGTGCAAACATGCATTCTGCGTATAGCAAAATGAGCAGCATACAAAAATGCTGACGATGTTCAATTAATTAGGGCCCTTCACCGATTCCACACTCTCTACTAACGCGTTTCAAAGCTACGTCTTGGAGACAGGCACTGCGTGGAATAGAGAGATGGTAATCCCAGCATATAAATCACAGCATGATGTGACTGGTAACAACACCTGTAAGATTATGCAATGTATTACCTAATTATTCATTGTTTCGTTCACATGAGTAGAAACATGAATTTTCACTCAGACTGAGAACATGCTCTGTCGGAACTCTGCTCCTGAAGATCAAATCCTTAACGTCTTTATTTATTGGGTTCAGAATGCAGAAACCCCCCCCAAAAAAGCACACATGGTTGTGTTGATTAAAATTCTACTTTGGGAAGCAAATGTGAGAAAATGCTAGTTGACTTTCTGAAATATTATATAGCAACGTATATAATAACTTTGGTGCTAAAAATTCCATTGTGCGTCAGAAGGAAACCTCTTTAGTAGCGAGGTTCGCAATAGGTGATGTACGAAATGCTCAAAAGAATTTGCGTCCTAAAGTTTACTACTTCTAAACAAAAAGATGTGGCCTGCATTTTTTGTTGCAGTATTCAAGTAATTTGAATGGGGGGCAATAGGCTCTTAAAGCTACCACTTAACGCTATACTCACCAGGTTCCATTGGCTGCAAGACGACATCTATAATTAATAGATTTTAATGTTAGTGAAAACCAATAGAAGGAAACGATCACTAAAGGATTTTAAAATTATAAATAAAAGGTTCATTCATTCCACACATACCCACCTTTGCTCGATACATAGAGCTCTGCAGTACTTTTAGCCTCACCTCTTGGCTCAAGTTGAGCAATTACTGAATAGACACCTGAAAAATAAAATATTATAATTTCTTTTATACTAAAACGCTTTGGTTTTAGGAGCAGACAATTAATTTTGCTGCAGTTTAAAAAAAAGTAGAAGAAACGTGTTCGGCGACGGCGCTGAGCGTACCTTCATCTTCAGCAGCAACATTGTGGATAGTCATAAAATGGCGTCGCCCAGTTCTTCTGAAGCTGTATTTTGGACTCTCTTGCAGTTCCATTGTGTCTTTGTACCAGGTTACTATTGCATCATCAAAAGACACCTCACATTCAAACGTAGCCGACTCATGCTCGTTCACTACGATATCCTGGATCGCCTTCGTGAACTCGATTGGTTCAGCTTTGGGAAAGGAGGACAGGAAAGTTAGCTTCTCTGACGAAAGCTGGTCAGCAAAAGCAATCAAAGCGGCCGACGATAATATTCCGACAGCTACAAACCTTCCACCCTCAGGTCAGCAGACGTCTCAAGGTTTTCAAACTTGCACGTAAATCTACCCTGATCTTCGGGTTTCACATCACTGATCGTCAGTTTTTGTGTCTTATCTGAAACGTGGATTGAATATCTGCCTCGTCCCTCGATCTGCCGACCGTTTTTAAACCATTCGGTTTTCAGGTTGGGCAGAGAGAACTGGCAGACCATGATACAGATCTGTCCTTCCTTGCCGGAAAGGTGTTCAAGATGTTGTTCCACAATGGGTTCTGGGGACACGAGCAAATCCAAAGAGATCCCATGAGTAACGAGAAAGATAATTTACAAGGAATATCTTGTGCGGCGTTAACAACGTAAGAGTATTATCGTTATGATGTTAAGAGCTGCTTACCAACGACGGTTAGCTTAGCACTTGAGATGTGTGGGCCACAGACAAGGCGGATATTGCTTTGATCGTGGAATTCACAGCTTTTGACTTTCAAGCGATGAATGTCACCATCAATGGTAATCTCATACTTGTCATTTGATTCCAACTTTTCGGTCCCTTTATACCAGGACAGCTTGATTTCCGGGTAATTTATCTTTATGATGCATTCAAACAAGGCATCCACTTTTGTGCGTACCGTTTGATCTTCAATATCCTTGATCAATTCAACGGGCTGAACAGAGAACGAAGAAAAAATATGCAAATGTTAAGTTTCAAACAGAACCATGTAAATATAGCTCGTTGCCATTGCTATTTGAGCATCAAACAGACCCATATGTTACCTCAACATTCTGTATTTTTTGCTGAATATAATGGATGAGTTCATCAAATTCCTCTTGTGCAGGTCGCTCATGCTCTTCGATCTCCTATAGAAAACACAACCGATAAAATAATGCAGCGTAATAATCAAGTGAAATTTTGCATTAAAAATATCTTTCTGGGATACGAAAGTATTGAGAAACGATGGGAGGATAACTTACAACCCTGTGACTCTCATCTTCTTTACTCATTTTCAGTTGTTCCATAGCTTGAAGAAGTCCACGGAAATCAGTGATTCCGTGCATACGGGCGTATTTCTCATATTCCTTTGGATCTACATTTCTCAGCAGTTCTACAATATCAATCTCCTTATCTGGTTCCTCTTCCTTTTGCTTGGAAGGTGTTCTTTTAGAAGAAAAATAACAGGCAATGTAAATGTATCGCTGCACTTAAGTTTCCTAAAACCTGAAGCAATATTACACAAAAATAATGCTTTCTTTGTCAACTGCAGGAAATAAAATTAGAGAATAAAGTGTACTAAGCTGAACACTTCAGCTTTAACCCTTGAAATAACCATCAGAGACTAAATTAAACCCTGCAAACCAAAGCCCTAACAGGTAAGGTAGTCCTAGCTGGAAAGCTTACCAGACAGAGCTCTCAATGGCAAGTAATGCGGTTTAGCTGGTTAGACGCTAGCAGTTACATCAACACACACTCTGGGATCCCAAGTCTTGGCTTTTGCCAACCTGCGCCTAATAGTAGGTGGGATGCATGGAATACTCAGTCTGGTTTGGATACTCTTAATCATGGCAATGGGTTTCCACTTGTGTCAGAACCCCAGTTAATCAAAAAAATCCAACTTGAGCAAAGGCACTTACTTCTTCAGCTTTGCTCTGAGATCTCCTTCAATGAAGACTTCTTTCTTCTCCGCAACCTCCATACTCGCGCTGCATTCAAGTTCACCAAAATTGTTCGATGCGACGCACCTATACTCTCCAGAATCAGATTTTACCACATCTTTGATTTCCAGTTTGGCATCTTGTCCCTTTTGTTGCACAAAAAACCTTCCACCATGGTTCAGTTGCCTCCATTTGCCTTTCATCCACTTAACATTTGGTATTGGGTCACCACCAACTTTTGCTATAAATGCTGCTGTGCTCTCTGAAACACACAATGTTATTAAGATCAATAATAATTACGTTTTCCCCTTTTATTCCCAATTTTCTCAGATCCTCTGGTTTTGAGGCAAATGTGGCAACATTACAATTGCACTTGGAACCATACTTCCTTCAAAATATTTGTATTATTTTTTTCGCACATTAATCTCTTTAACTTAATAAACAATAAAGGAAATACTTGAAGTGCGCTTACTTTCCGTTACTTTTGTGTTCTTTGGTTTCTCAATGAAGAAGATCTTGCCTGGCTCTGGTGGAGTGGCCACTTTCTTTGCTGGGGTGGTTTTTCCTAAACCAGAACAAGTTAAAAATATTTGAAATTCAACTATTTTAGCATTTAAATAATGTCCGTGGTTTGGAACTTTCCATAAGGAATTGATCAGTAACTTAAGGTTTCCTTAACAACATTTTAAAGCAGAGCAAAAAATATAAAGAACATCACATACATTGTTTACTAATTAAGCAAACGTTTGGTTCTGTATGCGTAAGGAACGAAAAATGTGCTTTTTGCCATGACAACTTTAAATCATTTAGAATTGATTGGCATTTCAGTTTGCTTTCCAATATGTTTAATTTAGTTTTAAGTATCATTCCAGTATTTTAGTTCAGAATAATTAATATTATATTTCTCAACAATGTGTTAATTGAGACGAATTGTTGAACACTTCTGTTCATACGATCAATATAATCTATCAATAGTGCTGTTGATCACTGTTGCGCTTGGAAAGAGTCCTCAATGCTGGGGGACAGGGGGCAGGCCTTGGAAATATAAAGCCAAGTCTCAAGAATTTCATGAATTTTGCCTTGTGGCAATCTCAATCACTGAATGGTTGAAATGGGAAACGTGATCAAAATGCAGAAGCACTTGGTTTAAGCATCCTTGTCCATCTTCATACTTTCCTCAATTCCCCTTGGCATCATTTTATGATCAGCCTTCGGGTTCTTTTCTGCTGATATAGGGATAAGCATGATAGACAAAATGGAGATACATACCTGGGCACATTTTACCTTATGGGTAGTTAGCTATAAAGGAAGAAAGTTTAAATATATGAAAGCTTGTACAGTGATACTGGAGTTTGGACAACGTGCCTGTACATGTACTAGAAGAACTGGCATTCGATGTTTGGTAGTTCTCTACTTATATTATTGTAACAGTGAACAAGAAAACTCTATGAGTAACAGTATATATCTTTTGTCAGTTTGTATACCTTGAATTGTTAACTTGGCTTTGCAAGAGTCACTTCCAACCTCGTTTGTGGCTTTGCATAGATAGTCCCCACTGTCTGTTTTAACCACTGTTTTGATTTCCAGGGCAGCTGTGCCATCGGTGAAGGTCATCTTCAATTTGTCAGATGTTTTTATTTCTCTTCTGTCTTTAAGCCACTGGATCTTAATGGGTTCACCTCCGTGGACGTGGCAGCTAAGCTGCGGCGACTCTCCTTCAGTTGCTGTCAGTGGTTTAAGTGGTATATCAAAGACAGGTGGCGTTTTAAGCTCTAGAGTAACAAAAAATATACAGTCAGGAAAATCATAGGAGGCCAAACTGTTTACCAAATGTAGGTACCTCGAAGCTATCCATTGCTGCTTCTTACCCACTAAACTCCTTTTTTNCAAAAACCGAGTGAGCACTGCATGATTAGTTAGCAGAGCAGATACTTACCTCTCTCTGTCCACACATCATTTCATCCAGTCAATTTGCCAAAACTTGGGTAACCATGCCCCCAAAAAGAAGACTGCTCCGTTTAAATTAGTTTCACTTGATTTGAACTCTTTCCACACTGAACGGATACTTAGCGTAAGAACAATTAAGTAAGGTGAATGAGAAAGAAACACGTCAAGCTTGCAGAGACATTCCGTGAAATGAAAAAAAAACACAACAGCGTTTCTAACGATTAAAATTCCCTATCCACTGTTATCCAGCACGTTGATTAAAAGTTGCTTTTGTGACTAACCTTTGATGAGCACGGACACGGTAAATGATGCAAATCCCACTTCATTGGAAGCTTTGCATGTATAAACAGCCGAATCGATGGGAAGTGCTTTCTTCATGTTCAACAGCACCACATTATTCTTAAATGATATTTCATGTTCAGTTTGATGTATTTCCTGTTCATCCTTGAACCATGTTACAGACAGAGGTTGAGAACCAGATATACGAGCTTCCAGTTTTACAGCCTTGCCTTCTGTATCTTGTATGGTTTCAAGAGGCTTTTTCGTGAAGCTTGGTGGGATTTTACGTTCTGTAACAGATAGGCCCAGCAAACATGACTTTTTCTTCAAAGAACGAAAGAAATCCTCTGAAGAGTAAAGAGTTAGAAATATCCCTAAAAGCACAGTGCTCACACATGCTCTGTTCTCCTCTGGTTATGAAACTTGCCTATGTAGGATTGACTGTGCTGATGGAAAGAATTCATCATAAATTGGATTTGGTAAATCTCATCCCTGTTCGTAGAGGCTCAATCTCTCAGTTTCCTTGAGAAAAGTGCTAAGGTTAGTTTGAATTGAAATGTCGCCCAAATAAAGTAGAAGGTGTTCAAGTTTGGAGCACAAAGTGCATTTTTTCAGACTAAGTAAATTATTCTTTGTGTTGTGTTACACCTGACCTGGGAATGTGTGATTTTCACAATAATTGTGTGACAAAAATACAATAAACGTTCCATTTAATAACATCTCAACTTGAGGAGTGCAGATATTCACCAAGAACTCAAAAGAAAAATAAGTGGAATCACTGATATGCCCAGAAAAGATTTATTGGTATCAGTTGATTCATTGCCTCAGAAGCTCCAAGAAATGATCTAGATGACAAGGAAATCTTTCAAGCCTTGTATAGTAAATGCTTCACTCTCTCCTCGATTTGTCACTTTCTAAGAATAAATTCCCTGCTCTATGACTTCTAGTGATTGATCATGACAACCTACGTGTTACCTTGAAAATGCAACATGTGATAACGATCTAACATTTCTCCCCTTGTTCACCAATGTTAGGAACAGAATCAACTTCTTTACTTTCATATACGCTGAAGCCTCTCATCAAATTCTTTTCTTGTAAATGATGTAGCAATTATTTAAACTGTGCAACACAGCGCAGTCTATCTGCCAGAAACAGGAAATTATTTGTAACCTTATATCAAATCTTACTAATAACGTATTGTTTTAGAATATCTGATGTATACGGACATTACGCAAATAGTGTCAAAGACTCTCTGTTTCTGGTGTCTCTGAACTCATTCTACATCTCAAGAGCACATTTACCTCTGACTCACTACCCACCTTCTCCTTAGACAGAACCCTTAGACTGGCCACTTTGTGTACGTTATGCTGAATATTATCCCATTTTTCTCCTTAAACCATTCATTTTTTTTACCTCTGGCATATCACCTTTGGTGCATTTCAAAAGGCAAACATACAACAAAAAAACCTACACATTCCTAATATCTTCTGATGAACACACCAGCGCAACAGACTTGTTTAAGGACTAAACATCCAGCAGTTGCACCCTACATATTTTTCAAATGGTTAAAAAGCAATTCTTTAACACTTACCTCAATAGTTAAAGGAAAGACAGGTATTTGAAGAAAGACAGACATAAATGAGAGTTATTGAACAATACCTTTTGCAGTCACTCCTGCTGAGCAAGAGACTTTTCCGACATCATTGCTGGCCTGACAAGTGTATTGGCAAGCCTCTCCCTTCTCTGCTTTTAGAATCGTCAAGTGAGGTGTATTGTTCTCAAAGGTCATCTTATAGATGCCCCCAGATCGAATCTCTCGGTTATCCTTCAACCAGGTCACTTTGATAGGGGTAGAGCCAGTTACATGGCATTCAAGCTCTACTGGGTCCCCAGCTGTGACTTCCACTGCTTCAAGCGTTTTATCAAACTCAGGAGCAGCTCTGGCCTCTAAAAGTCACAACACGCAAAATAATTAATTTCTAATCATTGAATGTTTCAGTTCTACGGGATTAACGTACTGGAAAGACAGGTACATGAAAGAATCAATTCCAGACAAAGATAAAAGACAAGAATAAAGGCAAAATCTGAAGGCAATTAGTAAAGTTTTCACTCAACGAACCTTTCATAGTTAGTTTTGAACCACATGAGGCTTCTCCAACCATGTTGGAAGCTTTGCAAGTATATTCCCCGGCATCGACCATTTCAGCGTTAAGAATCTGAAGAGTTGCCAGGTTTTCTATGAAAGATATTGTTACATTTCCTCCACTGGACAAATTCACTCCATCTTTAAACCAAGCCGTTTCAATTGGAGCTGAACCTGACAAGCGGCATTCAAATGTTACTGGACGACCCATAGTTTCCTCCATGTCCTTCAATTTTCTTGTGAAAGAAGGTGCAGTTTTAAGTTCTGCAAAATAAATAGTAATAAAATAAGCGTATTAAAAACTGTGGTTAAATAAGATTTTTTTAAATAAGTAATTGCATTTGGTATAGCGCCTTATCACGACATCTCAAAGAGCTTCACAGGATTTACTGTGTAATGGAGTGACTGTATTTGCGAGCAAGTGTGGCAGCCAATTGGGCAGATGGCAATGCCCCACAAACAACCATGAAACAGATGACCAATTTTATTGAGGGGATTGTTGGCCAAGACATCGGGAGAACTCCCTTCTCTTTTCGAATAGTGCCGTGGGATCTTTAACATCCATCTGAACAGGGAATTATATTTAACATCTCATCCGAAGGATGGCACTTCTGGCAATGCAACAGATGACACATTGGAGTGTCATATTAGACGATGAGATCCTGACATGAACCCACAACCGTCTGCCTCAGAGGCGAGAGTGCTACCACTGAGCCAAGCTGACACGCATTTTTGTAAGAAAAAGATTAAGATATCCAGATAAAGCTTAGCGTAGACACATCAAACTGCAAAGCAGCGTCACCTTGTACAGTCAGTGTGGCCTTTGAGGAACAGCTGCCAATTAGATTTTCAGCTTTGCAGACATATTCCCCACTGTCACTTATAGCTGTTTTCTTCAGTTCCAGTGTGGCAATATTGTTGTGAAATGCCATCCCAATGTTAGACATCATTCTCAGCTTAGTGTCTCCTTTGTACCAAGACACTTTAATTTCAGGGGTTCCAGTAAGGACACACGACAGAGATATTGCATCACCGAGTGTGACTTCCAAAGGCACCAATTCATGGACAAAAGTTGGTGGTTCTGTAATAATAATAATAATAATAATCCTTGCATTTGATACAGCACTTTATCATGTCTTTGAGACATGTCAAATTCAATTCGATAAATTAGATCAGTAATGAAAAGAATACTGGAGCGCAAAGCAACCGAACGCAGTTGCAAAGTTGGCAAGTCAAAGAAATACAGATTTAACAAACCTAATACAGTCACTTCAGCGTGACAAATGTCCCCTCCGGCAGCATTTTCCACCTCACAAGTGTATTTCCCGCCATCCTCTCTAACGCTGTGCTGAATTTCTAATATACAAGACTTATCTGTGGTGGTTAGGGTATATTTTTCAGATTGAAATAATTCAAACCCATTTTTCTTCCAGATAACCTTGATTTCTGGGCTTCCAGAATAGGTGCAGTCCAGACAGACAGACTTGTTCAGTTCAATGCTGGAATCCTTTAATTTCTTCTGGAACACTGCTGGCTCTGGCAAAGACACACAAAAAAAAAACAATCTGGTCAAAACAGATCTCGGCAGCACTACGTGAACTTCTATGGGGTGTTTGCAATGTGTACTTTCACAAACCTTTCACAAATAGATTTGCTGTGCAGGAATCCTTGCCAGCATCGTTGCTGACCTGACAGATATAGTCTCCACTTTCAGATGGATTGACATTAAGTAGTTCCAATACTGCCACCGAGTCAGTCAACGAAATATGACATTTTCTTCCAGTTACCAGTTCAGTGCTACCTTTAAACCACTTCACCTTCAGTGGGGCCGTTCCAGTAACAACAGACGTAAATCTTGCTGTAGAGTCAGGCAAAACCTCTTGGGATTCAGGTTTGCTCATAAATGAAGGTGGTTCTAAATGGATCAAAAGAAAATGGTCCTCTGCATCATTAAGACTTCAATTTATCTGACAGAGATTTAAAATTAAACGAGTCCAATCCTGCCAGCTGTTTAACATTTACTCGTGTAGATTTCCAGCAGGCATTGCTGGCCAGTGAGCAAGAGAAAGGGAGCCCTGGTTGATTTTTTCCTTTCCAAACTCAGCGGCTAATTTAGTGTGCCACCACCCCTCGCCCCACCTTAGACAGGCTAACTCCACGCAGACCAGAAGTTCCATCTAACACCTCCCTGACCTGTGTAACTCAATAGCACACAGCATGGGGAACTGAGAGATCAAGCAAGCCCCCAGATAAGTCATTCACTATGAATAAAGAATACTGAAATTCATACAAAAAAAATAAAAATTGAAATATAAGAATGGGCAAGATTAAAAGAAAAGCCTTCATATCTTCAATGAGAAATAAACTCACCTTTCACAGTCAAGACAGCACTGCATTCATCATTTCCTGCAGCATTTGTTGCTTTACAGGTATAATTGCCAGCATCCAAAGTTTCCAGTGTGCTGATTCTTAAGTTACATGTGTTATCTGCAAACGAGACATCATATCTTTCTTCATGTACAATCTCCTGTCCATCTTTGAGCCACGCGATGGTGAAGGGCGCTGATCCAGACAACTTACACTCCATTAGGATGGGAGAGGCCAGGATACCATCTGCTTTCTTTAACTTTCTGGTGAATGATGGTGGAATAATGCGATCTGTTTGAGACACACCAACAGCCCATTGATTTACCAAAGCTTTTTTTTNCACAACAAAGAAAAAAACAAAAAGAATTTAAGAACATCTTTAAGACAACAGGATAAAGAATAAATGACAATGAACCCAACCTAGAACATTGATTGTTGCTTTGCAGCTATCTCTACCAACATTATTCTGGACTTCAAAAGTATATTGTCCCGAATCTTCCCTTTCTCCAGAAAGAAGCTTTAGGCTGGCGATCTTGTTCAGAAAACTGATCTTATATTTTCTGCCAGTCACTAGTTCTTTACCATCTTTGAACCATTTAACTTTCAGTTCTGGTGTCCCAGCCACAACACATTCCAGAGCTGTGGTGTCTCCTGCAGTCACACTGACAGACTCTGCTTTCTCCACTATCGTGGCTGGCTCTGTAAGATAAGAACACCTCGTGTTACAAACATCTTCCGAGACGCATAAGAAATGATCAATAGCGGTCCAAGAGAACGGTTAAATAAGGGTTCCATTCCGTAAATGTCGAACGGGAATTATCCCTAGATTGCTGACCTAGGACTGATACTTTAGCAGTGGACTCTTGCATTCCAGCATCATTTTTGATCTGACAAGTGTAATTTGCAGCATGGACGCTTTCTGCTTTTGCGATGTGCAAGGTGACGACATTTTGTTCGAAGGATGTTGTCACGTGCTCATGATCTCGCACTTCCTCCTTCTCCTTCAACCAGGTGACGTGAATGGGCTCTGAACCTTTAATGATAGCCTGCAACGTGACTGACTCCCCAAGGACGGGAGAAGCGTTTGAGAGTTTCTTCACAAACGAAGGTGGCTCTGAAGATTTAAAGACACGAGAGCAAGATTTATGGAGAACGAACCTGAGCGTCTCTTTTCCTTCAAGTCCCACATCAGAAAAGTAAGGAAATAGCCAATTGGAAAAAAAATTGACAAACCTCTGAGCTTTAACGTGCCAGTACAACTGTCACTCCCCACGTCATTCTTAGACATGCACTGGTATTCGCCTACATCTGAGGTTTCCACTTTAAGAATATGAAGGCACGCTACATAGTTCTCGTAAGTCATCTTGTATTTTTTACTGGCTCGGATTTGCCGTTTGTCTTTGTGCCAGGTGATCTCGAAAGGAGCTGTGCCAGTCAGCTCGCTCTGGAGAATGATATCAGAGCCTTTCAGTACGTGCACGGACTCCAGGGTTTTACTGAAGGCAGGGGGTTCTGCAAGAAAACGTTCATTGGTTGCATTGGGTTGTAGGCGGAAAGGAAGCTCAAGAACCTTGTGAAACAATGGCAAAACACAATTTTTTAACAATCATTCCCACCTTTGACTGTGACGGCAACACTGCAGCTCACGCTGCCTGCTCATTGTGTGCTTCACAGATGTAATCCCCGCTATCTGGCACGTCAGACTCAGCAATCTCAAGAACGGCCGCAGATTTATCAAAGGACATTTTATATTTGTTACTCGCTCTAATTTCGCTGTCGTTCTTGAACCACGAGACCTTGATTTCAGGCGTGCCAGTCACTCTGCACTCAAAATGTGCCGATTCACCCTTCTTCAGCACTTTGGTAGGTTCCAGCTTCTGACTAAAGGACGGAGGTTCTAGGAAATCAAATGAGATACACTTAGTGCGAAGGTCACCGATATATCCCTTTTTGGGAATGGCTGAAGTTATGAAACAGGAAAGAAACACGCCGAGAAAGACTGAATAAAACAGCAAGAGAAAATGTTACTTTCTTTTAAAAAAAGAAATAAGTTTGACACTTGTTATTACCAAATAAATGGTGGTTAACATAACATACGAAAAAAGAATACAATGAAGATTGTATGAATCTAATGTAGAATTATTGTAATGACTACCACAATAGACGAATGTACTGAGAACACTCAGTAACATAAAGAAATGGAGAAAAGATAGAACAAACGAGACACGTACCAACAGATAACATATACCAACACAACACAGAATTGCACACCTGTTACGGACAGTTTTGCAGTACAAGTGTCTACACCAGCATCATTGGTGACGTGACAGGTATAGTATCCTGTATCAGAAGATTTTACTGAACACAGTTCAATAAAGCTGGAGGAAGCTTCCTTCACAATGATACACGTAGCCTCAGCAGTTAGCTCCTTGTCATCCTTAAACCATTTGAAAAAGAGTGGAAGTGTTCCTTGCACAACACTCTTAAATTGCACTCTTGAACCACGAGAAACTCCCTGTGAAAGTGGCTTCACCACAAATCTTGGTGGTTCTAAAATTCATTGAAGAAAAATTGTGCACATTGAAACAAGAAGCGCATATGAAGATCCATCCGTTGATTGCAGAAAGCTTACGTTTATGCTATGAGCGGCATAAATTTCCGAAAAGACGATTCACAGGGTATTTATTTCAAACTTTCGATCAATACTGGTATTTAAAGCAGGTATTTTAGATAAATAGTCGACATTGTTCATGTTAAAAGCATTAAAAATTGAGCAGAAAATAGTAAGGTACTCTTTCAAACCTTTTACTGTTAATGCACCACTGCATTCAGCACTTCCTGCTACATTTGATACTTTGCAAGAATAAATTCCACCATCTGCGATATCAAGTTGATTAATCTCCAAAGCTGAAATGTTATCTTGCAGTGAAATTTTATATTTGGTGCTATCTGATATCTCTTTGCCATCCTTATACCAATGAATGCTCATTGGGAGAGAGCCAGAGATTTTGCACCCCATAGACATGGAAGACCCTAGTACATTGCTCATATCCTTCAATTTTTTCATAAATGTTGGTGGAAATGTTCGATCTGCACAACATAAAGCACAACCTGTCAGCCTTAAAAATTCAACTTTTTTTTTTTACACACTGAAGAATATGTCTCAATTGTATTTCTTTTATATCCAAACTTTCTAACGTTCCAATATATGGAAAAACACCAACCTAGTACTGTCAATGAAGCTTTGCAGCTGCTGACTCCAAAGTCATTTTGGACTTCGAAAGTATATTCATCACTATCCATCTTCTCTACAGACATAATCCTTAGGCTGGCCACCATTTTCTCAAAGCTCAATGTGTAATGTCTGTCCGATGTCAGTTCCTTTCCATCTTTAAACCATTTTACTTTTAAGTCTGGTGTACCAGTCACAGTACATTGCAAAATTGCTGGATTTCCAATAGTTACATTGCATGAATCTGCTTTTTCTATAATGTTTGCAGGTTCTGTTTAAAAAGAAATTGCACTGTAATGTTCACATACTTGACGTTTTAATGCAGCTTCCTCTTGAATACAGGAGCAAAGAGGTAATGTTAAATTTATGTAAGACACAATTAGGAAGTATTAGATCCAGTGTGGGGCATCTTACTATACAAAGGCAATCAGATTTGTTGAGAGGGTACAGTGGAGATTTACTAGGTTAATAGAAGGAATGAGGGGTTATATGTTAAGTGGAGAGACTTACAAAAGTTTGGATTGTTTTTATTAGAGCAGGGAAAATTAAGGGAGGGTCTAATAGGGTTTTTCAAAATGATGAATCGGTTTTGATCGGGTAAATAATGATCGACTATTTTCACTGTTCGACGTAAATGGAGGATTATTACCACAAGAATGAAGGGAAGAGAACTAAAACATATAATTTTACTCAAAGGGCTTTCGGACCTGAATCCATTTAGCATTTAAAAGGGAATTGGGTAAATACTTGCGGGAAAATTAACGGGTATGGGGAAAGAGCAAAGGAATGGGATTAGCTATAGTGGAGGAAACGCAGATGTGATGGGTCAAATGGCTCCTTGCTGTGCTATTTACTGATATAATTCACAAAGTATGATATGAAACAAAGTAAGATGATATACAATAATTTTGAAATCGCCAATAATTGGTTTGCATGCATTGTCCAATTATACTGCTGAATGGCATCTACCAACCTGTTACTTTCAATGTAGCAAAACATTTCTCAATCCCTGCATCATTTTTGGCCTGACAGGTGTATCTTGCACCATGTTTTGCTTCAACAGATATAATTTGCAGGGTGGCCACATTATTCTCGAAAGAAATTATGACATTATTATCTTCCTTGACATCGTCCTGATCTTTCATCCAACTTATGGATAAAGGTTGTGAGCCTTTTACAAGGCATTGAAATACTGCGGAATTTCCAGCAAAAGTTGTAACATTTTCAATCTTCTTTACAAACGATGGTGGTTCTGGTTAAGATAAACAGTCATAAAATATAAATACGTATGCTGCTCTCTTCCTATCCCAAATAATAATCAAATGATTCTAGATCCCATTTGAGACAAGCATTTTAAACTATATATGTGCGGTATTGCAAAACAAAATCCTCTCGGATTTTAACTGACCTTTCAATTTGACACCACAATTGCAGGTACAACTTCCCACCTCATTTGCAACCGTGCACTTGTAGTCACCAACATCTGAGACATCCACCTTCAAAATGTAAAGGCTAACTACAAAGTTTTGCGTGATCATCTTGTACTTTTCACTAGATGAAATCTGTTTGTTTTCCTTATACCATGTAACGTCAAAGGGACCTGTACCAGTCACCTCGCATTCGAGAGTGACTTCACAGGCTTTTACTACCTCAGTGTGCTCAAGTTTTCTTTTAAAAGTGGGAGGTTCTATGAAGTAATCACAACGGAAGAAATACATATCAACCAAAATGCAGAGACCAATAGTACCCTGATCAGGGAATAAATACTGTAGGCATATTTTGTTTCTGAATGAATTAGGGTGATACTTTTACAGACCTTTAACTTTAATGTCTGTGCTGCAGCTGTCACTACCAGCTTCATTCCGTGCTTCACAAACATAATGTGTACTGTCGTCCAGATCAACACCAAGTATCTCAAGAACTGCCACAGAATTATCAAATGACATCCTGTATTTGTCACCGGCATTGATTTTATGGCCATTTTTCCACCAAGTAACTTGGATTTCAGGTGTGCCGGTAACAATGCATTCAAAGAGTGCGGAGGCTCCATTCCTCAGCACTGTCGAAGAATCTAGCTTTTTAATGAAGCTCGGAGGTTCTAGAAACCAAAATATAATCACCTTAAATATAAGGGTTACTTCACTTCGGTAATAATCATGAATAAAAAAGACATTTATGAACTGCTATCACTTTTTTAAAAAATCTCTTCTGCTCTACGGAAAAGCAAAGTTAGATTACTTCTCCTTATTTATCGGTTTTAAGTGGCTTCCTCCCCTTTGCTGTATTCCCTCGTGCTTCTTTATCTTGGGCTATAGATTCCCCCCAAAGCAATCCCAATTAATGTCACTCTGTATTCAATTAACAAAGATCGACTTCTACAGGCAGTGTAGTTCTGCCAGCTCTTACATGATGTCTAATGTTCTGCTCCCAATTTGGCGCCCCATCTGGCAATTTAACAAAGAATAGCGAAAAACAACGAGTTACAATTCTGAATGTTACTGCAAACTCTGATTTGAAAGCATGATAGTCCCCATCCCCACCTCCTCTATCCCTCCTTGTAGGAGTCTATCTTTCCACCACTGGAACTCACCACCCTCATAGAGAAGCTAAGTTACCCTCTCCACACTTTGAAGGCTGAAAAGGATAGCTAACACGGCTAGATCGCAATCGTAGTAAAGAAATCCAGAAATGCAGACCTTTAACAAACAATTTTGCTGCACAGGTGTCGGTACCAACATCATTGATGGCTTGGCAGGTGTAACTGCCCGCATCAGATACTTTGGCTGAAAACAGCTCTAGGAAATGTGTTGAGCCTTCATTCCAAATGGAACATGCCACACCAGACATCAGTTCCCTGTTATCTTTGAACCACTTTGTAGTCAGCGGGGAATGTCCTTTCACAACACTCCTAAACTGTACTGTGGAACCAAGTATAACTTCCTGGGCCATTATTTTGACCGTAAAACTCGGTGGCTCTAAAATTCGTACAAAAAGAAAATATTCATTGAAATCAGCCCTGTATTTCAAACTGCAAGAGATTACCAGCAAAATAAGGCAACGTTCTGAATGATGTACTTTTTGATACATAACTTGATAGCAAAATAAAAATCGATATAATATATTAATTTACTGCGCTTATACACACCAAGAAAATGTAGAGAACTCTTAGAAAAAAGATGTGTATTTGTTTTAAGACTAATTAAAGTCATTAAAATAGTCTTTCAAACCTTTTACGGTTAAGGTACCACTGCATTCATCCCTTCCTGCTGAATTTGTTGCTCTGCAGACATAAATCCCACCATCTGAAAAATCTAACTGAGTGACGTCTAAAGTCAGTACGTTGTCTTGATGTGACATCTTGTATTTGTTACTATCTGATATTTCTCTGTTATCTTTGTACCAAGAAATAGTCATGGGAATAGAACCAGACACTTTGCATTCCATGTGCATGAAAGATCCTAAAACAGTGTCCATTTCTTTCAATTTCCTCGAAAACAATGGAGGAATTATTTGATCTGTCCGAGGATATAAAAAAAAGAGTGTAAAACATCAAAAAGGGAAGCGTTTTGAACTTTATGCCGAATTTTGAAACGCCTGCTTTTTTTTAAAATAACAATTAAACCCTTTTAAAATGCAATTCAATCACAAACCTAATACGGTCAAAGAGACACTGCAGTCACTTGTTCCAAATTCATTCTGGACCTCAAATGTATAGTCGCCAGAGTCATCCATTTTAACAGACAAAATCTTTAGACTGGCCACTTTTTTCACAAAACTTGTTTTATATTTTGAATTAGACGCCAACTTTTTCCCATTTTTGAACCACGTAACTTTGAGTTCTGGTGTACCAGCCACAGTGCATTCCAATATGGCTGGATGTCCGACAGTCACAGTGAGTGGCTCAGTTTTTTCTAGGATTTTTGCAGGTTCTATGAGAAAGAAATCAGATCATTCACATCAGAACAACTGTGCAGTAATGTGGGCCGTGATTGAGACTTGAACAGAATAAATTCCACGAGGAAGCGGCAACTATTCCGAGACAAAGATCCTCAATCAATCGTAAAACATCTACACGCGTTCAACGGTAATTGTGCTGATTAATTCCTACTGACCCATGACTGTCAAAGTAGCAAAACATTGGGCTGCTCCTGCATCATTCTTTGCCTGACAAATGTATTTTCCACTATGATTGTCTTCAACGTTAGTTATCTCCAGTGTGGCAACATTATTCTCAAAGGACATTTTAAATTTTTCGTCTTCTTTGATATGATGGTCAGCTTTTATCCAGCTTATAGATATAGGAATTGATCCTGTTACAAGACATTGGAATACTGTAGAATTTCCAGAAAATGTTGTTGCATTTTCTATTGTCTCTATGAAGGATGGTCGCTCTGGTTTGAAGTGAACAGAATACATTCTGTTATTTTACAGTTGCACAGGCGAAACATTCAATATAATTAATTGATAATAATGCATTCAACGTCGTCTCACGATGAAAGTGGCAACCGAGCAAATACCACGAAACAACTGACCTTTCAAACTGACTCCGGCACTACAGGAGATGCTTCCCACTTCATTCTTTACAGTACATTGGTATTCACCAACATCTGAAATATCGGACTTTAGAATGCAAAGACTGGCTAGTGATCTCTCAGAGACCATCTTGTATTTTTTACTAGGACGAATCTGCTTTTTGTTCTTGTACCACGTAACGCCAAATGGACCTGTACCAGTCACCTCACATTCAAGAGGCACATCACTTGCTTTCACTACCTCAACAGATTCAAGCACCTTTGTAAATGAGGGAGGTTCTACAAAAGCAAAGACATCCACATGACAAATTGACAAATCACAGACATTGAACATTTCTTTTTTTAACAGTGATTCCCAGCAACAATTGTTGAGCCACGAAAACAATATTCCAGTGACTCGTATCTGAAGGCCAACTTGGTGACTGATTATGGGCGTTAGTCCAACGCTCTCTTTCACTAAATGCACAGAGCTATGTTATTTAGATTGGTTTGTATTCAATTACAATTTTCAAAGGCACTTACATGCCTCAAAGTTAATTGGGGCCAAGAGTCGTTGATTCTAAACAATAAAAAGTTAGGAATAATATATTTTTAAAATAGTGACATTGTCACATATTATTCTGAAAAACAGTGAATAATTTGTGAGAATAATTAATTAGTAGAGGTAAATCGCTTTTAATCTTGTTGGCCGATTGAAAAATTTTAGTAAAATTAAAGTTAAATCGGTTTATATAGCCCCCAAATTTATCCATAATCAAAAACAAAGCATTTGTCTTTCCAAAGAGCCAACTGTTTCAGATGGAAAGTGAAACAAGGAATGTTTTACAAACCTTGAACTTTAACTTCAATGCTGCAAGATTCACTACCAGCTTCGTTCTGGGCTCCACAAGAATACTTCCCACCATCATCCAGACTGACATCAGTAATTTCAAAGATTGCCACAGAATCAACAAATGATATTCTGTGTTTTCCACTGCCACTAATTGCACAGTTATTTCTGTACCAAGTCACACTGATTTCGGGTGTGCCAGTTAATTTGCACTCAAAGCGTGCTGTTTCTCCTGTTTTTAACACTGCTGTTAGGTCTAACTTCTTAATAAAATATGGAGGTTCTGGAGAATAAAAAATGTCGTAAGATTATTACAAAGATAAAAGGCTAAATCAAAGATATACAACATACTGGGACGTAATGAACGATAAGGAGACAAACACAGTAACATTCCAAAATAAAGAACGTATAACGTGACATGAAGGAAAATGACGTTTCCCAACACACTGTAAAGTTTAACTGTTGAAAAAGAGACGGGTTGAATTTTTAAGAGTTCCGTGACCAGTAAGAAAAAAAGAATCCGTCTGAAATGCACACCTTTGACAAAGAGCCTCGTCGTACAAGTTTCACTGCCAACGCTGTTGCTGGCTTCGCAAGTATATTCACCGGTATCGGAAATTTTGGCTGAAAATAGCTCTAGCAAACTCGATGAGCCTTCAATTAAAATGAAGCATTCAGCTCCAGACATCAATTCCCTGCCATCCTTCAGCCATTTGATAGACAGCGGAGAAGTTCCTCGTGCAACACTTTTAAACTGCACTGAAGAGCCAGGTATAACCTCCTGGGCAACAGGTCTTTCGATAAAACTTGGTGGTTCTGAAAATGTATTCGGAAAAAAAAAGGCTGTATTGTAAGATATCTGTTAATAGTCAATTGCAAAGCTAGAATTGGAATTTACTGCAAAACACCAAAACAAATTGCAAATTCAGCAAAAAGAGACGTCTCAACGACGTGATAAGGCACTACATCAATTGCAAAGATTATTATTATAATATGAAATCAATGCGAGGAAAGCAAAGAGCCGGAATGAGAATGGGAACAAATCTGTGATGAGAATGAGCTTATTCGTGAAGGAATTGAGTAGATTTGCCAAAGCTGTGAAAGACACTGAAATAAAGTAAATCTTTCAAACCTTTTACAATAAAGGTATTGCTGCAATCGTCACTTCCCGCTGAATTGGTTGCCTTACAAGCATAAACTCCACCATCTGCCATCTCTAGTTCATTAATCTCCAAAACCGCTGTGTTGTGATGGCTCGACAGTTTGCATCTTTTACTAGCAGATATTATTGTGTCATCCTTATACCATGAAAAACTGATTGGAAGAGAACCAGAAACTTTGCATTCCATGAGTATAAAAGATCCTAAAACACTGTCCATTTTCCGTAATTTTCTGGTAAATTCTGGAGGAACTATTTGATCTGTCCAAGACAAGGTGACAAAGCACAACCAGTCAACCTTAACAACAAAGTGGTGGAGGGGAATCTTTCACAAAACTTTACGTTATTAATGCTTTAGCTTTGATAGGAATTTCTGACTGGCAAGGAAAAAATACCTGAGAATAAACAACTCTCATGAGGTCCTTGATAGTGGAAACATTTTTAAATTAGTCCAAAGCGGAGTCTTTGTTTTAATTAAGTTATCTCTCCTGAAATTATTGAAATTGAATTTTAAGCAACTCTAAACCGTTTCTTAAAATTATGATCATAAAAAATTATAAATTAAAATTATCAAGGAAGTAATAATGCCTTAAACATTTAAAATAATAATAATAATTTGGGCACTCAATCTAGAATTGTTTTGGGAACACTATGGTGCACAATTGGCTGCCACCTTTCACCCACAAAATACACAATATATTCTGTGAAGCTCAAAGTAAGGCGCAACGATTAATATCAAATGCAACGATTAATATCATTATTAAAATTGATCGATCGTCTGCCATCAGTGACAACCTAAACATTTCGCATGATATCATCAACGGGCTCATGTAGTAGCTGTCATCAGGATATTTTTTATTTGCAAGTTACTGTAAAAGAAAATTCCTAACAACTCTATGCTTGTCAACGTATGCTTTACTGATTTTAATCGTTCCACACAAATAAATCACCAACCTAGGACTGTCAGTGAAGCTTTGCAGCTGCAGGACGCAAACTTATTCTTGACCTCAAATGTATAATCACCACTATCCTCCTTACAAACAGATGGAAACTTTAGGCTGGCCACATTATTCTGGAAGCTGATTGTGTATTTCCTGCCAGACACCAGCTCCTTTCCATCCTTAATGCATTTTACTTTTATTTCTGGTGTACCAGTGACAGTACATTCCAGATTCGCTGGATCACCCACAGTCACGCTAAGCGAATGTGCTTGCTCTGTAATTTTTGCTGGTTCTGTGAGAAGAAAACAAACTCTCTTCAGTAGGAGAACGTAGATCGTTGGGTAGGATTTTTTTATAAAAAGCTTCCGATCAATAAAGAATCCAAATTTAATAGGCAACATCACGCAATGTAGCAAAGCTAATCCCAACTATTAGTCCACTGCCACTTTACAGTATATTCTGTGAAGAGCTTTGAGGCATCTTGAAGATGTCATAAGGCGCTATATCAAATGCAAGGATTATTATTATTATTACTGACCTGCTACCAATAATGTGGCAGAACACTTCTCAGTTCCAGCATCATTCTTGGCCTGACATATATATTTCCCTGCATGTTTTTCTCCAGTGCCGGTTATTTGCAGGGTGGCAATATTGTTCTCAAATGACATGGCTATATCACCATCCTCTTTCACATCATCCTTATCTTTCATCCAAGTTACATAAAGAGGTTTTGAGCCTTTTACCAGGCATTGAAATACGGTGGATTTCCCAGCAAACACTGTCATATTCTCAAACTTCTGTGTAAATCCTGGGGGTTCTAGTTTAAAATAAACAGTTGTGTGGTCAAGTTATGTGAAAATCTTTCACTCCCGCAACACTGAATTGTCTTCATAACTTCTAGGCGGATAGTAAACAGTGGAGAAACAATCCTTTCTGACATTCTGTTGTGCGCAATTGCCTGCTGGGTTTCGTCCACAAAACACACCGACAATCTGGTTTACAGTGTATTCTGTGAAGCGCTTTGAGACGTCTCAGTGACGTGATAAGGCGCTATATCAAATGCAAGGAATATTATTATTATTATAAAACTGTGTAACTGACCTTTCAAACTGACTCCAGCACTACAGGAACAACTGCCCACATCATTCTTTACTGTACATTGGTATTCACCAGCATCTGAGAAGTCAGACTTTAGAATGCAAAGACTGGCTAATGAATCATCAGAAGTCATCTGGTACTTTTTACCAGGTCGAATGTGCTTACTGTCCTTATACCATGCAACGTCAAAGGGACCTGTACCAGTCACCTCACATTCAAGAGGCACATCGCTTGTTTTCACTACTTCTACAGATTCAAGCTTCTTTGTAAATACGGGTGGTTCTAAGGAGCAAACACAGTGATATGGTTTACCGGAACGATCAAAATGCAACCAGTAAAATGCTCAATACTGCACTGTGTTGTGTTACAAACCTTTAACTTGTACCACAAAGTTGCAACCGTTGCTACCAGCTTCGTTCTGTGCTTCGCAGGAATAATCGCCACTGTCTTCAATGCTTATCCCAGCAATTTCGAGCAGTGCCAATGAGTTTACAAATGATATCCTGTATTTCTCACTGGCTCTAATTTCATGGTTATTTAGATACCAAGTAACTGTGATTTGCGGTGTACCGGCTATTTTGCACTCAAAACGTCCAAACTCTCCCCTTTTTAACACAGCGGTAGGAGCTGGCTTCTGAGTAAAAGTCGGAGGTTCTAGAGAAATGAAACGTAATTAACCAGTGCACTGAATTTAAAGGTATAGAGTAATTGCAATTACAATCGACTCTCTTCAATATTCAGGACCTGGTGCGGACAAAGAACATGAACAACAGACAAACAGACTGAAACAAAAGAATTCTTCAGACCGATACTTACCTTTCAATGGAACTAAGTAAGAAAGAGCACTATACAAATCTCAATTGCTAATAAGAGTTCCAAAAATGCACACCTTTTATGAGTAGTTCTGCATTACAGGTTTCTGCACCAACGTCATTGCTGACTTTGCAGGTATAACCACCTGCATCCGTCGTTTTAGTTGAAATTAGTTCCATGAAGTGTGTTGAGCCTTCATTCCAAATGGAACATGCTGTACCAGGCTTCAGTTCCCGACTTCCTTTGAACCATTTCACTGTCAGTGGAAGAGTTCCTGCCACGACACTCTTAAATTGCACCGTGGATCCAATTATGCTACCTTGGGATACTATTTTTTCTACAAAGCTTGGTGGCTCTATAATTTATTTAAGAGGAAAAAATAGTGAAATTAGCCACAAGGAAAATAAGAACCAGTTTTTTTTAAAAAAAATTAGATGCCCAATTCCAGCACCTCAATATTGAACGAAGTTTAACTAGCAAAAGAATGGTATGCAAAACAAAAAATGGAAATAGAAACTGAGAATATTATCATCGGAAAATTAGCATTTGATGAATGTTAAAGTGGAAGTGGAATGGGGGTAATGTGGTCTTCAAACCTTTGACGGATAAGAATCCACTGCAATCACAACTTCCAGCATCATTTGTTGCTTTGCAATAGTAATTTCCACCATCCGTGATTTCAAGTTGATCGATCTCCAAAACTGCTGTGTTGTCTTCAAAAGATATTTTGTATTTGTCATTTGCCATTATCTCTTTGTCATCTTTACACCAAGTAATGTTGATTGGATGAGAACCAGACACTTTGCATTCCATGTGCATGAAAGCCCCTAATATGTTATCCATTTTCTTTAACTTTCTTGTACATGATGGAGCAATCATTCGATCTGTCCAACACAGAGCAAGAAAACAAAGGCAGTCAGCTGAAAGCAGCAGATGTTTGCAATGTTTTTCTTAAAGTACTTGTAATGTCCCGTAAGCCATTCAAAGCACGAGTACGGTGACTGCAGACACAAAGAACTAAGGAGATAATTATATGGTTGTAGATGATATCCTCAATGCCTATAAGCCAATCGAATACCCATATGCAATCTGAATATTGATATTTTCTGCTACAAAAGGCAGTGTGATAAATCAATATTCAGATATGATGCCAGAGCATTAGAGCATTTACAAGTGATCCTTTATTATATTAGACTGGAAAGGACTTCCCTTGAAATGCACATTTTATATCAGCAAAGCTTTCAATGCACAAGTTCACCAACCTAGCACTGTCAGAGACGTTTTATAGCTGTCTTGTCCAAACTCATTCTTGACCTCGAATGTATACTCGCCACTGTCATCCTTATCAACAGACAGAACCTTAAGGCTGGCCACTTTATTCACACAGCTGATTTTATATTTTCTGCTGGATGTCACCTCATGTCCATTCTTGAACCATTTTACTTTGAGTTCTGGTGTGCCAGCTACAACACATTCCAAAATCGCTGTGGTTCCTGAAGTAACATTTAGTGGTTCTGTTTTCTCTAGGATTTGTGCGGGTTCTGCGAGAAAAATCATACTACCTCATTAGAAGAAATAAGAAAAAATATTTGTATCTTTACTGCTCAAAACTCTGTACCGCCATCACACCAGTCCTTGCCAGGCTTCACTGGCTCCCAAACGATCGATTTCAAGATTCTCTCACTCATTTTCGAATCCCTTCGTGCCCTCGCATTTCCCTACCTATCCGATTTGCTTACCCCCAACTCTACCACCCACTGCCTCCGCTCAACTGGCTCCGGTCTCCTGTTTGTCTCTCGTCCCCTCCACTCCACCATCAGTGGCTGTGCCTTCAGCCACTGTGCCCCGAAACTCTGGAACTCCCTCCCTCAATCCCTCCGTCTTGCCTCCTCACTCCCCCACTTTCAAATCCCATCTAAAGACCTTCCTTTTTGATTGTACTTCTGGTCTCCTCCCCCACTCCCTCCCTCGATGACAGACTCCGCCACTGTCAAGTGCTCCGTGATGCTACTGTGCGTGAAGGGCACTATATAAACGAAAGTTGTTGCTTCTGTTAAACGAGTAACTGTAGTTAAATTAATTCAGCGGCAAAGAATGAATCAGTAAAGCTGTATATTTAGCCTCACAGTCTCTCATACTAACCTGCAACTAACAAGGTGGCAAAACACTTCTCAATGCCTGCATCATTGTTGGCCTGGCATGTGTACTTTCCACTGTGACTGTGTTCAACAGCAGCAATGTGAAGTATTGCAATGTTGTTCTCAAAAGAAATTTTAATATTATCATCTTCTCGGAGTTCATCCTTGTCTTTCATCCAGGTAACAAACAGAGGAGATGCACCTCTTACACAGCCTTCAAAAGTGGTCGAATTTCCTGATAATGCCATCACATTCTCAATCTTCTGCACAAACGATGGGGGTTCTGATTTGAAGTTAAAAAGTTGTATGAATCAAAATGTTAGTACGCTGGATATTCTTTCGCCACATGATTCGAATGAAAACTAAGAAAATACTGTAAAATCACAAACGTTCCTAAAGAGCGAATGGTCTGCAAACATTGCTGAACTGACCTTTCAATCGAACTCCGGCAGAACAAGTGCAACTTCCCACATCGTTTGCTACTTTGCACCGGTATTCACCCACGTCTGAGCTATCGATCTTTTGAATATAAAGACTGACTAAAGAGTGTCTGTCGGTCACCTGGAATTTTTTACTAGGTCGGATTTGCTTATTGTCCTTAAACCAAGTGACTTCGAAAGGGACTGTGCCAGCCACTTCACACTCAAGACAAAGATCAGTGGCTTTCACCACCTCAACAGCGTCGAGCTTCTTTCTAAAAGAAGGAGGTTCTAAAAAAAAGACACACAACAAAAGGAATCGGACATCAGCCAAACCAAAAGATTTCTGAAGAAAATGACTCGCAATTGCTTCTACCACACTGTTCACAATAAGACATGACCACAGACCTTTAACTGTAACTGTCACAGTGCATCTGTCAGTGCCGGCTTCATTCTGTGCTTCGCAAATGTACTGACCACTGTCCTCCACATTAGCGTCGATAATCTCAAGCATTGACACCGAATCAACAAACGATGTTCTGAATTGGTTAGTTGGTTGAATTTCAGTTTCATACTTGTACCAGGTAACTTTGATCTCAGGCGTGCCTGTTACAGTGCACTCAAACGATGTTGAATCTCCCTTTTTCACCAATACTGTGGGATCTGGTTTCAGAACGAAGGTTGGTGGTTCTACAAAGGCAAAGTGTATCGAAATTAAATCCCAAGAAAAGCAATTGATCTTCACGCATGTTCAAGTGAAATATTTGAACAGCAACGGATGAAACAGGAAAAGGATTGTGTACGCTAAATAAAGCAGAGTGTTGAGCAGCGCAATGACCAAACCATCATAACTGTTGCACTAAGAAAACAAATGTTCAACTAATTTCCAATCCACCCTATTTTTGATCTGTATTTACTCAAAGATCTGCTAACTTCCTGAACTATACTTATATGATGCACAAAGTCAATATGTGGTTAATGCACATTAACCAAGGTCATAGATGTCAAATGATCAAAAGGCATTGCAGAGAGTACATCTGGCACCTTGCAACATCAGGAGAGGCATATTCATCCAAATGTCCGTGGCCTTTGAAAACTTTACAACAAAATGTTGCTGTACTTTACACATCATTTGACGATAACAATAAGAAAATTACCCCACCCCCCACAAAAATATTTTAGGACTAAAATGATTTTACGTGTTACAATTACATTTCATGCATTTGAATCCCTTGATTTTTGCAACTAACTTGTTACTTACATATATTATTATATTTTATACTACATACGTGGACTCAAAGCCACACATGTGGTACAAATAAGATACTTACCTGAACATAAACCACCTTGTGACTTCAGACGACACAACTTACTCACCCTTTGGGCTCATGAGTCATTTAGTCTAATGTAACAAAATGGTTTATTTTTCTTTAGAAACTATTATTTGACAAATTCCTACATAACCTCTTTATAAATTTAAATCAAATCATTTCAAAATGCACATCGTCATATTATGCCAAAAAAACTCACACCATCGTAAAAATGAGGGCCTCCTTTTTCTCTGAGAACAACAACAAATATTAAATAGCATCGACATAAAAGGTAAGATTGTTCAGTTTGAAATCAATCAAGCAAAGACAGGTCACAAAACACGTAGACGCAGACTGGAACAGAGGGATAAGAAAGAGAAGAAGTAAGAAAGATTTTTGCAATAGAATTAAAAGAAAATTTATAGTGTTAGGTGGAAAGACCATGAGAAAAGTCACACCTTTCACAAAGAGTTTTGCGCCACACGTCTCTGTTCCAACTTCATTGCTGACTTGGCACGTGTAGTCACCCGTGTCGGATACGCTTGCGGAGAAGAGCTGGAGCAAACTTGTTGAGCCTTCCTTTGAAATGTAACATGACGGACTAGATATCAGCTCCTTGTCATCCTTGAACCATTTTAAGGTCATTGGAGGTGTTCCACTTACAACGCTTCTAAATTGCACTTTGGTGCCAGGCACTACTTCTTGGGACAGAGGCTTCATAGTGAAATATGGAGGCTCTAAAATTTCCGGAGGAAAATTGCAAAAATTGCAATTAACATAAAAGTAAAATGAAGACAAGACTTTACTTTCAAAAGGTTTGCCAAATGAATGATGATGTGTCTCTAAAGCGTGGCATTCCAGCCATGTGTGGTTAATGTAGCGGACTAAGATGGAATGATAAGTTACGATTGTGGTGATCAAACAGGTGTTAGCTAAGTTAAGAACTCTTGGAGGTACTTCGACAACACCGAATACAGTATCAAAATTCAAACCTTTTATAGTTAAGGCACCACTGCACTGGTCACTTCCAGCAGCATTTGTTGCAGTGCAAGTGTACATTCCAGCATCTTTCATCTCTAGTTGGTGAATTTCCAACTGCGCCATATTATCGTGAAATGAGATTTTATATTTTTCATCAGCTGTTAACTCTTTGTCATCTTTGTACCACAGCACATTCATGGGAACGGAACCAGAGATCTTGCATTCCATCTTAACGAAAGAAGCTTTCAAGCCATCCATCGGCTTTAGTTTCCGCTTGAATGACGGAGGGATGGTGCGATCTGCCCAACATATGGTAAAAATGCAACCGCTGTCATTTCTTCGAAGGAAAGGTTACTGAACAAAATTGTTGTTTTGAAAGAAGTAACTAAGCAGCGCAATAAAGAAGCACTGATACCAACCCAATACTGTTACAGAAGCTTGGCAGCTACCACTGCCAACATCATTCTTCACCTCACAAGTATATTCAGCGCTGTCTGCCTTTTCGGTGGTTAGAATCTTTAAACTAGTTACTTTATGAGTGACACTGATTTTATATTTTCTACCAGACATCAACTCTGTGCCATTCTTAAACCATGTGGCTGCAATCTCTGGTGTTCCTGTGAAACTGCACTCCAGAGTTGCTGAGTCCCCTGCAGTCACACTGATGGATTCTGCTTTCTCTGTGATATTTGCAGGTTCTGTGTCAAAAATAAGAGTATAAGAACATGGCAGTACAACACCATATATAAGATATATGACAAAGAATAGAAGAATGTAAGAATCTAAAGAAAGAAAGAAAAAAAGAAAGAAAGACCATTTCGGCCCATTTGGCTTCTCCCTTTTGAGATTTTATATTAAATCGATCAAAGCCCTTTATTTATAGTTTGACAAATATCCCAGGTAGCTCAGTTAGTTGAGCAATAGATTTTGGACCAAAGGGTCCTGTGTCCAAATCCCAATGGGTCCATTCAACACTTTACCTGACCATTTCCCCCCTCCTCGCTCCCTCCCTTCCCTCCCCTCACCCTGACCATTTCCCCCCTCCTCGCTCCCTCCCTTCCCTCACCCTGACCATTTCCCCCCTGCTCGGGTCATGACCCAACTGTGCAGCGCCTTGGGACGTCCTCCTGACGTGAAAGGCGCTTTATAAATGGAATCTTGTTGTTGTTGTTGTTGTTTACCTTCTTGAGGTAGATAAAATAAGTTATATGACTTACAGTATCCTCCTTGAGGTAAGTGGGATTTACCTGGGCTTGAACTGGCTCCAATGAGACAATCCAGGCAGAGGTCTTATTGATGGTTCAATAGCCTGTCAGGCTCATCAATGAACCTCAGAATTTTTAAAATTTAGTTTATTAAAAGTAAAATGGGCCAGTCTTAGGTGACAACCGTTCACCAATGCTCCATAAATAACATTATCCTTTCACAACTCTACCCCTTAGAGAGTTGCCTACAAAAATTCACAGTCCATCACATTTCACAGTAAATCCTGTGAAGTGCTTTGAGAAGTCCTCCTAATGTGACAGGTGCTCTACCAAATCAAGGGTTGTTATTTTTAGATTAATCTTGAATGATATTCTATAAAGTAATTAGCCCGTCTAATCAATTATTCCGCATGCACTTCCAATAATTACAATACTATACATACACAATTACCTGCAGTTTACAACTAGGTGAATGGCAATGCAATAAATGGCAAATCCTACATTTCTTTCTGACTAGCTTAAATAACGTCTGGATGAACTATCTTCCCTTCTTCACTTGGCTTATTTACACTCACTAGGACCATCTTACAATAATATTCCTTATGTTTCAATAAGTTATGTAAATCTCTTTCCCACTGTAACATGCAGCCAGCTTGTTACACTTATAACTCAATACATTCCCCTTATGGTCACTCGACAAGCAAGAATCCAGCAACATTGCAACCATTTTGTTGAACCATTATATCCTACGTTATAAATAACAATAACATTCCTTGCAATTTGATATAGCGTCTTTCACTTCAGGAAGATGTCTCAAAGCAGGGTTTCTTGTGAAGTGCATTTTGTAGGCAAACGCAAAAGCTAATTTGCACACAGCATTGTCCCACAAGCAGCCATGAAGTGAATGACCAATTTTTTATCTGGAGACTGTTGATCAGGACACCAGGAAAAGTTCCCTTCTCTTTTCATTTGGTGCCATAGGATCTTTAACATCCACCTGAGCAGGCAGATGGGACCTCAGTTAAACGTCTAATTGATGGACGGTACTTCCAACAATGCAATGCTTTCCCAGCCTTGCACTGGAGGGTCTGCCAAGACGATGGGATTTCAAAATCCCGACTTGGGACTTGAACCCACAACCTTTCGGCTCAAAGAATGAGCCAAGCTAACACCTGCGTTAACATCAAATTCAACACTCTTAATTGCATTTCGTTTTAAATTAAAAAAATTATAGAAAAGCTTGTGGTTCTCGGCAAACCTGTGTCCAACGGTGTGATTTCTGTAACAATCTTCCAGATGGTATTGCACTTCATTTAGATGCTTTAAAACTGCTCTTGTACAGTTACAAATAACCGCTATCACATTTAGAGTGATTGCCAAAGTTGAAAGATAACACACTTTATCCAATAGTGTCTGAAACCAACCTTTCACTACCAAAGCTGCAACACACTTTTGGCTTCCTGCAGAATTCTTTGCCTCACAGAGGAACTTTCCGCCGTGATGGTTTTCAACACATGCAATCTGCAGCGTAGCTACATTCTTTTCAAAAGAGATTTTAATGTTATCATCTTCTCTGACACTGACTTTGTCTTTTTGCCAGGCTACGGAAATTGGGCTCGACCCTTTCACAGAGCACTGGAACACAGCCGGGCTTCCCAGGAGCACGGAAAGATTCTCGATCTTCTTAACGAAGGACGGAGGTGCTGGGTGCGAAATAAAATACCGAGAATAAGAGATTTTGTCGACGCTCCGTTCTGGTAAAGAATCACACTACTGTACTGAAATAAGAATTGTATTGTAACGGAAAGAAAAGCACTTGTTAAGTCTTCACCAACCTTTCAAAGTCACTGCAGAACTGCAGGCACAACTTCCTATTTCGTTAGACACCTTGCACTGGTATTCACCGGCATCTAAAGTGTCGAATGAAAGAACATGCAACCTAATGGAAGAGTTTTGACAGATTGTCTTAATCCTTTTGCTTGGTCGGATTTGCTTCTTGTCCTTGAACCACGCAACGTCGTACGGGGCTGTACCAGCCACGTGACACTCAAGAATGACTTCAGAGGCTTTCAGCACCTCAAGACTTTCAAGTTCTTTCGTGAAAGATGGAGGTTCTACAAAGGAACAGATGATAAATTCAATCAAAGAGGAATTCTGTAACACTCGTGGCCAAAAAGACATTCATCGTCTCAAGAGAGACACTTCCTGATAATGGAACATTAAAAGAAAGGTAATGTTGACAGACCTTTGACTGTTACAGTAACACTGCAACTCTCACTCCCAGCTTCATTCTGGGCTTCGCAAATGTATTCTCCACTAACTTCCACAGTGGCATCAAGAATTTCAAGAACTGGTACAGAGTCAACGCATGACACCCTGTACCTGTCACTAGCCTGAATCTTCTCGTCATTCTTGTACCAGGTAACTTTTATTTCGGGTGTGCCAGTCACTTCGCACTCAAATCGTGCTGAATCACCCTTTCTCAGTAACTTTGATGACTCCAGTTTCCTGAGGAACACTGGGGGTTCTATAAAAATCAAGATATCAAAGAACAGATCACATAAAAGGCACATCTATAAAAAGAAGACACAGACGAAAACAAAGACAAAATCATTCATGCCTCTTCACAGCGATTGAGAATTTCAACTGTTATATATATATATATATATACATACATATATACACACACGCAAAAGTGCACCATGTAAAACTGGAAGTATTTTGATGCAACTAGAGGGAGAAAATAGTAAAAAGAAAGTTAGAAACAATAGCTCTGTCAGGAATTTTAACATAAAATCGCACCTTTCACAAAGAGGTTTGCTGTACTTGAAATTGTTCCTGCATCGTTGCTGATTTCACAAGTGTAGTCACCCATGTCAGAAGGTTTCACCGAAGAAAGTTCAAGGAAAGTGGAAGTATTGTCCTTCATAATGAAGCAGCTACCGCCAGTCACCAGCTCTGTGTTCCCTTTGATCCATTTAATTGCAAATGGAGGTGTTCCATCTATGATGGCCTTGAACTTCACTGATGAACTAGGTACTACTTGCTCAGATATTGGTTTTACGAGGAAACTTGGGGGTTCTAGAAGGCGTTCAGAAAAAAAAAGGCAAATGAATAATGAATGAAAAGCAAGCTTTTTCCCTTTAACCCTGCGTGAGGGATAAATAATTACAAGTAGTTGGTGTTTACCCAAAATCTATGTGAAAGCACGTGCAATATCAAGTGGGCACGGTGTGAGCAAGATGGTTATCAATGAAGAAACAACTTTTTATATATATACTTTTACTTATAACTTATAGATTTTTTTTTACATATAGATTTGACAAAGCTTTAAAACGAGAGGAGAAACGAAATAAAATAAGCAGTATAAAATTAATCAATTTGAATTGAATGATTCAAACCTTTGACAGCTAAAACCCCACTGCATTCATCCTTTCCCGCAGGATTTGTAGCTTTGCAGGAATAGGTTCCACAGTCTGAAAGCTCCAGCTGACTAATCTCCAGACTAGCGGTATTGTCGTGACATGTTATTTTGTATTTGTCACTGACCGATAGCTCTTTGTCGTCTTTGTACCAAGAGATGCTGATGGGAACAGAACCGGAGAACTTGCATTCCAGGTGTGAGGAAGCGCCCAAAATGCCTGACTCCTTCCGGAGTTTTTTAGTGAATGAAGGAGCGATCATACGATCTGTCCAACACAAAGTAACAAAGTCAAAGTTATTGGAATCAAATTAAAGATGTGCTTACAGTTATAAGTAAAGATGACGTAGAAATGCAATTGTGTCATGTTGTACTAACCCAGCACAGTGATAGATGTTTTGCAACTGCAACTACCCACGTCATTTTTGACTTCAAAAGAATATTCGCCGCTATCATCTCTTTCTACAGAGAATATCTTTAGGCTGGCCACCTTGTCTGAAAGAATTGTCTTGTATTTCCTTGGAGATAGTAACTCTTTGCCATCCTTGAACCATTTAGCTTTGAGTTCAGGTGTACCAGCTATAATGAATTCCAGAGTTGCTGGGTCCCCTGCAGTCACACTGATGGGCTCTGCTTTCTCTATGATTTTTGCCGGTTCTGTGACAAAAATCAAATGGACACCATTAAAAGAACTTACCAGCTTAAGTCTTCGCCATTTTATAAAGCAGGATTTGTGAATGAACATGTAATATGTCATTAAACTGACCTTTCACAGTCAGTACTGCAAGGCATTTCTGACTTCCAGCTTCATTTTCGATCTCACAGGAGTACTTCCCACCGTTGTTCATTTCAACAGCGGCAATTTGAAGAGTCCCAATATTGTTCTCAAAAGTCATCTTGATATTGTCGCTCTGGGTGATAATATTTTTATCTTTTACCCAAGTGAGAGTGATGGGAGCTGAACCTTTCACGGTACATTGAAACACAGCAACGCTCTCCAAAAGTGAAGTGACGTTTTCAATCTTCTTCACAAACATAGGGGGTTCTAAGTTAAAATGAACAAAGGCATACAGATGACAATCTAGTTTTGGTTTATGCATCGATATGGCCAATGGGAAATTCATAAGCATCCCGTTATGGCAAAAAAAATACATGACTAACCTTTTATCTTTACTGAAGCCCCACAGGAACATTTTCCTACTTCATTTGAGACGGTGCACTGATAATCACCAACATCTGAGAACTCAAAGGAACTAATGTGCAGGGAAGCCCGAGTATTCTGGCAGATCATCCTGTATTTCTTACTACTTCGAACCTGCTTTCTGTCTTTATGCCAGACAACTTCAAATGGAGGTGTACCGAGCAACTCGCACTGAAGAGTGTGATTGAGTCCTTTGACTACCTCAGCTTGTTCAAATTCCTTGCTAAAAGAAGGAGGTTCTACAAAGGAACACATAAAAAGCAAACTCAGACGCAGAGTCAATTTTAAACCGCTGATCTATTGTGAACGATTAAAGAAGAAAGCGACATAAATGTTGCCCAGAATGGAATTAATATCAGCCGAAGAGAGATCTTACAGACCTTTGATTATAATGACACAGTTGCAGCTGTCAGTACCAGCTTCGTTTTGTGCTTCGCAAACATAATCCCCACCATCCTCAATGCTCAGGTCAGCTATCTCAAGGACAGCCATAGAATCAATAAACGATGTTCGGTATTTTTCTGAGGGGCTGAGAATGTCATTGTTCTTGTACCAGGTCACACTGATTTCAGGTGAGCCTTTTATTTTGCATTGCAAACGTGTGGAATCGCCTTGTTTCAACAGCAGAGTTGGATCTGGCTTCTTCACGAAGGAAGGAGGTTCTGAAGAAAGGTTTGAAGAAACATTATAAGAGATTCTAAAGAAAATAAGTAGCTAAAAAGATAAATGCGATGTGAGTGGACAAAAAATTACTGAACATCACTAATCAGAAGATCCTTATATATACTAAATATAAATATATGTATAATATATCTACACTAAAGGCTATATTTCCATTTAAGAAACAATTAATGGTATTTTAGTACCAATCATGTGACATTGCCTGACATCACTTTTATCTATGTTTTCCTACAAAATACACAGTCACTACACTTTATAGTATATCCTGTGCAGCGCTTCAGATTTCCTCCCAATTTGAAAGGCACTATATCAAACGTAATGACTGTTAATTATTATTACATGGTTACATTTAAAAATTATATTATTCAGATGCCTAAATTTAAATATCGGGGAATTTACTGATGGATTTTGAAACTTGTCAAATTTCATCAACAAGTCACAAAATGAAGTCACAAATTTGCTGATGGAAAACATAACATCTATTATATATTAAAAAAAGAAAAATGTCAGATACAAAACACTAAATGAACCATTATGTTTATGGGCAGCTCTTTATTCTAGAATCTAGACCAAAAATCACATGCAACCAAATTAAAATTCATTGGTAGCCGAACTAAAACCTTTTCTGGTTTTGAGAAATACTGTTTCATACGATCGCAAGAAGGCTCTTCTTTATCCTTCCAGAATATCTTCACTACCGTTCTCCTATTCACAGCATCAATCTGTTTAAATGAATCCAGACTTCTGGCCCTCAACCACTCTTCATAGCAACTTGTTACAACCATTTATTACTTTTTAAGCAAAGAAACACTTCCCGGTGTCTGTCCTGAAATTGTCCTTTTGCTACCCTAAACCTGTTCTGTTATCTTGGTGCATCCAAAAGTATTGTTACATATATTTAGACTGTTACAGCATGCAAATAGGTCTTTTGGCTCTGTTTGCGGCCTGGGTTTCAGCTCTCCTGGTTCCCTCTCCCATGTTCCTCTATTACCTTCTCCCTTGTGTACGCATCGAGTTTCCTTTTAATTCTTTCTGCTTTAATCGTACCTTCAGAGTTTACTTTCTCAATCCCGGTTAAAAGCTTATCCCTCTGTAAGGCCCCATCTGAATCACCTCTAAGATACTTAGAGCCCTTGTTTATCTAATTATTGCTTTTTGCTTATTGCTCCAACATTGGAGATTATCCGTGTTGCTCTCCTCTGCAATGTGTCTAGAAGCCTGGGTAGTACCATTATGTTGTAGCGACTAGAATTGTGTGCAGAACTCTGGGGCTTGACCATAGCACCATACAACTTGAGGATGCTTTTGGGGGAATCCCTACTCAAACTGATTGTGCCCAGCATCCTGTTTGCCTTGTTGCTGTTTTGAAACGACAAGTGGCTATTTAACCAAATTGATCAGATTTCGCAATATTCAGCATACTCATCTATTGCATTGATTTACATGTATTGAATTGGAAGGGAAGCACAACTATTCTCATACACCACAAATTCCACAGTATAATCAAAGATATCTATATTTTTTTCTGGTCAACCCATCACCATGCTTAAGAGTATCCAAACCAAACTTAAGAGTCCTACATGCATACCACCCACACATAGATATTTATTTGTATCTGGACTGGGATGTGTGCTCTTTTCCTGAAGGGTCACACCTGAATTACTCAGGAGTGAAGTGTTAGGTGCAGGTTGGCAAGAGCCAAGGCTTGAGGATCCCAGAGTGTGCACTGGGGTATCTGCTAGAGTTCAACCAGCTAAAACCATATAGCTTGCCTGGCAAGCTTCCCATTGCTTATCCAGCTCGGAGTGCCCTAATCATTTGGGCTTTGGCTTTGCCCCACAATCGATTTGCCCTTCCAACTCCTGCTGACAAGCCGAGCTAGCTGTCATCAGCAATACCTCTGAGTACTGCGGACCCACCTGGCTCAGGAACCAGATTACTGAGACTGTCACAGTGGATGGGGCTTGATTCTGAGATTCTGTTCCCAAATACGACATCTTAGAGCCAGCCCTCCCTTAAAAAGATCCTGATTTCCACCCACCCCCCCTCTCCCAAAGATAGTCTATCTACATCAATATAAATATAGATTATCTACATCTACAAAAAGGAAGATACTTTTTAAATGAATATAATTATGATAATAATAATTACACATCAGATAAGATGAAACAAATGAGAAGAGAAAGATCCTTATGTAAAGACGTGTAAAAAATATGGCTGTTAAAGAAATCAGCCGTTAATACTGTAATTATGAAGCCCCATTGATGGGGAATCAGATTCAAAATGGATAAATCATCCGAGTGTGAACCCAAGTGTTTTTTTCCAAGTCTTCAGTTTAACCTCCATTGATTAAACTGACATTGAAATCTTATCCTTCAGGACCTTGCTTCTCTCCATGGTTTATTAAGATATAGCAAAAACATGGTTAAGAGATACTTTTTTTTAAAGAAACGTGATAAGAGCATTTTTTAAAGAAACATGATAAGAGCATTTGTTGCCCTGTGAACAATCAAACAATCCAGGTAAAACAGCACATAACTGTGAATGCACAGTTTGGGCTTTGGCTTGTGGGATTATCGGGATTTGAGTGGGGAGAATCCCCAATTCTATATAAATGGAAATTGCATTCACATTGATAAAAAAAAAGATGATTTGAAGACTCTAAATGAGTAAGAGCACCAAAAGAAACACACGTTAAGATTTCCAGAAGAATTGTCTGTTCCTAAATCACAGCCTCCAATCAACATGTTTGAATGGAATTGTTTACATTGAAAAGAATGTAACCTTTAAGATTAAGAATATATATTCATTGTATGAGAATTCATTTTCCATTTTCATTAACCAGAAACACTGGCTGACTAACCTGTGTTAAGAAATGTTGCCTTTACTAACATCTTTAAAAGCCCATCTACAATAACTACCAGGTTTTGCTTACAATTTTTCCAGTAATCAGTACAGTAAATCTTACCTTTTACTGTGACTAATGCTGAGCAGAATGTACTTCCAGCTTCATTTGAAGCTGTGCACATATAATTTCCTGAATCTTTTAGCCTGCTTTTCAGGATTTCCAAAACCGCTACCTTGTCTTCAAATGTCATTCTATAATCTTTGCCTGGTCGAAGTGTTTCTTCATCTTTCTTCCATGCAACCTTGACTCCTGTGTCTTCGTCCACTTGACATTCAAGACGCACATTGCTGTTAACTACAGTCTTGACGGCTTGGAGACTCCTAGTGAAATGTGGTTTGTCAAGTACTATCAGCTGCACGCTGCAGATATCAGTGCCACCGTGATTGGTCACTTTACAAGAGTAATTGCCCTTGTCTTCCAACTTCAAATGACTAATTTCCAGACTGCGCTTGTATTCTTTGTCTGAAATCTTGAGATTTTCTTCCTGAGTTATATCAACTCCGTTCTTCTGCCAAACAGTGTGGATCACAGGTGATCCAGCTACAACGCACTGAAATTTCGCAGTTTTACCCACAAATGTTGTAACCGGATCTGGTCTAGTTACAAAGCTTGGCGGGAAGAGTTCTACAAAATAAACATCTTGGGTTAGACTTCCAATTTACATCACTTAATGTCTAAGAATGCACACCACTAGGACTGGTAAATCGCCCCAATTTACTTCAAAGATAAAGATAAAGAGAGACCCAAAGAATTTGAAGAAAAGAGTGTTCTCAACACCATTTACAGCCACCATTCAGGCAGCTTTCCAACTAAAATAATTGAAAGCAAATTCATTTTAAGAACCGATTGTTTGGGTGAGAAAATTGACTTGATCGTCAAAGTTCTTGTATAGCATTGCTACCATTCACTGCGCGTTCAGACACATTGCATTCTCCATGCAAAGGTGATTTAGTAACATGGAGAAGATTGTGATCCTTTATGTTGTTTAAAATCAAAGATTAAAGAGGTTGATGTAAATTATATCTCCAAATAATTCATTACCATTGTGATCATAAAATAGCCTTAGCCACCTATTAATTTGCTGCAAAGGCATTAATTCTTTGGAATGGACATTATTTAATACGTGAAGTGTGCCAGTATTACTAATCATAATACATATGAAAAATGAGCAAAGCCTTAAAGATAACAGGTCGGCTTATTGAATAATAAAATACCTTTGCAAAAAAATGTTTCCTTATTTATACTATTTTAACAAAAATAACACACCAAAGAGTCTGTTATTTTTAGGAATGGAAGAGCCATTCCGGTAAAGAAAGAAGAGTGAAGGGAAACCTTTTTTCTAAAGCCATCCAGCGAGGAAGACAACAATAAACTGAATATGACAATTAGGGTATGGGAAAATGCACTTACCAGTCACAAGCAATTTAGCACTACTGCTTACACTGCCACTTTGGTTTGATGCTGTGCAGGTATATTCACCACAGTCGATCAGTTGGGGCTTCAAAAGCTTCAAGGTGGAGATATACCTCTCGGTAACAATGGAGAGCTTTTCACTATCGCGAAGTTCAGATCCTGCTCGGAACCACTGGAATCTGACATCGGGAATCGGTTCAACCTCACAGTGAAACTCAGCAATCTGTCCAAGTGTCACTTGCAATGATTCAATCTTCCTCTTGAAGGACGGAGGCACTGCAGGTGCAAATGCAAAGATTATTAGAGCACTAACAACACTGTGCAGGAAACTTGTTTTGTAAAAAGCACAAGGATTAGACATAGGTGTGACCACCTAAAAAGACCAATGGTGAGGGGATGACAGAAACTAACAATCCAAGGAGTGACTGTGGAGAAGAAATGAACGTGAAAAGATGTTAGTAAACCAGTGATCATGTCCAATGTGACAAATGGTGACACTTCAATGGAATTCAAGAATGATTGACATGTGGGTGTGATGCCTCTAAAACATGCAAGGCATCTTGATGCATCTATTCTTCCTAGAAAAAAATGAATGGTAAAAGGTGATAAAGGTTCAGGAAGAAATACATCAATCAGTTGCCTTTATGTGATGACAAAGTGGTGATCATGATCTATCTAGAAAGTGATCAACTCCTCAAACGTGGAATATGGGGGGTGAAATTATTACAAATTATATTAGTTGAAACTTACAAACGTGGCTGAATCAGGTTAGTGGAAATTGTTAGACTGCAATTAAACTACAAAGAATAACACGGTAAGTTCAGAAACAGCATAGAATTCAAAGCTTTTATCTGCTTATTATTTTCAATTATTTTGTCTTTTATTATTTAAAATTAAATGCATAAAACGATCTATAAGAAAAGCATGCTGCGATCACATCAGATAATCAGGACTCGATATTGATCAGAAGTAATTGTTAAATTTTTGTCCTCTTCTGCATGAAACAAAATGAGGTTAAAGTTGAACTTTTAAGCTTTTGGATAAAATTGATTGCAAAATTAACTGATGTGATCTTATTTGGTTTGATTGTATTTTGTACAGACAGACAGCCTGCTAGGAATTTCATTTCATTTTAAAGCAGAACTTCTTTTACTTTTAAATTATGTTTGGTTAAATTAGAGTAACAAAATAAAAGTGAAATAGTAATAAATATTAATCCTTGCAGTTGATATATATACTGTAAAGTGAATTAACTATATATTTTGTGGGCGAAATAAATAAAAGAGCAGCAGAAAGAGAGAAGTAGATATGGTTCAGTTATGTTCTGTTAGTACAAGAATCTAACATTAAGCATTAAAAGTTAACTGTGTGATTAGTCTATTATATTTGGTTTTATAATTAACATTAAAGAAGAATGTTATCCCCATAATCCAACCTCTTATAATAACTGTGAGTTTTGCAGAAGTAGTTGCTTTTCCAGCTTCATTCAGTGCCTCACAGACATATTCTCCTTGATGTTCCTCTTTGCATACTTTGTTGATTATAAGTGAGTAAGTGTCACCTTCTTGCAAACATTTGAACTCTTTTTTGGAAGTAATTTGCCTTGCATTGATGTACCAATTTACCTTTTGAACTTTTGTTATCACTGTGCTAAACATTACTTCGCTATCTTCATCAATTTCCATATCCGATAGCCCTTCAGTGATCACTGGTGGTGTTTGGGCTTCACTCTTTCTAGCTTTCTCTAAGATTTTCTCTTTTTTGATGATCACTGTTTGCTGATCTTGAACCGTGACAAAACCCTCTGCTTCAGTGGTACTCAGCAATTTCACAAGTCTATCGGTTGGAGCGAGAACGGTACATGGTTTCTCTGTCATGAGTATCAGTTGCTGTTGATGAATAATAGAATGCAATACAGCTCTCAATTCCTCTCTCAGATCAGCTTTGTGAGGGTATTCCCCTTCAAAGGCTAGAGTCACTTCTATAGAAGGACAGGTATTGGTAATCTGGTAGGTATACAAAGTGTACTGAGGTTCTTTCTGAATTTTTATCTCCTTAATTTTAACCTCGTCGATGCTGCCCAGCAAATCTGAAGAAAGGACCCACTGTTTGCTCGCTAGAGCAGCTTGAAGTGCTTTCTTAATCTGTATATTTACATGCAGAGTGACTGTTTGGGGAGTTTGCACCACAAACGGGAGTTCTTTCGGAAATATATCACTCTTTTCTACGACGTGAGCTTGTAGTTTCTGCTGCGACTGTTTCACTACCTTCAGCGAGGTTTCACTTGCTCTCTCGGTCGCCGAAGTATGTTCCTCTTTAAAGAGTTGTTTCTCATGAAGCAACAAAGGAATTCTTACCGACTGCCCCTCCTGGATTCGAACGGCAAAGTCTTGTTCTGCCGCCTCTAAGGTACTTGTGCTTTCTGTCGAAAGAGCCTTTTCCTCAACATGTACAGAAATTGAAAGCAATTTCGGTTCATATTTATCCTTACAGGTTGTGGCACTTGGGGTCGCAAAAGTGCCAGCAAAGTCATCTTGCAGGACCTTACTGTCAATGGTAGTACTGAACTCTTTGACTATGTCATCTACTTTATTTAGTACTGCACGCTGCTCTTTTTCTTCAAAGGTAAAGCTCTTCTCCTTTGACAGCAACATCGGCAGAGTCACAGACTGGAGGCAGGTTTGTGGAACGGGCTCACTTTTTACCTCCGAATGTAAACCTTCGGCTTCCTTCTCAAGAGCTTTAATTTGCTCCGCGAGCATCTCTCGTTGTTCTTCTGCAACTGCTGCACAAGTATACACTTTCTCCAGTTTATAGACCGCCGTATGAGGAGAGGGCTTCTCGTAAGGAATTATATCTTCCTTTTGCAGAATGTGTCCAGTCTCTATGGCAGTAGGAAATAAGAGAGAAGCACATTCTTTTGTAGATTTGCAGGTGATGGCGTCCTTCACACTGGGTAACTCAGTAGTAAATTCATCAGATGCGGATTGCTGCTCGTCAGACAGCAGTGAATGCAGCAATGTTGGGCTTTTCCTCACTTCAGCTTTCTCCTCTGAGGGTACTTCAAAAGTGAACGTGGATTCTCTGGGCAGAGTGTCTTGTTGGTGAATAACCTGCAGATGCAAAGTCTGCTTTTGTTCTTTCACAGACTTGAGTGCTGTTGCACTGTCTAAGCCAATTATTGCTTCTGCGTATTCAGCTGAAAGCTGCTGTTTTTCCTCCGTTACCAGCACAGATTTCATGATGTGATCCTTTGCACGTGAAGCCCGTTGCACTTCAGATTTATGCGATTTAAATATCGATTCTTTTGGGAACATTTTCTGGCTTTCAATAACAGGCATTAGGAATGGCTTTGGTAACTCTCTCGATGACTTTGCTTCTGTTGCTGTACCTATTGTCCGTATATCAACTGCTGCTACAGCTTCAATTACCTGCAATTCTTCAGCAACGCTGAAAGTGCCCTCCTTTGGAATTGTGGCTTTCTTTGCAACTGCGGACAGAGTGAGTTGAGGCTCTTGCTCTACTTCTGTGCTTGGTAACGTAACAACTGTTGGACTTTCAATTGGTTCAGAGTGTTGCTCGAGAAATCGATGACTCTCTTGGGTAGTCTGCGAATGCATTACCATCTGACTCTTCGTTACCCCCGATTCCGCAGCTGAGATAGTCACATCGCGCAACAAGCCCGTCCGTTCGCTGCGTAGCGAATGCTTATCTTCTGTTGCTATCGTGTACACCAACTGATCGCCTTTCTGCAAGTCAGCCCCTGCGTCACCTGGCAATTTGACCACGAATAAACGCGACTCTATGGCTTGGTCAACACTCACGGATTCTTTATACGCTTTAGTGGTTGGCTTTTGGGCTACTTTCTGCTGGGTTTGCTGGCCACCAGCACATGCGGCACCGAGCACAACCAGCTCGACGGCGCAAGTTGCTTCTCCAAATGGGTTGAACGCTTTGCAGTGGTACAAACCGCTATCACCTTCCTGTGCGCTGTTAATCGTTAATGATCCCGAGCCATCAGAATTGGAACTGATGCTGTAGTACACGTTCCGGTGAAGCTGGTGATTCCCTTTGTACCAGTGGACTTCTGGCATTGGTTCTCCCACCAGTTTGTACTCAAATTTGGCAGCTCGCCCTTTGGGGCACTGCAAAGGTTTAAGTTCTTTAACGAAATGGGGTGGCTTGCCCCCGACTTCCTTTGTTAGTAGCTCTTTACTTATTTTCTTTTCTGTTGGTTTTGCAACTGGAGGTTTGGCAGCTGATTTTCTGAACCCTCCCATGTCTTCCTTTACTTTGACCCTTAGATAGGCACTGCAAGAAGTCTCCCCATATACATTACTCGCTGAACAAGTATATTCTCCCTCATCTGTAAGTTTTGTATAAGAAATAATTAAACTATACTCATTCTTATCATACACAAATTTGTAGTTTTGTGAAGGAGACAACTTTTTGCTGTTGTAAAACCACTGAATAGAGGGTTTTGGAATTCCAGTCACGGTAACAGAAAACTTGGCTACATCCTCAACAAATACCTCAATGTTGGAAATTTGTTTAATGAATACTGGGACTGCTTTTGATGTGGTAGCATCAGTTTTTATCTCCAAAGTGCTAGATTTAACTTGAGATTCGGGTTTGAGTTCAAATGTTTTATCGGTCAAATGAAGGTCACTGCTGTAGAAATCTTTCCTCTCGTCTTCAGCAGAGATGGTAAGAGAGCTAGAAAATTCTGTATAGAAAATAATATGGTTAGCATTTTAGGAAGCAAACAAATTATTGATTCTGAATAATGTTTCTTATTGCTAGAAAGTGAAAATGATGGCAGATATTAGTAGCATATTAAAGCTTTATATGTTAAACTATTTTTTAAAAAATTTATAATAAAACGGAATCACTTAAATATTTTCTTGCAAGAAGAATTGTGAGCAAAAGTATTGTCCAACAAAACAGGAGAGGAAATAATGTTGTACCTGAAGTTACCTTTGACATGGAGATGACATTACACCAAAAGTGTGATTCAATTCACAAAATACAGCATTTCTCAATTGGAAAATGAATTATTTGACTCTGCATTTGACTGGCAATTGTGGAGATAAAGTGTACTGTGAAGGCTAGTTAGTTTGCTTACAAATAAATACATTGAAAACATTTAAAATCTGTTTTGCTCCATTCCCTATTATAACTTGCACAATGAAGCCCTGTGCGTTACAGTTTGATTAAGACAGGATGGCATCCTCATTCTGCAAAGGGAAACATAACGGAAATCCAGCTCAACGACAGTCATACTGGAAAGTATTACTGCATGATTTCTATGAAAACACATTGCATGTCATAAATTATCAAAGAGGCTGGAAAATAATTTCTAACAAACTTTATTCCATTTATGAAACGTATATTTTCCAATACAAATGAACCAGGAAAACAAGTTGAACATGAAATATTACCAAGTACAAGTACTACACTGTTAGTGCAAGGAGTTCTCAAAGTTTGCAATGTTTCAAGCTTAAAAACTTCAAAATACATTATTTGTGAACCTTGTCATTCGAGAAGAATTTGAATGTTTTAGCTGAACCGATAACTTTGATCATTAGTATACGTAAATGTGGCCGATAACAGGCTAAAATAATGTATGCATTCAGACTACTATATCGTTGATCATTCAATAAGCAAATTGACAGAAATGACAAACTACCAGCCCACAATATTTTGATTGAAATGGTCATTTAATCAAATGTCAAGTTAAGATGATTTTGTGTTAGAATCATAACATTTTTAAAAAATTGAACACAATTTTGGTATAGTTCAAACTGTTGAAATGTTCGACCAAATGTCATAATCCAGTTGAAAACAATCGTCTCTTTTAAACACAATTTTACAAATCAGAAACCAAAAATATCAAAATACCGTTAAAATAATCAAAGATGTGAACTGGAGACATGAATGCCATTTATTTTATGCAAACTCTATTGCATTGCTGAAAACACACAACTATCTACCAGCTGCATTGTATAAGGGTTGTGATCTCTAGACAACTCAATAATTCATTTGGCAGACTTGCCAACTGGTACCTGGGAGCACATTTTAAATCCAGTTATACTACACAGAGTACAGTCTCCAATTGGTAATATACAGCAAACTAACCTCTCCTGCACCCACACCTCAACAAGCCAAACTATTCATCTAACTGCAAAACAGAGAAAAGACAGCTTTCCTCTTGCCTCCTGCAAACGCGAGCTAAAAGTAAATTAACTTAAAATGCCCCGAAACACAATAAATCAAACTATTTATTCAGCAGCAATTCAACAAATCCCTCATGCACTCTGTGCCATTAAGCAGAGAATAAGACTTTCCACCTGGAATTCTCGAGGCAATAAGTTCCTTAGTGAGAACACAAAATCAGGGGCAGTGTGATCTATGGACTCCTCCAAGCAGAAAAGATAATTTCCCTGATGTACTAGAAGGAACTAAAGGGAGAGAAGAAACACCATCACCCAAAATGAATAAAATCAGACTTACCAAATTCTGAGTGCTCACTCCAAGGCAATGAAACCTTCCATCCTACTTTATGATATGGTCGCTGCAACTTCTCTCAGGTTCCTCTGATGTAATCTGCTTGCAAATCTCTCACTCTCTAATGTCAACTCCTGCTCTGAAACTTCACTTCTCCATCACGCAAAGCAACCAGATACCCCTTCATTCCCTACCACTTAAAAGGGGGGAAGGGGGGGCAAAAAAATGTTTAAAGTGTTCCCTTAATACAACATACAATATAGCCGGTGGAGAAAGACGAAGAGGGCGGGAGGATAGTTCATCAAAAGCACAATCAAAGAAATGCCTTAAGGTGGGTTTTAAAAGGTAAGGTCAGCGAGACTCCGGGTTGGAGTTTCAGAAGAGCGGGGCAGAGTGGCTGACAGCTTGTTAAACAATGATAGGGTGACTTGGATGAGGAACACAAAGCATGTCAGCGTTTGCTGATCAGAGGGAATGGCCTGGTTGATATGGTTAAGGTCAATGAGGTTGCAGAGTTAAGGTGTGGCAAGGCCACAGAGGGATTTGTATGTGAGGATCTTGATTCCTTGGGGGTTGGAGAGCCAATAGAGCCAAGCAAGAAAGGGGATGATATGCTGCCAAAGCCTGGTGGAGGGTAACAAGCGCACAAATACATTGCCGCCATCATATGAACAGTACAAAGCATTTCAGGTCAGATACAATGTTAATATAATTCATGGAATCCAACATCAAATTACACACCTGCAACTTAGAACCACCCACTGTCTAAATATTACACAAGATAAGACCATTTTAGATATTCTCTATTCATAATTAAGAAAAACTAAAATCTTGCATATCTCAACTGCTGAGATTAAAAAGTAAAATCTTAGAAATCATCTTGGTAAACTTTCCCCAGTATTTTCTTGCTAAGTTAACTAACAATGTGCAACCTTTCGACAAATTAGCTGTCACGTTCCGCAATGAGTTAAATATGTTAGTCAACTCACATCTTCACATCCTCAGTAAGAAATAGAAAATAATTAGCTATATCTGCTCGGTTTAAAGATTTAAAATTCTGAACTCGACTATCAATGAATGAGCTTGCATATTGAATACAGCACCAATAAAATACACATCATTGCCTGAAAGCAAACCTCTGATCATATTAGTACCTGAGCTGCTTCACATTGTGAGTTGCTGAATTCAGTTATCAGACTGCAAAACTAATAATAAACTAACTAATAAAACATGCATAAATTTATGATCGTGGCTAATTTAGTTAATAGGTTTTAACTAAGAAACAACAAGCATTCAACAAGAACACATCTAGCTATACTGTAGTACTCCGCATTAAAAAAGTTCAAACTATTTTTGGTTGCCCTGCTCGATGTAAAACCCCTCAGGCCTGACCTCAGTAATAGAGTTTAGCCCTTTCTTTCACACTAACAAACAAACTCCAGAGTAAAAAAATTGAACAGAAATCACCAAACTTCCTGTAAAAATCTACTATTTTGTCAACAGCTTTAATGGAGCTTTCCACGTTTCTAACAAACATGTATTTAGTTCTTGATAAGAAGAAAAAATCTACACTTTTGAACTTAGCAAATTCATATGTATACTACCATATAAGTCTAGAGAAAAGTAGCATGTTTTGCAATGCTCAAAATATAAGACATTGGACATACAGAGAGAATAGCAAATACTATTCAGTTTAGAACACACTTAAAATGGCCTCTGTGACTGCATTCCCAGTTTTATTAACAGCTTTACACCTGTATGTTCCAACATCATATTTTGTAACAAACGGAATGACCAAGAAATGGTGTCCTGGGTCTTTTTCCTGGATCAGATAGTTGCCACAACCTTGAAGCATTTTATCATTCATATACCAAGTAACAGTAGGTTTTGGGGCACCAGTCACAATGCATTGAAAAGATGCTGAACCTCCTAGAGATGTACTACAATTGAGCAGGGACTTTACAAACTTTGGGGGTGTTTCTATGACTTGAAATTCAAATGTACACGTCTCACTGCCCTCGGCTTTAAATTCGATGGTCTCCTCTTTGGCAGGTTCAGCAAATACATCAAAACTAATATTCAGACATTTCTCTTTTCCTTCCTGTTCCTGTTCTGTTACAGCTACGACTTTCAGAGATTTCTGAGAGTCGTCACCACCTTGCTCAAACTCAAACTCAACTTCAATTTCCGAAGGCTGGTTGTCATGCCCCGTAGAATCCCCAATAAGAACATCTAATTCCTGTGGTTGTTCTTGAGCACTACCCAGTGACATGGCAGCTATAGCTTTATCACCTGCTTTTGCAAGTGCCATATGGGAATTAGTTACTGCAAGATAACCTCTGCATGTTGTTTCCCCCACACTATTTATAGTTTTGCACTTGTACGTGCCACTGTCAGAGGAACCAACGCTGGTTATTTTAAGGCAATGATTAGAATTGTCTGCCATTATAATGTATTTCTTGCCATCTGAAGTAATACGTGAATCATCTTTGAACCACATCACCTCAGGGATGGGAATACCGGTCACCGAGCATTCAAAGATGGCATCGGTCTTCTCTGGAATTTCCAGATCAAAAACATGGCTGATAAATCGCGGAGGAATCTCAGTCACTTCAAAGTCAATTTTCACATCGTCATTCTCTCTCGTAATAAAGTCCAGATTGGGTTCATCATTAAGCATCATGGGAAGGACGTCCAGAGAAATAATCATGTTTTTATTGTCAGGCGTAAATTCGGGAATCGTAATGATTTTGATCTGCCTTTCAAATTCCTTCACCTCGTGCTCATCAAGTTCAACTTCGAGGAGAATTTCTTGTGGTGAAGGAGATCTCGATGTTTTATCTCTCCGGACATCAAACTCTATCACGTGTTGATGGGTCACTAGGGGAGGTAATGCAACTGACCTGGCATCTTGTGATAAGACATCCACCTGCCCGCTGCTTTTGGCTTCTCCTATGATGTTTACGACATGACAAATGTATTCCCCTTCATCTTCTTTGTGAACACTATCAATTACTAATGTACACAAATTTCCTTCCCTTTCCAATCGAATCCTATGATCTGGCTCGAGTAAAGATTTATTCTTGTACCACTTAACATCGGGGATAGGGCAGCCAATCACCTCGGTCATGAACATGAGTGTGTTTCCTTCGTAGATCTTTTTCTTTGTGAGCGGTTTGATGAACGCAGGAGGCATTTCGTTCCCTTTGGCTTCTGCTTCCTGAGGAGGTGTCGAGAAGAACTCTGACCTTTTCCCTCCTATAGTTTGGCTTAGATCGTCCAGAGGTGCTGTTTCAATACCCTCATCTTCTGATGTCCTAAAACACGCTGGTGGAGTATAAAACCTCTCCAGTAGGGCAGCTATAGGAGATTTTGCTGAGGCATTGGGTGAAGGCAATCTTTCTGGAGGTGTCATGAAACCAGGAGATTGAAGAGGGGTATGAAATGACTCTGCTGACATAACCGTTCTCACATTTTCAGAAGCCATGGGCGGGGTGTAAAATCTTTCGTTCTCTATTTCATCGGCGGTCGCATTGCCCAGTTCAATTGACATCTCGGACTCGGGAGAAAGGGAGCGTGTCCACTCTTCACTCTGATTATAGTAGTCGTAAACAGCTCCGAATGTTACTTCTTCAACCTCCATCGAGGTTATTCCAGACTCGTCATATCCAAATGTCTCGTGACTTGCGTCTTGGTAAACTGGTGCTTCCTCATGACCTGTTGTCAGGAGATACTCTGAGAGGGAAAAACCTCCACTTTCCTCATTCCTCGTAGGAATGGCGTCTGCTGAGTCTACACTTATGCAGGTGATGCTTTTATTAGACACTGAGTCATCAGATAATTCTGCCTTGGAAACTTTAGCTTGTGCCCCATGACTTTCAGCAGAATGTTTAGCTACATTGTCTGAATAAGCACACTCTTCATAGGATTCTCTTCCAAAAGTATATTTGTTTGCTCTTGCTTCAGTTTGTTCTTCCATCTTGGAGTCTTCAGGTACATCCTGTCCTTCACGGTCAAGAAAACGTAAATACTGGCTGATAGAAAGTGTTTCGTCTTCTGCTTTCACGGGCACTTCATGTGCCGCCACTTTAGAATCTGTTGTTAGATTCTTTTCTTTCTCCTTTAAAGACGACATTTCACTTGAAGATTCAGTAGAACTGGAGGTCACTCCAGCTCCCTCCTCAGACATCGGAGTAAACACTTTCTCTTGTGTACAATGTGAAGGAGAAAGAACTCTTCTTCTTTCTTGCAGTGATAATTGCCTTTGCTGAGTAATGCCTTCTTCCTGCCCCATTTTACTGAGATTAAGCAGAAAGTGACTCACAATCGAGTATTCCTCATCAGATGGTTCAGTATCTTTCAGATGGCAAATAAAGCTCTGCTCTGCGGGCTCTATCCTCGGACTGTAAATACTCTGCGTTTCTCTAGTTTTGTTAAAACTCTGCTCTGCAGGCTCTATCCTCGGACTATAAATACTCTGTATTTCTCTAGTTTTGTTAAAACTCTGCTCTGCAGGCTCTATCCTCGGACTATAAATACTCTGTATTTCTCTAGCTTTGTTAAAACTCTGCTCTGCAGGCTCTATCCTCGGACTATAAATACTCTGTGTTTCTCTAGCTTTGCTAAAACTCTGTTCTGCAGGCTCTATTGTAAGACTAGAAATACTCAGTGCCTCTCCAGCTTTATTGTTAGCAACACATTTATAGCTCCCCAAATCAGACATTGAAACACCATCAATATATAATCTATACTTTCCTCTGCTCTCTACAAATCGGTACTTAGCTTTACCACCTAATAAAAGTCTGTCATTTTGCAGCCATACAACAACAGGTTCTGGCTCTCCAGAAATCAGACATTCAAACATCACAGATTCCCCTTCGACACAATAAATTGGTTCTAATTCTTTTACAACCTTTGGAGCTTCAGAAATCACATCAAAAGAGAATTTAAATTTATGTTTTGTAGTCTGAGAGAAGGGATCCTGGGATGAATCCAATTCATCTGAAGGATAAGATTCCCTTCGTTCTTCATCTTGCTCTGGTGTTGGAGTAGGAGCAGTTATCTTAATTTCAACAGGAGCGGAAAGCAAAGACAGATTTGTAGGACGTGATCGAGGTACAAAAACCCCTGGTAATTGCAAGGTTGATTTTGTCACAGCAAGTGGTGCATTGAAGAACTCAACTTCCTTTTCCGCCAACAAGTCAAAGTCTTGTTCGCCAGTACATTCCTCTGGTGCGTCAGTCACATGCACATCGAAAGGTGCCAATAGTTCTTCTAGGAAATAAAGACAATTTTTAGTTTTACTGAAAATAATTAACATTGGTATACATTAACAATATAAGTTCAGAAATCTGACAAGTGTAATGAAACTTACCTCTTAATTTGAGGATCCCAGATGTTTGTGCAGTTCCATACTGGTTGAATATCACACATGTATACACTCCTTCGTGTTCTTTGTAACTGTTGCTTATAGTCAATGTAGATTTGCTGTCTGTGGAGTGAATATTGTAACATTGGGTTCGTGAAATCGGCTGTTCATCTTTGTACCAAGTCACCATAGGTTGTGGTTGAGCATGGAACTGGCAGTCCAAAATGCACATCTCTCCTTGCTTGATTTCAGGAGATTCGAGATCATGGACAAACATAGGAGGACAAAGCTGTCTTTGTTTCACTCTGGAGCTTTTTTGTTTTGTTGATTCTTCAATGGCCTCAGCTTTATATGAATGATCTTTTATTGTCACCGGTGATTCTTTCATTGGTGTTCTAACAAAAGCCGATGTTTCTTTTTTCATTGTTGAAGGAATAGGTCTCACTATCTGGTGGAATTCATTCATCCTGCCTTCCTCCTGCAGTTCTCTCTTGCTGGATTTAGATACAATGGACATCTCTGTCTGTTCGGCTGCTGGTATGAATTGGTCAGATATCTTATGAGCATGTTCAGGTTTATCTTTCAACACGTCCCTCTGTACATGAATAAAACTACCAGACCATTGATCAGGAAATGTCTCGTAATCTTCCTTTGTTTCAAGTTTACATGGAGGTTCTTTTACTTCTGTTGGTGGTCTGACAAGGTTTGAGGTCTCTTTCTTCTCTGGTGATTGAAAAGTTCCCACAATCTGGGTGGAGTCTAGCTTCTTGTATTCATTCTGTAGTTTTCTCTGGCTGATTTCTGGCTCACCAATAATGTCTGTCTGTTGTTGCCTTGATATGGTTTGGAAGGACGTGTCATGATGAACTTTGGGCTTGTCTATTGGGAAGACTCTTTGCACACTGACAAAACTTCCAGGCAATGGAGGTTCTATTATTTCTGCTGGAGTTTCTTTCTTCAACGCACTTAAATGAGATTGTCTTTGTATCTGGGAATAATCTTCAACCTTCACTTCATGTTGTGCTTCTGGGCTGATTTTTGATATATTAATGAACTCTGCTTCTTTAGTTAGTGATTTGGATTGACTAACCATTGCATGATCATAGTCCTGTTTATTTCTCAAAAATCCTCTCTCTGTCCTGATAATCCTTTCAGGTTGTTGGGAAGGAAATTGTTGGCCTTTCTTATCCTCACATTTATAAAGAGGTTCTGTTACTCCTACTGCTGTTTCGTGTACTTGTTTTGTATCAAACGCTGAGACTTCTCGTTTCTTCCGTAAAGGAGTAGGTGTCAGAATCTGGACATCACGCTCAACTTTATGCTCATATTGGGCTTCTACTTTATTGATTTTAGATGTATTGATAAGCTCCTTTTCTCTGGGTGCTGACTTGGTTTGGCCGATACTTGTGCGATCAACTTCAGGCCTCTGTTTTCGTAAGACACTGGGTGAACTGTAAGCACTGTGATGCCTTTTCTCAGGAGGTGTCTCATGTTTGTCCTCTATCTGATACCTTTGTGCAGGTTCTTTTATTTCTGCTGGCATCTGTTTCGTGAACGCACTAACAAAAATCGAGCTTTCTCTTAGCTCTGGAGGAGCTGCCCTGTGATGTTTTTCAATGTCAAGTTGACATGAGGGTTCATCTATTTCCACTAGATTATCTTTCTTTGGTGTGTTGAAAAAGGCTTCTTTTGATTTTGGTAAACAAGGTGTTAAGATGATAGTGTAATCTTTATGATCGTCTTCAAAATGGCTGAATGGCTTTTGGTTGAATGTGCGGTCACTGGTTGATTCTTCTGTTTTGGACAGGTCAAACGAAGTATAACCATTTTCAGGTTTCTTGGTAGGTAAGTCTTTCTGTCCGCAGGTCACATTTCCAGACCACTGATCAGAAACCATCTCGAGGTGTTCCTCGATCTCAGGTTGATGCAGAGCTTCTGGTTTCATTGTTTTCATAAAAGTCGACCTTTCTTTTTCCATTGATAAAAAAGATGGTGGTAATGTCTCTGCACACTTTATAACACTTTCTTCACACTGTATTATTTGTTTATTTACCTTTGTGTGTCTTGCAGCTGATTTGGGTTGGTCAACCATCTCAGGACGATGTGTTGATGCGTCTTTCTTGATACTGATAACAGCTCCAGAATATTGGTCAGACACTGCCTTGAATCGTTCATTTTCTTTCTGGAAATAATATTCGTCACTTCCTTGTTCTTCCAGTTTATGTTCACGTTCATTTTTTCCTTCTGTCTCTTTGAGCAAATCACCGCTCAGGAACCGCTCTTTTAATGACTTCATTTCTTTTGTTCTCGAGGATTCTTCAATGCTGCTTTCTTCAGTGGCTCTCTGTGGTTCTGCCTCTTGGGAAATGAGTCCCAATATCCTTTCCATGCGATGCTTGAATTCAGGAGATTCTGTCTGGCAATACTCTCCAGATGATTGTGCCTGTTCTTTATAAAAGTAAGATTGGCTCTGTTGATACTCCATGTGACCAAGCTCTCCCATGCTCCTACTGCGTTGTCTGTCCAGATAAGCACAATTCCATTTCATACGGTCTTCAGCTGAGGGAGCATCTAGGTCAAATGAAGCTTCAGATAGTGCAAGAGAAAATCGCTTTTTCTTTTTGGCTTCACGTAAAAGCTGTAGTTTGATTTTAATATCCTCATCAATTAAATTGTCCTTGTCCAGAATCCTCCCGAAGGGCCTTGATGACCGCCTTGTTGCAGAAGTCCCAAATAGCGGGTCATCTTGTATTGGGGTTGCAGGCGTCTTACTAATATACACGGTACGTATCAGCCTGCTCCTGGAATGGTGTAGATTCCCCAAAGTTCCTTTAACTGCATACTTGTCGAAGGGAGACCCAACGTGCTTGAGATCAACTCTCAGTTTGGCTTGTCTCCTTTGCCTAACCAACATGTCTATGTTTTTGTGAATCATCTCTGATCGCTTCAGGAAGCTCAGATAATTCAGATTTTGCTCCTCTTTAAGTGCAACTAGTAAAGATGCGGTTGTTTCGGCTGACCCCTCGGAGTTTATTGCAAACACTTTGTAACTCCCTGAATCTTTCTGTTCTACATTGTTGATTTCCAAACTTGAGCTATGAATGTGCATCGCACTTTCTATTTTAAAATTTTTTCGTAAATCTTTGCGTATGGGTCGATTGTTATGAAACCATGCGATCTTTGGTGCTGGACTTGCAACCAGCTTACATTCGAAAGTAGCCTGTTCTCCTTCCATGACAGATTTGAATTTCAGCTTCTGAGTGAAAGATGGCTTTAAATTCTCAGACCAGGAATTTATAGAAGATGTTCTGCTTGCACAGCGATCAGCAGAAACAAGCCCCTGATCTAAATAGTCGTCAGTGTCGGAAAAGGCACCCCTTAAGTCTTGTGTACTTTCCAAATAATCTCCTCTGTGGTCGAAAAATAATTCTGGAAAAGAAAAACAGGTCGATTTGCATGACTTTTTTTTTAAAAATCCCAAAATCGTTAGCAAACGATTTAAAAATGAAATTTGGTACAATTTTTTTTAAAAAAGATAAAATGAAATGCAAACTGAATGCAATAGCTTTTTTCACAAAAACTATAAAAAATTCACTCACCATATTTGTTCGAATAAACGCAAGACCATTTTCTTTTTAAAGATTCTGAGCACGAAAATCGCTCGTCCTTTGTTCCTTCTTCAGACTGTAGCGATTTCTTCTCAAAAATCATATTAGAATGTATATTTTCAAAAAAGCATAACGTGACCTCATGACAGAGTTGGATTATTTTTGTGTAAAATCTTTGCCTATAATGTTTTGGAGATGTCTAGTAGAGTATTACATGTGCTTACCTGACTTGCAGACAGCAGAATAAACGCCCTTTCTGATCCTTTTGAGAGTAGGTAAATTGTTCAGCCAGTTTGATAATTTTGGCTTTTAAAATTTTAAACACAGAGATGGAATACATCCATAAAATTAACCTTCAAAAATTGCATGAGAAGGCGTTTATTCGAACTAATACAGTTGCTAAATTCCACAGTGTTATGCAAAAAAAGCCAGCAAGCATTATCACATACTGCTATCTGCAAGCCAGTGTAAAGGTATGAGGATAGACTGATGTCACGTGAATGAAAATAAATCAATGCACAAATGGAAAATGTGTCTGAGTAAACATTCTTTAACGAAATATTCCCTACACAGGCTTTAAGTAGCACACACAGGGTTATCTTAGAGCTGCTCATTATAAATGCAGAGTAAAAGCTTGACAAATCTACCAGTTCACGTAATTCTAAATTAAAAGACGCCCCTGACATTTAGCCATCAAAGTACGAGTGCTTAGTATTTGCTGAAACATTTCCCATTGTGTCGCTCAATAGCAAGAATACAATATATATTTCCGTGCACCCATTTTGCAATGCCTAAGTAACGGTAATGAACAAATCCAATTGGAAAATCAGCTGAAATGCAAGCAACTATTATTCGCAAAATGAAAAGTTGCCTGTAAAATAAATATTGATGTTAAAGGATTTTTTCCCCCCACCCCCAAACAAAGATGAAACATCACATTGCAATGAGAATGATGAAGACAATCTTGATTTGCAAATAAACTGCAAAATTGACACATGTAGCATGCAAGTTTTAGACATTCTATAATACATCACTTATCCATGACCCAAACTAACCAAATGCATACAAATAACATGAGCGTGATGAAGTCGTAGCATCTGTTGAAGAACTGAACCTACTTTTCAATGTAAAAAAAAGCAGTCTTACCTCTCACTTCCATTTCAATCTGCTGTTCAATCTTCTCTTGAATCACTTGTTCAAAAGCTGCATGAAACAGATAAGTCTTAATACAATTGTGAAACATAGCATTGAAATCATATTCTCATACACACAAAAACACAAAATGAAAACGTGAATCATGAAACTAGGAAAACATGAAGTATGCAAAATGGGAAAAACTGACATTCAATGCCCACGTGCAAAAAAACAAAAGTGGTTGCTGAGTGTGGATTCCAGATTCACAACGCTTTATTCAGACAATCCATGATTTCGTACAAAAATGAATCATTCTCCTTTTATTTTTTGCTCTGCATCAAAGTGTCAATCATGCCTCGCATGCCTAATCTGATTTAAGAAAAAGAAATGCAATAATCCGCAGTGCAACAAGACGACTTCTGGAAATAGGTTCTTCCCGTGAATTGCGCTGAGATGCATGATAGATAGGTTCACAATTGGAAGGATCAAACCATGCAGTTGCCAACCTGTCACTCTAAGAAGAGTGTTGCACGCCGTTTCTCCAGCAGAATTAACTGCCTGGCATGTATAAGCACCACTGTGAATCTGACTGGCTTTCCTTAACTTTAAAGAGCAGAGCAATCCATCATGCCTCAAGGAATATGATGGAGAATCTTCAAGTATGTGTTGGTTATGTAGCCAGATCACACACGGTGATGGCAAAGCGTTCACCACACAAAACAGGGAGACGTCTTCTCCTTCTTTGACAGTGACTTGAGGAGGTAGCCTTTCTAGGAACTGAGGTACTGTGATTCCAGTCTCTATCAATTCTCCAAAAGGCACTACGTCAGGATAAATGTCTCTGCTTCTCTGCTTCTGTTTCCCAGTTGTTTTTTTGCCTGAGGTTGGTGGTGGGGTGGTTGGTTTCTTCAGTGATTCTTGTTGGTCTTTGTGACCAGATGTAATTTCTGGCATGCTTTCAGTTTTATTGCTACCTGAACCTTTATCAGTGGGAACTTTAGTACTTGTTTTCGTTTTTTTGTCTTCAGCTATGTGAGAATAAAGTTATGATAAGTTTTAAACGTTAACTTAGCAATTTAAGCAAAATAACAATTTGAAAATGTATAATAATTAATTAAAGGATGCAATAATTCAAGCAAATTACAATGATGCAATGTTTTGGTATTACTTTGTTTTGCCACAAGTCATTATTATCAAATAAATAACTAAGATTAAAAGGCAAATTTAGGATTCTCTTAAAAAGGCACTAAGCGTAGTTTGAACCCTTCACCCCCACCCACTGGCAACAATAAAATTGAGGAATGAGGAGGGATTGTTTAAAAATTAAATAATCAATAACCACCTTCTACTATAAGTACGGCAGTCGTCTTCACTTCTCCAACTTGGTTGCTAACAGTGCAGCTATACTCCCCGTGATCTTCTACGCAAACATTAAGGATTGTGAGAGAGAGAACACTTTCATTTTGAGCTATCTTCAGTCTTTCTGATTCTTCCAGTCTTCGGTCTCCGTGATTCCACGCAACCTCCGAGAAAGATCCCTCCTGAAAAGAGCAGATGAACTGTGCCACCTGCCCGGAGTTTACCCTCAGGTCACTAAGTTCAATGAGAATCTTGGGCACCTCAAGAACTGTTATTTCAGCTTCACATTGACCTTCACCAAGAGCATTTACAGCTTTACACCTATACATTCCTCCATCCTCTTCTTTGATATTTGGTATCGTTAGCTCAGATGATACTAACACTTCAGCTTCTGGTATAGTTACAATCTTTACTCCCTCCAGTTCTATAATCTCTTGACCTTCCCTAGACCAAGTCACTTCAGGTTTAGGGAATGCCAGAATTTGACATTTCAGAGATGCAGCTTCACCTAACAGAACTGTGACATTGCTCATATCTTGCACGATCTTTGGAGCTTTTTGAGGAAATCCTTGGATGATTTGTGTTCTTGAAACTTCTTGGGCCCCTTCCCAGCTTTGAGAAGAAACTGTCTTGCTGGACGAACTTGTGGAAATGCTTTCAAACGTCTGAACATTGTACGCGTGCTCTCGCTGTAAACTGATTTCTTCTGAATAGTTCTTCATGTGTGTTACTGTCACGGGAGAATCCATATGCACTTCTGATACTTCAAAAGTCTTTACAGCTTTTCCAGAAGTTGTTAAGCTCTGACTATCTATGCTCTGTAGTTTGTAATCTGAGTGACAAAAAACAAAATATTGGTGATATTAACCTTATGACTAATAAACGATAAATCAATAGCTATGTCTCCAAAGGGAAATCCAGGATGCTGATCACAAACTAGAGTCCAATTCATTCAGCTAAGAAAATCTCTCATGTTCTTTCCTCAAAATATCCAGTAAGTTGTTTGGCAGAAAACAGCATTCATTTAAACAATAGGAAAGTTTACTTGTCCTCTGAAAGTATTCAAGAAGAAGATGAAGAAGAAAATGTGCACTGGAGTTCCAAATGTTGCATTTACAGAATCAGATTCTAGTGCCATTTGCTAGATTGGTGGCATGAAATACGAAGCCAAGAGGAATAAATCAGTAAAAAGATGAGCACAGGACATGCCACAAAAAGTCTTAGATATCCATTCAAAGGATACATTGTTTTTCCTTCCATTACTATAGGTATAGCAGTACTAGATGCTTCTCCAGTGCTATTGTTTTCTATGCACTGATATTGCCCAGCTGGGGACAGACAAGATTCAACATTAATAAGGGTGGTCGTATTCTGAGACTCATCAAAATGAAACATCGGATCTTTCTGTGTCTTTATTAATTGTCCATTTGTGAAGCCACTGGTTCTCTGGTTTAGAAAGACCAGAAACTATTGCTTGAAACTTGTCCATTTCCCCACTGCACTGAAGTGCTAGAAATGGGTTCAAGAAAGATGGGCCTTTGGGGTGTGAGCATAAGCCACTCGGCCGTTTTGATGTAATTTCTTCAACCTTTTTAATGGCCTGGAAAGAAGCACGTCAAATTTTTAAATTGTTTGACTATCAATGACAGTCGAGAGCAAAGATGCAAAGGGGCGAACTTGCCATTTAAAAAATACTCCGTCTCTTGAGAGTTGAATTATTTTAGGTGCACTTGTAAAGACAAAAGAAAACATTTGTCTTTAAGTTTCAGAGTCTTGACGTTTAACTCAAGAAAAAAAAATCCAAACAAAAATGATTAAATAGAATGCTTTATTTCTGAATAATTTACAATTAGCACATTTTTTTAAAAAAAATGACACACTGTACTTTCATAAAGGTTGTGATTTTACGCTGGAATTCCACAGTATGCACAGCAAGTGGCCCCTATTGCACATCTCAAAGGGCGACGAAACAACAAGCCACAACAGAGAGAGACGGCAGGCAATGAGAACAAAGATGACGGTTGCTTGATGAAGTCTGTGGCTGATGGAGTGCTTCAAACCGACAGCACGTACAAGAATAAGGATGAACGGTGGACAGGAAAACAAGCACAAAATGTGTACGGTTGTGCAAGAAATGAGCATTCTTGTCCAACTGTGCTGATAAATATGAAGATAAGCGCCACATAACAATGACAAATGCATCGGGAAACCATGAAGACAACCACATGTGCAAAAAACTTTGCTCCATAATTCACAATGACGAGTGGGAAAATAATAACATAAGACAACACATATGCAACTGTTTAAATGGTCTTACCTCCCAGGCTTAAGGTAGCGGAACATGACACCTTTCCAGCAGAGTTGGATGCTACGCAGGTGTAAAGGCCTTCATCCTCTGGGTAGGCTTCAGCAATCTCCAGCTGGTACGTATCTTCGAACTGAACCATCTTAAAAAATCGTGATATCTTGATCTCCTTGTCCTTAGTATGCCAGGAAACCTTTAGATCTACAGTATTTATATAAAAAAAAGTAGGTTGATCAGAAATTGTATCCCACGCAGATTTGAAGAGACCATTGTTGTACAGAATACGATACAATTTAATTTGAGTTTTACAGTACCCGTCTCAAAGTGCTTCACGCAGAATGGGAACATGTGTAAATTTGAATGCTCATTTCCTCATCTGCCTGAGTGTAGTCTAATACCTTCTGATAGTCAGCTACCGGAGGCATTGGCAGTAGCCGTAGAAAGCAACAACAACTTGCCCTTCAAGCAGAACGGTATCTCAGAGCATTGTGGAACAAGACATATGGCTGCTTTCTTGGCACCAGCCCAAACAGATATAAGATGATGGGGGGAATGAAGATAGAGATTTAAAGGGAGAATCTGTCTACGTACTGCCATTAAACAAGTATAGGTTTTGCCCAATAGCTCAGTTTGTAATTCTTTACCCAGTGGGAAACACAGCCACCCACACAACGTTTTTCAGGAAAGACCTTATACAAGTACCAGTTGCAGTAGTTGATACTTTCAGTGACTCCTGCTGGAAAGCACATGGGAATCGAAGCTCCCTTTGTTCCTCCTCAACAATGTGACTAAGCCAAACATCAGAAGAGCACACAACAGGCAGATTTAGGCTATGGAATCATCATCATAATTCCATTTCATTTGGAGCCTTGTCACTTTGTGGAGACGTCTCAAAGTGCTTCGCAGGATACACTGTAAGAATAGTGTGACTGTGTGTATTTTGTTGGTAATTGTGGCAAACCGTCATGTTCACTGTGTACAGAACTGAGACTCGTAACACTTATTTCAAAGGGGAGCTTTATAGTCAGCAGATAAGTGAAATTTTCTTATCATCCAATTTAGGTTCTATTGAAAGCCAAGTGTCCCCAATGAAAGGATGATGTGCTAATTCATGAAAGCAGACAGTACACCAATTAAGCAACTCTTAAATATTTATATGACAAAAATGTGTTTCCCATTGCAAACCTTGTGGTTGATTAATAAGACAAACATTGTTAACACGCGAAGTACCTGAACCAGTAACACGACACTGGAAGTAAGCGGGTTTTCCCTCAGCAGTGGAAGTACTCTGGATCGGGCTTATGATGGTAGGTGGATAAATGGTCATTTCTGCTTCAGGAGAAGCAACCTCAGGGACTGTTTGTGTTAAAAAAAAACAGAAACTCTGCGTAAACTGCTATGTTTTTGCACAACATAGGATCAAAGCACTGAACTGATCAAAGCAGTTGTTTATTAACTGTGCAATACAGAAGTAAATTTATACATGAACTAATAATTCGCACCTGTTTATTATCATGGGCAGCTTTAAATTTCACAATTTAAATCCGCAGAGAAGTATAACATCATACAGTCGTTAGATAAGCAAAAAGCAGAGGGGAACTATTACAGCAGTTAGTAGTTGGCGCGCAAAGGAATACATTTTATCAAATTTACCTTCGACGTCAAGTGAAGCACCACTAATAGCCACTCCAGCTTCGTTGGATGCTTCGCACTTGTACATGCCTGCATCCTCAGGGAAAACCTCAATTAGTAGCAACGTGTACTGATTCTCATCATGGAGGAACTTGCGTTTAAATCCCGCAGAAAGTTTCTTATCATCTTTGTACCACGATATCTCTAATTTGGGGGTGCCTGTTATCATACCGCAGAAGCGAGCGGGTTCACCTGCTCTCACGGCACACGGTTCCAGCTCAGAAACAAAACAAGGTGGGTCAGGAGCTGAAATGGAACAAAAAAAAGACCAAAAGATTAACATTGCCTTTTCGGTTTCATCTTAGTTCTTTGCCTAGTCTACCTGATTGTTCACTCACCCAAACCCATCTCTTTTGTTAAGGCTTTACTAAGCAACAGCTTGCATTTAATAAACACTATGAGACACTACCTTGGATGGAAGGCGTATATAATACTTATATAGATAAGTGCAAGTTCTTGTTGTTGTGAATGTTGCGTAGCATCTTTGAGTGCTTTCTCAATGCATAATAGATTTTTTTTCGCAAGCACTGCAGTAAAAAAAAACTGGAGAGCAAATGTTTCTGCGGAAATTATTCGCAAAAGTGAATAGTATAATGTACTGAAGAGCTAAATGTCAACAGCAAATATTTATGTTTGGGGAAATTCTGTGCTTTGTGAATGGTCTCCTTCTGCGCTGTAGATTTCTACGTTTCTAGGGAATTGTGTTTGTCTCTTCTACTTGTAAAGTAGCTGGTGAGAAATTGAAGATTTTATTTGCTCTACTTTCTAAGTGAAGAATTGTACAATAGCGGAAAAGAAGTTGCAAGGACCAATGCGATACATACCGTTAACATAGAGTGTCACAGAACTGCGATTTTTTCCAGCAACAAAGGTGTATTCACCGGTGTCGGAAACTCTTGTTTCAGTAATGGTCATGCGATGGACACGCCTTTGTACTATGTATCTGTACCGTTCTTCTAACTGAAAGTTGATCTCAATTCCATCCTTGAGCCACTGAGCTTCCACGTCATCTTCATTGACTTCAAATTCAACGACCGCTCGCTTCTTGTCAAGCACCTAATCAAAAAAAGTCATTCTTTTGTCAGAATAATGTTCGAGAAAATGTATATAAAGTGGAATATTCTGCGTATCTATTGTGCCTTAAAACAGTATGATATACCTCTAGTGTTCGAGCACCGCAAAATGTTCTGGCTCAAGCTGAAAAAAAATGTACCTTAATTTCTCGACTGATAGGTTTTGAGATCTCGATATGTCGAGACTCCACGTACAACGTAGCAGACGATACACTTCCTCCTGCTACGACTGTGTAGCTTCCGGCATCGGATAACTTTACAACAGGAATGGTGAGACGATGGACGAACTTTTCGCTTTGAATCTTCACTCTGCCAACAAAAAAAAAGCAATCGAACTGTAACGGTCCATCTGTGTTTTCATCACATTTATCCAGCAGGTAAACAACAACAACAACAACTGGAATTAATACAGCACCCTTCACACGGGGTAGAGTCTCGGAGCATTTAAAAGGACCGTGAGTCAAATATGTACCTGTCAGAGTGCGAGATTTCGTCTCCATCTTTCATCCACTGCACTGTGATGCCGGGCTCTGAGATTTCACATTCAAAGGTAGCCTTTTTCTTCTCAACAACTTTGATATCTTTGATGTGCTTTCTAAATTCAATGAGACGAGCTGCAGAAGGGAAGCACATTAGGTTGTTAGAATTCGTTAAACGTATAGTTTTAAGGATTTTTTTTTAATATAGAAAAAGACACGCGAACAAATGGATAACTCCAAGTCATTACCTTCCACAAATAACTGCGCTGTTGATGTTGCTGATCCAGCAGTGAAGGCATACTCTGCAGCGTCAGTAAAGTGAATGTTTCGAACGGTGAGAGTGTGTTTGGTTTGCTTGGTCTTTATCTGGCATCTCTCTGTTGATTTGATCTCTTTCCCATTCTTCAGCCATTTGTAAGTAATCCCTTCGTAGTTGACTGTTATCTCAAAGGTAATGGTGTCTTTTTCCTGTGCATTTATGTCCTTCAGCATAGATGTTATTAGGATTGCTAAAGAAAGCAAATTGTACATTATTTGCAGGGGGAAGCTTCACCGACATGTGCGCTCTATTTATTAAAATAATAAAATAATATAATTATTATAATGCAGTTTTATAAATAATGTAATCCTTGGTAATAATAATGATCCTTGCATGTGATATAGCAACTTATCACGTCGTCGAGACGTCTCAAAGCACTTCACAGAATATACTGTAAAGTAGATTCACTATGTATTTTGTGGCAACCATTTGTGCACAACACGTGGTTGCCACAAAATACATGGAGTGAGTGACTCATTTTATTTGGGGGATTGTTGGCCAGGACACCAGGAGAAACTCTCATCTCTTTTTGAATAGCACCATGGGATCTTTAACATACACCTGAACAGGTAGGTGGGACCTCGGTTTAAAGTCTCGTCCGATATTAACTTAAAGTAGCAGATGCAGGGCGTGTAAATAAATGGTGAAGTCTTACGTTTTATTGTCAATGTAGCAGAGACTTTGTCATTTCCACAGATGAAGGTATATTCTGCAGAATCCTGGTGACTGGTATTCATAATAACTAGCTGGTGCAATTTTCCTTGCACAACAACTTTGAACTTGTCACTCATTTCTATTTCCACACCATTCTTCAACCAGGTGGCTGGGACGTTGAAATGTGAGACTTCACACTGAAAGGTGGCAGTTTTGGTCTCTGGGATTTCAATATTCTTCATGGTCTTGGTGATGTGGACAGCTTAATAAATTTGGGGGAAAAGAAAGAAAGCAAACAATGAAAAACGTTGTGATGCAGGAAACAGAAATCTGTTAGGTTGATTGATTTTATTAAATGCTTCCCAAACTGATGTGATAATAATAATAAATAATAATCCTCGCATTTGATATAGCGCCTTAGCGTGTCATTGAGACTTCTCAATGTGCTTTACAGAAAGTGGAGCAACTGTTCACTTTGTGGGCGAAATAAATATAAATATAATATTTAAAGATAGATATTGAGGATTATACACCATTAGGAAATACTTACATTCTACGTAAAGTTTCGCTTTGCAGTCAAGCTGCCCGACAACTGCAGAATAGTCGCCAGCATCTACAGGAGTGACGTTCTCCAGCACTAGTTTGTGAACTTTCCTTTCAGAAATGACTTTGCAGTGATCGTTTGACTTGAGTTCTATGTTGTTGAACATCCATTTCACAGGGATATTATCGTGCGACAGATTAAGTTCAAAAGTAGCAGTGCCATTTTCCATGGCAGTCGTATCCCTTGGTTTCTTCACTATCTTGATAACTATTGTCAGAAAAATAAAGTATGATTTTAAATCCTTCCCGTCCCAAAGCAATGCATGCAATAATGCCAAAATATATACAAAATATTTGTTTTTAATTGCAACTATGCAATTTAATATATCTGTGGTTATATTATTCAATTTATAGTTAACACATATGAAAACAACCAATTAATGCAAAATGTGATTTTTATCTATTTCTGTAATTGGTCATCACTTAGCAGCACTTGAGCCCCTCGAACCTGTTCCAACATTCTATAAGATCATGGTTGATCTGTACCTCAAGTTCAATTACGCACCCTTGCCCCCGTATCCCTTAATACCCTGCTTAACAAATAGTGGTTACTTACTTTCCACATGAAGCCTGGCATTGGCTGACAATCTGCCGAGTTTGAAGCTGTAGACAGATTCATCGATCATTACACACTTCTTAATTTTGAGAGTATGCACAAATCCTTGTACAGTAATCTCGTATTTGGCATTAGACTTGAGTTCTTCCCCGTTTTTGATCCACTGGGCTCCAGACACGTCTGGATGTGTAAGTTCTAAGGTAAAAACCGCTTCCTGGGTTTCTGTCACCGTCTGGTTCTTCAAAGTCTTCTTTATCTTGACAGCTGCACGAAGACATCATCAACAATGCAATTGATTTGACGGAAGCAATTTTAATGATTGTATAATGCGTATTTAGGCCATCGTTTCAAGATTTTGCAAGTCAAATTCTCATTTACAAAATAGAAATCGGGTTTGAAAATTCTTGGTCGGTAAAGAATATGGAGTGATAGTTTCACCAATGGCTCAGTGGATAGAATACAGACAAGGAAGATCCCAGGTTGATCTCTTATCTTTGACTAAATCAGCGCATCTCAACCCTGGGCTGGTTGGAGCACTACAATCTAGGGTAGTTGGAGCAAACATTAGCCAGGGATCACAGATGTCAGGTGAGGGCTGGATTAGGATCAGCTGTTGTTAGATCAAGGAACGTACTGGTTCCTCAGGACAGGTTAATGACTTGGGTGAGTAACTGCAGATACACTGCCACTTGTGGGACTCACTCCACAAGTGAGTCACCAATTCTTATAATAATAATAATCCTTGCTTATGATATGGCACCTTATCAAGTCGGAAGTCTCAAAGCGCTTCACAGGATATACTGTAAAGTGGAGTGACTGCGTGTTTTGTGGGTGAGACCGGCAGCTGATTGCACACAGCAATATTTCCCAAACAGCCATGGAGTGAGTGACCAATTTTATTTCTGGGATTGGTGGTCAGGACATCGGGAGAGAGAAAGTTCCTTCTCTTTTCAAATAGTGCCACAGAATCTTTAAAGTCCCCCTGATCAGGCAGATGGGGCATTGGTTTAACGTCTCACCCGAAGGACTATCGAAGATTAAGAATAAATGAGAAAACTAAAGGCATGAAAAAACAGCAATATGAAACGTATCAAGCGTGCTCGAAACCATGCAACCAAAATAAGCCTTTAATCTTATTGCAGTCATAAATCTGCTGTGTAATGGTACTTTAGAGATGGTGACGACATTTTATGGCTGGCAACAGACTGATTCATGTTGCTAAAAACTTGAGACGCTTCAATCGTGAAAGCAATATTTAGGAATGAAATAGTCCAATGAGTTTAATCCCTCATCAACATCAAGGGAATTTCAATCGAGTCTGAGGGAAGTGACACACTTGATCTAATGATGAATATTTAAAGCATCTTCTATACTTGGAATAATCATTAAAAAGTAACCAAAGCATTGTTTAAAACAAGTTTTCTTCCATATTCCACAAATGGAGCGCATAGGAGACTAAATATATCAACATTTTGCATTTCAATTTGCAGATTGAATTATAAATGAAAAAAAAATGAACAGGAAATGTTTCAAGTGACATCTCCATATCTCAACCAAGTGTCCAGACATAAATGCACCTCCTTTATTCTTTTAATACTGACCTTCAACCTTCAGTTGAGCAGATGTCTTAGAGGTTGCAATTTGGTATGAATATTCAGCTGAATCTTCAGACTTAGTGACCTCAAATATGAGACGTCTCCTAACTCCATCTTCTTCGCTTCGGATCATATTAGTGAAATTTATTGACTTGCCATCCTTCAGCCATGTTCCCTCAGCGTATGCATTGGCAACTTCACATTCAAAGATCGCTTGCTGTGATTCAGCTACAGTTTGGTCCTTAAGAGGTTTGCTGATAGCACCACCTACAGGAGTACACACATGGTCGAATGAAGCAAAATATCTTTCCCGATAGAATCATTAACAATACACCAGGACCTCCTCAATACAAATTTTAACAACGCTTTTCTCTAGATTTGAACTCAAACTTCATTTCAAGTATTTTACTTGTAAACTTCCACTTCGAAACGAACAGGAGCCATCGCAACCATTTTCAGGCAAACTCCGTACCTGAGACTGTCAGGTTTGCTTTTGAGGTCTTGTCACCAGCAGAGAATGTGTATTCTCCCTCCTCGTCTTTCATTACGTTCAGCAGAATCAGCTTGTAGATTTTGCCGCGTGCTTCCAGCTTGAATTTGGGACCCGGTCTGAGTTCTTGGCTTCGGAACATCCACGCCACATCAATCCCCGGGTGAGACAACTCGGCCTCAAACGTCACATTCTGCGTCTCGGTGCAGGTCACGCTTTTGAGTCCTCGAACAATTGTGATTCCTATTTAGACCGAAAGGGCAGACATTCAGAAAACAACAACAACAACTTGCATTTATAATAGCGTCCCCTCACGCCAGGGTAGCGTCCCAGAGCGCTTGACAGTGTCGGAGCACGTTACCGAGCCAGGGGGTAGGTGACCGTAGACACGGTCGAATAGGAAGAGTTTCAAGCCCGACCTGAAGATGGGGGTGGAAGGGGCCAAGGCGGAGGGTTAAAACAAAGTGTTAATCCCCCCCAAAAAAAAATCTATCAAGCAAATCCCTCAAGCAATTTTATATATAAACGGGGGCACCTACGTTCAACACTGACGTTGCAGCTAGTTTCAGCTTTGCCAATGACGAGCTTGTAACACCCTTCATCAGAGGCAAATGTCCTGCTGATCGCCAGCCGCTGCTTAGAACCTTTGGCCACACTCTGCAACCGGTCATTCATCTGAATCTGTTCGTCATTAAAGAACCACTTGACGGAAGTAATATGTGCAACTGAGACTTTGCATTCTAAGACTGCCTTTGTTCCTTCAACAACGTTAAGATCTTTAAGGGGGACCACAATATCGACACCTGAAGAGAGCGAATAAAGAGTGAATTGTTAATATTCGTACATATGGTAACAATTGTACCTTATGGTACAAAAGGATATTCATTTCTATATATATATATATACATACGCACACACAGGCTGACCAAAAAGTCATTACAATGTCTAATAAGTCTTAAAGAAATGAGGATTTTTTTTAGGTAATAGGTACTTATCATAACTTTTTGGTTATATATAATATGTATATGAGTACTTACACTGTACGCTTAAACGTCCAGATGTTGAGAGGTCAAAATCACAGATGTGAAATGAATAGGTGCCAGCATCATCTTTTATGGCATCCTCGATGAGCAACATATGCGAAGCTTTGTCAATCACAATGTGAATACGCTCATTCGCCTGGATTTCACAGCCGTCCTTCTTCCAGACACCTTCAACGTTCTCTTGAGAGAATTTCGCTTCAAATTGGGCAATATCTCCCTCACAAATTGTCTGGTCTGCAAGGCCGTGGAGGATTGTCACAGCACGTGCTACAAAGTAAGAAAAATGGACACACGTCAATAACCCCAAGTGATATTTCTAAATCCAGATTCCTTAAATTCACGGATAGCTTTAATTTTGTTGCATAATTTCTGCGTTATTTAAACTCATGGCTTTGTGCCTCTAAGATATATTGTAGAAAATGCACGAGTCAATTCATGCTCTGCTCGGTGACTTTCTTTCGCATCCAAACAGTTAACTTACGTCTCATCTTCAGAGTGCAACTTGTTCTTTTGCCGTCGACGACAAAGCTGTACGAACCCTGATCGTCCTTTGCAACATCCTTAACGGTAAGAAGGTGACGGCCACGACGAGAAGAAATGTAGTACTTGCCGCTGTTGTGGATCTCGACGTCTCCTTTGTACCATTTACCTTCCGCATCTTCGCTTGAGAAGGCACATTCCAAATCACCTGAGAAGGATTCCGAAACTTCCAAGTCCGAGAGCTCAGTGATGAACTCGTGAACAGTCGCTGCATAAACAAGAAGGTTTTGCTGGTTAAGCAACCACAATACGACACCAGTCTTCCAACATTGCACCACAATTCCTTTCTCCAATAAGCTAGGAAAATGATTATCAAGGGGTTTCACTGGGAGCAAAGAACAGGTAAAGTGCCCCACCTACTTTCCTATATATCTCATTACTCACTCCGCAGTAAATTAAAATGAACTTCGATGCTAGAAAGTGGACTCTTTGCAAATAATAAATATACAACTTCTCACTCAGCACAATGTGAAAGAAATAAACAGTTCACAGTTTTTCGACGAAATAATTGGAACAAAACGGTACGATGTTTGATCACTGTTTGACAATTTAAGGCGATTACATTTATTGCTCTATTCTTGACAATTTTCTACTGCTTACCTTCAACAATAAGCTTGGCTGTTGATTGTATAGAATTATCTTCAACAAGCGCGCAAGTGTATTCTGCGGCGTCACTCATTTCAATACCCAAAACAGATAGGAAATGAATTCTCCGGTCCGAATGTGTTCGATATTTTTCACTGGTAGAGATGCTCACTCCATTCTTAAACCATTCCACCTTGAAGAATGGTTCCGACAATTCACACTCAAACGCTGCCATTGTGCTGTTCTCTTTTGTATGAACGTTGTGCAGCTCCTGAGTAAATGTAATGACTTGTTTGGCTGAAAAAAAGAAATAAACTGTCGTCATCGGGCAACAAAACAAAAAAAATTGTGATTTTAGTCTTGCCTTGCATCACGAAATATCCATATCAACCTGTCCGCTTCCACCGCTCAGCAGACTCCCTGCTTTTCACCCTCCCTGATCCCAACCCCCAACCACCCCCCCACAACCCTGCACCGGTCCAATTCCCTGACTGTCCAGCGCCTTGGGACGTCCTCTCGACGGGAAAGGGGCTAAGCAAATGTAATTTTGTTTTGGATTGTACCTTGTACGAGCAGGAAAGCGTGGCTTGAGATTTCTCCAGCCACATTGATGGCTTTCACCATGATACTGGCTGAATCGTCGGGTGTAACATCTCGGATCACAAGTTCACAGACATTGTCTTCAGGCCAGTACCAGTAGATTCGTTCAGTCTTTTCTATCTTAACGCCATTCTTAAACCACTGGCATTCGGGATCTGGCCTGCCCACCACTCTGACATGGAAACGAGCATCATCTCCATGAGCGACTGTCTGACTCTGAATGCGCTCCAAGATCTTGGGGGCTTCCATACTGGGCGATAACTGAATTCTGTCTGGTTTGAAGGTTGGGATGGTCACAGTGCCTTCAGGAAGTGGTGGTTTCTTTTCCTCCTCGGGCACCTCTTTGGTCCAGTGAAGAAGTTCGTCCTTCCTTTTTCTTAACATATCTTCATAGGCCTCGTCCTTTCTGCGCGACTTGAGCTCAACTGCTGTAATAGCTTCATAATAACCCTCCTCCTTTCTACGCTTGAACTTGCTGCGTAGTTCTTCAGTTTCCTCTGTGAGTTTCTCGTGAAATATTCTTTCAGCCTTTTTAAGCTTCACGATTTCTTTGCTCTTTGCATCAGCTTGTTTCTCTACCTTTACCACTTCAAAGAATGGCTTGTTTATATCTGAGAGTCCCATTTCGATTCTCTGTTCTGGGGCTCGACGGAGGATAGACCTGAAATCTTCTCTTTGTGTTACTTCCAGTTTAACGGTATGTTCGACAACCCCCTTGGGATTTTCAGCCGTTATCTTGACATCGCCCGAATCATACGATTTACAATCGACAATTTCCAAGTAATAGATACCATCATAACGGATTCGGAACCGTTTGCTCTTGCGAATGAGTTGCCCGTTGAGGTACCAGTTGACTTTGGGATATGGATACCCTGTGACACGGCAACGATAACGTGCGGTTTCTAATTCCAAAACTCTCGCCGGTTCCGGGAACAAAACGATTTCGGGTTTTGTTTGTTCTTTTCCGAGGTCTTCGGAAACACCTGTCAGCGCACCTTCATGAGCTATTCTTTCAAGTTCTTCAATCCGCTGCATTCCTCTTCTGCCCTCGGGTAACTGAGACTCTTCAACGAGGCTCTTTTCGTCTTTTACGATAAGAGTAGCTGACGTCTGATCGACACCGTACTTGTTCGTAGCTCTGCAGGTGATGATACCACTGTCCCTGGGATACGCTATCTCGTAGTCAAGGCTGCAATATCCAAATTCATTGATCATGCGCAGTCGGTTAGCTGCAGCAAGAGGTTTGCTGTCATGCAACCACTCCACCACCATCGTTGGGTCGCCAATTGGTGTGAGTCGGCATTCGAAGTGAGCTGGCGAGAAATGTTTGAGTCTAACAGAAGTCGTCTTCTTCTTGAAATGGGGTTTCTGTTGTTTCTCCTTATCATACAAGTCACCCTCTTCCCACTGCTCTTGCCCGTAGCGGAGGTGGAGGGGCTCGAGCTCAGGAGCGGATATCTCTTTAGCTTTGTATGTTCCTTTGGGAATGATTAGCCTGCGTTCTGGCTCAGGTTCAGAAAACTCAAGTTCAACATTGAGTTTACACCTGGTTGTGTCTCGACCTGCTTTATTGATGGCAGTAGCAGTGTACCAGGCAGCATCGTAACTAGCTGCGGACTGTATTTTAAGTGCACCTTCTCCCTTGGCGCCTTCAATTCTAAAAGTGCAAGAAAAAGAGATGTTAAATTAGAGCAAACCCCATTTACCCACGATTCATTTACCACCAACAACTGTTTTCCTTTGCGGTGCACTTACTTAATGTTTGGGTACTTGTGCGGTGCAATAATCTCGCTATTTTTGAGCCACACAATGTCAGGGTTCGGATTCCCGGCTGCTTTTACTGACATTGCAACAGGCGTCCCCTCTTTAACACTGACGTTTTTCAATTTCTCCACAAACTGCGGTTTCACTAAATGTTCCTTAGCTGTAAAGAAAAAGATAAGTTATTATTGTTATTATTAAAAAAAATTGCAAACGGATTTAAAATGTACCTATTTAAAAGTAGACACTAGAATACATTTGCTCCAAGTCCGCACAGGACTGAAATAACACCTGTCTTACCTTCTACGCTGAGTGTCATGGAAACTGAGCTTTTGCCACCTCTGTTCTGAGCTACAACAATCCATTCGCCAGAATCGCTTGGCAGAGCGGGCACGATGATCAGGGACTGAATCCCGTCTTCCTTTACTACAATTTTGTGAGTATAATCGTTGACAACCTGACTTCCTGCGATAGAAAGAGTTCTCAAGTTATACCACTATTTTACCCTGATTAAGAAATGATCTGCAAAGTTACTTCTATCCACTTTTCAGCGCCTTGCGATGTCCTCCCGACATGAAGGGCGCTACACGAATGTAATTTGCTGCTGTTGTTTTAAGTGTACTGTTCTTACCATTGTGAAACCATAATGTCTCCGGCATGGGTCTGCCAACAACCTTGAGGTCAAATCTAGCCGTCTGTCCCTCGCAACATTTGAATGACGTGGGTTTCAGCACAAACACAGGTTTGTATAGTCTCTCCAGCTGACTCTCGTCTGTGTCTTCCAGCCTTCGTGCAGGTGAGCGGCTTGGCGATCGCGGAGACACAGAACTAAAGGGAGGAGAAAGGCGTTAAACGGAATCTTTTATATTGTGAATCACTCGCAAATTAGACGTTTTCAAAACAAAAGTGGACGCAGGATTCAAGATATCAAACAGAGCATACCGCATTCTCTTCATTATTTCCGTGGTTGGCAGGTAAGCGTGGCCTATTGGAGTCCCAACGGGTTCAATGAAGAGCTTTCCTGAACAGATAGCATTTCCTTTGATGTTGCTGGCAAATACAGTGTAGATCCCCTCGTCCTCAGGCACAGTTGCAGCAATATGGAGACTGGCCTTGCCATCCTCAGTAATCTCCATGTGGTAATGGCTTCCTTGTCTGATACGCCGTCCATCTTTAAACCACGCGACCTATGAAAAAGGCAATGGATTAATCTCACAATCAAATGACTGCAGAAACTAATCAAAATCTCTGGTGCTTTATGTGTAACGTCCCAAGGGATTTTTAAATCCTACTTCCATATTAATTGCTGTACCTAAACACCAACACATTTGAATGAAATGTTGCCTTATTAAGTCCGCTTGTTTTAGAGTATAATTGCTTACCTTGGGCAATGGGTAACCAGAGAGCTTGCAGTGAAATGCAGCCACCCTTCCCTCAAGAATTCTGTAGCTTTTCACCGCTGAGTCAAATCCAGGTTCAATAGATTCATCTTGCGAAAAATCCATGGACATTACTTCACCATCTTCCTCAAGAAGTTCCTCCAGAGTAATCTTAATGATTCGGAATTCAATTTCTTTAATAAGTCTTTCTTCAAATGCAGAAATGTGATATTCCTGGAGAAAGCAAATACATCTATTATAGTTGATAAACTTTTGAAGCTTTGTTAAGCAGCCAATACGTCAAATAGAAGGAACAAGGCAACATACATCTAAATAAATACTTTCAACTGGAGTCAGAGCATGAAAATATATGCATGTTGGCAAAATTATCAGCAGAACATCTACTTTGAAACTACGTTTCTTAAACAAACTGTTCATTGGTTGAGGCCAGTCAAAAGACACATAAAGCTGTGTGTCTTTGCGTGAAGGCTTCAAGGATTTGTGTGCTATTGGCTGCCGCTATTGGCTGAGAGGTCTAGAAGACGTGATAAGGCGCGGTATCAAATGCAAGGATTAATATTATTAAATAATTGCACAAAATGCACACTACTTTATTGTGAAAATTGTCTTTACTTTCAGAGCAGTGCAAACAAGCAAGGCAATCTGATGTCGGTATTCAGCAGATTTCTCTCCCCGTTTGGAGGAACTCAATTTGAGTTGAGTCTCACCTGCTCTTCAGTCACAGTTTTCATCATCACTGAACTTTTTCCCATTTTCTTTCTGATTAGTATTTGTTCTTTGTCATATTCAGTCATCGCAATGATAGGCGCTACTTCTGCAACTTTGGGTTCTTGGACATACTGTGTAGATATTTCTGTCCGATATGTTACTTCCTGGTGCTGCTTCATGTAAACTTCGTACTCATCTAGAAATAAATGAAATAAGAATTAAAGCAGCCTGCAGGTTACAGAAACGTTGCTATCTATTTAACCAATCATGAAAACAAAAGATCAAGATGACACAAATATTTTAAATGCATACAGTACTTCTAGTTTGAAACAAAGAATGAAATTACAAATTTTAAAGCTTACGCTTCAAAATAAGGCAAATTATATAACCATTCATCAGCTAAAAAGGTATTTTTTTTTAAAAGAAAAATCTTTTAAGAATTTGGTTTCTCTTTGGTAATTAAATCTCAACTCAACGTGGGAAATTTAGCTTGCAGACAATATACGCTTTTATCAATGGTGTTGGGATGGCGACATACCTTCCTCCAATAATTGAGCTGAAGCAGAAACTTCTCCTTGTTGGTTGCGAGCAACAATGGAATATTCACCAGCATCATCTGCAAAGGTCATGGAGATCTCCAGCTGGCATTCTCCAGTTTCCTTGTTGTACCCACTTTATATCTGCGGAGAAACAAGACGCTTTTCATTGAAAGCTCCAGCGGAATGGCACCTTCACTATTCCAAGCAAAAGAAAAATGTTTATTTTCGCTGGGACAACCATCCGAAGGAATAATACTGCTCTGTGGTTGTTTTAAGTATTTTGTCCTTATCGTAAAGGAATTAAATCTGAATATTAAGTGCATCCAAGTTGTGCTGTTATAATCATTTTTAGAAGGATTATTCAGTAATGTTTTAAAAACAATAATTTGTCGTCTAGAACAATGTCTTTTTCTGATCAGTTAACATTTATTGCCTACAAGTACACAGATATCAGACTTTTACTGTATCTCCTGTGAAGCGCTTTGAGACATCTTCCTGATGTGAAAAGCGCTATCTCAAAGGAAAGGATTATTATTACGGTACTTTCTGTTCCAATTTAATTCATTGAAAGATAACAGCGATGTAAATTAGCCGTGACAGAAAAATGGCTGCAAATGAGAATTCAGCTTCTGCTGAGCAGGTACCTGTAACCGGTAGTTAGTGGAATTCCAGCTTTTCTCCAGTAAACATGTGGTTTGGGGCTGCCACCAATTTGACAATCGAAAATGACACTTCCACCTTCAATCAGCTTTTGCACTGTTGGATTCCTGATAAAGAACGGAGCGGTTCCAGGCACAGCATCAGCTGATTCAGGTTTAGTACTGGGCTCTGTAATTTCCACCCTCATTTCAACCCTAGAGAGAAGCAAATGTTTATCTGATATGAGATATCAACTGATGATAAATCCATAGGAACGGGTGATCTATTTTGCACCTTTCGTTTTTATTTTTCTGCACTATTCAACGATGAATAGAAAGTTAAATATATGACCAAGCAATGTTTTAAAGATATCTTAGATTAAAAATATAGAGAAATAAGAATTACTGAACACACAGCAAACGGGATCAACTGAATACCACTATTCTTATGGGAATATTTAAAGACTGTACGTACCTTTTCCCTTCGGCAGTGATTTGTTCAGTCGCAACGAAACTTTCCTCTCTGCTTTCAATCTCTTCTGAAACTACAGACACACAAAAAACCACACACAAACACAAACGGAAACGAATCAGTTCAAGACGCCTCGATTTGGAAATGTTTCAGCGCATTTTCACCAGCTTCGTTTGACCTCTAACGCTAACTAAATCCTTACCTTGAACAAGAAGATAGCAAGAGGTATTGATGGTGCCAGCTTCATTCGTGGCGGTGCATGTGAAGCGGCCACTATCTTCTGCAAAGGCCTCCCTGATTGTGAGACGGGCAACGCCCGCTTCAAAGATGATTTGGAAGTCAATGGAGTTTTCAATGCGATAGTCCTCTCTGAACCACATCACTGCTGGGGTCGGGTGTCCCGAGATCTCACACTCTAGGGTCACAGATTCACCTTCTACCACAGTCATATTTTTCAAACCCTGTAAAAAAAAATATATATGAATATATAAATAAATATATAACCCACCCTTCTAAATTCCCAGCTAGGTGGAAGGCCGAGATGTAAAAAGCAAGCAGAATAAAAATGCCATCAATTAGAAAAAAAAGGTATTTCATTCAAAGGAATCACTCACACAAACTATGCTTGGTGATGTAAGCGGAACCTCTATTGGAACAGCCACAGCAACTGGTTCTGTGACCTGGAGAAACAAAAGCATTGCACTTGTTAACCTCCTATAATGCGAGTTGTAGTGAACATTGAGGAGAGCAACACCATCTATTGAAGCGCTGGACAGAAAAGACCTTCCTGCGGAAGTCTCACCACTTCACACACTGCCACACCACTGTGCTATTGTTATTATGTTTAGAGTTCTATCATGTTATTCTATTCAGCAAAGGTTTCCAAGGGGGGAGGGAGGGAGGGGTAAGATGGAAATGTTGTTACTTTTGATCTCAATGAGAAATTGAGAGTGGACAGGTATGATCAGTGTTAATCTGTGGGGAGCGCACCAAAAGTTAGAGGATATGGGGGTAAGACTGCTTCGTAGTGAACAAACCTGGACTTCTGCTCTGTAGTGATCTTCGACTTCAAGCTCAGCTTTGTGTGAGGCTGAAACACTTAAATCTAGATGTCTGAGCCTTTGAGAATCAACACGTGTCTCATACATGTCCGTTCGTTCTCTGAAAGGAGGCTGGGGAGAGACGCTGCCCTCTGTCACGTATCTGGCCTCTTTTAACAGTGGAGGTTTCACTGCCTTGGTAACCTTCAGGGCAGAAGATGCAGCCAATTCTTTTTCCAGAGTAACCAATGCAGTTCCTGCTATAGAAACCTAACCGAGCCAAAAGAATAAAGTTATTTCATTTCATGGTATTTTTTTTTAAAAAAAGTTACCGGCTGCAAGGACAGGGGGTGGGATTACTGTGTTAGCTGAATTAGGATGCCTTTTGAGGGAAATATTGTGTGAGTATGGAAATGAAGTGAATAACGACAAAAAAGAAAGTGCAAGAAGGAACGGTTCAGAAAGACATTTAGGTAGTGCTGAAAGTTTCACCCAGAGAGAGAAAGAGAGAGAGAGAGATCCTATGAATAAGAAGCGTTAGGTTCGAAAAATTTCAGTTAATATCCAAAAATGTGTTAAATAAAATCTCTATTAGTAGATACGGTGAAGGTCAAAACATGTATTAATGAAAAGATGTAAAATGAATGAAACAAAGAGTGCAAGAAAAGCATCAATACAAAAAGATGCCTTTTGAAAACTCCAAGATAGAGACATCAAAAAGTTGAACACTGTAATGCCAGGCAAATATCAACATCTAGTGTCAATTCTGTGCCACCATGGTGCAATAGGACTCTGTTCATGTATCCTTAATAATCATTTGTAACTCGTTCCTAAAATAACACCAATGAAAAAACATCCTCTTCACTCCAGCCCCCAGCTCGAGTGCAAATCATTCACCGTCCAGCACACTGGGAACGTCCTCCCGACGTCAAAGGCGCTCTATAAATGCGATTTGTTGTTGCTGTTGTTCAGTTGCTTTCCATAAGATAAAGCAAAACAATGTGGCAAAACGTAATGTATTTCTTCTATGTTCTATCTTGGAATCTGGTCACTATCTCTAAATACTGTATTCCTTTTTTTTTACTGCTGGCCATCAATAGCTGTATCATTCACCCCATTAGTACATCTGTCATTACTAATTCTACATTCCCTTCAATGCTCAGATAAAATAAACTCAGTGCAGGAGAATTAGCGGCTATATACGGTTGCTTTCCTAAATAGGCAATGCTATATTTTTCTCGGAGCAGCTTTTAGATTTCTGCCAATTATATCAATGGCCTCTATTTATAGTCCTGTTTGTTTGCCTGGCATACAGAAATTTGGCCCTTACCTCTTGGATTGGTTCTGGTTTGGCTACAGTGATTTTTGAAACAGTGAAGTGAGGAATTGGGCTACTGCAAAGTTTGTGGTCCAGATGTGCTGTGGATTCAGATGTTCTTTCAATCTACAGCAACCAAAACAATTGCTCTTTATTAGGTTACATTTCAGCATGTGACTGATAATAGATTTGCAAAAAAAAAAAAGGCTCATCAAAATGCCCGTCATGGTTAGAAGGAATAACAGAGATTCTTTGTTAATGTTAGCTGATTGTTTTATGAGTCAAATGAAGTCTAACCTGTGAAATGCGTGTTTCAGCATGTTCGCCAAAGGAAATTTTTGTAGGAGTTGGCACAATAACTGTCTCTTTTCTGACAGTTGTGGTGACAACTTGTTGCTTGGCAGGGGCAGTTGGTTTTGCAGCGAGAAGCTGAGTGGTGCGTGATACACCGCTCTGTGCATAGTCATACTCCAAAGATGTCTCCTCTGTGCGCACTCCTTCAGCATACACAGGTTGTCTAGTACGTGCCTGATCCACAGCAGCCAATACTTTAGCCACAGCTTCAGCCTTTTTGCCAACCTCAATCTGCAGACAACAAGGACTAAGTCTGCGAGAGCAATCATAGTCTAATCTTTTATTGCACAAGATTAACTATGACTTTTAAAAGCAATACCATCTGGGCTTTGTCAATGGGACATCCTCCCGATGTAAAACAACGACACGTTACGTTTGTATAGCGCCTTTCACGTCGGGAGGATGTCCGAAGGCTCGGGACTATACAAATGTAACTTGTTATCATCCTCGTTGTTGGATTTGTCTTTCCAAAGAATTTTTCAGAACATAGATTTTGCTTCCGTTAGTTTACATTGGGCTGTTTAAAGTTGTTTTGGTTTAAAAGTTGGCAAATTCACCAATCCAAAATATAATTTTTAAACAGTCTTTTTTTAAAAAAATTAAGAAAAACTGAGGGGTTTTGGTCCATGTTTCCAATAAAAAAAAATGAAGGTGTATAAAAAAAATTGGTATTGCTTTTGGCAGCAAAATGCACAATACACAGAAACACATTTGACACTCCAATTGATATTTTGTGCAAAATCGTCTAAAAAATTGCACAACAACTGCATGCACAAATGGCTCACAATGGATAGGAATGTACAGGTGAAACTAGGTGGTTTAAGGATGTGAAAACTATCAAGGTTCCTCGCGTGAATGTGACTGTGAAATATATTGCGAGCCTGTGGTTGGTGGGTCGAAAAAAGGTGCGAGTTAAAATGGGTTGGGAGAGTTCAGACTACCTGATCCTGAAATGGTTGTGCTTGTATTGTAGACTCATGTTTCTCTGCGATACTTCTTTCTGCGTTGGTGGCAGTGATCGCTGACGCTCTCGCTCTGGCTTGCTCAACCGCGGCAAGTACAGTAGCTAAAGCTGTTGTTTTCTCTAGATCATGCGGTGTCTGAATTGTTTTCACAGCAAAATAGATTTATTTTGCATATAGGACACGTAACTAAACATTAAACAGTCTCCAGGCTTCCTCTCACATTCAAATCTTTGTATTGACCTTCCGAAGAAGGCATACAGGTGATATCCAAAATGCAGATGCAAGTATGTACGTACACATTAAAGGAACAATCAAAATCGTTTACACTCTCAAGTCTTAACAACAAATACACGTGGTTTTCTAACACACTCAAGCAGGGTCTGGTTTATTTCGAATTGATCCATTTTAATCCACCTTTAATGTGGCTTGAAAATGGATCCGTTCTGTTACATCTGGGCCCAAAGGCTCCAAACAAAACCAGATTAGAACTTATCTGGATCACTAAAAAAAAACTGCTACTTCTGCTGGTCAGAGCTGGGTCATGCTTGATGAAAATGCAATGACAACAACAACAAAAAAAAAGGTCCTCACCTCTTTGCCGGCAACCACAGCGCCAACACCAGCACCAGCACCGGAAGCTCTGGATATTTCAGTAGCTCCATCGACCATGGTGACTCCAGCAACTCGGACACCTCCAGCCGTCATGGAAAGCCCAGCAGCCCTGGCAGCTCCTGATACTTCAGTCGTTCGGACACCTCCAGAAACCATGGATACAGTAGTGGTTCTGATAGCACCAGCAGAACCGACAGAACCGCCAATGCTGGCAGCACTGACACCACCACCTCCACCGCCAATTCTGGCAGCACTGACGCCACCACCATCAACACCACCACCAATACTGGTAGCACTGAAACCACCACCAATACTGGTAGCACTGAAACCACCACCAATACTGGTAGCACTGACACCACCACCAATACTGGTAGCACTGACACCACCACCAATACTGGTAGCACTGACACCACCACCAATACTGGTAGCACTGACGCCACCACCAATACTGGCAGCACTGACACCACCACCAATACTGGCAGCACTGACACCACCACCAATACTGGCAGCACTGACACCACCACCAATACTGGCAGCACTGACACCACCACCAATACTGGTAGCACTGAAACCACCACCACCACTGCTAATACTGGTAGCACTGAAACCACCTCCACCACCGCTAATACTGGTAGAACTGAAACCACCGCCAATCCGAGCACCACCAGCAGAACTAGCAGCACCAGCAGCCATGGAAATTCCTTCAGCCATGGCAATTCCTCCTCCAGCCCCAGCCACTCCGGTGATGAACGTCTGTCCGTGCAAACCGTATCTCCCCTCCCACTTTTCTTCTCTGTGTATCTGAGTGCTACTTGTTGTTGTGGTCAGCCTGCTTTCTCTCATCCTCGATTCGCTTGCGGAAACGTAATCTTCCTGCTTCCAAGGAGGTAACGATTCTGAGGTGGCGGTCGCTGACACCGTCTGAGACTTGCGCATCAAGAGGGGCGATTTAACGGACCTGATAGGTGACGTGGAGAGTCTTCCAGCTGGAGACACAGAGCTGTAGCAAATACAGTTTTTTAATTTTTTTTATTGTCGTTTGGAAACAAAGATGTAATCAATAGGCAAAATTGTCAATTATATGCATCAGTTTCTGACATCGAACTATTGAGAGCTCCGAGACACCATCCGGCGTGAAGGGCATTATATAAACGCAAATTGTTGTTGTTGCATCAAAGAAGTACCAAATAATAACTTTTGCTTGTCTGCATCAATAGAATAATAATTCTTGCGTTTTATAGAGCGCCCAGAATGCCCAAATGTATACACTTCACAATTAATTGCTGCCACGCAGAACTTGGTATCTGCAGGCAAACATGGCAGTCAATTTGGACTCAACAATCTCCTACGGGTCACAAAGTGAATCACCAACATATCTGGAAGATTATATTGGTGATAGACTGGAGAGTAGCTCCCTTCTCTTTTTGCACAGTGCCATAGGATCTTTAACGTACACCAGAATAGATGACAGGACCTTGGTTTAATGTTTCAACTGAACGATGGCACCTCTAACATTTCAGCCAAACTCAGTATTTCAGCGGAGTCTCAGCCTTGACTATGATTCCTGACGTGGGTCTTGAACCCACAACCTATTAACCCAGATGTGGGAATGCTACCACAGAGCGAAGTATTGACAACTTCGCAGACGTTACTGCATTTCCCTAATGGTAATGGCACTATGGACAAAAGGGAAAGAAATAATACAATTGGATATCCATAGTGCCCTCTCATTTGCAGATCAATTTCATGGCACGAATTCAGCAGGACTTGTCGTGGCATTCGCAGCCACCAGATGGCACCATCATCCTTAAGATCCGGCCAGAATAAAGACGGTGAAAAAAANTCTCATTGAGCTTCCACGCCTCACCGTGTTTAACTCTAAATAAAATCCGAAGGAGCTGAAAGGGAGGAACGCAGTTTTCATCCCATAACTAAACATTTAGTATTCGAACTCATGGTCTAGGCTTACGCTCCAATGAAGTGCTGGGGGAGCATTGCATTGTCAGAGATGCCGTCCTTCGGGTGAGATATTAAACTGAGGTCTCTCTGGGAGATATTAAAACTGTGGTCTATCTGCCTGTTCAGGTGGGTGTTAAAGATCACATGGCACCACTCGAAGGGAGTTTCTTCCAGGATCTCAGCTAACAATTCCTCAGATTATTATTATTATTATTAGATTAAATTAGCTATTCAGTTCATGGCTGTTTTGGGGACATTGCTGTGCAAGTCACTACATATTCCAGAATATCTCAACGAGCTGATAAGGTGCTCTATCAATTGCAAGGATTATTGTTTTACAATTCCTTACCGAACAGGTGAAGGTCCTGGTGCTCTGACATGGCGGACGGGAGATGGGGATTGTTGGCGGGCAGCTTGCACTTTGCCAACAGCAGTTGTGGGCGTGGGCGACATGGACGTGGGCTTTGGTGGAACACGTGGAGGTGTCTTATGGTGCAAGTGCTGCACCACCAGCCTGCCACCGACCACCATTTCGACAGTTCCAGAAGATTTCTCTTCATAGTGAGCTTCCATTTTCTGAAACGCAAATGAAGGCTTAGAAACCGCGCCACCCGTCTGTCCGATTAGAACAATGTGAAACAGTCGCACTCAGCTCAGGAGGAAGCCGCGAAGGTAACGTACCTTTTCAACTCGGGATTGCCTTGCCTCGGAAATGTGAGCAGTAGATACGATTGTCTTTGTCTTTTTGGCAGGTACAACATCTTCATCAGCTGCGCAGAAGCAAATATAATACAGGATAAGGAAGCGTTGTATGAGATTTTGAACCATTTCGTGCTATTGCTTTGATTGACGCAAATCGACGCAAACAGGACTCACCTTGGACGAGCAACTCTGCCGTCGAAGTGGCACGTCCAACGTTGTTTGTGGCAGTTACAGAGAAGGTTCCAGAATCCTCCCGATAAATTTCGGCTATGATTAAGCTGTATAAATCAGCATCTTGGACAATTTGGAAGTCTGGAGAACTCTGGATTTCTGCTCCTTCCCTGTGAAACTTCACCACAGGTGTAGGGATTCCAGTGACTCGGACATCCAATCTCACTTTGGATCCTTGTTTAACAGTCATACTTTGTAGTCTTTGTGTAAAGTTCGGAGGCGCAGTTTCTGCTGCAATAGGAAAGAAAAAGGTTTTGTTGCGACGTCCATTAAATTCATAAGTACAATATCTTGTCTTTAATCTCTATTTTTCTGCTCATAAAACAGGCATTCGGGCCAACTCTTCTGTGACAGTTAACATGGTTAACTTGCTAAATGTGGGCAGGTTTGTTTTTTCTGCGATCTTTCTCATTTCAGTATCTTATTTTATTATACAGAGCAGTAATACTAACTCACTAGTGACCTCAAATAGCGAATACGATCAAAAATTCCTCAGCCCATTTGCTGACCTTATTCCTTTGTATGTTTAAACTGAGAAAATAAGCATCGAGGCTGTAAGACTCCAAACACCATTGGCCCCAAAACCTACAGGAAGCAGCAGTGGTTATGGTGAGACTCCTGGCAAAGTTGGTCAAAACTTAGTTAGTCAAAGGATGGTGGAAATCTACTAACTCTCTCCCTCAAAAGGCTGTGGATGGTGGATCCATTCCCATTTTCAAGATGGAGGAAGATAGATATTTGTTAGGTCAGGGTATTAAGGGATATCGGGCAAGGGCAGGAAACTGGACTTGAGGTGCAGGTCAGCCATGATCTTATAAAATGTCAGAACAGACTCGAGAGGCTGAGTAGGTTACTCCTGTTTCTGTGCGTCTATGTTTCTTTGTAAAACTCTTTCATTGAAGCTCCCAATGTTTTCACTAACAATCCTTCCTCCCCCACCACTTTAACACCCCCTGCCCAACCCCACAACCCCTCACACTCCCCACACATCCCACACCAGCAGCACAACCCAGAAAGGATCTCAGGGGCCACGTGTGCCTCACTGTTACCTGTGACCAGCAGCTCTGCTGTACTTGTTGCTTGACCTGATCCATTGGTGGCTCGCACAGAGAATCTGCCGCTGTGCACAGGCGTCACTCCAGAAATCGTCAGCTTCGCGCGGCCGTTGCTGAAGGAGATCTGGGCGCCTGGCAGAATGGTAGCGGACAGGACCTGGCCATCCCTGAACCAGCTCACCTCAGGAATAGGCTGACCTGCAGACAGTCAGGCAACAGAGATGTCAGCCGCACAATCCCAGCAAAGACACCGGGAGGATCTTACACACACTCACACACAGCGGCAACGGGTGGTTTAAGAGTCCAAATATACAAATAGATACGATTGCAAGTAAACGGAGACGAGAGATCAGATTACTTGTAAAATCAAGTTATAGACAAAATAAGACACACATTTGAAAATCGATGATAAAGAGACACGAGGATTCCAGATAGAGACAGATGTCGAGACGGACGGGATAAATGGATGCAATTTGTAAGACACAACATTTTCGACGAGCTATTTATTTCACAAGGGATCTTCAGGATTATTGATTAAGAATTACTAATCAAATGCAAGGATTGTTATTTGATAACTTACCGGCAACTTGTGCTTCAAAGGTTGCGGCACTACCCTCTAGTGCCACAACGCTTTGAAGCGGTTGTATGAAGGTCGGAGCTTGGGTGGTCATTTTTGTAGGCACTCTAAAACACAACAAAAATCTGTTGGTTAACTACAAAGAACTTCTACTAGTGGAACATATTGTGCATACATGAGTTTTGCCTAAAAGAATAAAAAAATGAATAAGATTCTTATAGCAATGTAGTTAACTTCACAAAGTGCCTTATACAACAAGAAACTTTTATAGCGCCCTCTACACAGGGTAGCATCTTAGAGCACTTAACAGTGGCAGAGCCTGACTCCGAGCCGGGGTGGGAGAGGGGGGAGGTGACCGTAAGCACGGTCAAAGAGGAAGGTTTCCGTGCGGGACGTGAAAGGGGGGAGAGAGGGGGCAAGGCGAAGGGATTGAGGGAGAGTGTTCCAGAGTTTTGGGGCTCAGTGGCTGAATGCACGATCTCTAATGGTGGGGCGGAGGGTGCGAGGGATAAACAGGGGCCGGTGCCAGTCGAGCAGAGGCGCCAGGTGGTGGATTCGGGAGTGAGGAGGTCGGAGAGGGAGGGAGGTGCCAGGGAGTGAAGGGATTTGAACACTAGAGTGAAGGTCTTGAAGTTGATCCGTTCGGTGATGGGGAGCCAGTGGAGCCTTGGCCAGAACTGGTGAAATGTGGGTACGGAGTTTGGTCCGGGTCAGTATGCGGGCAACGTAAATCATAGTATTTGGCTGACTAGTGTTAATGATTTAAAATAGTTATTCCCTGAGCTGTTTTTAGTGAGGGAAGTTTTAAAGAGTGCGCAGTTCACACTCGGATTGAAGAAGATTTAATCTTTATATTTCCGTGTATTATTTTGTTCTTTTATTTTTGAATCTTATGGCAGCGCTGTGTAATGTGAGATGGAGCTGCGATGTGAGTCATTAGCATGTGGACGAACATCATAGATACTTATGGGATGTAATTCAAGCTGTTTGTGACACAGTTCTATTAAAACAGTTGATACAGAAAAACTTTGGTCATTATAAAAAGAAAGAGATAAAACAAACTGTCCCAGTTGTGTTATGTACCATTTCTACTTTGCCCACAAAATACACAGTCACATACAGTATATCCTGTGAGGTGCTTTGACCCGTTTCAATAATGTGATAAGGCTCTATATCAAATGCAATGATTATTATTATGACTTCAGATTGTTCCAACTATAATCACAGATCATGTTATATTGTCCAAATGCAGGCAAAGATATAAATAAGCAATTGATAGTTTACTGATGAATATATTTTCTGGAATGAAATAGAAAAATATTTTTTAAATTAAATTAGGGATACGATATTTATTTAAATTAAATTGCACAATAAAAAAAAGAAAAGAAATATCCAATATTACTTTTAATGAAATGCCAATATATATGCAATGCCAACAGTCCAGCAAGTTCGATAAACAATTTCATGTTCACTGTTGCGCAACTTGTGTAAATGTAAGTTTGCAACATTTTCTAAATGTGATCCTTGATGTCTGTATAAAGTGACTATCAACTGGCTTGGGGTTGAAGAGCTGGGGTCTAAACTTAGCCAGATGTCAGTGATTGACAGAGGACAAGTGCCACATAGCTAGTGGTACAAATAATAGCTCATACACTGATTCCCTTAAAAAGTCATCACTGCTTGGCTGATGCCACATGCATATAATCAGTACTATTTTTAGCAGTTCTCAATTCATCCATCAATAGCCTAACCTTGAAAACTCTAAAAGTTACAGTCGTCTTTTAGGCTTTGCTCAGTTCATTAAACAGTTTTTTTTTAAGCTATTTTCACAAACGGGGTTTGCTTTCCTAATAATTCAACATTGAGCAATGTTCAGCAAATGAATTTCATACACAAAAGACCTATGACATAAAAATTAAGCAATTAAAGTTTAAAAACGTATATATTTAAAAAGTTCCCCCCCACCCTAGCCACGTATACTTGAGGGAATAAAATATGACTTAACTTCAATAAAAAAAACTTCAATGAAATAAAGAACCAAGAAGAACAAAATGCCACTTTGTAAGAAAGAGAAATCTACTGACCTGAGTTTTCAAGAGTGCCTAAATAAAAGGGCCAAGCCCTATGAATATAGGTTTGGAACCTGCCTCCTTATCCAGATATTTTCCAACAATCCAACGAGAGAATGGGTATACCTCTTACTAAAAGGAAACAAAACTACACGCAGGCTGTGGTCTGGGTGTAGTTTTAATTTTCCTATGCAATCCCTACACCCGAGGCAAGGCTGGGAGTGCCTGAACCGCTCAGAATTGCTAACATGGTTGTTTTGCCTTTTATACCACAGCCCTACTGACAATTATGCAGCATGATTGGCCCAGCACCTCTGATTGGATACCCCGTCAAGGCTTCATGGGAAAGGGAAGCCGTTACATGGAACCCAACAGCTGTCAGTCACTTCACTTTTATGCAGACAGTGCTAATTTTGTCGCATTAAGTTCTGAGTGTTAGTCCGATTCCATCACTTTACTCACAATGACTGCGTTCAGTTCAGTTCAAGTAAAGACAGACGAGGTGTTTGACCCTTTTCTTGGTCCTTTCTTACTTTGCTGTATTCTTGTTATCACCAAAACTGATAAGGAAAAAATGAAGCCCTTAGCAACAGGGCAAATTTGAATGCACGAGTCCTGTCGCTGTCAATCACTTTCAAGACCATTTTGCTCCTCTGACACATGGACACGAGCAACTGTATCTGCCAATCACCAAACCAAACGCGAAAACTCTTCTCTTTACAAAAGAGCTAATCTAATCCAAATGCTTTGAAAAGCAGACAAAATCCAACCTAGAGACATATTCATTTTAGGATTCGACAACTTTTTTGTATTAAAGTAATAAAAAGTAAAAGGCTGTCAGCATATTCATGGGACATAAGGCAGAATTATCTTAATGTGTAATTCTATCGCATTGTAAAAGTGGACTGAATCTAAGTTTACGAGATGACGGGTCAATTGCTTTGGTTGATATGAAGGTTATGTTGCTAAAATATCATGAAATAGAAAACCACACTACCTTCAACTTAATAGTAGAAACTATTCATGAGAAACTGATTATCATACTTCTGCAATCTACTTCTTGTGAACACCTACTCCATAAAATTAGTAAAAATATATACTGTATTTCGCATTTCAATAAAAATGTAATTCTGCTAACAAATCAAAATCTATTTACACCAAATTGAAAGCTGAGATGTTGATGATTTTATAGGGCAAAACTGAGATGAGGAGTCTTACGTAGGTAAACTTGTCAGGGTGCTCTGTAGTTCCACAATCAATACTTTAACGCTTCAGATTTTCAATTTCAATCTATGAGTAATAATAATCTTTGCATAATCCTTGCAATTTATCACATCATTGAGCGATCTCAAAGCGCTTCACAGGATATACTGTAAAATGAATTATCTGTGTGTGCATATATATATATATAGGGATCAGGGAGGGTGGAGGGCAGGAGGATGGCCGAAGGCACGATGGAAGAGGAGAGAAATGTATATGTATGCACTGTTAAGGAATCAGCCTGGCTCAGTTGGTAGCACTCTCGCCTCTCAAGCTCATAGTCTTGACTGACACTCCAATGCAGTGCTGCTCCACTTTACTACAGTATCTTTACATTAAAACAGATATGAAAGGGTTATGTCCATTTGACGGGATGTCCTATGTGTTCCATGGTGACACAAACCGAAAGGCATCGGTTGCCACATAAATAGATATTGAATAACCTACCCCGGCTGAACTTGTCCAGTCTCTGATCTTTGGCCTTTTGAATAACTTGCTTCAAGGCCTTGTATGTTTGCAGCTGATTCAGTTGTTACTGTCTTTGTCACATCTTTATCACTTTTTTCAGCGGTGTCCTTGTTAAAAGTGCATAACTGTGCTTTAGGTTTTTCTGAAATGGTAATTGAGATCAAGTGGAATTAGAAATGTTTCCCAAAATGATGTAGAAATTCACCAATTATGCATTTTTCATGCTCTACAGGTTTTATGTGGATCTTTTTTTTAATCCTGCGGAGTAGACAAAATAGTCATCATAATAGTTGTTTTTGCATTTATGGTCTAGTTGGTAATATGATTAAATATTAGTATTAAAACCTATATTATGGGATATGAATTCAAAGATACGTTAAATATCCTTTGCCCTCAGCAAAGCAGCTTCGATGGAAGTGAATGGTTTAAAACATAGGAATAGAGGTTAAGCGTTTTATTCCCATAATGAAAGCTTACAGACTGTTTTACTGCTTTCTGTGAAAGAATTGGAATTTTATAGCATCGTTCATTTTGTAAAATAACCCATTATTAAAAATCATGTTTATTACCAGCCATAGCTATTATAAACTGACTCTTAAACATTAACATAAACCTGAGCATTAACTATGTAATATATGTCAGCACTAATGATGCTATATAATATTAATGAAATAAACATAATAAACTTGTAATCAGCATTGATTAGCACTTACAGAGCTACAATTCGAAGATAAGGTTCAATGGTTTAAACTCATATATTTTTCGCCTTGACAAATACCTACCCTTTCTGCATGCATGAAACATTTCCAAAGGGAATAATAGGGAGGCAGTCAAATCATTGGGAGACAGTCACCTAATCAACGTTTGTTTGATGTCATGAATATGGAAGAGAAATTAGTGTAGATGTAACAATCAGTCGGAAATCAAATCCATTCTAAGGTATTCATTATTTGGGGGATTTGTGTTTCTGGACTGTTTTGGAGACCGTCATCATAACAATCCTGCAAAAGGAAATTGGATAAGGATTTTCAAGGTGAAGAATATATAATAGTATGGAGAAAGAGCAGGGAAGTGGGATTACCATTGGACATTGCGCATTCAGCCAGTACGCCCTGAAGCTCTGAAACACTTTCCCTCAATCCTTCCACCTTGCCCCCATTTTCAAGACCCACCTAAAAATCTTCCTTTTTGACCGTGCTTACGGTCACCTCCCTCACCACCTGCTCGGAGTCAGGCTCCGCCACTGTTAAGCGCTCTGAGACGCTACCCAGGGTGGAGGGCACTACATAAGTGCACGTTGTTGTTGTATTAGTTTAGATAGGTCCCAATGGATGAGCCTAGTACTGTCTTAGGTTTGAGAAGCAAATGGCCCCCTTCTCTGATATAATTGAGTTAATTCCATGTGTAATGTCAATGTAATAGGTGGTATTAACCAGTTCATTTTTGATATGATAATGGCTGACATTCTCAGCTGAAGTCTTTTGTCCTCCAGGCTTCTTCATATTGTTGCCGCACATTCACAGTAGCAGCTTGGCTTGAAAGATTTTGCGTTATAAGTTTATTGAGAAATTTGCAGTCGATGGAAATAAATACGCTTAGCTTCGACCTTTAGTTTCTCCAATCACTAGAGGCTCTTTTCACTGGATCGCAATCAGATCTTCAACCCTTCTAGCTGAGAATGAGTATCCACCTTTTCCTGAGCAAACCTGAATGTTAGCATTTTATCCTGAACCCATAATTGTCATTTAGTTATCATCACTGGATTAATGATAAGCACAGTAGTACATAATGCAGGAAATATTTTTCAATGGATTAAATAATTCCGTAATTACCTGTAACAACTATTGAAGCAGAACAGCACGCTTCACCTTCTGTGTTTGTGGCAATGCAACTATATAAGCCAGTATCAGCTGAGCCAATGTTTCTTTTCCTGAATACATGCGTTTCACCTGAACTCGTTACCTGAACAAAACAACACATTGCACTAGTTTAAAAATGACTACGTACAAGTTACAACTGAATTGTCCAATGAAATAAATGTGTAAATGGAGCAAAAATGAAAGCAAGTGATTCTCACATTGGAATCTCTGGGTGACAGCACTGTGGAATCTTTAAACCACATCACACTTGGCTTGGGTTGTCCTGATATAATACACTGGAGTATCAGATCATCTCCTCGCATTAAAACACAATCGGCAAATCTCTTTTCAAAGTCAGGAGGCTTGTCTTGTACTAGAAATAAATTACATTTTTTTTAAATAAAAATACATTTCGTGTGTAACTATGTTGGAATGATGTTAGTTGTGAGAGTTATTTTTAGAAATAAAGTTTCTCGAACAAAGATCTTTTAAATAAATGCTTTATTAGAAAAACAGAGAGGGGGCAGAGAATCATCCACTGTAAGAAACAAGGCCATGCAATTTACTTCTGATTAATTTTCACGGATGAATTTACTATAATGAATGATAGAAAATGAAAATTTACTATAATCAGAGAAAATGGAAAGTTTCTGATACAGCAGAACTGAGGAACAAGTTGCCAGTTTGATCTAATGTGGCAATAAGATTTCCACAATATAATGCACTGTTTATCAATAGCTCATACCTTGTACTGAAAAGATTTTGCTGGTAGAGAGTTAAAATGCAAATTCCAGGGATGGTTCTGACATAAAGGAATTTGTAATACTATTGGCAACTAATTAAGAGTTTGTTTAATAATCTATTTTTTAATTATATTCATTTAATGAAATTTTTATTTTAATTTTTCAAGCCTTCTATCTATAGGAATATAGGAACAGAAATAAGCCATTCAGCCCTTGAGTGTGATCTGTCATTCTATTAGATCATAGCTGATCTGTACCTCAACTCCAAATACCCACCTTTGCCCCCTATCCCAGGCCTATCTAGGGTTTGCATTGATGGAGAAAACACACTTGGAAAACAGCAAAGTTGTTGGTTTATCTTTTCCTTGACAGAGATGCAGTGCATTTTAAATGACCTTGCGATCATCAGTAGTCTCCATTCAACACACTTATACACAATCATTTTGTGATTAATCTAATCTACAATGTTTAAATTGACTTTGTTTGCCAATCGAATAATTTCAGCAAGTTAGTTGCCAAGAAATCATTTGTTTTTTTTCCTAAATAATTGCGAGTTACATGCATAAGCCACACAAAATATATGCAATAGGCAGCAAAAGCTGAATAGGAATGGCATATAGTTCCGACTGTTAATACATCCATATAGTGCCTGGTTGCAGAGCTCAGTAGAAATGAGCGATGTGATCCTTTAGAACAGCTTTCCAAAGGCGCCTGCTGTTGATGGTTGAAGTGGATACAGCGACAATCCTGGTGATACAATTACCTGCTTCATTAATTCACTTCACAAAGAAACAAACTGATAGATTCCTGAATATAGCAAACCTGCACAAAAATAGCAGCAATTGAATTGGCACCAAAATTAGTACGCTCCATGTACTTGGGCCTTCTCCACTCCAATATGCACTCCAACGTAGCTTGTGCATTTGTATTACTGCACTGTTCTATATTAATTTCTCATACAGGGGCAAAGATTCCTGACCGCTTTGGTGATACCTTAATATCCTTCAATAAATCACTCAGGCAATAACATTAATAACTCTCTTAGAGGTATCTGCTCCATTGTGCAGAGTTTTGCTTTAATGCCCTTTATGTAGACCTTATTAAACTAAATTGGCCTTTTTCCGCCCTTTTCACTGAAACCATTTTCTGAGGTTTGGAAAACCTACAGTACAACTGATAAATTGTCTATGAATGCAATCTCTCAACCATCAGCCCTATTTATGCACGTCTAGATGATCACTGGAATTGTGATGACAGGAATGTCAAACTCAGGAATGTTGGGTTCTTTATTCTAACGTGAGGCTTACAATTACCTTTTACAGTTCTTGCAAATGCTCCCATGAATCTGTTCGCGTTTATTTGACATTAATAACAGCTGTAGTGTTTTGACTATGTGGAATAAATGAAGGGATGCGTTAGCCCAGTCGCTGGGTTAACTTTTGATTGAATTTCAGGCCCCTCTGATGTTGAGGACATGAAAAAAATTCTAAAATGACAGTGAAATGCATTCATTCCTGTTCAGCTTACAGAACCGAAGAATTCAGACTGCCCAAAGGCTCCTTGTTGACTAGATCCAGAATTTATACACAGCTTTCGTTCACAAGAGCTATTGGGAGGAATTTGTTGATGATATCTACTACTTCTCGATTGTCAATTTGCTTCTAAAGTATATGGGTATTTAAAGCTTCAACTACTTTCTACACAGCTCAAAAAGATTCCTCTTTCTACTTTCACCTATCCACCTATTTTCTTCTTAGCCTTTCCAACGCTTATTTAAGTGACTTTTATAAGACTTCTATTTCATATTAGTCTTTTAAATCCTTCTGTGCCTTTTTGTCACTGCCAATGTCCTTATATACCTACTCTGGTCTCAGCCTCCTGCTATTCTCCTTCGCTTAGGGATGTACCTTATTTCTACACCTTTTTTAAAAAAAGTTATCTTTGTTCTTATTTTGTTATATTCATTTCTAGTGCCACCAAGCCCCCTCATTTCCTCCTTATTTCAAGAGACCCTGAAATTAATTTCATCATCTCATCTGAATGTCCATCCGAGATTAAATCAGGAATAAAATGTGATTGAGCTGTTGTGGTTTCTAGAGCTTGTAAGCAATGGTAAGGTAGCTCAACTATGCAGAGATTGCTTGACCTGTTGTGGTTGAAGGAAATCTCAACAAAGAAGAGAGCTACCAAGAGACCAGAAAATGGTTTGCTAACAAGATTGATGTAGATGAAGAAGTCCCTTTAGCCCATCGCATTTCATCCCTCCCGCACACCCAACCTACCATCCCTCCATCATAGCATCAAGCTGCTTTTTAAATGAGTCCAGGGTCCTGGACTGACTCTATCACCTTTCCTGCCAACCTGTTCCAGTCATTGATAACGCCTCTCAATTGGGAAGTGTGTGGTTGTGAGGGGAGGTATCATTATGACTAGTGCATCATTTTTATAAATCTCCAGTTGTTATGTTTAAAACTTTAAAACACAAAAAGACCTTACACTGTATGTTATATACAAACAAGACTCATCTGAGAAAAAAGAATAGTTCTTACTAACACAATTAATAATCTCAAGTTTTATTTTATGTATGAACCAGTAGGAGACACATCAATACAATGCAAATCAACTCTGGATCTTTTACCAGTCAATACACTTGGATGTGTATGTTTGTTGAGACTAGTAATATAGTCCATTGCCTTCCACCTCACGCACATGAACTCCACAGCTGTAAACATTTACTTTGTATTGACTTTTGAAGGAATATCAATATCAAAGTAAATATCTTTTTGTAGCAAACACAGTCACGTTCATCTAGGTTGTCCAGGTCTGCATAAATTTGAGCATTGTAAGGCATTTTCTTATAAAATTCCTGTACTCCTGCACTATTCTAATAGAAAAATATTCTTCTGTTTCTACTTTGCGCATTGATAAAATATTTAATTTCACTGCAGTCACTGCACTTTACAATATATTCTGTGAAAGCACTTTCACACGTCTTGAAGACGTGATAAAGCGCTATATCAAACGCAAGGATTATTTTATTATTATTAGTTCAACACTGCATGAAAATGGTTCCTTTAGATGCTTTAGCAGTGTACACAAACCACCATGCTATGAAAATCAATTCACTTTCATTGCGGAGAATAACCTCACTATTGATTCTTGCTGAGAAGTCAAGTTGTGCAAAGTTTGCATTCTCTTTGTTCTTTATCCCTGAACTCAACCGCATTTTTAAATAAAAGATGTCCAAGAATGTTACAAAACAAATGTCAGGTGTAGTTGTCAGCTGAACTATTATTTGTAATGTACTAAAGTTAACTGAATTGAACAAACATGCCTTGCCTTCAGTTTAGTCCATTATTCCACATTGTCAATGACATCTGAAACCATAGACAATAAAGTTACCACTGGTACCCCATACATTGCAGTACCTGTAGAGTATATATGCAGGGAGATCTATAAAGGAGATGCCCTCTTTGTTTTATTTTTTGATTTACAAGAACAAAATGTAAAAATAATCTAAATGAAAACATAAGCTATTTGTGCTTATTGCATGTTGTTGAGTTTGTGTTTTTTTGCATTTGACGTGGGAGAGGAACTGCAAGCATGCAACTTTTCACATGTAGGAATTGTATTTAAATTGTAAAATATGAACATCAGAAATTACTTTTCATGTGAACTACCTTTGATCCGACCTCCATGCAAGTCTTATTCAAAACTTGTCCACACGTCCAGTGTATTACAATGAGCAGAATAGAAAGTGCACTGCGTTAACCTTGCATGTTTCAGTGTCTTTGTCAGTTTGGTTAAATTGGATACTACCGTACTATCAAAAGGCAGCTTCATATCAAAAGGCAGCTTCAATAAACTGGATTTAATTGGTCTCAGAGTGAGTGGAACCAAAGATGAGAAATCACACTGAAATGTACACAGTGGAAAACAGTAACAATACCAGGAACAAATACAAATGCACCGAAAGATTGCTGATAAAGTGTTGCCAACGTATTGCAAAGCCATATAGGGAAATATGCAATGGGGAAATGCAATTCATTTTAGGGACACACAGCCTTTCCATAATCCTAAACTTTTAACTTAAGAAATCAATTTTCATTAATTTTAGTGTAGAATACTGAAAGGTAATTATATTGGTGATCTGTTATACAATTTGGTCAATACAGCCTCTGAATTAATCCTGTTTTTTTAATGCCTTTTTTATCTGACTTCCCTAGTCTTTGTTATAACATACAGCACGTTGAATCTTCATTGATTTTAAATTGTTATTCTTATTTTACTCCCTTCACTCTTGTAATGAGCTGCTGGCTGAGAGTGTGAGCATTCATTATGTTCCCAGACTCCAGTCACTGTTTCGCTATCGGATTGCAAATATATACTCTACCACCGTTTTGAGAAATCACAGCACATTTCCTATTGCTCTGTGCACAGTGTATCACAACATCAACACACTCCACTCTGCCACCTATTAATCTAAAATTCCACCTGATAATTTTACATTGCATCTATTCCAAAACATATCGCACAAACAGTATCAGGAAGTTAAAATCTCACAAAAAGAATGTTTTATATAATAAAATATATAGGCATATTTAACTCATCGTAAAAATAGTTTCAAAAATGTTTCTTTGCAAACAGATAAGAATATCAGAAAGTGTGCAATTAAAAACTAATTAGACTCGTCAAGTTGCTCAGTTTTTGTGCTAATACTACTGTGAATTTGGACAAACAGGGTGAAGGTTTTAATCAGTGTCATTGATTGTGTTATTAACAGTACGATTCTGTTAATGCTATGCAGCGATACTGGAATATTATGATATCTTACTGAGAAGTAACAGTCAATGCTTTAAATTACATTACTAGTATTTCAGTGAAACTATTGAGTTTTCAATGAACAAAAGTTAACATTTAAAACTGTTTTGTGGTGCAGAGACAGTACATTACCATGGAAACACTGTATCGTGATATTATTTGTGGTGAGGACAGGTTCCAACTTTATTTTTAGTATAAGGTGAAAAACATCAATGTAATCAAAACAGTGATACATAGCAGTTAAATAAACAGTGCATACATTAGAGACAAGCTAACACACAATATACACAGCCAAGCGAGACAGGTGAGCCAGTCTATAGGATCAATGTGGAAACATCTGAGTCTGCAGTTACCTTGTACTTGAAGTATAGCAGTGGAACTGACAGTGCCACTAGAGTTTATAGCTCGTACAACATAAATGCCAGCATCTGTATCAGACACCTTCTGAATGAAAAGAATGTGTTTGCCTTCCTTTTGTGAAACTTCTAAGCGCTGATCTGTTGTCAGCTTCTGTCCATTCTTGTACCTGAAGTAAAAAGTGCATTTTCAAGTCAAGCAGTTACCAGCACCAGTTAAACACCTGATTAAAACAAGAACATCCAAAAAGACACAATATTAATTTTATACTAACTTCGGATAAACAAAGCAAGTAACATTTTTAGTATGACAAATTAACACTACAATGTGTTAAGTGTTAGTAAGAATCTCAAATAACTAATAACTTGCGGCCTGATTTGGGAAATATTTTCAAAGTCGCAAACGTTTGCGGCTTGTATTTTGATCGTGCCTCGAGAAGACGCGAGTGATTTATAATGGATTCCTTTTCAATCTGAAAGTACATTGTTTTCCTAGCTGTGTGACAAAAGCACGCAAAGGTTTATTTCCATCTTCCAGGACTTCCAAATCTTTTTGTCAGTGTTATGTGTCTTCACCTTTGTGTTCCTTCAAACCACAAATTGTGTCAAATCACCATCAAGCCAGTGAATGGAGCAAAATTAGTTATATCAAATTCAGTGTCCTAAAGCAAATCCAAATGTTATGTAAAATGGAAGCTTAAAGAACTATGAGATTCCAAGATCACTTTTGTGACATTATTGTAGTCTGTTATGAGTAAGGCTTTCAATTTGCTTAAAATATAGGAATGTACAGTATTGGAAAAGACCAACAAGTTGGTCCCAGATTTACGCATTCTCTCCCTGAAGAAGTGATGGTGGAAACATTGGAATGATAATGAATATTTTTCTCCCGACAGTTTAATGTTTTGCTTGGATGAATCTTGATCAATACCGTGGACAACATGAAAGTGGTGTGTGGCCATTGAACTAAGCGTTTATCATTCAAAGACTGCGAATCGCTCATGAGAATTACTTAGCGGAAGTGCAATGCACATAATATTAGAGGATTAAAATACTCACCTTTGCAGAAAGATATTTATTACAAAACAACTTCATGATATAATTATTATATTATTTAATTATATTATTAAGTTAATTTTATAATTATATTATTCCTTGCATTTGATATAGCATCTAATTACGCAGCCAAAATATCCCAAAGCGGTTTACAGGATTTACTGGAAAGTGTAGTGACTGTGTATTATTTTTGGTGAATGCCTAACGTGATATTCATGTGAGGTTTGTTATGTTTTGGTTGTTTTATAAGTCTAAATTACTGATCGTCTGCTTTACTCATGTTGCATTGATAATTTCCTGTTTTGAAGTTCAGCTGATAGTTGCATCTAATTCGGACATAATTTTCATTACAACTGCTTCAGAAACAGGAGGTACCAATGTTGCCAGCAAAGCCGTTTGGTCCACATCGCATCATGAGATGGAACATTGAAAACAAAATCAGGCCCCGTCGTCAAAAGCTCATGCTGAACCCCTAACGGTACGCAATGTTAATGTAGAATTAAATATTTAAAGTTAGAAGCAGTTCTGCATGTAGATATTACTGCTGCTTGTTATAGGCTACCCACCACGTCAAAGTTGGTTCTGGGAATCCTGCTACTTCTATTTCCAAGGTCACAGGAGAACCTTCTACCACATTGACATTAGATAAGAGCTTGGAGAAGCTCGGTGTTGTGCCAGTCAGGCAGCGCATAGCTGTGTTGTTCAATGGACCGCGGATGCCCTCTCGGATGATGGTTTCTTTGTGGTGGCCTCTGGTGTCATGCGTGGGTGGGTGCACACTGAGGGCTACTGTTAGTGGTTCAGTTGGAACATGGAATTCATTGCTGTTAGAATCCGTTTCGTTTTTAACACGGTTACTCTTGGGTTCGTGCAGTAGTGACTCCTGGGTCTCAATCACACTCTCATGCATGTCATAGGTCTGCAGCTGTGTCTCATGCACTTGACAGATAGAATCACGGATTGACGATTTAGCCACAGTTTGGGATTTCACGATACTCGAAAGGGTGCTGGAAACGAGAGTGGGTGCAGGGGTTGTCAGTGGGCTCTGGATAAAAGGGGGAGATTCGGATCTGTATGTGGTGGAGAGTCCAGTGCAGGGATTTGAATAGCGAGATGAATAATATTCAGGCTTATGAGAAGCTTGCGGTCTTGAATGATTTATGGTGTCAGCCATGGCAACAGGTGTTACCAGGTCAGAGCGATCAGTCATTCTGCTCCAGTCCATTTCCATTTGTGGCTTTGTACTGTGAGATCCAAAATGCCGACTATGAGAACTTAACTGAGACATCTCATCCAGTTCTGTTTCAGAATGGAGCATATTTGATTCCGGAGTGTCAGGAAGTGGAGGCAAAGATATGTCATCTGGTGACATGCATTCATATTCTTCCACGGATAGGGTTTCATCCACTAAAAGTTCATTTTGCAGGTCTCTATCAGTCGCTGTGCTGCCCTCTGTACCAAAACAAAGAGGCTCTGTAGTTTCCCGCGAATATCGATCTTCTGCCACCGAATCTGTGATCTGATCGCTTATCAGTTGGTCCAACGTAACGTTTAAAAGTTCCTTAAAAATGGGAGAAAAAATGAAAAAGGTCAAATTGGCTTCCAGTGAATTGATACGTCATGAAAACCAAAAGCAATTTACTTAACATAAAGATTACAGAAGTATCACCCCTCATACCCTCCCCAAACCCTACACATACCCTCCCTCCTCATGCTTTGCAGGTTGCATCTGTCACGATTCAGGATGGAATACTCCCTGGGAAACTCGGGTGAGAAATATGATCCCTTCACAAGACCTAATATTCTGGCTGGCAGCAGAAATAACAATGTGTGATATCATAACAGTCCCCCTCCCCAGGGCTGGTCTTGATCCCTCAATAAGCACGATAAATTATGGTTATAATCCAGATATGAACATAAACTTATTTTCCATCCCGTGAGAAATTCCCCCTAAAGATTCCCCCAAAGGATATCGAGTAGAGGCTTCATCCCCACAACTCCACTCGCCTCCTACACTGGCAGCACCCCTCATACTCCCCTCAAACCTAATTACATTCTTTAACTCCTTTCTGCAATCTTCTTCTAAAATATTTATTATTTGGGTTTTCTTTGCAATCAACTGCTATGAAAATGTACGCTCGTGTATTTCTATGCACCCACCAATTCCATAGGTAAAGTATTGAAGTGTTAAGTGTTTAAGAAACATATTGAAGTAATCTGTGATCTAGATTGGAGTTTTGAGTGTGACCTTTATGAAATAAACCATAGGGTTGCCAGGTCAGATCCAATTCTGGAGCTTTCTGCATCACCCTTTTCCCCTCTAAAATTAAGAAGAGTTTTAAAGAGATACCTACATAGCTGTGTGACACCTGTTGTTCCTCCAGTATCTGAGTGATGTATGGCATCTCTTCCATTTCATTATCTCGAGGATTCTTGGCTGAACCTGGCAATGACGTCCTTGAATTAATGTTAGAATGTGTTGTGGATTCTGCCTTGTTTTCTATCAGCTGAAGGGCAAAAACTCTCCTTCCTGAGTCAGTGGCAGCCGCTGATCGACAGAGTGATTGTCCGTGGGATGATTTCACATTAAATTGCTGTGAAAAGGTGGCGGTGTAACTCTGAACACTCATTATCTCTCTTTCAGAGGAGATTGTAATGTTATCTGTTACTGTCTGGGAATCCTCTGTGGCAGCTCTGCTTGTGCTAAAAGCATGACTGTGATCTATGCTAACAAGTATGGAATCCAGCTCACGGCTTCCTTTTATCAGTGTTGTTGAGTCCAGAGTGGCTTTGGATGAAGTTTCCACTTTACTTTCTTGCTTACAGCAGTCCAGTGACTGATAGCTTGCTTTCAAACCAGTCTCCACAGGTGATCTTTGGGTAGAGATACTGTTTTCTCCCTGTCGGAAGTAAGTTAGTTCAGTTTTTAACTTCAGTTCTCATTGATTTGATTCAATCGAGTAACATTTCGTCAAGTTTGTTTTATCAAAAAGAACACAGAGAAATAATACTCCACAGTGCACATTTCTGCTGCGTTCATATATTGGAAAGGATGCGATTTGCAGCAATAGAGTGATGTGGGACAGGATGTCGGATATATATTCCATCAACTCCACTCAACATGAGCGTCTGATTTCTGTTCATGCACAGAACACTGAATCAGGAATTTAGCTTTAATGTTACAGCTGAGATGATCACCTCTTTGATAACATTACAATAAAGGTCTATTGATGGCTCTTGTCTGCCCATTGGATTGCCTGGGATCTTTCAAGGGGCTACAGAGGAGTGGAGCCCAATAATATTCACACCCATTGCATTTATACTGTAACAGTGTGATTGAAGCTAGCTTTTTGAGGAGGTGTGCGGAGCAGCATTCCAGCACAATTCACATTGACTCTGATTTATACCGCATAACTTACTGTAACTAGTCAACAAAATGGAGACAATTCACCACTAAAAACACACAGTATAATTATTTTTTACCAGGTTTGTAAATAGCGGACTGGAATGCGGTCTTTTCCTCGCTAAGATTTTGGGTTAAATCCAGATCAGGGAGATAGGTGGAATGTTTCTCTCCATCTTTGCCTTAAAATAAATGAACATCTTCACACCTATCAATAAAAACTCCTTAATAATGCCAGGTTACTTGAATCTGACAAGTTGCTACCTTTTCAACACTGGTTCCTTGTGATTTACTTGCACTTTCTCCTGATTTCTGTCCAGCAGCATCAGTCTGTTGAAAATTGACATACAAAAAAGTCAGAGCAGCTCAAGCAATGTGACAGTGTGTTATATATTGGATTTATACTGTACAATTTGTCACTGAACTTTTCGTAATGTGAAACAATGCCATTTTCTGTGTGCAATTGGCTATCTCGTTACCCCCACAAAACACACCGTCAATTCGCTTTCCAGTGTATTCTGTGAAGTGCTTTGAGAAGTCTCAATGATGCTACATCAAATGCAAGGATTATTATTGTTACCATTATCAAACAAACATATTCCAGAATTGTATTATCCATGTAGATACTTTTGACCAGCAGAAATTAACACAACAACACAAATAACAGGCAGCTAGCTCAAGGATAAGCCCATTCAGGTGAGAATTATTTATTCGTATAACTGAACTAGCAGTCTAAAGCTTGAATCAATGTCAGTATTAACTGTGCAAAATCTCCTAGCAGGAATACCAAATAACAAATTTGATCACGATGCTTGAAATACAACACTCTATTTAGTTCAATGTTTTACAATCAAACACAATTAAGGGCTCAGCGGCCTGATTCGGGAGATTGTCCAGAGATGATCTGACATACAATACAACATTACATTTGTAAAGTGCCTTTCACGTCGGGAGGACATCCCAAGACACTGGAATAAGTTATCAACTAAAAACCTCCATCAGTCTCAGCAGCAGTTTGTTACTGTTTGAGTCCAGTCAGCAATTTAGATCAGAGAAACAACTCACTGAACAGACAACAGCAGTAGCAACTGAATGAACACTAATATTGGGCTCTGCCTGAACTGTAACAGGAGCCTGATGAGAACAGATCAACCCAAAAACTCGCTCCATAGTCGCTTGCTTCAGATTGACCAGCATGTTCTCAATTGCTTGGCGCAGGATTAGGACTGAGAGTATAAAATATTGATAATAATATTATTATAAAATATTAATTTCACAATTTTAGTCCCTACCTTAATCTGCAGCTTTATTTCAAGCTCTCTTAGACCATTGCACAATTCCTTCATGGAGTCCAGGATTTCATTGTGCTTTGTTACGGTTTTCTCCACATATTTCTTTCCTTCTTCACTACCTTGAAGCGTAAACAAAACAGGCTCAACTGTTATTTTATCGCAGATTGAAGAAAGACTGATCACTATCAATTCCCCATTGCAAACCCATCAAAATCAGATTCATTGGTCATTCATCCCATTCCAGTTTGCAGGGTATGACTGGTGCAAAATGGCTGCCATTGTTTCCCACACACTTTCCACTTAATAGTATTTAATTGCGATATGCTTTTGATATGCCTTTTAGACATGAAGAGACACTATACAAATGCGAGTACTTACTTTACATTCATTGTGCAATTATTGCATAAGGTTCCACTTTATTCAACCTGGTAGTCTTAAACTAATTATTGAAAATTATGATCAGCTTTCAGATTCAGAGAATATGAAAAAGGTGTGATTTCTAAATGCCCAAAAGCTAGTTATTTTTGTGAATTATGATATGCAGCTATTGCTGTCTAAGTAGCGGTAAGTTGCAACGGCTGTTCTAAGCTCACACAGCAAGAACTTGCAAGGGTTTTCGTCTGAACGTAGAACATGTATTTTGTGACATGCAACACGCAAGTCACACCATCTGTGTAAGGCATCAGGCAATGCCCTCAACATGGACTAAAACATAAGTATAATGTTCTGATGATTAAGCTCATCGATCCTGTTATATTCTCCCAGTTTATATTTGTGTACTAGATCACTACTGTTTTGCATTAAATACCCCACAAATATAATAATTATTAACTTTTGATACAAATAATTTACTGAAATTTGAAGAATTAAGAACCTAATGGGAAACAGGTAGAAAATACATGCAATATTGACAAAAAATAATCCTAGCAAGTTAATGGGAGTCTATCATACATTGCCTATTGATTCTTGCTGACAAATGCAGTCGGAATGCACTTCTTTATAGGGAACATTCCAGTGTCATCGAGTGCAGACTTAACATGCATCAAGATCAAGAACCACTGATGTGGAGCTGGTTGGAATTTGGTCTGCAGCATACATAGTGCTACACCGTTGATAGACTTGCAACCAGTGAATACCAAAGAGACTTTGCAATTAAAGCAAATTGGAAGCTTATCTTGTGGTAGGACCCATTCAGTGCGATCACAAATAGCAATGTTACAAGCCAGACAGTCAAATGTATAAATAGCAATGAGATTTATAAGTCAGCCACTAAATCCATAGCAGTTTGGCATATGGATAGATTTAGCTACCTCCCATTTTAAATGGATATCCTCAAATTTTGAAGAGAGCCCAAACGAGTTTACAAATTCTCCTTATACATTTTACTCTTTACTAAGTCACACAGACAAAACTATAGGCATAGGCTTTGTTACCTCGAGATTCAATTTGTTCATAGGCTAAAATTGCACAGGTGCAGATCAGCATCGAACAAGCAATGTGATGCAATGGTTAGCTTCAAAATTTCCAGGAAAAGGGTGTGTTGGTTGCAATGAGTTTGATATAAGTGTGCGCTCTCTACAGTTCTGATGATAACGATGCCAGTGCTAGACACAAAATATTAAAAAAATCTTATGCAAGCCAAAGAGCCAGAGTGAAAGTGAATTTTGATGAGCAGTTTGACTGAATTGAAATTTGATGAGAGCTGGAAGATAAGCTGGGGAGGGGGAGATGAGTGGGTTTGACATTGTAACACAGGGAAGTGTCAAACTAGACTTGTTATGAACGGAGGCCTTGTGTAAATGTGACAAATAAAGGTGATGGGAGAGAAAGTCACAAATCAAGCTGGATAATAAAGAAAAACATGCCAGCACCTGCCATTTTTGTTAGAACATTTTGGGGGAAAACATGTGTCGTTTGAAGGAATAAAATTATTATTTTAACAGCAATTATTTTAAGCCTTTTTATTGCTGTGCTACATGTGAATATCAATTAGAATGAAATTGCAGATTGCTAAATAAAATTGCCATCGCAACAGATTTTAACTACATTTTTCAGTTGGTTGTAGAATTTTAGTGATTATTATTGTAGAAAAGATCAGAGTGAACAACCTATTACTTTAACAGCTGACAATTTAGTCTCGACCATGTTTCATTTGAACATGGTTATCTTTTATCACTTGATATTCAGAGACAAATTAGGAGCAGCTATGTCCAGTGTGTAAAAAAATATTTAGCTCCAATTGTTTTACACGTGAAGTTAATGTAATGGTTAGCTGATATTTAGGAATATTGTTGTGTGACATTCACAGGCATTTAACCAGTTATAAAATTGTAAACAGTAAGTGTGCCTCTGTCTGAATTTGTTAGTTATTATAATAATAAAAAAAGCAAGCTGTCAAAACAGGCATCTCTGGCCCTGTATGTGGTCTCCAATCATTTAGCTGTTGGTTCTAACCATATAGGCGCACTGCTAGTTCAGTGATGTGCTGGATTCTCGTCTCCTGCGGTGAAACTGTGGGCCACACAAACTTTTCAAACTGTTTGAGCAGAATTCCCACTGCTTCCTCTGTCTTGCATTCGGTAGAATATTTCCCAACTCGCACAATTGCACCGCTCGTTTCCTCACACCAAAACTGGCTCTGCAAGGTAATTGTAAATGAAACAAAAGTCAGCTCTCTGTACATTTTATTCTTCGAATGAATTGATGATGCAATTGCAATTGCTCCCAATTCTTTTGTGTTTCTTTTATGCTCATGGAATATGTCCAAATGAAGCATGGGCGACTAAATCATGATAAAAAAAATATACCAAATTGGTGAATCCAATTAAGATGACAGTCCTTTCTAGTTTATAATAATAATCCTTGCATTTGATATATCACGTCATTGAAACGTCTCAAAACAGCTCACAGATTATGCTGTAAAGTGAATTGAGTGTATATTTTGTGGGCGAAATGCAGCAGCCAATTGCGCACTGCAGTGTCGCACAAACAGTCGTAGATTCAGTGACCAAACGTAAAATGAGAATTTTGAATGCGAGATCTTGCTTCACTCTGCATTACATACCTCCTCCATAGCCTGCTGCATGCGAACAGTCACGTCCAAGTTTTGTTTATAGTCCTCCACTGTCTTTTCAAGCTCATTAACCTGCTTCTGCAACTCACCGATGGATCCTTCGAGCACATTAGTTTCAGATTCCAGGGTTTGCTTTTCTAGCACCGAAGTGATTTTATTCACATATTGAATCATTTTCCTCTTAAATATCTGAAGACGGGAAACACACAATACGTGTATGGATTCTTTTTTTCACGTGTGCGTTCGAAAAAGCAAGCAATGAGTTGTGCCAAAAAACGGTCAAGTGCAGTGAAAGTAAAATGACTGTGAAACAGAAGGTCAAAAACGTCATCTACCTGAATTTTTTCAGTGTACATGTCAACTTGCTGCACTTGATTTCTGACAGCTTTCAGATTGCGGGATTTTTCATTTTTCTTCATGTAACTAAATTTCAAGTTGTTAAACTTCTTCTTGAAATCTTTATAGGATTCTTTCAGCTAAGGATATATTTTTACAGTATTTTTATTTTGTTCACCAAATCAACTTTATAATAGCTTCAGGCTAAAGGTGCACACATTTCAGACAACAATTAGTGCAACGATAATTCAAGAAAATATTACACCATCATATATACTATATATAGTAACAGTTGGCTCTATCATATGCGGATTGGTAAACCAGTGATCTTTTTGTTATGATTTTATAATGGAAAAAGATAACTAGTGACAGCAATTGCCGAATAACAGATGCAATATTAATCAATAGAGACCATTCCTGAGTGACAAAAACTAAAATGCAATGCAGCTATACATCAACAAAATATTCAGAAGTTTAACTAATGGATACTGACACTTTTTTTAAAACTGTCAAACAACTATTTATTTTTGCTGGAAACAGGAGACAGAAAGAGAGAGAAATGTCCCTGATTCCCAGTGCCAGTATCCATCCCCAGGCACAAGCAAATGTGCACATGGTGGCAGGTGGTCTAGGTACCAGCTGGTTTTCATTGCAAGACAACCATAGAAATCCCAAGTGAGTACGAAAATTGGGCAACTGTTGTTGGAAATCAACCCAACAATGGCAGCATTTGAATGAAGAGTCTTCTGCCCACTTTATACCAGATCCAGTACCACTTTCAGCACTTAGGTGCAGGAACCCTGATATATCTTTCCTGCTCTGAATTGGTCCTGCGCAGGAAAAGGTTTCCACACAAGCAACTGAGCACATTGTTCACGTAGCTCCCAGACAATCTTCCATCAGCAAGTCGTCAGAAAAAATGCGTTAAAATTTTTTTTTAAGCTATTCGCAAAGATTCAATTGAAACACTGGTCATCTCTTCCCAGTCAGAAACCAAGATAAAGAAGAGAACAAGAATTTATTTTAGCTCATGTGGTAGATTTTGCATAGCCTCAGCCAATGATTTACAATGCCTGAGTCTGCCTTTTTTNAAATAAAGTACTGGATTACTGGAATGGGAATCACAGAATTTCTATTCTGGCTCATGTGTCAAACGCAGACAGCTGTTCGGGCTATCCCTTCCCCCCCACTTCTTTTTATAGCTATAGAGCTATTAACTTCCTTCAAATGCCACCATAGCTCTCCAAATGCAGACAGGCTCTGAGCTCATTTCAATTTGTTAACTCATCGCAAACACATACAGGACAATTTAGCCCAAACCGTGGTGTAGTATTAATACTGCAGTATGATTTTACACAGGTTCAGAGAAATAACTATGGTCACTGCATGAGTGAACAGTATTTGCTGGTTCATTTTCTGTCTTTCACAAGTATCTGCCTCTAATTTTAGCTGTCTTGTCAGAACCATGGCATGAGGAGAGACTTTTGCTACCATCTGCTGAGAGAATCACCCATGAGATAAGATAAGATTTATAAAGCACTTGTAAAACCTTTTTTTAAACATTTCAAGCTCAGAAAGCACATTTATTTCAATGAAAATATTCTGGTACTAATTTTCAGATTATTGTGATATAAGCGGTTTCATATTTACTGTACTTTTTCAAAATTGCTGAATGATAAATGAATTGAAAATTATCTAGCCACGTGCAGAAGTGAAGTGATCGAATGGAAACCAGTATAATGGTATTTTGTTGAAATTTTAACATGTTTATGTTAGAAAAATGTAAAGAAAATATTTCAATGGTTTGCCTCTTTCGCACACCTTCGATGTTGAGAATCTCACCATTAAATGCAAGATATTTTTTATGAAAACAGATTGCTCTATTAAAGTAACACGTTACCACAGTTACACAAACACAATCTGTTATGTACTGATTGTGTTTAAAGGGGTTCCTTTCTCTGGTTGTAGGAGATGAGAATCACCAGTCGGCTGACCCTATTGAACAGCCCAATTGCTAAAACTGATTGTTTACTCAGATGTGGAAGGTGTCAGATAAAACATTAAGATCCTGTCAAAAAAGCAAATATTTTACCAGAGCTGCTGGTAGAAAAGTCCGTGATTATTTAAGGGATGAGTTTGGGTAGAAAAGAGCTCCTGCCTGATAAGCTGCGGCCTGCTCAATTCACATTTAACAATTCACAACAGTAATTTAGCAGCCAACAAAATAGCTTTTTGTGTGATTTTTTACTGCGCACAAAAATACGGGATCAGATTATATTCTACACAACGTATAATCCATTTTTTACAGCCATCGTTTTGCCATTGAAATTGCTGTTGTCCAGTGAACTAGTCCTGACGCAAAATGATTTTGCATCTATTTAATTAGAACCCCTGCCTCTCCCCCACCCCACCCCCAAGTGTTCAATTTATAATAAATCTGAAGCAGAGAATTTAAAAACTTGTGAAAGACATGTAACCTCATGTATTTCTTCTTTGGCGGTGCAGTATTCCAGGTTTGCTTGCTGCTTCTCCCCATGTCGCTCTGCATTTGCGCTCCATTGGATACTGTCAGTCTCGAGGAAATCAAGTTTCCGCTGAAGAGACTCCACTGAAGCACCAATGGTTTTCTATCCAAAACAAATGATAGGAGTTGTTACAGAAAGACAGAGCAGCGGGAGTTTATCAGCACTGGTGTGTGTCAATGTCGAGACGTTCGTGCAATTCAAAATTAACTTACCGAATGCTGTACAATGGAAATTACATCCACTGCTAACGTGAGGGCTAGTTTATATAAATAGCGCACATGAGCTTGTTTCTGCTGATGGTGGCTGTGTTGGGCCTTTGCTTGATTGATATCCTGCGACACCGCAACTGATTCTGGGTACTGTAGGTCTCCGGATCTCATTAGGTTTTCGAGCTGAAATAAATATCCATTGAAGGAAAGGGAACAATAATGACGAAAACAACAACTCGCATTTATATAGCACCCTTCACACAGGGCAGCGTCTCAAAGCGCTTAACAGTGGCCGAGCCTGATGCAGAACCGGGGGAGGGAGGAGATGACCATGAGCACGGTTGGAGAGGAAAGTCTTTAGTCTTGATTTAAAAAAGGGGTGGAATCGGGGGAGAGAGAGAGAGAGCTCTTAAGTTTCGGGCATAATAGTGATTAAAAATACACCATTAAGAACAGAATTAACAGATTGGAGATCCAGCTAGTCAGAACCATGTCAATTCAATCCATAAACTAAATCAATTAAGGAAATATACTGAAGTTTTCAAAGCACACCGAAACTACATCAAAAGCTTCATTCCATTCCATTACCTCTTGAGTAGTCCGATGAAATGTAACTGCCATCTGAAGAACAGCTTCGTATTCTTTTATTGTTTTGTTGACTTGCTGATGAACATTGAGAAGTTCCACAACCCTTTCACTTTTTTCCTTCTGGGAGACACCTTTTACCGACAATAGCTCAGCTGTTTTTACAATGTACTCCACCTCTGCGTTCAATTGCTAGTGATAAAATCAAAACCATGAAAGCAATACAGTTGAAGTGATAACAAGATGCAGGGAAACAGAGCCTGGTCAAAGTCCTGCCCCAAGCACACTGCTGAAACTAATTTCGTGGTCAATCTTTCTCTGCCATTGAAACACCATTAAAGTCCGACAGTAGAAAAACTTGCTGAAAGTATGCAATCTCACGAAGCTGCCGCTGCATATAAAATATTGCTCCCAGCTAATATTAAAAGAAATACAAATAATCTAATGCAAAACAATTTTACCATGATCCTTATCCTACACGAACAGAGACGTTAAACATTATTTTTATTAAAATTTTGAAAACAAACAATGAACGTGTACTTCTGTCAGCTAATATTTTCATCTAGTTTACATGTTCTGGATAAATTCTCAGAGAGAGGTTCTCGCATGGTCACAAACGTTTGGAGCTTATTCAATAATTAAATGTGCAGCACGCAATTCAGCATTTTGACAAGAATCAAACAGCAACCCTCACCTGCAAAAGTGGCTTTGCTTTGCTGAATTTCTCCTGCAAATTGACAATGGTCTCAAGATTGGTACCAAGTTCGATCCTAGACTCAGGGACAAGTTCCTCTTCAAGCATCTTCAGACTGCCAGTTGTCTGAACAAGACAAAATATCCCAGATGGAATTCTTGTTCGGGAAGAATTTACTTGGCGATGGTGCAGACAATTATATTTTGTAAATCAGTCCCAAAATATGTTCACATAAAGTTCTGCATTAAATCCCCCAGCAGGATAAATACAATGTTTATGAACTTTTTTAAAAAAATGCATGGGATTAGAAAAAACCAGTCAATCCATCAAGTATTTTTCTTCCACAGACTTGTACAACTGTATGTTACACGTTGCTCTGCTTCTTAACACTGTATATTTCGTAAACATTTTTGTGAGGATTGATAGACAACTAAAATTACAATTTGCACATATACAGCAGCTTTCACATCAGGAGGACATCTCAAAGCGCTTCACACAGCTGACAGAGCCAAAGGAGAAGGATGTTACAAATGGAAGTTATCCTTATGTGACATCCTGTGTCAGTTCCACTAGGATAGACTCAGGAATTGGGCAGAAAAGGGTCAGGAGTGGCCTGGGGGCAGCAGTAAATAAGCAGCAGATAAGCCTTGGTTACCTCAAAGGTTACCAAACCTATTCCAGCTGCAACCATTCATGCCCCATTTACATCGAGTATCAATATGTTGCTAGGGCGTTGGAATCAAGCGCGGTTGGGGGATAGAGGGATGGGTGGGAGAACGCGTTCACACTGGAGCCCGTTGTCTTAACTAACACTTCGGCTTCGAAAACTAAGCTTTGGAATGTTATTTTAGAGAGACGGTCACATTCTTAGATGTTTAATAATTTTAAAAATCCAACATGTCTTGACTGCTGGTTGGTGAAATATGGTAGGGTTGGATACATGCAGCTGTGTACGTGCAGAACTTTCCTCTGCCCTTGGCAGGAAATATATATCCAGCTTCCTGCTCCACAAATTATCTTGCACTTCCAACAAGGCAAAAAAGAGCATAAAATTGCAAGGCTGCATTTGTTATGAAGTGCTCTGAAGTATGAAGGTACATGGCACAGTTTAAAATAAATAGGCTATTTGCTAGATCCCTACTGCAGAGTTAAGCTTACAACTCCTAACCTTGATGCAGTCTTGAATTTAAAGCCAGGCTCAAATCAACCGTACGCATACAGCTGATGCAAATTTCTGCCAATTCCAATAGAAGGAAAATGCAATGTGTTCGTTTGCGTGGAAGTGAATACCTTCTATTGAGCAAACTGACCTGGAGTTAGCCCTGGGGGAATGGCAATTCAGCTCCAGTCAACCTGACCTTATCTGAACGGGATTCCTGTAAGACTTATAAAGTATAAATGCGGACATAAATTAGGGGTCAAATTCAGAACAGTTGTAAATCCATGGAATAGGAGCCAAAGCAAGTCTTTTGAATTATATTCACTTATTATCTATAAATCACCTCTGAGGAACAAATTCTTCATCTCTTTTCCCCACTGTGAGACCATGTCTCTCAAGGTGAAGCATTAGGGTTTTAGTTAAACCACAATTCTTTTCTAAAGCTGTGTCGTGATATACTGTGTTTCTGTACAAACGGTGATCAACGTGTAAACACATAACATATATAGACTATACCAGGCTAATTGTGATCGATCCTTTGACAATTCAACAATGAATGAATTTTTGGAAAGTCTCACTGACCTTATCAGATTTATTGGTAAGAAAGTTCCAAGACTAAAAAATTCAAAGTTGTTTGTCTTGTGATTTGGAGCCAATTTTATTTGATATAATTCCAGCTGAAACCTTATTTACAATGTTTTTCCTGACTTCCTAAAATTAGAATACTGTATATTTATTTTTGCCCAATTTTCCACAGAAGGCATTTCCTTTAGCAATTACACTGTGAACTGGTTTTGCAGATCAAAAACAAAGTTGTGAGTATTGGTTTCTTAATGTCTGAATAACCGTTCGTGTGATTTTTCCTTACCTTTTTAACTTGCTCCTTGAATTTCTTCCACTGTTTTTTGACTGATTTAATTTGATTTAGGCGCAGTTGACATGTTGTCCACTGGTTTGTGAGAGACAATTTTCTCTTGTCCAACTGATCCACTGTGCTGTCGATCACAGTCACAGCAGTTTTCATGTTTTGACTCAAACTTTCACTTGTCTGGAAAAACAAATAAATAAGCAAGTTTCAATCGGAAACTACTGCAGAAAAGACACAATTATTTTCACAACAATATTCAATCACAGGATTTTATTTGACTAGGTCAATAGAAACTGTATTTCATTACATCCTTCATAAGGTTCATCAACCTAAAGCCCTGTGTTCTACATATTCGTTGTTAAAATTTAGATTTTTAATCTATGTTTCTAATTGGTCTCCTTAATATTTTCCGTCACACTGCAATGTCATGTCATTAGCGTTTGAGGAATGCATCCACCCAATATTTGCCATCCGCGAGTAAGTAGCATTCATGTCCATGAATTCACAACAGTAATCAAATAATTAAACCATGCAACCATTTCCATCAAGGGCAATCACTTATTTCCATACAGACCAAAATTTAATAGACACAGTATAATGTCACAACAAAAAAGGTGAAAATAAGGATAAGGAAAGGCCTTTCAGTCTATTGAACCAACCACTGCCAAAGGCTAGAGATATAGTTTACTCAGTCCTGGACTTTAGTCAATTTATTTAATCTCCGTAGGGAAGTAAATAATCACACATAAAACATGTGTGAAGATTAACAGATTACGCAACTCCCAAGGTTCATTGCATAAATACTTCACTGTCTTAAGTTAATATTCTGATCCGTAATTCTTAACCCTGAGCAATTGCATCCTGCAGTTGAAATTCCCATAGACTCAGGAGGAATTAAACCATAGTATTCCATAGGATACTTGATCACTGGTCTATAGTTATCAATTTAACTGTCACATAGTAAACCCGGCCTAAGGTTTATTGTAGAAATCTATATACCGCATTTCGGTTGAGATTTTATTTCTTTGACTGGCAAAAAATATCTGACGGTAAAGAGGGTTTATGCATTAAGAATACTTGAGGCAGGTTCAGTTCTGAGGCTGATAGAAACAGTCTGCTTCAAACGCAAGGAGGCAGAATCATCATGTCTTCAGCTGTTCTAGGTTCAAATTATACCACGCTCAAAAGAGTGCAAACTTTTCCAATGCCACTCTCAAATAGGTTGTTAAAATCAAACGGCTGTTAAGATCAACAATAATAAATTTGAAATGCCAGTTGCAATCAATTACGTGAAGTCTTTAAATGCAAATCCACATCCTTGATATGTGAGCACAGTCATTTTACTATTATAAACCGCTTTTTAATAGGAATCCATTGTGCTGGTTCTAAAGGAAGACTGACTGTGTATATATATTGGGTGAAACATCAGGAGAAGTAACAATAATTTAAGCAAAACAAAATTGGAATGGCATTAATAGACAATTGTAATGTACGTGATTTGCAATGCTACTAAAAATATAATCTAACCTGACAAATGATACTCCTCAATTTCCAGGGCTTATTAATTAAGAAGTTACCGTCTTTATTCTCTCAAGTAAGCTCATGCTGCATGTAATATAATATGATGAAACAAAAGACAAGTCTTAGTAAGTAGTCCCATTGGAGAACAAGATCACATCAGCCTTTCTTTTTAAGCATCAGAGGAGAAAAAGCTATGATCAACGAACTCACTGGGGCTCACACCTAAGAGGTATAAATTCATTTCTGAATTTGTAAATAATTCTACTGAATAATATTCCCAAACAGTCACCCAGAGCCTGTAACTCTGAATGAAAATGTATTTATGGTAATTAAGGTAACAATTATGTTCAAAATGTTGAAAAGTACAACTATAATATGTAATGCATCTATCTAACATGTTCCGCCCACAAAATGTACAGCCAATTCATTTTACAGTATATTCTGTGAAACACCTTGAGACGTCTTGAAGACATGATAAGGCCCTATATCAAATGCAAGGATTATTATTATAATAAATGAATTTTAAAAATCTATTGATGGAACAAAAAATAATCAGGGTGAATCATAGACCTGACAATTGCATACAAGCCAAACTCCAAAAGAACAATTCATTCCTCTTCATTCCCACATCTAGAATTAATTCCTGAACAATGTGGCTTCTCATCAAATATTCAACTTTCTTTTCTCCTGCTTCTTCATGTAAACATTTCAACGTATTCTGATTTGGCAACAGTGATTGATGGATAATGGTGACTGAATCGTGCATAATATGAAGCTTCGGTAAATGACCCAAACATCTGACCCACGGAATACAAATTTACAGTCACATAAATCTGGATTGTTCATTTATCTGCATGGGTTAAAGGGAATGAGAAATTCACATCAAAGAGTTTTGTTTGAAAAATCCTTACCATGTGTACTGAACTCTTGAAATTGAACCCCATATCTTGAAGTGAAAGAAAGCACTTGAGGACAGATTGCCATTTGGTGTCAGCAACCTCCAGCGTGACCCTAGTCTTTTCTTCATTGTCTTCTTCTACAGGTCGAGATTGATAATAATCTTCTAAGCTTTGCATGGCCTCTTCCACCTGAACATGTTAAATGTAATACAAATTAATTGTATAAAACTTCCAATCTATCACTTCAACCATCCATTTATCTAATGAGTTTGTTGAGGAACCAACTATTTACTGGGAGCAAGGATTCCCAAAGGGTTACGCAAGGGAGAAATGAGCCACCTCATTAAAGTGCATTATTTTGAATATTGCAAAGTATTACAATTCATTTGCAAATAATATTTCAAGTAATGAATAAATGAGTTTTGCCTTAAAGGATTGTTGAATTACACAAATTAAAGGCCTTTGAAATTACACCAGGGAATGAAGATACCATTTAAATCCTGCTTCTGTTGTTGAGATTTATGGAGTATGTAATTACTTTTCTATGGATTTGTTACAATGATTTATCCAATAATGTGCCTTCACCTTTTTTTAACTATTCCAATTTCACTTCAGTATGAATTAATACAATGGTTGACATTTTTGATTTTAAAAGTAAAGAAAAATCCACCTCTTCAGCATATTTCAGAAAGGACTTGTAGGCTTGTAGGAGTTCGATTCGTGTGTTCAGACTCCGACACAATATTTTCCATTCTGCGTTCAGTAAAGCAACCTTTTCGGAAAACGCTTTTGCTTCTGGAACTTCCAACATTTCTCCCTGTTTGATGATGTCAGTGATGACTGCTATTTTATTTGCTACCTCCTGAAACAATAAAACAACACTGCAGTTAGATGTGTTCATCATTCATCGAGGTTACACCATACATAAATAATAGTATTGTAAAATTAACATGCCTTAAACATCTACCTTGTTCTTTTTTCTCCTTTGCTCTGCCAAACCTTCTTTGTTTGTTATTTCTTAATCATATTATGTACAGTACTACCTTACAAAGAACTCAAAGAAGGGTCATCTTATTTTTATTGGAACAAAATCGTATCAGGAACAAATGTGTTACGATATCAATCAAATAAATCTGTTCAGGACTCCCAGAAATGTTACTATCTTCATAAATTCTGTGAGAGGGGATATTTAATCTTTGTAAGACGTACGCACTAGGTTGAAAACGAAGTATCGTAGAGCCACTGATAATTACAGGAATCAAAATATGAAGCGTTCTTAAAAAATCACAAAGACAATTCAATGAAGAATATGAGAACCAGACATGGTTAGATGTTATAATTTGACATTTATTGTTCATAATTACAAAATGTGATGTCTATCCATGAAATATGCAAGTAGGCTGGGGATCCAGTGATAAGCCGTGTAAGTATGTTCACAGGGATTCCACTTATAAATAGCCCGAGAAGTAATCTATCATTCAGAAGCTTTTAGAGCATTGGTGACTTCAACCCCCACACTCTATCTCATTTATACTTCTGACCAACAAATATAATATATTTTATGTCTATGCTAGATTACAAAGGTTAAGTAAATATTTTACCTTGGATTGATCAGATATTTCCATGTGTTTATTTAGAACGTCTTCAGATTCAGAGAGCGAGGATCCTGGTTCCAATTTGCCGGCAAATATCGGACTATATGTCTGTAGCCATATTGAGACCTTGAGAAATGATACATTTATAGTCAAACGTATGTTCTGCGAAAGCATCCACGCATAAAAGTTCCAAACGTTTACTTCACGCAACATAGATTTTCCTTGGCAGCTTGATTTACTTGATTGTTTTGCACTTGTATTTGTACTGATTAAAATAATCTCTACGTTACACTCAATTGTGTGTGCTGGTATTTCATATTTGAAGCCTGCTTGTGATTTATCTGAAGTACAGTATATGATTCTGTTAAGCAACAGCTAAAATAATTCTTACAGTTTACCTCCTGCAGGGCATTGAATACCGCGTGTTGGGGAAAGTCCATGGAAGTGTAAGTTCTACAAAGTCTGATGGAAGGAGTGCATTGACTGAGCCAAGTAGCCTTTCTCTCCTCTTTATTATGAAGTATTATTGAACTTCTAAACACTACGATCAACACTGGAAAATTACATGACCTTGAAATGTATTGCATATGATTGCACTATAATACATTATTTCATTAAATGAACTGAAGAAGTGAAACGTTACATCTTTTTGAAATAGGATATCATTTTTTTTTAAATGAGTTTGAGTAATAAGAGGGAATTGGTTTTATTAAAGTCACAGATTGATTTGGATTGGTCTCTCGTGCTATCTTGTGTACCTTATCAAAGTGATCTTCAAAGCAAGTGATCAGCTCCTGCTTCTTTAAGGCTAATTCCTTATGAGCAAAGCACTGGCCAGTTAGTTGACGCTCTCGCTCGCGAATGTAGCCCACCATCTCCTGAATTCCACTGGCTCTAGGACTGAACACACAAAGACAGCTGCTGGTATAGCTTCCTACCCAATAAAGGGACTGAGCTAGCACTCAATGAATTCAGAACAGACATAGAATAAAAATAGTCAGGCATCAGTAACACACACCATTTTTATGAAGAACATATCCTCACTCTGACCTTGCAACTCTCATATATATGCAACTCCCATATATTTCGAATATATATATTTATCAACGTGCGCCTACTCCAGCATAACTGCAGCTGTACTTATCATTAAAAGTGATGGAATGTTCTTAGTGTTACCTTTGCCAAGTGCTGCCATCTATGGGTACATTACTCAAGAACTTTTATAAACCTTTGCTGTTCCAGAAGTGCATATTCCAACCTGACCAAGCACTCAATATGTCATTTAAAGTGCTTTACTTCCGCAACAGATCAGCCTCTCCATTTTATTTATTGAAAATCACACACAAATACTGTAAACACTGTATCAAAACGGGATCTTTTTCTTACCTTTGGGGGCCTATTTTATTTAGTAGCATTTCTCCCTTGTGTAGAGCAACTGAAACTGCATCACTGATTGCCTGGTACAGAGATTGATGTTCTTTAGAAAGTTCAAACAAACACAGGGTCTGAGAATTAAGGTGCTTCAGGTGTGTTTCGATGACTCCGAGGACATCAAAGCCCTGGTTACAGAAATACAACAAATTAATCAATCACCATATTTTAAAGCATGATGAACAAGAGATATGAATAAAGGCACAATGACTCCAGAACCTTGACCTTTAACACACACTATCGCTTTGATATTATTAAATTGTAAGTTGCTTGAACTAACATTTTATGCATCATTGAATGAAAACAACCATGTTTCTTATAAGTTGTAGAAACATAGAAATCTACAATGCTAATTGGAGGCCAATGGAGGACTTTAATGGAGTCCTGTAGCTCAGTGGTTAGAGCACTCGCTTTGCAAGTGAGAGATCCGAGTTCAGTTCCAGGCAGAGGGTGAAACCTTGGGCAAGTTTCCTTACTCCACACAGAGCCTAATAATAATCCCTCCAAAACAAAAAAACAATAATAAATTGGTCATTTTCAATCTACGACTGTTTGTGGGACATTGCTGTGTGCAATTGGGTGCCGCGTTCGCCCACAAATATACAGTCAATTCGCTTTACAGTGTGTTCTGTGAAGAGCTTTGGGACATCCTCCTGACGTGAAAAGCACTATATCAAATGCAAGGATTATTATTATTATTATTCAGCCCATCAAGTCTGCACTGGCTCAGAGAGCAAGGACATCACTTCAATCCCCCAACCCAGCTTATCCCCATACCCTTTCAAGCCCCTCTGTTTCATACGCCTGTCTACTTCCCTCTTGATAGCTACAAAGAATTCTACCTGCCAAATTCTACCAAAGGGTTCGACATCCCAATTGCACTCTGGGTGAAAAGATTCATTCTACGGTGCACTTGGTATTTCCAATCAGTAAACAAAACAGCAGCCATGAAGTGAATGATCAAAGGTGATTGCTCGCAGCGACACAGGGAGAAACTCTCTTTGCTGTTCAAATAGTGCCATGGGACCTTTAATGTCCACCTGAACAGGCAATGAGAGATGAAGTTCAAGATATTGATAAGGACAGATAGTTGAAGCAAATTTAGAGATAAGGGAGATTAATTGTCAGACAGGTTCTGCAACAATGACAATAATATTCAATCAAAACAGCGTTTCCCTAAACAATAACCAGGTCGTCCAAGAGCAAGATGAGGAGAAAGAATACAGAGAGACTGACATTTAAGAGAAGAGATAACCAAGGAAAATGTAATTATTTAATGTGGATGATAAGTGGGCTGCTTGCTGAATAATGAGGAAAATCATGAATATTTTGTATCATTGAAGTGAAATAAAAGAGAGAGCCTGAACAAATCTATTGCTCCTTGAACCTTTCCTGCATTATATGTTAAAATCCTCCAACTTCAGCTGGGCAAAAGTTTGTATACGACACGTATCACGAAAAGTATATGAGAATTTCTATGTGGCACGAAAAGAAAAACAGTGCTATATGTAACCTCAGAATGGTTAGAGCAGAGGGATGACATGTTTGCTAACCCTTTGAAAAGGACTGGTGGCATGGTAGAGAGGGTTGAGGTCATCTCTAGACATCCAGCTGTTGCACAGACTAGATTGACACCTTCTCACTGGGCTTTGCATTAAATCCATGCGTATTTTTATCAAGACGCAATTTCAACAGCTTTCTTCAGCTCAATGAGGATCAATGGTAAAACACATATTGTTCTCACTCACATCAAAGGATTATTCAGAATTAAACAGTTGCACCTGCTGCTACTAACCTTTTGTGCTTAACAATCCGCTCCAATCATTACTCAGAATTACAGGTAGCAGCATGAAAAGTTTGCTTCACCCCGAGGGGAGTGTTTATTTACGGGTAAGATCCCCGTGAAAGACAGCTGTTCCAAACTCAACTCGTCGCCACTTTGGCTCACAGTGATGTAGAGGGCTTCCAGTTTACATGCAGCAGCACATACTGACTGCAAGGCACAGCTACCACCTTCTTCCCCCACCCCCCAAAATAAACATTTCTCTGTGCTGGCCATCCATTTAAATCTCGTCGCTGAGGAGCACCTCTCTTTGTTTTTGCAGGATTTCCATTCCCTACACACACTCCCTCGCGGCGTAAGACCACTTGTGCTAATTAGTCACCAGCTTAAGCCAGTTTGGACTGAGATGCTTTCCATTGGGAGTGGAGACGGCTGAGGATTATTTCACTCCTGACCTTTAAGAGCTGTCAGAATCCCAACTCCCTGAAGCGAAAGATACTACTACTGTACGGTTTCCAATAGACCAGCAGTTCATTCCTTGGTATATTACTTTTTTAAATATTTCCCTTTATAATTCACCTTTTGATTTGCTTCACATCTAAATATTCTTTCCACATCTTGCACTTTCTCATTTAACAGCACCTATGGTTTCAGGAATAATATTGCCCCACTAAGCTTCAGAAATACACAGCGCATTACTGTCAGACCAACTAAAGGATAAATATTCTCAAACTTTTGATATTGCAGAAATTTATTCTGGAGACACTGAATGAATAACTGGACAACAGTTGAAGGACAAATAGAAAAAGAGAATCCACAATGGTACAAGATTACATAAAATGATGTGAAGTCTTGTTGAACATAATAATTGTTCAATAAACCGATTCAATAACCCATAGACAATTGTGTTTAAAATGTACCTTTTGCAAACCAGAAGTTGCTGCAACAATTGCAACTTTCAATTTGCGAATACAATTTAGGCCATTCATCTACAAATTCAGTAAAAGAAAATGCTGAATGAAGACATCAGTAAAGATCACACAAAATCACAAAATTTGAATGAAGAAGGCCCTTCAGCCTATCCAATCTCATTGTTTCAGAGCACCCACCCTACTGTTTCTTTCAACCTCCCCCATCACAGCATTAATAACACACCAAATAACATTCTATGTATTTCACGGGATTGACTCCAATTTACGTGGGCCATTAATTTTAGTGAGTAATCTTGAATGTTGCACCTTGTCAAACAGTGCTGCACTGGGCCCTGTTGACGGTCATCATTATTTGGGATTATTCTTATACGTATTTCGAGATGATAGCATGTAGTAACTCAGTTTCGATTCAAGTTGCTGAAATCAGCTCAAGAATGCAGTGTAACATGTAAAATGACTTCATTAGCTTTGTGAGTATGAGAATGTGCATGTCAAGAATGGTGGCTTCCTCTGGATGATTAATTAGAAATGCTATGAAGAACACATTAGAACAGCACTAAATAGTTGGTTAGATCTGTAATGGCTAGTCATTTTCTCACATTGGATTTTATTTTCCAAATGGATTCTTCATGTAAATGAGTTATACAGCATGATCCACATTGTACGATGCAGCAAACACTTGAAACCTTCAGGACCAGACAGTGTATCTCATCGCATAGGAAGAACAAAGTATTTATCTGTACACAAAATGTAGAATCCCTTAAATGATGCTACTGCTTAAAACATAACCTTCAATAACTTTTTTTTATCACAATTCCTGTAATATGTTTTGGTGTAAGCATTCATTCTTATAAATTGGATCCAAGTAAAAATGATGTAATTAAAATTTTAATTAATCTGGAAAATGTTTACCTAGTTTGTGGTAGGTAACAATCTAACAGCAGAAGCTGACCCATAAATTAGCACAACTAGGCACCATGTTCAGCACGGACTCAGAGGCAGGATGAAAAGGATGGTTAGTGTAGGAAATAAAAAGCTTTGCACTGGTGCAATTGGAGCATGAAATTAAAATACATTGTTGGGCAAAGTAGAAGGCATGCTCCCCATCTGGTTCTGGTATAGTTCATCTGTAAGCGTTTAGTGCTGACACTGGGGTAAAAAAAACATACAAGCATACCATTCCATAGCATCCTCGTCACCTTATTGCTGCTGAACATGAAGCGAAATCACTTCCAGCAATAGAGGAATAGTGGGCGGGAAAGCCTAATTTATACATTCCTGATTTTTGTCACACTGTTTAAAAACAAATGACCGAATGTAAAATGTTAGATGTGGAATGAGGGTGTGAAAACAAACTAACATTAATCCTCGCGTTCAAGGCAGGATGACGTCTCAAAGTGCTTCACTGAATTTACTGTAAAGTATCATGACTGTGTATTTTGTAGGTGAACTTGGCAGCCAATTGGCCCACAGTGTTGTTCCACAACATGATGTGAATGACCAATTAATTGGCCATGACACTGGAAAAAAAATCCCTTCAGCTTTCAAATAGTGCCATGGGCTCTTTAATATCCAGCTGAAAAGGCAGGCGGGACCTCACTTTAACATCCGATCGAAAGGATGGCTCCTCCAACAAAGAGGCATTCACCAGCACTGTAATAGAGTCTCGGCATAGACTGTGACTTCAAAGTACCGATGTGGGGCTTGAACCTACAAGCATCTGATTTAGAGTGCTACCAACTAAGCCAGGCTGACAAGGAAGGGAGTTTGTTGTACTGCCAAGTACTATAATTCCTTGTTTGTAACCAGCTGCCACAAAAATGCATTCACTTTTTCCTGTTCCTTTCTGCTAAACACGTTTTGTGTAAAACACACAAGTGGATCACAGATAAAAATTCACAGATTTGTTTGGGTTAATCGGGGAGAGATACTTTAGTTCAAAAGACAAACCAGCGCCTGTTGAAAGCAGGTCTTGCACTAAGAACCGACAATCAGAACCACAGAGCTTTTCGAATCGTTTTATTGCTTACCCCATCCTGGTGACCTACCGCTGCCCTGCTGAGAGGCTACCTTGGCAGTCTGCTCCCAAATCTTTAGCAATGCCTTGCCTGAGATAACCATTAGGGGACATGGATAAGCAGCATAGAGAAAGAAAGAGTCTCTGATACTGCGAGTGTGTGTGAGAGGCTAGACTCTACTCAGTACCCGATTGAGGGTGATCTGATAGCTTAATATTATTTTAAAAATGACACTGGGACACATTCTTTCCGCAACTGTGACCTTCCTCAATGTTGATCCTCTCATCTTTAAACGTTTTATCATTGCAACGAGTCTCTTTGTTATCGTTAAACAGACAGGACAAGAGCCTTACAATAAAACGATTAATAATGAAATGCCAACCACACCTCATACAGATTGACATATCTTTCACTGTTCCCAAGTTTAGAAGAGGTTTACGTTGCTAATTTAATACAAAGCAGCAAAGTATTGGACTTATGTGAGCTAAAGAAAATCAGCAGCTGACATCTCAAATCCATGAGGTGGCAGCAGAGAAACAAAAATCTCTTCCAAAAGGGCAGAAGATTCTGGCAACTTTCATTTTGTGCCTTTGTGCATTAGCTGCTGTTTCCTTTATCATCTTCAGTACGTTTATTGTCGTATTGCTAACTTTGTGACAACAAACCACAACGTTCTCATTTAAGCTAAGACTTTCACCAAGCGTCTTAATTCCACACCTGTTTATTGGGAGTTTTTATATTTCTTGCCTTAACAATTTAGGGATTTCAGTTCTGGTGAAGAATGGAATTATTTTTAAAAATAATTGATACCTTGGGCAAAAATTCCCTTGTGCCGTTAAATATAGCATGTGCCTTTTGGCAGGGCACATCCTCAAAGTTACTGGACTTTGTAACAGAAAACTTTCCACCCGGATGTCACCATTTAATAGCCAGTTGTAAAATCAAGCTCCTTCTACTCTGCCCCAAGAGTACTGTAATCCTAACCTCTTCTCTCTCCACTGCTAAATTTGGTTCCTGTACCAGTCATCCACCTGACCTCCATAAATAAGGCATTAGCTGATCCTCGTTTAATTGGACCAGAGAGATACCGGGAAGTATTTCTTTACATAAAAGGGTAATTAATGATTGGTGTAGGCTGAGGCCATGACACTGGACTAATTTTAAAAAAAAGTTTTATGTTGAGATAGAGGATGGTATGATGGGGTTCTGCAAGAAGAAAATTGTTTCACTTCTTTATTTGAACCAATCTGGTGATTTTATGATCCCTTCATTCCTATGTCCATTCCCCAGCTGAGAGGGTGTAGCAATAGTATTATGGTGGCAAACATTAAGAGTTGCACGACTGACAGGAACATGAGCCTTTGATCCTCCCAGATTCTGTCTGGCAAAGTCTTCTAGCAACACAGGGGGGCTCAGGAAGTCCCTAAGTGGAAAAGTTCAGGTTAAATTAATTCTGATCTTGCCCCTCCGTTGAATTCGGAGTTTTTGACCAACCTACTATTTTTTATGGAAACAGCTAGTATTTTTATTATTGGCTTTGATTCCTATAATGAACGAAATGTGATTTTCTTTTTTTTTAAAAAAGGAATCCCCCCCATGAAAATATTGTATAAAACAATTCAAATGCCTTGTCAGGAATTATCAATGAACAGACCTTTCATTGAATTGCACAGAAGCAATTGCAATACCTAGAAATGCAGTCCTCGCTGTGACGTTTGACACCTCCTAGCTACCAGTTCAAAGTGACACTGACACAACTACAACATAGCAGTCATATGTGATGCTTAGGGAAAGGAAGAAAAATAGAATAAGGTTCCACACCCACCCCAGGCCCCATCCCGAAATGAGCAAAAAACAGTGTTCAGTTGTAAGGAGTATATTTGAGCATTTACATGTATGTTAAGAAGTCAACACACGTTTGGTTCACAAACTAACCTTATTTGCACTATTATAAAAATCATGGGCTTCCTGGAGTAGTGCTCCTCGTTCCTCTACCAGCTGCCAGAACTCCTCGCACAGCAGCTTCAGTTTCTGATTCCGAAATGTCACCTGTTCCTTATCCGTCAAGCCTTGCGTAAGCAGAATTTCATCAGCCTCAGCTTCTAATCTTTCTGGAGCACAGCTCAATTCCTGGATAGAATGGTTTAAATTCTATTATTTATGACTGATATCACATCAGCGCCAAAATCACAAACAGGCACAAATGTACTTTCTACTTTGCATATGAAAATCTGATTTTTTTTTAACAATTATGCATGATAATATCTATAAGATTGTTGCTGCTGGCTGATAAATTGGTAATAATAAGCAAAATTTAAGATCATCATTGGAAGCATTATGGGGGAGGTTAGAAGAAACAGTAAGAGTTCTGGAGCCAGCACTCAAATACATTTTAAAAGAAACTGAATGAAAGCGAGAGGATGACTGATAATCCCCTTTACTACTGCACATCATATTCTGCACAAACTTTGTCACTGGGTAGTCATTGTGCAAAAAAGCTTTGAAATATTCTTCACAATTTTTAATCCTAATTTGTCCCAGTCAGCAGAGTCTTTAATCTCACAGCCATGCAAGCCACATTTTTGTACAAACATATCTATCCACAACAATGACAACAACAATCCCGTCACGCAGGATATCGTCTCAGAGTGCACAACACCCAACGATCAATACCCAACTTGAGCTCCTCTGCCTCTCGCAAACTCCTCCCTGCTTTCTTTCGCCCACAAATGTGCGGTCAATTCATTTTACAGCATATTCTGTGAAGCGCTTTGAGACGTCTAGAAGACGTGAAAAGCGCTATATCAAATGCAAGGATTATTATTATTATACTCCATCCATGGAGGGACTTTCAGGATTTGCGTTTCCTCGAGGAATATATTTTTTACAGTGCTTAAATTTATTCATATAAGCTCCAAGTCCAGTAAGCACACCCAACTGCATTTTGTTGACATTGGAAACAACATAAAAAGTAATTGACTGAAATCGAAAGGATACTTCTTGATGTCAAATTACCTTTCTCTATATACAGATCTGCTCCGCAGTGAAATAATGGAATAAATCACAGGCCTCTTGAATTCCTGATCATATGATTTTAGATTCTGTTGCTGTATGGTTCACGTTTCAGTCAGTTATCGTCTCTATAGGGTGCCCTGGATGATTTGTTTAGACAATTGCTAGGTGGAGCAGTGCCTGAATGTTATTCAGGAGAGATTTGCTCTTACCTTGGCTTTACTCACAAATTCTTTATATTCCAGCAACAGCTGTTCATTTTCAGTCAGAGATGAGCCAAGCTGTTCGATCTGTAAATATGCTTCTCCTTGCTGTCTGATCCACTGTATTACCTTCATTGAACACACAGAAGAACATTGACTTATTTCAAATTGCCTTCTGAAGGTTATTTATTATAGCATTATGAAGACAAATTATGTTGCCCCAGTCTTATTCTTTATCTGAATCTGAACAGTGCTGTACTTCTGAAGGCAGCCACAAAGCACTTACACACTGCACAAAGCATGTCATTCTGTTCAGATTCCTTTAGAGAGGCCCACAATCACCTTTCAAATTATTCTTATCAAATAAAAATATTAAACTTTTATAGCTGGTAAGAGTTACATGTTGCAAAATAGTAAATGGACGAACAGAACAAATTAAATCATACAAGAAAGTACAATTTCAAGCTCTAATTATGATTGAAACTGTGTTAACTTTACAATTTTCTTTAATGAACAAGACTTCATGAGGAGACAATATATTAATCCTTCATAATTTGTTATCGATCTACGGCGGGCAGATGGTAAATGAAACAGCACTACAGCAGTACTAAAGTTAGGAGATCCCAGCAGTGATTTTTCATTTACTTTAACACTCACTAACAAACTAAAATTAGACAACATGTGAAGAAAGATTAATATCTTCTATCCCTGAGGGATTGAATAATTGCCCTGGAGATTTTCAGCTGATATACTGTACTGCAACACTGAACAAAATTAATATTACAGTAATAAAGCTACGACATTTTCAGGGTAGATTTTTACTGTACTCCTAACGATACAAATACATAATTTGGATTCAAAATAAGTTTATAAACTTGTACTTGCCATGTTACCAGTCCACCAATTAATTCTCATATCTCAGGGTTTTCAGCTGCAGAATCATTTTCCATTTGAGAATCCTATTCAAGTTTGGCAGACTTCACTTTACTAGTTTATATTACTATTGCATAGCATGATTTGGACTGAAATGTTATTTGGCCACAGGATTTTAACAACAATAATACTTATGTCACTTTTTGTGTCCTTTGTTATTTGTGATGAAAAGTCATACTTTGTCTACAGAAAAACATAGTTTACAGTAATTCCTGTGCAGTGCCTTGAGATGTTTTGATGATGTGGTATATTAAACTCAAACAGTATTATTAATATCACTATGTTAAATGTACACCAAAGTTCCAAGTGTTCATCAGTTGTAAATGAAATAGTATTTACAATGCAAGTAGTTCTGTACTGTCCTTTTTCATATAGACACTCTATGCCCCTAAAGGTTCACTCCTCAGTCTGTTGAAACCGGAAATGTCTGTGATCAAAGGATAATTATAGTGTACCCAGATTTTTGTTCTTATTCTGAGAGTTACTTCTACGGTAGAGCTTACTATTTAATACTGCAAGAGGCAAAGTTGCCTTTGTGTTATAACAATTAAGTCTGTACTTTGAAATAAAATCTATCATGTCAGTTTCTATTGGTAACACGGTGTTTGTAAAAAATATGGAGAAGTGTTCCTGATAATTAACAGCATTTGGTTCCAATGTGTTTATTCTAAGTGTGGGAAAGAAATGCGTTTCTATATTTAAGTTAAATAGCAGTACTCTTACAGTGCTATTCAGGGAGTGACAATGTTTTATTTGCAGTAGCATCAAAGTAAGTTCAATATCATTGAGTGACAGATGGAGATAGCAGCACACTAATAGCTTTGCTCGCTGATAATAGAGAGTACAAGCTACACTCATATCTTCATGGTAACAAAACTGAGACCAACACTGACAAAAGGTAACCTTCTACAAGGTCTTGAACCACTGGCTAATTAACCATGGCAGAAATACTGCCTGGCATTTACCCTGCTCCATGTTACCCCTGTTACAAAACAACTTACACTTATATAGTGCCTTTCACGCAGGACGAGTGTCTCAAGTGCTCCACAATGCTGATAAGGAGCAATGTAGGAGAGGAAGGAGGATGTTTCTGATTGTTGCACTTTAACTCTTTGGTGCTTTACACCTACTTAAGAGTAACTAAATCAGACTGAGATCCACATATGTATGCTACTTAAACATGGAAATTTCCCTGTGTCTGGAATGGGAATGCGCACTCTCTTTCTCCGGAGGGCTGCACCTGCTTAACTATTAGGTGTAGGTTGGCAATATAGATGAAGAACAATTTCAAAGATAACCATTCGATCACATGCAAGCAAAATGGCCAGATCTGAATATCTTATGGATAAACAAACAACCACGACACATAGTGAGAGCAGACCTGCAAGCCATGCAATGAAGCAACATCCTGCCAGCTAAACAGCTGGAACTAAGCAGTGTGAGCCTGCACAAACAAGCACGCAGATGCACATATACTTTCCAGACCTAGACGTCTTCAATCTACTAGATGGGACCATTTTGACAGCCGTGTTCATTCTCTCTCTCTCTCTCTCTCTCTCTTTACCTCTCCCCCACTCCTCCTTCCAAACAGTTGCAAATGGCAAACAAATACGGAATAAACAAGTAACTGCTTCTTAAAAGCAGTCTCCGTACTCAGCCAAGCAATGTAATAGTTCAAGATCAAAGGTGGATTTGGATTTCTGCGTGTGTGTCTGCGTGAGAGAGACTGATCTCATCAAAATGCGCAGTCAATCCACTTTACAGTATATTCTGTGAAGCGCTTTGAGATGTTTCAACGAGGTGATAGGGAGCTATATCAAATGCAAGGAATTATTATTATTATTATTTCCTCCTACCTCATCTACCTGCTGGTCCCATTGGTAGATCCGAAGAATCTGCTCGAGGTCTCGCCACCTGTGATGCAATTGTTCCTCCAGCTGCCTCCTCCTGTCCTGTAGCAATTCCAACAGACTCTCAATCTTCATACAGCTACTCCGGGCTCCGTGTATCAGCTCCGAGCTCACTAGGGGTCCAGTTGGTTTGAAAGCCTGGATAGCATTCAGCAGTTCTTGACTCTTGTTTAGAAGAGCCATGGAGCTTGTTAAAAGAACTGTGGCAAAAAGGAAATCAGTGTTCAGAATTAAAGGTCAGGGCAGCAATAGGTTACAACGTTCATCTTCACTAAAATTAAGATGACTTGAAGATGTTCTTAAGGGGAGAATCGGATATGCTCAACACGCAATGTTTTAGGATTGTTCTCTCCATCCAGCTCATGATTTAGGATACTTAATTTGCAGCGTTTCACCCGCAAAATATACAGTCAATTCAGTTTACGGCTTTGAAACAGCCAGCAACATATTTTTTTAAAATCTCATTGCACTGCGCAGATCTTTCAGACACAACCAGATTAGAAAATAAAGGTTACCACAGCATCACTTAGAAACAACTGCAAAGATTGCACATGCACTGGGACCATTGCTGTGGATTCTTTCTTCCAGGGTATGGGATGGGCTCTGCAGAATATAAATGGGACATTAGATGACACTGATATAAATGGAAGCTGCATGCGCAGTGGGCTATGTAACTTGGATGAAGTATCAACGCCTATTAAAAGGAATTGTTTACAAGCCTGACCTGGTTCACTTTGGCCAACAATTTCAGACACTGAGCCATGAAGTCAATGTGACCTGAGCTCCTATTCTCCCTTCTATTATTTCTTGGATCCTGTGCAACTCGGTGATGTGTAAAAGGGTTCTTTTAGCTGTTTGTAAGCGTTGGAAAACATCCCACCATAGAATTTGTTTGATTTCATTGACAATGCAATTGACTCAAGCTTCGATATGTTGCATATGGAATAGAGCCCACTCAAATATGTTTTATCAAATGCGATTCTGGTGATGTCTGTAGTCCCCGTCGATCTGTTTGTGTCCTCCGTAAGTCCTAATACTGTACTCACCTTTAGTTCAATGAACCATACCTAGCGAACCAACTCACACCCTTTTACAAACACACAAAATCAGTGTAAGCACAACAACAACTTGCCTTTGGTGACATGTTGATGCTGGTGAAAGAATTGCTTTAAGGATCTGGTGTCCTCAAATACCTGCGCACTGTTCAGCAAGTCTTCAGCTTCATCAATTCTTATTGCAAACTAAAAAGACAAATGTATTTGAGTACAGAAACAATTCCAATTATAGCCGCGCTGCACACGATCAACATTCAATTAATTATACGTTTTAATTCCGCACTGAAAAGGAACACAAATCTCAATTATATTTTAGAGGCACTTTTTTTTATATATATGCAGTTGGTTACCAACCTCTAAAGCTTGGTCAAAAAATTCCGATGCCAAGCTTAAAAGTCTCTTGCGCTCTATAAGCAGATCATTGAGAGCTGTCCAGTTTTCCCCCAGAGTCTTTGCCATTGCATCATATAACTGAGAGTGATCTTTATCAGCTTCTGCTGTTTTATCAGCTTCACACAGTAAATCCCACACATCGTCTTCATGTCCCTTTTAGAAAGAAAAACATGAGTCATTAACAAAATGCCTTTCCTGTTTGAACAAATTGAAGCACAGAGGTCATTGCTACAGTTAATTTTCCAAAACAAATGGTTGCAAAGAATTTGGATTAATTATACCATTTTAATTTTTGATAATTATATCCGCTGATTATTTTTGTTGAGAAAATATATATTTTCGTTAAACCGCATTATTTAGTGTGTATCAGGTTTGGAAACACAGGTGATTAAGTTTGTAAATTGTGCAATAATGTCCGCAAGAATCCCAAAGTGATCAGATTTTTTATCTGGAGATATGGAGATGGCAACCAGTGGCTGAAATGTAGGGATCAGATAAATAATTCCCAACATTCTTCCCAAGATAATTTCTCACCAGCGCTGTTACTTGTGCCCACAGTGAATAGCACCATAACACAAGAAGATTCATTGCTACTCAATGCTCTTGGTATCGAAAGGATGCCATTTGCATTTGTTCAATATCTTAACAAGTGGTCTCGCAGGAGGAAAACAAGGCAACATAATTAAACACAACCTGTCAATACTGTATATACCTGTATTATGCACCATTACATCTAATGTTGCAAATTGTTATTCAGAATACAGCCTCAAGTGGAAATTCAGTACGATGTATTTCCATATCCCATTATATCAGGTGGTGTGACATTTAGAAGGAACCTTCTTTCTAAAGATCACTGTTTAAGCTTTAAATTAATGCATTTTAGACTCAATACATTGGGCTCATAGGTTCCATACATGGAAATTCCTTCTGTTTGGTCAAACTGGTGATTTTTATTCTCCCTAACTACAAGCGCAATAACACAGCTTTGAGATAAATAAATAATACTGAAGTATCCCATTACATTCCTGAGCAATTTTTGTGGTTTGTTCAGTTAAAAGGAATGTTAAAGCAGAGTTCGCTGGATAATTTACTATTCAGAAGTTATTTTCATTACTAGATTCAAGCTTCGGAAATGTTGAATCATTGGAACACATTGAATCACTGTACACTGCTAACCCCCTGAGGATCTACTTTCATATGGAGAGTTTTTTTAAAAAATAACATGGAAAACCAAGGTAAAGACCAAAGACTCGAATTGCAGTCCATCACCAAGCTTTAAAAAAATAGCACAGAAAACGAGAAGTGGTCAGATGATCCCAAGTTAGGGATTTTAAGAGGAAGGGGAGATTGGGGGAGGAAGCCAGTTCCAACATTTTTGAGGTCCTGGGAAAGAATTGAGTTTAAGTAAGAAATAGTTTGATGAGTTTGATTACAACATAGGATGAAAAAGCAAGGAGGAGGAGGAATATGTCGGGAAAATTATTTAGAGCTTGACAGATGAAGATAATAAGAGAGTTTAGGATGAAGAACAACAACAAATTGCATTTATATAGCACCTTTCATGTCGGAGGACATCCCAAGGTCCTGGAAAGTTAAGGAACGTATTGTGGATTGTATGACTGTTCACAATGTAAAATAATTACATTTGTCTAGCTGGTTTTTCTGTTGTGAAACTGCTCTCAAATATAACAAAGAGAAATTCCCACAGCATCCAGAGCCTGAGGCAATATGGCACAACCACTTTTTTAAGTGAATCCGCAATACATTTGTCAAAATTCCCTTTACTTCCATCTATCCAATTCAAATAAGACTCACTCCATGAATCAATGACATTCTGGCATTCCTGTCCTGAGCATCTCAGCTCAATCCACAAAGGAATGTAACCTTTTTTTTAACCAAGTTCTTATTTGGATTACTTTAGAAACACTTGACAGCTGAAGAAGAAAAATGGAGAAACAGTAAATCCACGGTGAAGAAAATACAATGGGACTGTGATTCCTTATTTGCTAAGTATCATTACAGAAATGTTATGCTTCCGACTGAAGCATCAATTGCATGGGAACTGGCCATTTCCTCATCACTTATTCAATCTTTTGAATAAAACATGGTGTGATGAGCCTTCGGTGCCCGAGTATCACTGGGAGCTCTGTATTGAACAGTTGGGATTGCTGAGCTTGTAATGTTCTTAGTTTTCACCATTGTTTGCAATCTCAGTATTTTACATCAAATACAAAAGCAAACACTAATGTAATAATCATAGCTTGCAAAACTGTTCCAAAGGCGGCTGCAACCACACAACCTCAAAAGCATGATTTCTGTAGGACGTTTTGAGCTAAACTAACCACAAACTAATTGCAATAAATTTCCAACCATTGTTTTGATACTGAAAGGTAGAAATATCCAGGGTATGTAATTTAGAAAGTTAAGGAATGTATTGTGGAATTGTGGAATGTACGACTGTTCACAATGTAAAATAATTATAGAATCATAGAAACGATTGCAGCGGAGTTTAGCTCATTGGAACTTTTCAAGCTGCTTGGTCAATTTCCAATTATCAGAAATAAAGCAAGTTAAAGGAAAAGTTGAACTGTTTATATTGCTCGGGGATCCTGGATCATCTTAAATGGGAACAGTGATGCATCATTGAGACATCCCAACAGCAACAACTTGCATTTATAAAGCGCCCTTCACGCAGGTAGCTCAGATCTCAAAAGCTCCACAATAATCAGCTGTGTTGTCTTTGTATCAGCGTGTAACTGTGGTCAACAGAAATTTCAAATGCTACGTAGATAAATCATGGTAACCTGTAAAATATGCACTTTGTATTCATTTTGAAGCCCTCGTGCTGTGCATTGCACAAGTAAGCTGCAGAGAGTGGTTGTAAAGCTTCACCAATCACTTATGACATAGTCTGTGGATATCGGGATTCATTATCATTTTTTAATCCAGTTTATTTTCAGTTTGGTTTAACACGCAACATTTTTGATGTAAGCCCTAAAATTAACAGAATCGTTATTTGTTTCAACCAAAAGTTTTATTTCTTGGTTTGATTTTATCCCATTGCACGTGAATATTTAGTGAAAGATAAGGCACACAGAAACGTTATTCTCAAAGTAATGCAAACAATCATATTGCAGAAAACACATTGTATCAAGTTTTTGTGCCAAGCATACGTATACTATAATATAATAATAATCTGCATTTGATGTAGCATTTTATCACGTCGTCGAGATGTCTCAAATCGCTTCACAGGATATACTGTGAAGTGGAATGACTGTGAATTTTGTGCTCAAAATGACTTTTATACTGTACATCATTTTCTACTCAGCAATGAAAATATACTGACTTTAGATTAAGGAGGAACATTGGCCAGGATAACAGAACTCCCTTTTCTTCTTTGAAACAGTACCAGGGGATCATTAACATCTGCCTGAATGAGCAGACAGGAACTTGGTTTAATGTTTCCACTGAAGTACTGAACCTCCAACAATGCAACACTCCCTTTGTAAATACTCCAATGTCAGCCTAGGCGATGAGTTCATATTGGGCTCAAACCCACAACCTCCTGACCCAGAAGCATGAGTGATAATAGCTGGAACAACCTAACAACACGTTATATTGTGAACAAATCAAACTGGATGTTTGTCTTGCAATGAAATAATAAGAGACGTTTTACTGGTGGACAGCACAGCACTCACAGGAAGCAGCACCATGTCTCTCCCAGCTGCTGCTATGTATTTAATCTCCATAAACATACCAGCGTCTTAAAATACATTGCTCCTAATTCACATGCCTTTGGAAGATCTGATGAATACAATTCGTGCTGCCGCGACTCACCCACCAAATACACACTCACTTTGAGATGTCTCAATGACATGATGAGACGCTGTATCAAATGCAAGGATTATTATTATTATTATTATTATTATAATAATTATTATCTTCTCTGCCAGTGATTTAGTTTTAGTGCAATAATATAGATATTAAAATTCTAGGTAAATTCAGCTGAACAGTAATAATAATAATAATCATCATCCTTGCATTTGATATAGCGGCTTATCACATCATTCAGACATCTCAAAGCGCTTCGCAGAATATGTTATAAAGTGAAGTGACTGTGCATTTTGCGGGTGAAACGCGGCAGCCAATTGCGCATTTTTTATATTACTTGTAGAAAGCTGTCTTTCTAGTATTATTTTGGAGAAAAAAAACGAGAGAGAAGACAAAACTGTGAGAAGTGATGCCATTCACTGTATTTCATGTGACCGATTCTCTCATAAAATTAATTAATAAAACAATGGAGACTAAAAGACAGTTAGAGCTACATCGTTAGACTGTTTTTTTTACACACAAAGTGATTGGATAAATGGTCATTGTGTCTTAATGGTACCTTAAGGACTGACCCAGTTGGGATCTGGTACATAAATAATTGTCCTAGGTTTGTGGATGGAAACCTGTCTCATTAATTCTTTACACCTGGAAGCAAAGGTACTGACAGTCTCGGCCCGTGAAAGTGGGCAAGAGCGTGTGGAAGTGAGAAGGTACAGTGCTGTAGCTTGAGAAAGCCCAGTGCGAAAGGGACCAGCTGAAATAGACAACTTAATAAAAAACAAAGAAGACTTTTCTAAATGGGGACCAGAAATTCATACGAAATTGCTATGACAAGTTGGAAAGGGACAGGGGAGTGAATAGCTGAAAATTTCTAAAATGTACCACTGAAGCTACAGAATAGTTTCCCCTCTGTTTTGCGAAGAAGCAAATTGAACAAGAGACAAGAGAGTAGTAGACTGTTGAAGGAGCAACATGATGTCTAACATGGTGGAGTCCAGTTGCTCAGTGGTTAGAGCACTTGCCTCGCAATCGAGAGACCGGGTTTGATTCCCGGCAGGGCAAAATGTTGGGCAAGTTTCCTTACTCCACACCCCTCTGTTCACCTAGCAGTAAGTAGGAACCCGGTTGTTAGTCGATTGGCGGATTGCTTTTCTGGGGATAATAATTCCTCAAAAAAAATTGAGTCACTCAATCCACGGCTGTTTGTGGGACACTGCTGTGCGCAATTGGCTGCTGCGTTTCGCCCACAAATATACAGTCAATTCACTTGACAGTATATACTGGGAAGCGCTTTGCAAATGCAAGGATTAATATTATTATTATAAACTAAGGAAAAGAGGAGCTAGTTAATGAGTGAAATGGGAGTTAGGGACACGAGTACTCTCATGAAGGCACAAGGTAAAGCAGAGAAAGTGTGAAGGTACAGGCTTGAGAGAGAACTTATAAAATATATACGACAGAATCTACACAGTTCATCAGGCAACAACCACTTACGTAGTCCACTGGGGAGTATTGCTAATTGCTAAGTATCCATCACTATTTTCAGTACATAGAAAGTAAAATGGCAACACAGGAGGCTGGTAAATCAGATACCAGCTATCCATACATCCGAATGCTCATGCAGAGCTATGCCATCCCTCTTCATAAAGGTGAGATGACAACAAAAGGATCTGATGCTCGTCTGGATTCTCCACCTCCCCACCCTCCCCCTCCTACTGCTGGGAGATTCAAAACACCACGAAAACTCCATTGTGACCGAAAGGACAGCAGTTATCGCTTGGAGGAAATGAATGCTACTGTTGCTGCAAAATTTCTTGAAGATGACATTTATTAAGCAGGCACTGTCATGCAATGATAATAATAATGATAATAAGCCTTGCATTTGATATAGCGCCTTATCACGTCTTCGAGACGTCTCAAAGCACCTCATGGAAGTGAATTGACTGTATTACATTGTGGATGAAATGCACAGCACTGTCTCACAAACAGTCGTGGATTGAGTGACCACATATTTTTTAAGGGTTTGAATGATTTGAATGCCTCTCCTCCCTCATCCACCTTATTGGGACCGCACTGGCATGGTTCGAGTCCTACTTAACCAACAGCTTCCACTTCATGTCCTCCCGCCCCCACATGGTCCATTGGCTCCCCATCACCAAACAGATTGACTTCAAGATCCTCACACTTGTTCACATCCATTCACTCCCTGGCACCCCCCTACCTCTCTGACCTTCTCTCTCCCCAATCCACCCACCAGCTCCGCTCAACTAGCACTGCCCTTCCACTTGTCGCTCGCACCCTCCATCCCACCATCGGAGGTCACGCTTTCAGCCGCCACGCCCTGAAACTGTGGAACACTCTCCCTCAATCCCTCCGCCTTGTCCCTCTCTCTCCCCTCCTTCAAGTCCTGCTTGAAAACATTCCCTTTCGACCGTGCTTATGGTCACCTCCCCCCACTCCACCCGGTGCTCGGAGTCAGGCTCCTCCACTGTTAAGCACTCTGAGACGCTACCCTGCGTGGAGGGTGCTATATAAGCGCAAGTTGTTGCTGTTGTTGAAGAATGATTCCGTACAAGTTGTCTTCTATATATAATCGTGGTTCAGATCCATTGCCGGTGCCCACAACACTTCTGACAAGAGCAGCTCTGAGAACAAAAGTTCAGTGGATCCAACCCTTTGCAAACAGCAAGATAATTGTTAGGAGTTAAGGGGATTTATCCTGACAATTCTGAAGTTCATTTCAAAATAATAATATAATAAAATCCCAATGAGATCCTTATTAGTGAGGAAGCAAACACTGTCTTGAAGGCAAGACAGAATTCCCGCAGTTCCCTGGTTATAACTTTGCTCTGCTCATAGAATTCTTAAAAGAAGAAGATTGACAAACGAAACAGAATCAAATTAAGATTTAATTAAAGTGAGTGCTGATTTCAAAACCAATCCCTCCTCCCCCAAAACGTAAAAGCTTTCACTAATGGGAAAAAACTTTAAAGAAATGAAGCTGTAAATAAGTTAGGTGACATTTTGTTTAAATTATAACGTTTGTTGTTACCCTGTCTCTTGCTCACAGTCCCTGTGGTGCTGTTCTGTTTCTTTCCCACAGTGCCTGTGGTGATGCTCTATCTCCTCCTATAGACAAACATCATTAATCTACCTGGTACCTTTTGCCTGTACAGTGGTCCTGTATATCATATCAAGTCTATTCTCCCGCTTTATCTGCCCATCCTGTCCAAATCATCTCTTGCCCATGGACATTGAGATCAGGTACCATTTATTCTTATCTATACTAATCACTGCCTTCATGAAAGTGTTCCAATTGATGGGTTGCAGATAAATGAAGCTGTACCTCGATCGGTATAACGACATATCTCAATAATGTGACAATAAATAAATCGTATGATTTTAAACAAAAAACTGGAGATCAGCAGTTTTGCATAATGGTCATTTGTCACCATAGGAAGTATAACAAAATGGTGACTGTGCACTCTTTACTGATTGAAAGTGATGGTAATGCAAGTATCCATGCTAAACTCACCCTGTCAATGGAAACACACAGTTTCCTGCTCTTTGTACTCCACTTAAGTGCATGCATCAGTGTTGAAATGTTTACTGGATTTCTGTGTCAACTGGATGTTCCGTTGTGTGCACCCATTAAAAACATCACCTAATTATCCTAGCTCAAAGTTGACGCGCTATAATTTGGATGAGATATCAAGTGAGCCCAGTGTGCCTGGCAAGTTTAAGTCTTTGAACTCTTTATGACCGATATTGAGTTGCAAAACATTTAAGATGACAACTAGGCATTAGTGCAAGTAGACGTACTAAATAATTTACTACGGATCCAAACATAAATTGATTAAATTTGTTCTATTACTTATTATTATAAAGTAATAACAAAGATACACTTAAAAACTTTTAAAAAATAGCGTTGAAACGACAGAAAGGTTTAATTGCTCAGAATGATTGGACGCAATGCGTAATTCTCGCACAACACAGCTATCTAATTGTTTTCAGGCTAAAGCTTGTGATTGTCAAAACACAATTTGTTGTGACGAACCAGTTAAGATTCATTACAATTACTCTGAGCATTGCTGCCAAATCTAATGCCAGCATAGGGGTCAAAGGAGTTAATGTCTCAGTCTACAGCAATACCACTGCAGGCCTGAATGTACACATCTCCACACTTCCCAGTGTCACGACACCCTCTGATAAGCACGTGCTCACATCTATAGCCAGACAGTATATTTACTCTTAATTGAAAAAGTTGACAACTTATTGGTTCAGTAGCTTTGTACCTTGAGCTTGGCAAGAAGGATATTGTGTTCATTCAGTAGCTTCCTATTCTCATCTGCATTGTTGCCAATTTCAAGCAGGTTCGGTACTGATTCAGCCAACTGTAGTTCCACCCATTTCCCAGACTGAAGGGGGAAAAACAAAAGCAAATTTTGATAAACACCTTTGAAGATTGTTAGGCAAGCGCAACTTCTTTTGTATGGCAAACAGAACTGTTCTTCATGCCATAAAGCCACCTGAATCAGAACTTGCAAAAGTTTCTTTAAAACGCAAAGACTTTCTGCATTTACGGAGATTTTAAGCTGTTAAGTAAAAATAGGACAAGGAAGGCTAAATTCAATTCTCTACAATGCAAGCTAGTTAAATAATAGCGTGTTTTGGATAGAAAAAAANGTAAACTTGCCTTTAGTACAGCTACAACAATCCTCGAGTCTCCTGTTTGTACAGCAACGGTACTAATTGTTGTTGCTGAAGGCTGACCTCTGGTATCACTTTGACCGGACATGGTCTCTTGCTCTGTCGATTGAATAATCCCACGGACAAAATTTCCAGCTGAATTTGAATGGGAAGCTGCTGAGAAAGCGACAAAAAGACAATGAGGCTGCCCTGCTCACTCGTGAACATGTATTCAGGAAAAGGGCTCAGCTGAAACTGGCTGGATTTCCACTGCACAGAGCAGTCAGTTAAAAATAGACAAGGCAGTGTTGTATCACTGGCTTGGAGAGCTGACACACACACGTACACACACACCCCTACTCTGATAGCATTAATCTGCTAGTTCTGCTTCATTATCAGCAGAGAGAGGCTCAAGATGTAGTACTCACACAAAATAACATTTAGCTGACCTTGGTCAAGCAAATGGAAACAACCACTTAATTTCAAAGAAACATAATTCTTCCCACACTCAAGCTGTAAACAGAAAGTGACTCAATTAGCTTCTTGGTTTTATTTTTACAATAAGTAGAAATGTCTTTTCAATGGAACCGTAACCAAAAGCCCCATTGCAGTTACGAGGTGACATGGAGCACTTAGGAAAAACTTATTTCTAAAATTATTTGTTGCAATATTAAGCTCTAAAAGCAAACACATGGCAATTCACAGGGCAGCCATGAACAGGAGGAGTGCACTAGTTTCCTTGATATGACAGAAAAACATTCTATGATTTTCTTTCAAATTCACTACCCCCATATATTAATGTAGGACTTCAGAGAGCTTATATCTATTAGTGCGGTATCCGTTCCTGACCAAAGAAAAATGCAAAGGAGTAGTATAAACAATTTTAACTTTGAGCTACATTCATACTTAAATAAAGTCGATCTCCTGCATATCACTGAGAGTCAGTGGTATGTGTAAGCTGCTTTATCACCACAAAAGAAACAGCTGAACAAGTAGCACTAACGTCGATGCAAATCAAAGGCAGCTTTGGGCTGTGGAGTGACTTGGAAAACCATCTGTTTGGAAAAGTGGAGAAATCTTGTCTGCCTGATCAGCCGCCACTCGGTTTTATAAACCTCAACACATTGTATTTAGGAATACCCAACACGGTTAAAATTCATAGACACCAATTTAGTCAACCAACAACTGATTCTATGTTCCTTGATTTATGGTCAATGTTTCATTGAAAAGTGTGAAGTTGCAAATACTGTCTATTTTTAGTCAAATATTTTCAGGGATTGGGTGACGCGCTGTGACCTTACCACTGAAACTTGTGTTTAGGTCACATTGATTGAATGAATGTACCAAAACAAAATGGGTTTGGTCTGGGAATTCTGAACCCAAATTCTAAGCAGGTGTATACACCTCCAAGACAGAAGGGTCAAAACACAATGTATCACAAATACATTGAAATGCTAAGGCGCTAGTAAGAAGAATCTCTTCAGAGCTAGCTGAACAACAACAACTGATAGATATCTTGAGCGTTTTACGAGGAATGGGTTGCATGCCATCCAGGATGTTTTTAGATCTTACCTCTCTGTATCTGGCCTGTGAGAATTAGCATTAAATGCCAAAACGTTTCATTCCTCAGCACAGATATCCTTCACTTTATAAGCAAAAGATTCTCCCTCCCAACATACAATTACGTTAAAAAGCTATTTTAAGATATTCCTACCAAGTAAGATCGCATACTGAAATTTACAGTAAAACTACAGCACCCGTCTTCTTGTTACTTAACACTTAGAGATAAACTTATTGCAGTTATTATGTGTTAACTGAAAGTTGCTGCTGGTATCATTGGATACAAGTAGCAGAACATAACATTTATTAATGAAAGCCTGTATGTATTATGTATTGAAACGAATAAAGAGTAAAATAAATCAGAGAGCAAACTCTTTTCGATCTGGAGAATGTTTATGGTTCATGAAACAATCCCAACATCTCTACAGCACACCTGTTAGTCAAACTCCACATGATTCAAAGTGCTTATTGAATACACATTACACTATCATCTTCAAACAGCTCAGGCAGCAGAATTTGTTTAACAAAAATGGTTGCACTGAAGTCGATTGCAGGGTTGAACTACAGAGATGTTATACAATCGGTAACATTTATATAGAGCTGGCTAATATAACCTTGGAAAGGTGCTTAGTGAAATCCATCAGGATAGGCTGATGAAAATGGACACATGGATTGATGATTTCATGAAAATATTATTACACTTGATAGGATGGTAATTGCCATTAAAACAATTTGGAGATAGACCTTGGGCAAAAATAACACCAAGTGGGTGGAATTATGACATATGTCTCTTCCAGTTTCTCTGTGTGTCAAACTAATGGAAACATGAGCTGAACTATTGTGTACTCTTGTCATAGTTTCAGAATTCCCTTATTAACACATGTAAAAATCCCTTAAAAATAACATAAATAACACGTCTTCCGGGGATGCTCCTGGCTTGACACAATGGAATATGACAATGGGAAGAATATCTATGGTCTTTGGAGACCTCGTTATAAGGCTCCTGGGCTGATCATTGAAAAATTGCACTAGATCTCAACTCACTTAATCCAAATGGATCTCTATTGGGATAATGAAAAGATATTGCACTGAATTGCAATGCGCAAACCTTCCCAAATGGCAGATACTGTATTTTGTCCAGAAAGAAACAACCACTTTAGTTTACAAGTAGCAATCGTGGCTTCAAATTGTTTTTGAATGAATGCTACCTACGAGTGCATTTTATTTTAAATCAACTCTACTGCTATTTGCAATACTCTGCTTTTTATTCTGTTACCATGACAACTTACATTGTATCCTACCCGCTGCACTGTAATGTTCTGTCTGCTTTCTCTTGTTTAGATGCAAATTATGTGTAACAGTGCTCCTAATTGAGTATTCCGATTTTAATGTACACATCCTGCCGAATACTGCAGTGACCGCAGTGTGCAGGTTTGCCATGTCTTCTGTGATGATACTTAAGGGCTATTTAAATCAATAGGTTTCATTATTTACAAAAAAATATCATTAAGTGTCAGCTGCACAACAGGATACCCGAAATAGCATTTCTTTCAACTGGGTCAATGGATGCCGTGGTGGGTTATCTAAGGCATTTTCCATTTTTGTCATCTCAGATACTGCAGACCTGCTAATAATATGTCACTGACACCATTTTATCTTACAGCATTTCTCTGTTCGCCAGAGCAAGGGAACACACTATATGTAGTTTTCAGTAGTTAAGGCAGCTGTGTCCTTTTCCCTACGTCTTATGTATTATGGACTTTGTTGAAATACAGCATGTATCTAATCCTTTATTTGAATCTCTGCAGTAATTTCATCCCATTCATCCTCTTTTAAAGATGACTTGCATTTTACACTACTTAAATGTCTTCTCCTGCGTCAGGCTCTCACCCTTACTCAGCAACACTGGCTTCCAAATCCCTCAACGGATCAAATTCAAGATCCTCGTCCTCACTTTCAAATTTCTCCACGGCCTTGCCCCACTCTACCTCTCTGACTCAACTTCTCTGGCCATTCCCTCTGCTCAACAAACACTGGAATGTATTATATCTCTGCCCGAACCGTCCCACTATCGGAGGGTGATATTTCAGCCCTTCAGACCCTACTCTCTGGAACTCCATCCACTCTGCCCTCCTTCGCCACCTTTAAAACCCACCTTAAGAGCTATCTTTTCAACCATGCTTTTAGCCCCCACCACCCCCCAACCATATCTGCTACCCTTTCCCCCCAGCCCAGGTGAATGAAGCACTTTGAGAATGTCCTCCCAATACGAAAGGTGCCATATAATTGTAAATTGTTGTTATAAGTTATTCCTTGTACACTTAAGATTGCTATGTAATGCTGAAAGGATCAACCATCCTGAGAAAGGTAAGCACATCGATGAATATCATTCTGTAGGATTTAAAAAGCCCACTTGAGGAATGAGAACCCATTTTAAAGTCATTCGGGGATTATGTAGGTTGCACAATCCTTCCATCATGGTAAAACCGACTGCAAATGTATTTCTTGTCAAGGGTATATTTCAAATTCCAATACTGGGTTTAGCACCAAGAATCCATCAAACCAAAATATAATCGGGTCCTTAAAAAAAACTTACATTTCAATGGCTATTGCATCAGTTGCTCGCAATATGATTTCTGATTTAAAATAAATACGCCATACATTTCATTTCTGGAATGTGTATAGAACTGGAAAGTAACAGCAACATACAGAGACCAGTAACTGGCTGACCAGACCAAAAGATGTAACATCATGTGGTTCAATAAGAGATCCGTTACTTAACAATAATAATAATAATCTTTGCTTTTGATATAGAGCGTTTATCATATCATTGAGATGTCTCAAAGCAACTTTACAGGATATACTCTAAAGTGACATGACTGTATGTATTTTGTGGGTAAACTATTTAAAGCATTCGTCTATTTTATACTTCTCTTGCAGGGGATTTATTAATTCTACACCTCCAGAATTTTATTTGTCATGCTACATAACAATTTGTTACCAGTTCCATAGTTTTCTTGTGCAAGACAGTTGTGGCTTTAAGCCTTTCAACCCACACACTATAAAAACAACAGGAAAATTGTGGATTGTGTTAAACATTTAGCAAACTGTGTTATGTTTATAGGATTGGGGTGGGGAGGGGGGTACATTCAAAGCAAAGCAGTGCACATGCAGAGGGACATAGTTAAGGCCATTTTTATATTTGGCACACTTGGTGCTTCAGATTTAGAGCAGCTGTCTGCATTCCTGAAAGGCTCCAGGGAAGGTTCTGTGACACTTCAGTGGGATGCAATGTAATGCTTGTGATGACTATTTTCATTACTCTCTGGTATGCCAGCAGAGCTGATAATAATCAAAGATAAAGTAAAGGTTAAACTGTAGAGTGTGATAACTTTTTAGCTCTACACACGCATCATCAACTCCTTTGCTAATTGCACGTACATTTGCAGCTGCAGAAATATATTCGCACATTGATGTGGTAAACCGCAATGCAATATTGATAGCAGGTCTCAATATTTAGTCTAGATTTTCACTTCATCCACTATTATTCACAAAGTTTAGGCTCCTGTTAGGAAACAGCTCTCTTTATTTCTGTTTTTTGGAATTTTGCTTCTTCAGGATGTTGTAATTATATTCACAATGCATCTACAGACTATATATGAATCCCGTTAGCTCCCCACTGGAGATCAAGCT